CGTAACTAGCTATTCTTGTCTAAACTATATAGTCTTCCTCATCGTCACTAGGAACGTCTCCTATTGGTTACAGCGCACTACATGTATTTCTAATATTGATTGCATATCATGATTCGACAAAGAACTACTCCCGAGATGGAAGGAAACTGGCATTAAAAGGCGTGTAGCTATTGCAATTGATGGATATAAAAGAACAAACACTGACAGAACTACAGCTATATTTTTATATATGAAGGTCGAATTTCCTTGATACCATTTTATCATGAACTACATGTACATACTAACGCTATTCATTGAATGACTTAGAGTGCATACTAGAGCTAATATATCACAGATTACATATAAGGAGAGATGGAGAGGTTTAGTGCATGCCTGTACGTTTGGATGACCCAATAATCCAGAATCTAAGAAATTACTATCGCAGTACCGCCCGCACCTCATTTCCTCAGTACATTGGGCGGCCGAAGGCCGCACTCCGCTTGTACTCTATATAGTAGTCTCGTCTCTTTTGTTGCTTCCTTGTCATTATTATTTACCTATCATTGTAGACAATTTGAGCTTCGTTTCTGGTATCAGAGCCTGAGCCCGTGTAGTCCGTGAATCACGTAGGATCAAAATAAAATCTATTGAACTCCTGTTTCGCTCTAAAACACTTATGCATGATTACTTAAGATGCAGGTCTTGAATCATATTTCATAGCTTACGGGCTACATACATCAATCAAAATCTTGAATCTTATAATATCACTCGATAGTTTGGTGCATCGATCTCGCGATCGTTATTAAGTTTTGACTTCCGGACTAGTTAGGGTGACAATATCGGTACATCTCTAATCCATGTATAGATGCGTCCTAGAACTCTAGTATCTAGTATGGCTAGGGTGAGTATATACATATGATATAGCGCTTAGCCCTTACCCACTGCTATTCACAACGATTGCTTATCTTATGTTGGCATTATAGTGATCACGTCAACTCGTAATACACTACTTGTATCCCTTTCTATAAAATAATGGTCTTCTACATAATATATTTATCTGTATTTCTTCGCTTGTGGTATGAAGTTAACATTCCTATAACCCTTCCCATCCTCAATGGATTAGTACACTAATAAGATCTAGGAGGGCCACAGCTCATAAGGTGAATGCTGAGGTTTATTCTTTTCATGAGCAGAATAGTTTTCAAGCCTCATGCACACTTCTTGTTTTTGGCGCCTTGGTCTGTCGGTACTCTCAATAATATGGCCCACGTATAGATATACCGCAGTAATTCTTCTTAGCGGACGGTTACACAGACGTCAAAGTTGCCTTTTACAGCGCGTATGAAGGAAGATTAGGGGAGCGTTTTCAAGACAAATGACTAGAACAAGTAATTTCAATGTCAATGTGAGTGTCCGCTGAGACGAATTACTGCGGTATATGTGTGGAAAGCTACCGGCCGCCCTGGTTGTGTCTTCTCGCGCCATATTGAGCATGATATGAGGACACCTTAAACCGGGGCACTTCCGACGTCAATATTTCAAAGGTAATAACTTTCTATAACTACGGCTTATTTTATTATCCCTTTGTTACTCGACCACTTTTCGCCTGATATATCACTCTACAGAGCCTAAATTAATTTAGCTGTTCTGAGGGTGGAGTTATTAGGGTGGGAGTTTGAGGATGAATGCTGGACCATGTTAAGCTGTTTTGATACAAGAGGTTTTCCGCAGTTACTCGTAGCTAATTCCTAGAATGAATGTCGCAATACTCCAGCTCTAGGGCTCTCCACCCCAACCGTATATTCATAAAATACAGATGAAGGACATATTATGATCTGTTACGTGCTGAACTACTGTTTTTCACCGTTTTTACTTACCTGGAAGTTTTTTTCAATCGAATTTCGTCTCAGTAGAATGAAATTATAAACGTATTGTCTCACTAATCTCTCACAGAATTATTTTTGGTCGACAACTGAATCTAAACAATTAAACTCTAACGAGCTAGTGGTTCAATGGTCCACTAAAATACACTGATATCAGCAACCCAGCCGGATAACCAATACATAGTTTCAGCAAAAAAAAAAAAGAAAAAAGAAAAAAAAGAGAGAAAAAACAAGCCAGAAAGGGTAAATTAAAATCACTTGAAAAGTAATACGTAAAATCATGATAATGGCGATGATGAGTTTATCTGATTTTGTTGATCACTCCTTCCATTCTCTTTCGACCTTTAATCTCCGTTCCTCATCCAAAACGCGTATTTCATTAGCCTAAGCCGAGGTGGGCTCATTAATAGACCTGAATCCTGTTTCCTCTTCCTCTTCCCGGTCCAACTGTAACAAATAAGTCTCCCACAACTCAATAAGCTGTTTTGAACTTGCGTTAGCTCCATATACCATGCGTCATAGGAATTGTATAAGAAGAGCTTACCTCCTTTTGTGCCTCAACGGCACTTTCCAGAAATGTCTCAACAGCGCTTTTGAAATCTTCAACCTTCTCCCTCTCAAATCTATCCAACTCTAGTCTCATCAACCGCCCCATATCGTCAAACAACAACCTGGCTTGATGCACCTTCCTCTCGCTATCAGTGACCTCCGCGGACATCTGATTGAGTCTATCCTGCTGTGTTTTCCCCTGTCTCTGCAATTTTTCAAAAGTACTCTTCCTCTTATTCAGCTCGCTCTCTGCCGCATGATAAGAATGGTAAGCCTTTTGTCGCTGTTGGAATGCGAGCTTGATAGAGCCAATGAGCCTGATATACTCATCAACTGTGATTCCTAACGTGAGAACATCCTGCTGTGCTTGCCGCTCATGAAGTTCTTTGATTCGAATCTGAAGGTCTGAGAGGGCTTCGAGAGGAGAGGAGAGGGATTTTGAAAGCTCTACAGTGGACAGGGCGTGCAAGGATGAAGAAAAGTCACTGGCGGCTTCTGCGAGATCTTTTCGTTGTTTGATGACCGTATCAACAGCTTTGAGAAGAGACTTGAGTTGGATCTCCAATGCATCGAGATAGTTCTTGCGGTCATGGAACCACTAAGTATTCAAAGTCAGTACCCTTTTCCCATCTGTGCTTATCGGGGAGAGGCCAAAAAAATTAAGGAGGCTTAGTCAAAGTATAACCGTTCCGCTGGCTCTTTCACCTTACTCTCCCTTATTTGTTGTATGAATGCGTATTTTGACTAACTGGTAGCAATGATACTCACTTCATCGGTTTCCACAAACTTTCCAGCCACAGTAAAGCCTAGAGAGCTAAACATACCCTTGCTTTCTCCAATTGGTGGTGCTTGTTTCTCTTTATGCTTGATATCTCCATTCAGTGCCTCGGACTCCAGGAATAATTTCAAGTCTGGATCATTCTGTAAAATCGGATGAACTGCAGTTTTGTTTAGCATGCGCTCCAGAGCTGACCTTCGAGATTCGACAAAATTATCATCGAATCTCCCTACAGCCTGTTTCTCTGGTGGCGGTGGAACCACGACACCTGGATTATTGTTGTTCAGTGCGCTGTAAAGCCACAAGAAATCTCGGTATCTACGAGAAACTGTAAACTCGCTGTTTCTATAGGCTTTCGATGTAGTCTAATATTCTCATTCAATCAAATCAACCCACAGGTAATAAAGTTTGGAGGTAGGAAGATCAACAAACCTTAGTCCTGACTTGATAAACTGTATGCGCGCTGGTCAAATCTCCAACCTTGTGCGGGTCTCCAACACTAATATCGAAGACCGGGCCTGCCACTTGAGGCTGTTCCGGTGCCCTATCCGGCCCACCGATCATCCTACGCCGTTCCGGACTTTCCATTGCATCAAAGGTTGTTGGGGGGCCAGTATAGGCCTCTGTTTCATCATCTTCCAAAGAAACACTCTCCATAGTTTCCCCTCTCGGCATTGTCCGCGAAGATGTACCGCCGGAGATAACTCTGGAGCCCCTCGGCGAATCCTCCTTCTGTGGCGGTTCGGGGGGTGTCTCGTGAAGGTGTTTTGATGGACCAGAAGATGCCTCTGGGGTGTCGGTAACAGTAAAATTATCACCTAATGGGCCGAGTGGACCAAGGTCGTCGTCGATGGCCTCCACACGGGCCACATGGCGGCCTAGACGACGAGGATTGCGGCGAGTAGTAGATGTTTTTATAGTAGGGGTTTGGGGCTGTTCTGTTTCCGCATCTTTAGTATCCTGACCGACGGTGGCGGCGGTTGGTGATTCTGGTGCTTTATTCACGACGAGTTGTTAAATCTTGCTCACGTGTATCAATTGGAAGGGTGGAGTAATTATATATACCAACCTTGGGCAACATCCTCCTTGGACAAGTTAGCAGCAGCATCAGGAAGCTTTATACACACGAGGGGGTTGGGTATTTACAGATCTCTCATCGCCCCATGGGGAAGCTCCATCAGTCTCAAGGTCAAGATTCCCCAGTTGCGGGGATGTGCCAGAGCTCATGGTGAATTATTCTATGGAAATATCAGAGAATTTGTTGAGGTACTATAAAAAAGTGATCGAACTTCTTATAATGCCAAAGGGCCAGTAGATAGGGTGATGATGATATACGGTAATGATGATGTCCGAGTCTGGCTTTGGTTGAGTAAAATAATGGATTGGTGGTATACGGGAGTGGTGGTTGCGTACCCGAGAGACTTCACCTGCAGCTGCCCACATGTCTTGGCAAACACATTATGTACGTAATCAGTTGGGTCTCTAAACTCAGAAATACCTGTAAGTGCCGTGTTACATGTATTTACATTTAAGTGTAGATAAAGCATTTTTATATGCATACATGGTCAGATATTTACCTCAACAATCCTACTTTTAATATGAAAATACAACCTCCGCTACTAGCTACTAACTACTAGCTTAGGATAGTGCACTAGAGATACTATTCACTGAGACAACCAAAAGATTGGAAGGAAAAACTTAAGTAATGAAAAAGAGAAAGAGAGAAAAAAAAATAACACGGTTAATTTACATAAACCTCCTAGGGCAGAGGGAATTTTGGGTTGATTGATGCTCCTACTCGTTTTCTTCTCCTACTCGTCCCTTTTATCCTTTTTATCCTTTTTCTCCTTCTTTTCCTTCTTCTTCTTTTTACGCTCAGCTCTCTCCTCTTCCGTCTCTCCAGTTTTCCTCTTCTTCTTTTTGTCGCCGGAATCTTCCTTTTCATCATCGGAACCCTCGTCTCCTGGAGTGGTCATTTCCACATCAATCCTGCCAACATCAGAAGTGATGGGCTTCTCAACATCATCAGCTTCAATAACCCTAAGGTCAGATTCGGCAGGCGCATTGAAGTCAGTGTATGCCTTCTTCCAAGTCTGGGGGGTAGACTCGTTAGGACGGCCATATTTCTGTATTTCTAATTAGTTCAAATGAAACCTCAACTTCAAAGACTGGGGTCACCGACGTCAAGCTTTCCGTCAACCTTCATCTTTTTCTTCTCAAGAGCCACAGGCCCCAAACCCCAGCGGCGGGGGTAAAGATCCCGCTCCATGATGCATCTCTTCACTTTTGCGACAACACCGTGATCGCAGGTTGAGAGTTCAACGGTGGACATTTGAGCAATCCCCAGAGCAATAGCCTCGCCCTTAGTGGTCATTAACACAACCTCTTCGCCAACCTCAATTCCAGCCTCGTAACGGAGAAGACCAGGGATCATGAGCTTGGCACCATAACACACAGCGTTGACCGCACTGTCCTTGACAACGATACGTTTGTATGTGGTGAGAAGGGATTCCAAGGGGCGAATAACACGACGAAGGTAGGATTCATCGCGTGTGTTATCGGCAAGCCATTGCGCTGTAAGAGCGTCAGTCAAAAAATATTTGGAAGGTTTTTTCTAGGAAATTCCGGAGTAGGGCATACCATCTAAAATATCATGTAGTGTGACAATGCTGTCGTTTTCACTCAAAGCCCCAGATCGAACACGCCTCAACTCCTGCATGTGTGCACCAACCCCTAGCAACAGTCCCAAATGAACACACAAGGTTCTGATATAGGTACCAGCCTCACAGCTAACCCAGAACACGGCAAGATGCCTATCGTTATCGAACTCGAGAAGTTTAGACTCATGGATCGTCCTAATACGTAGTTGACGCTTGACCGCAGAAATCAATGGTGGACGTTGGAACAGGGCACCGGTCAAAGTCTCAAGTGCACGGGCCAATTGCTCTTTTGACAGAATTTTGTCGTGAAGACGAAGGACGCAAACGTACTCCTTTCCTAAACAAAATTTAGAACATATAAAAAAAATTTCGGAAAAGGAATATATATACCAGCTCCCTGCTGAGACTTAACCAAGCGAGTTGCACGGTCAATGCAGACAATAAGACAACCAGTAACTTTAGGATCCAAAGTGCCACTGTGACCGGTCTTCTCGCATCTTAAAATCCTCTTGACCCACGCAACAACTTCGTGGGAACTAGGGTTACTCGGTTTGTCGAGATTAATTACGCCGCTGCTGATGTAACTCTTGAGATCCCGCTTCAATGGAGCGCAGCCATTGGGAATTGGGGTAAAGTGACCAGTCCGAACAAGAAGGTTATTGTAATTTTTAAGCAGCAGACTTTAAACCCAAGAAAAATGTCAGTACATAAGACATATCCGCAAAGGCACAATGGAATAACTCACGGCCATGTTGAGGTATCAATAGGCGCTGTGGTAGCCTCTGGCTTTATTGAGTACTCCTCGGTCTCCTGCTTTTTGACGAGCTCCATTGTGAATAGTGGTGTCGTTGCTGCTTTGCTGAACCAGGAGGTTAACGTTTGAAGGAAAAAATCTTTTGCGGTTGGTGGTGAATCTGCTGAATGACTAAGGCACCCAAAAAGCCCCGCCACCTCCATGAGCCTCACCCTGGTACTATGCGCCACATTACTCCTCCGGAATGAGCCACGTTTCAAATTCCAAGGTTTCATCCAGCCCCAGTGATGGACAAAGTTTCACGTGTGCTGTAGAAATGAGGATTCACCTTCTTCTGCGGCTTGCCTGCAGTCCCTCTTTAGAATAAGCATATTTTGCTCTCGCTTCTTTGCTCATCCAACATTTTTGTGAAACCTCTTCTCAGGGCTTTCTCGACTACTTTCCATCCCCACGCAGATACCGGACAACCATCTACTTGGGCAAACTACTACATTCCCGTCCCCTTTCGCATACTCTTCCACCAAGGCCTCACGAAGATATGGATGAAGCTCTCTCTGGCGCAGAGTCGATCGACTCTCCGCCTCCATCTCCGGGCCTCTCTCGCTCCCCTTCATACGCTAATTCTGTGACCAATAGCGATGACTGGGATTTTCCTCCGATGGACAAACTCACTGTATTTGACTTTCTCGACCAGTTTACACTCCCACAACAGCTGGAGAAAATAAATAAGCGCATACAGCTCCAGAGCGAGACTCTCAAAAAACACAGGGACAAAGTAAAGCTTCAATATGTCAGGCATAAGGAAACTGTCCTCAAAAAAACAGATGTGGAATTGGAGAAATACAAAGATAAGTTTAGTCAGGGTCTTGATAAGCTTGTCGATAAATGGGGGGATACCAAAGTTATTTCTTCAAGAGAGAAGATCGCGTTCGTGGTTGGTGTCTGCAATATCTTCATCACAGGTCTTTTAATTGGCGGGCATCCGTAAGTCACTATTCCCTCTCTCCGATTGGAAGCGCAGAGACTAAGTCTTGTCTCATAGGGAATGGGTCCACATTTGGTATTCGCTACAACTTCTTTATTTCATGCCCGTCCGCTATTACACTTATCATAAACGTGGCTACCATTACTTCTTGGCCGATCTTTGCTACTTTGTTAACGTCCTTCTTCTGCTCTCTATCTGGGTCTTTCCTAATTCTCGACGTCTCATGATCGCAACCTACTGCTTGGCTTACGGAAACAATGCTTGGGCGATAGCCATGTGGAGAAACTCTCTGGTTTTCCACTCATTGGATAAAGTTACCTCATTATTCATACATATCATGCCTCCTGTTGTGTTGCATTGTTTGGTACATTGCGTGGATCCAGTTATTATCGAAGCAAAATTCCCAGCTATTAGTAGAGTCAAGAACATAGAGCACTACGGCCTTAGAGAGATGATCATCTGGGCAACCATCCCGTATGGAATTTGGCAAATTTCCTACCACCTTTTGATTACTGTTAGTCCCATACCGAACCCCCCCCCCCCCCCCCACAATAAATACATCAATTGACATATTTCAAAGGTTCGGAGACGCGATAAAATTGCCGCTGGTCGTCCAACATCTTTTACTTGGCTCCGAAAAAGTTACTCCAAGACTTGGATCGGAAAACTTGTCCTGCGGCTCCCAACAAATCTTCAAGAGTCTGCATTCATGTTCATTCAATACTCATATGCGGTTATAACCATGCTTCCGTGCCCATTTTGGTTTTATCATCGCAGCTTCTCTGCTTTGTTCATTTCCGCTGTTGGGCTTTGGAGTGTTTACAATGGAGCTATATACTATAGTAGTGCCCCTTTACCTCTATTGTTTGCTCTATTTTTTGCTAATTATCCATATAGTCGATGTGTTTGGTACACGCTTCCAAAAAGAGCTGGAGCAGCTAAAAAAAGATGTCGCAAGATGGAAGGAAGCACCCCCAAGTCCTCAAACCACTCCGAGTGATGAGAATACTCAAAAAGATGCCGGGGATGGCCATAAAAATGACAACCTCGAAAATATTGAGCCGTTGAACATGAAAACAACGACTACAGCTTCTTCGAGGGAAGAGACAAAACAAGGTAGCGAAGTCAGAGAGAGAAACGTCACTACTAGCGTTACAACTCAAACGACGCCACGATGATCATTTTTGGTTTGAAGGCGTTGCCCGTTATTGTTTTGAGGCATTTATAAGTTTATGGGTTAGCGGGTTTATAATATTTTTTTTCTTCTTCATTTGAACCGTTTATATTTGAATTTGGATGGGAAGGGTCTGTTGCGTACCATTCATGCAAATACCAGCACATCAACTCGAATGAGTAGATGGAAAGGGCGCAATGTGGCATGTTCTATGCGATACAGGTCAATGGCGCTTTATTTAGTTTTCTTTTTTCTTTCTCGTACTCGATCGTTTTGAGATAAGATGAGGAATGATTAAGGGTTTTTGAGATATCAAGAATTTGATGTCCTTCTTGGTTTTAGAGGTTCCTCCCTAACAGTGGCACGTCAAGTGCACATGTAGGTATGTAAAGTATCTACAGTTACTAAATTTACCATCATTAAACTTTGATACGTGTGGAGTACTGTACAGCGACCGGAATGATCTATCATTCCTATCGCTGTATGTACTTGTTTATCACATGTGCATGCAGTGTCACGCGTGTCTAGGATTTACTTGACAACACAACCAAACGAATTACGGTATTACACAAAGTACAAGGCTCTGGCATTAAGTGAGCGAACTAAATGGGGTGTTGACCGGTAAGGATCCGTTCACTCACTTAATGCCAGAGCCTTGTAAACATCATGTGCATTACAAATTGGACATGCTGCGCACCTGAGCCTACGCAGCACATGAAGACCGGGCTTCACAACCCCATGATCTAGACAAGCCGGAAAAATTGGCTTTATGTGGCCCTAGTACAAAAATTGACACAACGACACTGGCATGTAAATTATAAAGACATCGATATTTGATCAAGTCTGACAAGATGCTGCTGAGCCAAGATATAAAGTTTTAAGAAAAGATCGAGGGGGCGAGGCGCGGGATGTTTGGGTTGGTCCTCTAGCTACCCTTGATGTCGCTTGTAAATGGGCCGGCCATATGTAGCTCTATACTGGCTGAACAGTACTTCTCCGGTGCCAGTAGTTCCCGATCAAAGCTACATCATGTAGTACTATAGCCACTCGTTAAATATTTGATATGGCAGTGACCTAATCCTCCCCTAATAGACAAGAGTGGTCTAAACCATTTAGGAATACTTTGTTAAGAAGTTTAAACCAACTTACAATTCATTCGAGATAGCGCTTACAGCTTAGGTTTTTCTTTCCATGACTCATGTAACCCATGTTTATTCACTGACAGTCACGGCGAACGACTGCATTTGTTTTTGTAGCTTTTCCACAACTATACCAACCGTCCATTCATATAAGAATTCAGTCCACATATAGGCTTTACATAGACGTATACACATGTATATAATTAAACTTAACATGTAGCAACTTGAGTACTCGTTGATGGCATCAGAACAGAATAGTAAGTTTCCGCCACCGGTACTTTTGTGTTACAGCCGCGTTTTCTCGCACAAGTACAATTAATGAAGTATATGTACTTAAATCAATCACTCAATTGATTGATTGGTCTGATTGGTTGATCCTAGGCTTGACGTTAGTAACTGCGCCGAATGATTATGTATGACTCATAGCTCATATTTGTGAACTCAACACGTAATTGAACAAGTGAGCGAGCACTTCAATCATTCACAAGAGCAGAAAGTTATTTTATTCTACAATGTTTCAATGTTGGCCTTTTTTTTTTTTTTTTTCTCCCCCCCGTGGGCCAGCCAAAAGGACGCCTGTGCTAACAAATTTTGTCGATCGCTGATTCGATCTGAACTACATGTAGCCTCTGCAGCTGATCAATCTCTCGCCGAACTTTACGGGCTCTTGCCCCTATGAACAAAGGTTATAATAGTACTAATATAATAGACTGTAGGATAAAAGAAAGTACTAGTGCTTTTAATTTTAATTTACTAGGCTAGATCTCGAATCAATAGATTCATTTAGTCTGTAACAAATAATAGTAGCTATCCCCATGAATTGATTAGCTAGTTAATTGCATACCCATCGACTGTAACAACCGTTTTGTGGTTCAACCGTGTACCGAATTATTTATGTTAATTCCGCAACTGGCAACCACACATGAAAAAAAATATCTTTGTGAGATATAACTATATCAAACTCGCCCTGTATTGTTTGGATTCAATTTTTGTTTTCAAGATTTCTTTCTCCTCGTTGCGTTGCCAAAAATTTGGTGCCCGGGTGACCCGAATGCGCTTACAGTCGATGGGATAATCCCAACTCGGTAAAATCACTCACTAATAACAAATTATGCTATCCTAGTCATTACCATAGGTACCCACATCACATTATATATCTGATATATCCATTAAACCGTCGATGCTGACACCTCTCTTGTGAGACAAAGTTACAGCTAGTACTAGCAAGATCGAGTGAGATCAACAAAATTATTTTGCAAAAGAGGCGCCGGCATTGTCTCGACGGGTTATGGGATAACGCGGCAAAAGGCCTGCGGATAAATTATAAAGAATACCTATCTATTAGAAAGTCACGAGTAATTAATGAATTAAATAAAAAAAAGAAAAAAAGAAAGTCACGTGTGTAGAAATATACCGAGTGATAACCTGTGAACCCATTGTTACTACTTTTTAAATGTGCGATCTCTACGATTGGTTGATTGGTTCGGGATGATCTCTGTAAAAAATAAATATATTCAACAGTAAGAACCGCAGTATCCCTCGAGTCATGATCACACCACCGATATGATGTACAAACCCAAAAGTAGCACTACTGACTATGATGACGCTCAAATACGTACTAAGTGGTGTGTAAAAAGTTCAATTTGAAAGCTGTAAGTGCACTAATAGAATTCAATTGCGCTAGTAGCATTGATCAGCTGGATATCAAGAGGGTCTAGCATACCACATATACTACAAGGCTCTGGCATTTAATGAGTGAACGGATCCTCACCTGTCAACACCCCATGTAGTTCGCTCACTTAATGCCAGAGCCTTGTACATCATATACTAAGACCAGCCTAGATGTATATACTGTTGTAGCTATAGTTCCTAACTTTACGCGATCATTTTGTACTAGAAATGAAATTGACATGACTAAAAAGAAAAAAAAGATGTAGATACTGTTGGCCTCTCATTTCTAGTGCCATTTGGGGATGTACATGTAGGTATAGGGTCTAATCATAGGTTCAATTTAAGAAGCTAGGTACCGACTATATATGGTAATATATACATATCTAGCTGTAGAACAGATATTTTCTCTTTATATAATACATTTATTAGAGGACCGCTAGTACTACAGCGATACATGCAGTAAATATCCGTTCACAGATTACCAAGATAGAGATAATACATGTATATATATATAATACGAAAATACGAGGTTAAATCAGTACTACTGGATTTAGTGAATAATAAGGAATTAAACCGCGGATGGATACAGTAGTAATGCCGTATTCTTGCTGCATTACTAGCACTATTGTATGTTTGTTTGGTCGCCAACAATACACAAATATACATGTACATATTTCAAAACTATAGTAGAGCTAGAGGTAGTTGTATTCATTGGCTATAGATGATCCAGACATACAGAGCTTTGGGTTGCATTTAAGCGAGTACCAGGGTCCACTGTTTCGGTTCCTTCTGGCCTGAGCGAATAGTGATCAAATGTACGAGTATGTACTCATCATATATGTTCCCAACCAGTATAGCTTGAGCACCCTCGCGTGGTAGCCGTGCGTGCATACATGTACATGTACATGTACGTAGAGCGTGGTATTGTATGCGTACCACAGTTGTGGCACTGAGCCCACGCTTGCTACTCGATTATACACCCTTCCTACCCATCATGAGTGGAATTGATAAAGACACTCATTCCCCGCGTCGGGTTTACCGATTTCCGTGGAACTGGCCCCATCTCAAATATGGCTCAGAACATGCAAGATGCACACCGCAAGAACCGATTGACTAAAGACACGGAACCTTGAGGGTGTTCATTACCACCTGAGCATGAGGTACTCAGTGCAGCCAAGGAGCTGGGATCCAGAAACATGATCTTGTAGTGCCAGCCCTACGCTCGTAGCCTATCACACCAACGAACTGGTCGATCAACTGAAGACCCCTACTTGTTTCCAGGTTCTTTATCCTGAGAATGTAAATCTAAATAGGAGCGGGGTAATTAAGCACAGTCTGCACATGCCAAAAAAAAACCCCGGGTATTTCTGGTAATGCGTGTTTACAATTGGTGAATTTGGACTCACTTCCGTTTTGAGATTACTATATCAGAAAATACTTACACAATCAATTTGGGAATCGATAGCTACATATATACGTGCTCCAGGTTTTAAATGTTGCACCAGCAGGTGATATACATCGCCTTGTTGTACTACATGTAGTTCATGATCATAAACTCATCTACATGTATCTATGAGTGCTTGAACGTCTACGCGTAGACACCATTACTTACAACATTTAGAACACTGAAGTATTGTGTTAAGGGCCTCCACTAAGCACAGATGTATGCTGGTGGGCCGGAACGGACCGAGAGACTGGGTTGCTCCTTGTATAATTAAATTTCTAGCTCTCTAGCGGATAAGGTATTTACGCGCGGCATGTTGTGACAGGTACCGGTAGGCAAACCCTGCACTACATTACAGACTCGCGTCTATCTCATGCGCTCGCTCAGTTACCTTACGTATCCCTACCATATTGCTCCAGCGTAACCTGATTCCTTGATACGATTCTGATGTTTTAATTATTCTGGATAAAATGCATCTAATAAACGGAACCAGTTTCAAAGATGACTGGCTCAGCTATTGGTAATACATAGACAGACCAATTTAAGGGTATGTATGTACTAATCTACATGTATGCTCACTCTGGCCTTGGCGTATGGATGAAACACCTACATGTTTACCAGCCGAACTACTAACAGCTAAGTCTTTGGGGGCTAGCATGCAAGCAGGGAAAATATCAAACCCCGAGTATTAGGCTAGTTACATGTAATTGCTTGATACATGTAATATACCATGAAAGGTTCCGAGAGGCGGCGTGTATACATGTACAACGGTGGGTAATAAATCATCGGACGACCTAGCCACAATTTTGCCTGCAAAAGCGTATTTTGGTGGCGTTCCGTCTGATGACTTATTACCCACCGCTGTACACTGCGTATACAAATACAAGAAGGTGTTCGGTTATTTTAGGTTTTCCATGTAAAGCGGGTAGGTCCACTTGCAATTGAGGTAAACATAGATTTCCGCCGAGTGATATCCTATGCAGGTAAAAGAAAATGACCTGTTGGGCCCCTTGCAGGCTCTCTGCAACCAATCGGAAACTGGCGTATGCGAGGAGTTATCTCTACATGAAGCGCGAAAACCTCTTACAGAATCTCCGAAAAGAACTACATCTCCTTTGATATCCATGCAGATACATACCTGATCTTGAGGTGAATATTCGCTCCATCACGAGCTCGCTTCGGCCGTAGTCATGTACACCCTTTTATTGGCTGAAAAATAAGCGGTAAAACAATTTGAACACCATATTACGGTGTGCACCCCGTGGCTTTCGAAATGTCTGGCTTCGCACAGCTCCTTGATTCATCGCCATCTTCATCATCTTCGTGTGTCGATCCCGTAGCCTCGTCGTCTGAATAGAGGTTATCTGCACCTATAATTACAAGCCTTGGTCCAGTTTTTACTCAAAGTATATTTTAAGGGTGCTCTTTGAGATCGACTGTTGTAACACCAGTCGTGGACTTTGAGTATATAAACTCTATCTCCTGTTCTCGGTCATCCACCACTACCTCTTCATCACCTTCATCACAGGCGAAGGACTCGCAATAAATACATAATCCAGAATGGCCGTAACTTCGATCATCTTATCTTATCCCATCTTTACTCCGGGGGTTCTTGCTATTATCGGTCTTTTCATAATATGTCTCTATTGTCTTAAATGGCGCTATCGCTCAGGTCTCCGATCAATACCTGGCCCATTCCTGGCCTCTATCACAAATTTGTACAGATTTTTCGATGCCTGGAGCTGGAAATGTCAAGATAATCAACTGGCACTTCACGAGAAATATGGGAAGTTCGTTCGGTACGGTCCCAACCTAGTTTCTATATCAGATCCAGAAGCAATACAGGTGATCTACACAATCAATAAAGGATTCGTTAAGGTATTTTTATCTCTCTGTATTTCTAACAATGGTTTGGGATACCGACTTAAAATTTCCCAGTCCCCCCTTTACAAGGTCTTTTTTGTCCTTTCGAACGGTAAAACGATACAGTCAATGTTTGATACTCAAGATGAATTGTATCATCAGGTATATTCAATCACCCTAGTTCTTCGACGATTTGATACTAAATTACGTATTAATATTATCTATTATATATATAGTCGATGAGAAAGCCAATCAGCCATGCTTTCGCAATGTCCCATTTGATGGACTATGAGCCGTATGTGGACTCAACTTCAAAGTTTTTCACTTCCAGACTTACGGAACTCTATGCGAATACTGGAGATATATGTGATTTGGGGGAATGGTTGCAATATTACGCATTCGATGTTATTGGAGAGCTTACATATTCGAAGCGGTTGGGATTTCTTGATCGAGCGAAGGATGTAGATGGCATCATGAGGTCAATTGATAAGTCTTTTGACTACGCGGGTGTTGTATGTGACCTTTTCGATTGATATTCTTAGTCAAGAAAGACTTTAACTAACACAAAACAAACCTAGGTCGGTCAAATGCCTTGGTTGGATACATTATTAGAAAAGAACCCCATCTGGAATTACTTCAATCCTCCCACTTCAGCAGTTGCAGCGTTCACCCTTGATTGTATGGCTGAACGCATGGTAGAGCCTGATCTCAAGAAACCTGAACAGCAGCGTGAGATGGAGAAAGGCAATTTACGAAAACAAGATATGCTTGCGAGAATGATCGAAGCACATAAGGCTGACCCAGAAAAGGTTACCCCAGCTCACATTCTTGGCTGGGCCAGCAGCAACACATACGCTGGTTCAGATACAACAGCAATCTCCTTGCGTGCATTATTCTATCACCTTCTCAAGAATCCTGGCTCAATGGAAAAACTTCTTTCTGAAATAAGCAGCTTTGAAGGATTAAGCAATCCTGTTAGTTGGACTGAAGCAAGGAAAATGCCATATCTTGAGGCGTGCATCAAAGAAGCTCTAAGAATCCACCCGGCTCCATCGATGCTCCTTGAACGAGTTGTGCCAAAAGGTGGTAAGGATATCTGTGGCAGGTTTTTTGGAGAGGGCACCATTGTTGGAATAAATCCTTGGGTTGTTCAAAGGGATAAAGATGTTTATGGTGCCGATGCAGAGCTCTGGCGACCAGAAAGATGGTTGGAGGCAGGCGAGATATCAAGGAAGAGAATGGATAGAACTGCTTTTGCGGTATGTTTCCCTTATAAGTAGAGAATTGAGTTATTCTCATTTTGGCCATATGGTACTTCGAAAAGCTAAAATTTCCAAACAGTTCGGAGGAGGAAGCAGAGCCTGTATTGGGAAAAACATCTCTTATTTGGAAATGTATAAAGTAATTCCCCAGCTTTTAAGAACCTTTCATGTGAGTGATACCCAGCTTCCTTTTGAAACCCGCCGGAGTCTTGATGGGTATTAGGCCTAGGGATTATCGGCCGTACTGATTTCATGCAGATTGAACTGGCATATCCCGAAAAAGAATGGACGCTACATAACAACTGGATTCACAAGCAATCCGGCTTACTTGTAAAACTCACACAGAAGGGTTTCTAAGCTCCATCCCTATGCTCTGCTGTATGTCAATTATCATATCGTGTTTCTAGATCTACTATGTTGTATGAATCACCCAGCTAGACATTTAGTACTTGGTATCTTGAAATAAATATTCCATCTACATGTAGCTAATGAAATCGCTTCATCATCTGACATAATACCGTGTATTAGGCCGGCTACAGTATTGCTATATATGGTATTACTGTTAGAATACTAGTTTGGCTTCGTATTTGACTCAGCTCTAGTAATTTGTTATCATATTCATTCCTTTGCACCTTTTAAGCAACATATAGCCTAGATATAATTGTGCGGCTAATACTTTCAAGAAATTTCCTGCCTTCCGGCCACGGGATCTATTGGATAGAATTGATGTCCGAGAATCTGACAATCACGACATAAATGAATCTACACAATATGCTACTTTAATTTCATCGGCCAGCTCTTTTTAGCCTGGAAAAAATCGTATTCGCACCAGACGTGTAAAAAAAATGCTGAAACAGCGCTGCATACAAAACGCTAAAACAGTTAACCGACAAAATTCGTATGAACTGCTCCGACGTTCCCCTAATCTTGGCGTCCGACATAAAAATATGCGATCATAAATAGTAATTTACAGAAAAATTGCTTTTGGAAATTCACCGGCAATCACTCAGGAACAGAAGATCGATGTTGTTCAGGAACAGATGATCGCGATCTCACGATGGCTCGCTCGAACCATAGCCATGTCTCAATGCTTAATTGCTAAGCCCTACAGCAGGTACAGCAGGTGTCGCGTACTCATGCATAGAAGTCAGAGTAATCTAGAACTTTGTCGTCTATGTACGGCGCACGATACTCTGGATCCTGCAGTCCCAACACCACGAGAACGGGTATGCACGTCAACAACAGTTAACTTGGTAACTACCCGAAGATCCCTTTGATCTATTGACACTGCACACTCATTTGATTTATTTGAGCAATATTTGACAGTATGAGAGATTACTTAGGCTCCAGATGCCAACCTGAATCTATGTGGAGATGACAAAAGGAGCCTTACAGAACTCAAAGAGTTTCTAGTTTACATATGTGCAGTTGCATACATGATGTACTAGGGTATAGCGAAAAGTGATCAGAATCTGATAAGAAAAATACACGTATTACCGCAGCATTCACTTATCAGATTCTGATCACTTACCCTCAACACCCGGTACACTCTCAAGTGAGAAGTCCGGAGTACATAACTAGATCCGGCCGGATTATCCGAATGGATACACCGGAAGCGACTTTCTGAGCCTCCCCTTGTGGAAGGTTGAGCAGTGGTCAAATATATAGAGAGAGAGAAAGAGAGAAAGGCTTTTAGCGAACGCCCAGCTCCATGCCCCTATCTACCCTAGGCTTGTTTTTTCTGCTTTATGTAGGCACTTTATGTGTGGCAATCAGAAAGCAACAGCCTGCAGAACGTTTTGTTTATTCCATGATCCCTGTCGGACGTTCCGGCCAAAACCTCTGCCTGTTCCGCGGATGAGGTTTAAGCCAGTCCAATTGGCCTTCCTGGATACAGATGTGTCCAGGCTATGGAACTAATCTAGAATCACCCAAATAATCTTAATGGATGCAGCACAAAGGTGTTAATGATATTTTTTTCTTTTCCGGTTGGAATGCTGCCAAGCAACACATCATTGACATCAGCAAGGACTCGGGCAGAGAACTTGTCTGAAGACGAAAGGAGCCCCTAGGACAGTCGGGATGCTTATGTGTGGCCATAATGAGTAACTACATGTGGTAGAGTCTAGAGCATAGGGACCGATGCATTCATGGATTTCAAAAATATGTTTTACCTGTCTAACCAGACATGATGCTAGGGATGATTAATTTTTCCGTTCTTAAAAAAAGACTTATCAAACTTACACATCCAGGTACTCTATGTAGAGTAGTTCTAGAGTAGATAGATCTACTGGCGATTCCATGTGTGTACGTACAAAAAATTCGCGAGGGTGATCTTACAGTAGGTAGCGCCGTAACGCCATTGAGGATCAAATACCAAACTCAACTGAAATTTGAAACCTAGGAAGACTGAGTAATGCACTCGCACTCGTGTCCCATGCTATTGGTACGGCACCAATGTTGCGATATATATTTGGTAAAATCGTGTCCTTTCGTACCGGCTGTAATTTTGAAACCCGTTTGTGCCAGAATGTAGTCTGCAAATATGTGCACTACATAAAACCAGTTTTTCAGCCACTATTCGTGTTCACCGCTACCAGATGTCTCTCACCGCCACTGCCGGAACTAGAGAGCCCCATCCTGGGAACATATAGTAGAGTACTCGTCTATTCATAGCGTTTGTGAACACCACCGCTATTGCATGCCATACAAAAAGGTTGTCTTGGCTATTTTTTGTGTGTATGTAATGCCGGTTGTGTTCACAAACGCTGTGAAAACACGAGTACATATGTAGAAGTACATACATAGGTACCCAAATAACAGGCGAAGGTTGTAGCAAATCACAATTCGTAACAGATAACATGTCTCTAACGATAGTAAGGGGTCCCGGCTCAAAGCTTTGTCCTCTACGCCAAGGCTCGTGTGGGTATGTAAACTTCATGAGCTGGCTTACCTCTTTCGCCCATCGCCATTCAGACTGCATATGCAAAAGCCAATTCCCAAGTGCCTGCAGATTCACTCAATGCCCGTCAACTTGCCTGTACCTACGGTTCGTTTCACGAACAAGACAAAACAAGACGAACTCGGCACTCGATGCCATTGTTTTTCTCACGAGAGCCGAAACAACGAGTTTACAATTGCTCCGTCAGAAATAAGGGCAGGTCAGCTTATTAAAGATACCCAGATGATAAGCGCTTATCAAGAAGCCTTTATCATCAGCAGGGTGCAGGATAACATCACGAGTCTGCAGGGTCACTGTACCTGGTGAATGAGTAGGTAAGAACGCTCCAGTGTCGAATGATATCTGGATACGTTTATGATGAAAAAGAAAGAGTAAGAAAGGCTCACTTACCTACGCCAACACGTATTATTTGGGCGTCTTTACAAGGGATCACCCTTTTTGGGAGAGGGGTAAATGTTGCCAATTAACGGTCTTTGAGAACCAATGCTAACGCAACTATTTAGATATCCTAATGTCGAGGGCATCAAGCACCTGACTTACCCCCGTGCTAGATTATCAAATACCCGGGTCATTCGGAAAAGAAAAGAAATGTCGCTGGCTGACATGTCGACATAAGACATGACGACATGACTTTTCGAGAGGTGGTTTTCCGAGTCTATTCTGCAAAAAAAAAGTGAAGTAGCGGGACTGTGGTTCGGCGACGGCAACAAGCACTTTGCCAGGTGCGGGTTTCAGCGGGCCTCGGCGTTTACATTTCACGCGAACTTCATGCAATGCCGGCGACCCGCGGCTGCATCGGCTGCCTTAGCGGTTTGTTTTCGCAAAACAAAACACATTATCCGGACATGTTTCATCACCATCAGCTTTGGAATGTCAACTGTTCTGGCCGCTGATGGTTGTGTGGTTGCTCGTTCCAGGATCGGAAAGCCTCAACCGTTTTCAGGGCACTTCGATGGTTCTCTGCATCTCACGCGTGAAATATCTTATCTTTCAACACCGTTCAAGGTGAGTGTAGAGGTTATAGATCGCACCAGAAGGTATGTATCGGAGAACTACGAAGGTCTCGGATTTCGGTTGCCAAAGCAGTGGGAGATCTATCTCTGCGGCTGTGTTAAAAGGCACAGTATTTTGGTTGCCCGATTGATTGCTTTTTTTCGACTAATATGACAGGTCAGTTTTCCTCTGCACAACACGAGATAAAATCCGCCTTTTACTAAAGGTCACAGGCGGCAAGACGAAGAATCTATTTTTTCCTGTTTCTTTAAATGCTTTTTCTTGGAGAGACAAACGTTTGCTTTAGCGAAAAGCTTTCCGTGGGGTGATTCCGGCCATACGGTACACACTGACGAGTTACATAGGCTCGGTTTGGAACCCAAGGTTCCCCGCCATATCTCAAACATGTACTCACATGAGAACAAAAAACAGGAAAAGAAAAATAGACCTTCATACGGCACTTGAAATCTACTCTTCTAATAATCGTTGTTTGATATAACGCCAGCCAAAAGCTGGTGGGGTTTTATATACCAACAATACAACATATGGTCACAACTTGTTATCCATTGGACCGTTTTATTCAGGGTTCATAATGACCACGAGGTCAACTCCACGTTAGATAAGTTACCTGAGATTCGGGTTGAAATTTCTGGAGATGTGATATAGGTAGCGGTACTCGTACCCGGAGATCTCTTCCTTTTATCAACTAGAGAAACGATACAGCGGATTTTCAGCCGTTTCAGATGGGGAAGAAAAGACGTCATTTGAGGATGAGGGAAAACACTTTGTCGGTGAAAATCTCCTGCACGCTAAAACCGAAGATCTAAGGTGAAGTGTATGTGTGGAAATGGCGGGGTAGATACTGAGTAAATCTATTGTGCGGGGGTAAAATTTTACTACGGCCGGGTTCATGCGATGGCGAGAAATGTGCGGGCAAATAAAACCAATGCCTTGTCAAACGGCCGGATGCTGTGTGCTGTGTGCGGTGGCTTGATGATTCCCGCCTTTCACAGTAGAGATTTGTCTCTAGCTCGACCAGCACAGTCACGAAACGTTACTTACTTTAACTGGGCAAAGCTAGAAGAATCACAAAAAAAAAAAAAAAAAGGAAACAAATGTCATAACTAATCCGACACCTACTTAACACTGATAGTACTTTTTTTCCCTGGTGGAAGACAACTTCGTTGCCGCTCTAGATGCCCTACAAATACTTCAGGTCAGGGGAAAAAGAAAAAAAATGGACAAAATAGAAAAGAAAAATGGTTGTACTCGAGAGTAAAGTACGGCAATGCGATGTCTGGCGGCGGCAACATGCCTTCTCTACTCGTGTATGTGCTGCACACAAAAGGAATTGATAGAATAGTTTTACTATTCACTAGGACGGCTAACGAGCGCGACTATCTCTTCTCGCCTCGAGTAAAATGCTTAAACCTGTGAGACGCAGTTAGCTAATAAATTTCTTTAGGAGCGCGAATAAATTTTGTTACAAGGCTCTGGGATTAAGTGAGTGAACGGATCCACACCAGTCAACACCCCATTTAGTTCACTCACTTAATGCCAGAGCCTTGTACTATGGTTTATCTAACTTGAATGTCTGGGGCTTTTTGGATGATCTGATCACCAGGGTCCTTCCTCTCTAGACTCTCGCTACCTACTCGACATGATCGTGCAGCAACAAAAGACACCCCCGTCTGGAACTCGGGAAAAGGGTCCAAGAAAATTGGAAACGGGTCTGACACGATTGGCAAGGAGGTTTTTACCGTGAGAAAACCTGGACCATGACTGCGTTTTGTGTCTCCCTTCACCAAACCCTAACCCGCCAGTAGCTTCTAGGGCAGTCCACAAAGATGTGCCACTCTATTATTCACAAGCTACAGCAAGTACAGCATAGTCGGAACCGGGGATTTTCTATGATGAGAAGTTGGACACGGGTCGGCAGTTCAAACTAAAATGGGCAAATATTGCTATTTTGATCATTATCATTCAGAGATTTGCTGTTAAAGTAGGTGCACGATAACCATAACCTCAGTACATATTAGATGTACCTAGTATAACTGGGCTGAAACTTTGTATACTTTTGCTTCATTATTCTCTAAGAACTCTACACTGAATCTGGAGGTTGGAGTAGAAGCAAAATGAGGGGTTGGAAGACGAGAGATCTATGTGTTGCTTCCAAGGAACTTCCTCACCGCTGCGCCCCGAGCCAATCTATCGAAATCGCTGCAAGGGAATATTCCGGCCCCGCATTTTAATACGGTTTTGACGCCAGAAATGAGTGTGGACCTGTGTTTATCGAGTACAGTAGTATCTGATGACACTTTCCACAACATGTTCCCTCTCGTGATTGTGTTTTTCTCGGCGGGGATTGGCCCATTAGCCCGTCAGGTTACAGATTGAATGTCCACTCTACATATTATTATCTTAATACTAAGTGCTATCTCACTAAACGGGATCGGTTAAGCAACAGAAATTCTTTCTTGATTTTCGATTCCCTACTATAGCGTTACTCTACATATTATTATATGTAGAGTCAATTAGTATGCTGAGTAGAAGGCGTAAGCTCAAGCCCCGAAATGGGACCAAATTCCTCGTAGATGCTTTTATGAGCTCTACCTAGGTTAGGTAGTTTTTGGTACGGCGGCTTCTCATGGCTTCGTATCCATATGCTTCCTCACGTCAACGATCTACTCTAGTACTACCTACGGTGACTTAGCTCTAGATGAGCGGATTTTCCATGCCGCCGCTGAACACACGACAGTGAACACACAAGCCCATAAGTACATACATGTCACATCTTACCTTGGCCGCGGAGTTTTGAGCCTTAACAAAAAGAAACCCTCGTCGTCCTGGATACAGGCGACCTCTTTTTAGCTTATTGCTCTCTTGGATAAGCTGACCGACCCATGTTCCATGCGAGTGACACTGTATGTACCTACAGTACTCTAGAGTAGGTACCTATCAATCGACATCTCATTTTCCTGATCAGTTCCGATTAATGGGTACTCTAACTATGAACTGAGGAAGGAGGTACCAGCTAACTAATTCCTCTAGACAAAGAGAAATCGAAAACGGAAATGAAAACACACGTACACAAAAAGAGACTTGATTAATGATGTTATGAAAAAACGTGGATGGGGAGTGGAGGTGGATGGTAGTAAAATCGGCATGAACGACCAAATCCAGAATCCCGGCGCACCGTCGAGCCCTCCATCATCTCGACCGGATTTTATCTTGGTGGTGCTCACTCCATCCGAACTTTTCTCAGTCACCAATCGTTGCAAGATGAACAAAGATACAAGCAGTTTTTTTTTGTAAGAGGCGGGGTCACACATCCATCGCATGGCCGAGAAGGACTTGCGAAGAGCAGCGTGTGGAATATCTGGCGGCAGCGACCAAAAGCCTCTGCACTCGGCTGGCTGGCCTTATGACGACGAACTACAGGGTTCAGCTGGATTTGTGTGCTGCTGATGGACTTTCTCGCCCTCTCTCTTCTCACTCTTCCCCCATTTCCACTCGCCAGGGGTGTGGGCAGAATCTCTAGTGGACGACTACGCGCAGCGGCGCGGGGGGGGGGGGGGGGGAGTGGAGACCAATAGCTCCAACGCCGCCCTTTTCGAGATTTTGTTTCTTTTTGTCATAACAGCGGCCAAAAAAAGCGTGGCGACCAACTAGAAGAGGGAATAATGCTGAGAGCAAACGAGAAACTGATGCTTACAATACCCGTGAAGATAAATACATTTTGTTGGAGCTTTTCGTTGAGAACCAAACCCGTTTTTATTTTTCTGTCTTTGCTTTTGGGTTTAATAACCAACTGAAGAACTTATTTACCGGCTCTTCTCCGTTCGCCCTGTGTCTTGTTTTCCGGCAACCAATGTTCGGTAGAGCAAAGTGGGAGTGGAGATGGTAGACCATAGAGTACATCCTAGGGATGCTTCTGGCGTTCCGGTCGTAGTTGCCTGCCCTGCCAGCCCTTAGGCTTTCCCTTCTCCTTGCAAGTCCTTACTTTAGTTCTTAGTCCCCCCCTCCCCGTTGACCTCGATCCTGCCCCCCCACCTTCACCGAATCATAATTAAACTGTGCACTGCGCTGGGCTTGGAATCTGTCTTGCTCCCCTTAAATTCGTCTCCTGTCCGCGTTCCCCTTGCTTCCAAGAAAGTCAGGAAACTCCCGGACTCTCACCCTTTTTCGCAAGCTTACCACTATTCGTTCGTTCCCTTGCGGCTCTCGGCTGTAGCCAAGATAATTCGAACCCTTTGTTGTTGTTCGTTTATCGGCAGGCAGTGCTTTTAACATACGCCTCTCCCATTTGAAGAACGTCTCTCCCCTCTGATCTGAAGCGAGACTCGAATCTTTAGCCTGCTTGTCTTCGCCCGTACCTCTTCTACTTGGGCTTCATTGATATTTCCATCATGGCGCATATAGAGCTATAACCAACGCCTCCTGTCGAGACGACTCCTCCTGATTGAGGCTTCTGCTTTGATATCCCCATATATTTTCTGAAATCCCCCCACGCCTACTTTCTGCCATTCGTTGGATCCTGTCCATCTCGATCGACACGAACACGCAACTTGACACACCCACTACCACACTGTATAAATCTTTCCCGGTTCCCACAAGCTGTGAATAGGGCTGTTCAGGATTTTCGAATTATTTCTTACCTTCAGCATCGATACATATATCCGTCATTCAGCACTCAGACTTTTATCTATCTCATTCCGATAAGCATCCCGGTGTCCTACTACAGCACAGCCCGGCTCTTTCTTGGGTTACCACATTACATCAGGTTTATCCGGCACAGTCAGTGTGATCTTGTAGTATTTTCCACAGCAGATCACGTAATCAAGAATTCTTTCAGCCATATAATCCCACATTCGCCTTCACCATGCCAGAACACAGATACACCGCTTTCGTCCCACAACTACTCCTGCAAATGCAGAACCTTCTCACTTCGAATGCGACAAATCTTCCATCATCGTGCGACGAAGAGCTCGCGGACGAAGCAGATGAGCCCCCGGATTTACAGTACCCGTATCATTCCGAGGGTAGAGAGTTCATTAAGCACACAGTTCGCCACACACATACTACAGAATCACTTCTCACACGCGCACTCCTCACCACCCCCGAGTCGATTCCTGTAAATCGGTATCGAGGAAACCTCAAGAGAGGCATGTCCACTGATTCAACTTGGAGCAACACCAGCATCTCGACAGCGGACCTGACAAGCGATGAGGGCATGACCAGTCCTTCTCGCTGTAGCACTCCAAGTCCACCACCGCCCCTTTTCTTTCAGGGATTTGCCAACCTACTCCTCAGCAAAAAGGACCAGATGGAAACAAAGGAGCAAAAGGTTGAGGTTGTTGGTGAGGCTGTCGAGAGTTCGGGAAGAAAGAGATGCATCACATTTGCATGTTCAGACAAGCTTACTCCCCAGAAGCCCACACCAGTACGACCAGCACCGACAGAGGCGTCAGGGACCGATTCAGATGCTGCCCCCAAGAAAGGCTGCATGTTGAAGTTCGTATGTGCCCAACGTGGAGAGGATGAAAAAAAGACTACAATCCGCTCCCCGCCGCCCCGGTCAGCCTATGGGCCGAGTTGTACTAGCCCATTCGCGCAGAAGGCATCTGTCCTGCCATCATCCATCCCGAAACGTTCCACAAACTTCCCAGATAAGTTTTACGAGTTTGCCAGCTCAGTCGATGATAGATCTGACTCTTGGACGAATCAACCCATTGACAAAAGTCGTCTCCTGAAGGTTGATGACTTATTGAAGAAGGAGTTGGACATTCGAAAGTTGAGTCAAGAGGCAGAGGAGGAGGCGCTGGAGGAGGAGGAGGCAGAGCAAGACTTGGAGGATGCGGACCAGGATGAGGATGAGGATGATGAGGGTGAGGAGGAGATGGACGATGAGTACGATGATGAGTATGATGAAGATCACGACGCATTGAGTGGGAATGAAAGCGATAACGAAGAGGGGTTTGCTTCAGACGACGACGATGATGATGATCAATTTTTCAATTACGGATCCAGACCCATCACGATGTCCCCGCAGATCAATCGCCCTCTTTGTTGCCGTACTTCATCTGGGTCTTCCATCGAATCAATGATGAGGCCTCGCATCACCCCTCCTCTCGAGCGTCGTCCTCGCACTCCTGAGTTGCCTGATAGTACCGATTTTGTTTGTGGTACTTTTGACGAAGACAAACCGCTCGAAGAGGCGTATGTTTCGTGTATGGAGGAACGGAAGCGCTCAAAGCATATCCCCACCCCTCAAGACATTGATCCTAGTTTTCCAACTTCCGATCCGGAGCTTTCGGAAGATGAGGATCATTCCAAATCTAATGAGAGTGAGGCTGGCTTTCGCTTCAAGACCAATTGGAGTGGAAGTTCAGTTGAGGGCAACCGAAGAAGGGGTCGACGCAATGAGAAAGTTCACCCGACTCGGAAGAATATGTCTCCTGCTCCTGTAATGAAGAATAGGGCTCATTCACCTGCACCTGTTCGACGTACTGCCGCTCATTCACCGGCGCCGGTACGTCGGATTCAGTCTCCACCACCACCTAAGCATCGTCCTACGATGAACTTCCAGTCGCAACCGGGTATCTACCGGACTAAGTCTCTCCCGCGCATTCCTGGGTTCTTGCACCGCAAGTGTAGTCGCACCACATCTACCGGAACCTCACCTAATACCTCTGCTGTTAGTCCTGTCATCAGGCGTCGGGGTGCCATTGATATCGTCAAAGGTTTGGAGAAGAAGCGAGAGAGAAGGCAACGTCTCTGTAGAGTGAGAGACGGTGATTGCCGCGCTGGGCAAGGAGTTGAGAAAATGAGGGAGCTTGGATTAGAGATCTGTGGTAAAGGGAAAGGCAGGACACAGGCGCAGTGGGTAATTTCTGCTTGACCTGGCCATTTTAGTTCATTTTATTACTCTATCTACATCTCTTCATCCAAAAGGATTCTTTAATTCTGTGCCGATTTTCAATTATTTTCTTCTAGCGGGGCTTACTGTTTCTTTCGAAAGTTACATTCCCACCATGGGCAGTTTTTTTTTTAAAGCCCTTTGTAAAGAACCTGCTCCTTTCCTGTAAATATTTGGTACGATTAGACATGATGGGAATCATTTTTGTTATTTTTATGTTCTTTCGTTTTCTTCGCCTCATCATGATGACACGACGGGTACATTCCTTCTTTTTTAGCGGGTGGTTTATTTGTAGCATTTTTTTTTCTATTATTTTTTTTCCTCTAAAAGATGGGCTGGGTTCTGGAATGGTATTGGAAAAGGGGTGGTTTCTTGTCTTGTCTACGAGCAGAGTCTTCGAGAATAGGATCGAAAATAGGAATCAATCAAATCAAAGAGCGAAGTTTTCCCCTAGAAAATGATCGAATCTCGGTGGCGTTTCTTCCGGCACAACTTGTGGAGGGATGAAAATAGGGTATTGGCCAGTTTTTTTGGCCTGGTCGGTGGATTTGCACATTGCATGGCAATAGGTACTTTGGTTCGTGAGTGAGTTGGCGAATTTTGGTTGCGGCGTTACTGGTTTGTGGCCCGAACTCGAATCCCGGAATAGAAGTGGCTTGTGACACACATTCACGTTCCGGACACCTTTGCTTGTTGCTCTGCAGGCTCCTTTCTAAGCTCGCCTCTCTGTTCTCTCAACCACCACCGTACCCTCAACGCTTAAGATACGATCAATCGATATTTTACAGCCCTACACATCTACGTACAACAGAACCTCGCATAGTAGCATTACTCGTTTTATTACCTATCAGCATGTGGATTGTAAACTGGTGTAAGCAAATCTTGTTGCCTTCCACAATTGAAAGCTGTCCTGATCGTCTGACATTGTGGTAGTTTGGGATGTTCTCGCATCTTTTGGGCTCACGAACAAGCATGCAAAGCTTCTTTTCCTCGGGTTGGACAATGCCGGAAAGACGACCCTGCTCCACATGTTGAAGGTTTTTAGCCCTTGGACAATATTCTACGGTGGCCGAGTGTTCTGGAAAGAGAGAAACTGACGTTAGGTGACGGTGCCTAGAACGATCGTGTAGCTATCATGCAACCGACCTTACATCCTAGTGAGTAGATTTCCCTCTTATTCATACTCCAGGATTGATCGCTGACAGTTTTGATCAGCCTCGGAGGAGTTGGCCATCGGTAACGTTAAGTTCACAACATTTGATTTGGGTGGACATCAACAAGGTAATTATAAATCTCCCTTTATATTTTTTTTTGCGCGATTGGGAGTCGCAGTTTTGCACCCCCTTCCTCGTTTCCCCGGAATTGCTGTTGTCGACTTTACTTTTTTCTTGGTTCGGGTGTCATACTTGAATGACGTTCCGGTTATTTCTTGTATTCCTTGTCGCGCCCTGCGGCTCAAACTTGGTTCGCGATGAAGTGATAATATATTGTCATCATTATCACCACAGTTCTTATCAACACAGCCCTTCTACTTTTTCACCCTGATGCGCTATTACATCATTTTCGATTCTTTCCACTGACGATCGTTCTTTTTTATAGCCCGACGTCTCTGGAAAGACTATTTCCCAGAAGTGTCTGGGATTGTATTTCTCGTTGATGCCAAAGACCATGAGCGACTTGCAGAATCTAAGGCCGAGCTTGACGCTCTTCTTTCCATGGAGGACCTGTCTAAGGTTCCATTCTTGATCCTTGGTAATAAGATCGATCATCCAGAGGCCATCTCCGAGGATGATTTGAGACACCAGTTAGGACTGTATCAGACCACTGGCAAGGGCAAGATCCCATTGGAGGGAATAAGACCTATTGAAGTCTTCATGTGCTCAGTTGTTATGAGGCAAGGTATGCTTACCACATCCTATCTGGATTTCTAAGACCTAAATCTTTACTGATATCTGCGGAAAATAGGGTATGGAGAGGGATTTAGATGGATGTCCCAATACGTTTAAATTCAATCGGGAAAGAAAGTGCGATGAGGATCCCAAGATTAAAGAACGGTCAGGCGATGAACAAAATATCTTCGATTCATTCTGCTAAACCGTTATGTTACGCGGATATGTGGAAAAAGAAGTGAAGCCAGTTACACGATATCTGAGGGGGCTACTACGTCGATTTCCTTTGTTTTTAAATACTTTTAGTTTCCAATTCTTTATTAGGCCAGGAGTAAATGCGTTATTCCAAGCTTGTCTCTCCTGTTGGAGTCTCTCGTTTTGTTTTGTTTTCCGCGCGTCTAATAAATGAAGTGTTCAATTTCACGACGGTGGCATACAAAACAGCCGAATGCAACTTTATCTAAGTTTTGAATCATCATTGATAATTCTGCTGGAGAGTTACTAAGCTCATGCCAATGATGATAGTACAAGTAATATAGCACACCTCGACGAAAGCCAACATGTTGGTTATTCGGGGGTTTTATACACTTTTTTACTCCAGCTATAGTTAACTTTCAAAAAATGGTGCATATGCGAGTACCCCTCATCCACCTTGCATGGGATTATGATTCAATTCCGATCTGCCTAGTAATCTTCTTTACAAGCGCTCGTAAGTTAAATTGCTCCCGGGCCAATGTTCGTGTGTGCTGTTTTCCACTAATTAGCTCCCGTTACTAGACATGCAGGGTGAACCATGGTAAAGAACCTTTAAAAATACGTCCAATGAAATCCTTTCCTTGTCCAAGGCTTTCCCAAGAACATATATCGTGTCTTCAATCGCCATGTCTTCCGTTACAAGATCATATAGCCTAAAGGAATCATTATCAGTAATTTTCACTTGCAAGGCTTATCCATCCATAACGTACTGAGTGTGCACAACCGTCGGTGCGACCACGACCGTATCAACCCCGGGCAATTCCCTCGACTCAGCGTCCTTGATAACTTCACCTGCCATTGCTACACGCTCTTTCAATATATCCGCATCTTTATCGCATAGCTCCATGATCCTTGCCAGTTCTGCTCTCTCTCTTTCCATGCTTGACTCTGCTCTTAGTATAGCTTCGCATTGAGCGGCAGCCTGCTCAAGTGATACGTGCATCTTCGCATGATGCGCTTCGGCTCGTGCTTGTAGTGCCTTTATGATCTCTTGTATAAGACGATCCTTTTCAGGGTTAGGAGGAAGAGGTGGCGGCGCGGCCGAAGGCGCCAGAGGAGCTATCTCAGTAGGTGGAAGGGACATAATATCGATTGCTTCTGGTCGCTTTGGGGGTATACGAGGTTTAGGTTGCTGCTGTTGCTGCTGTTGCTGCTGGCGCTGCTGGTGCTGCTGGTGCATTGAATAACTCTGAGGGTGGGGGGAATGGGGAAATCCGTTGAATGATACTGGTCGTACAGATGGGCTGCTAGGGAAACGACCAGATGGCGGGACATTTTGATGGGGCGGCGGAGTTGAGCGTGCAGACAGAGCTGGGCCTGAGCCTGGGGAATTTGGGAGGGGGGCTATTTGGTGATATGTCTGTGGGTGATGATATGGAGTTTGTGCATGGGCCCGATTGTACTGTGACGTCTGCTGTTGCTGGGAGACTGGCGATGATTCCTCTGACCTATGAGGGGCTGGAGGTAGAGGTGGTGGAGGAGGGCCTTGATCTTGATAACTAGGGAGAGAACCGCCCCTTGGGCTCTCATTTCTAGGCCAGCCTTGTTGTTGGTGTTGTTGCTGCGGTTGCGGATGAACATATAGTTGCTGGGGTTGGGGATGCGGAGGTATCGGTGGAGGTGATTGTTGATGTTGGTTTTGGTATTCTGCATGGCTCACCTGCTGCTGTTGCACTGAGGGCGTACCCCCAGAAAGCTCCCTCGGCAATGGCGGCAATGGGGGAGGAACAGCAGCTTGCGCATGATTCGGGGGGGTAGCCGGTGGGCCTGTTCCAAGCCCCGGGGGTAACGGCGGCAATGGGGGTGGTGTTTCGTTTCTAGTCTGAGGTCCTGGCGTGTTCTGCTGCTGCCTTGCATATACAGGTGGTTCTCTACCGAACACCTGGCGTAGGACTTCCAGGAGATCTACGATAGTTGATCTCTATCCCAGTCAGCACTGATATTGGTAATGATCAGATATAAGATTCGTTTCCAAACACACATCAGAGTAGTTGACCCAATTGGCCAAATATGGGTGATAGCACCGTCCGCTCGGGTCGACATGGTTTCCTGGGCGGATGAGCATATCTCTTGTTGGATTTACAAACACCATCGGTGGCTGCTTAGGGTACTCGTGTAGTAGCCATATCTTCAGCGGAATTTGGTATGTAGCGCCGCGGAAAGTGACTGGGAGTGTTCCAACAAGATTGAGAAGCAATTGAGAACGACCATCTTCGTGGGCTATTCATTTTAATCATAAATTAGCCGGTGATAATGTTTTTGTATTAGAGGCTAACCAGAAACTTACTATAAACATCTGTACGAGGCGATAATGTCGGAAACTGGTAAAGAGTTGCAGCGACATTGTGGTAGGTCAGATGTGTGTCATGATATTCCTGTGGGGTTTACACAGTTAGTGCAGGAGCTTCAAGAGCTCTAGAAGAAAGATAAAACATACGGGCTGTATAACTCTATGTATCCACTGCTGAACCTGGGGGTTCAAGGGGGTCCCAACAGGCGATGTAGCCATCTTGATAGTTAACGTGGGGAGGTGGGGTCCTATCGGCCCATAGAAGTTTAGTAGTTCGTAGTAACAGGGTGGAGCTCGATAACCGAAAAAAATGATACCGTTGGTGAGCTCCGGCTGCAGCAACCCAGAAGTAGAAATTTATCTCCACGAGGCTGAAGCCGAACGAACGATGGTGCTGGCCGTGAGGTTACTCGAACACAAGTGGTAAGTCGCCAAGGCCAATATCTGTGTCCTGCATCACGAGGTACTATCTTATCTTGATGATCTATTACTAAATATCTGAACCCTATGAGACTACGACCAAGCACGTGGCATGTCTATTAAACTTATCCACGAATGATTACTCTACCCTAGATGGATTAGATTGGAGCCTCTACTTATATGTATGTAGCTGTTTTCTAAAGCGGGTTTATGCAGACATGCTTTGGACCGGTGCTCTAAAGGAGATGGACATGCAGTTGGTTCTCTTGGGTTGGGTGATATATCACTCCAAGCTGTTAACCACAGAATTATTGACCAGGCTGGCTGAGCCTCCGAGATGAACGATGAATCGGGGCGCAAAATCCACTCATCACAACAAACCTCCCAATCTCATGGTTTTCATATATCAGTCCCTGATGCCACGACATTGATATTGGCATTGGCAACGAACATGGAGATGTGAATCGATCTCTTGCAGCTCAATTTATCCGGAAGGGAATATATATGTTTTACATAACCCATATATTTGCCCCCTTCACAGGATCACAGTGTGACCAGCAAATCGTGCTAGGTTGGTGAGGACAAAAGCAGCATGAGATGATACCTACCATACTGGAACTTCCCGGTCCTTAAATAGGGAGATCGGGATTTTTTCGTCCGATCTTCGATCAGTGTGTCCGAGAAAGCCGTCTTGTCGTGTTGTTGAGGAAGACTAGGAGGTAGCAGTACTTACTCGAACCTGTATGCAGGGAAGGGAGCGGCAAATTTTTACGGGGTATTTTCTACAGCGCGGAACGTGGTTTTTCTCGATCTCAAGCCCGAGTTGTACGTGTCAAAGATACGTCGAGTCATTTCTAACTGTTCCGGGAACGTCCGTATCTTATTTCCTCTCACTTTCTGTCTCTCTTCATCTCTTGTGACAAACTGTAGTGAACCACATGATATACTGTATGTGCTGTAATGATAAAGGATCCTCACTTTGCTTTTTTCGAATATTGATATTATTTTTTTCAAAACCAACTAAATGCTAATCATTGTAGGTACATCGCGGTCTGCTTCAAGTACTAAGTCAAGGAGGATTCCATCCATGTCGTGTTTCAGACCTGTAATTGTCACAACGACGGTCAAGAATGCCGTTGACATGCATGCTAACAGCTCAGATTGAACATCCTCGCATATGCCCGCATAGAATATGCACCAGGCTTCTGACTGCTCAGATTAACATCTTTGCACAAGCCCGCCCAGCTGTATTACCAGGCCGTCATGGAGTATGTCCGCACGTGCCCGCTCACCACATATAAACTCACATTGCTGGGAATGTCTATGGCACATGCTAGTCAATTAAGTTCCTATTCTGACGCCCATACGTTAGTACCCTTGATACCAAAGTTAAAACAATATTATACAAATAACCAAGTGAACAAAAACTTTCAGTACCCCTGCTACATCGTCATCGTGTCCCCGACCAGAGAGTTTTCGAGGCTCCCCTTAAAGTGTCGAGACACTAAGACTCTTCCTATCACGTATTTGCAAGATCTCATCATCGAAAAGGGAGAAATGAAGGGAATTGGGGGTTCATATTAGGGAAATTGTAGTCTTACCTATAGTGATGTGTTACAGTACACATAAAGATAAAGATGCTCATCGCCTTGTATGGCGTGTAGCACTCGGGTTGTTGCTGCTATGCTATCGAGTCTGTCAGTTCCTATTTGGGCTTGTTCGTGTTGTTTCGTGTTGTTATGATGGGCGACGAAAAAAAATTCATTTAAGGGTCCAATGTCTTGGCACTGAATGTTAAACCCTAAACCCTTGTGCATATAATGACGTCACTTGGTGGTTCCTGACAAAATGATCTTGATGAATTATAAAAAATAGTTTATAAACCCCCGGATACACTCACCGTAGAATCTAATACATACAGAGAAAAGAAGTGATAAGTAAAGGACAGGGAGTAACACCCAGCCTATGGTGAAAAAAATGAGAAAAGTGGTGCGAAATCCTCAAACCAAAAATAATAAGAAACCAATCAAGAAAAAAAGAGAGAAAAAACAGCTTATGGCTCCTGCTAACTTTGCGCAACGAATGTCTAGAGTTAAGGAAAGAAGATAAATCAAGTTGATGCTTGGAACTTGTTGAACCACCCATATCACATCATACTCCCCAGACCTCCCTGTCCCCTTAGTTCACCCTGACATAATTTCCTGGGAATTGGCCCTGTCGTCCGTGTAGTTTTCCCGTCCACCACTCGTTTTCGTTATTTGTCCTTTGCACAATTTCGATGATGTCCCCAGCACTGAAGGATAAATCACCTTCCGCTTGTGCTTCAAAATCGTAAAGAGCGGTCGCCCTTTCAACATTTGCACTAAGACTCTTTGGCTTTGGTCGAGGTGGCGGCGGCGCAGGCTTCTTTTTCGCCGCTATAGAGTAGTTTGTACCCGTGGAATTGCTCCTTCCAACACCGGTTACACCAGGGCTTAAAAGGCCTCCCTTCTCCATAGATGTGTCAGGCACCCCGGTGGAGGTGTATGGTGGCGGGGGGGTGCTAGTTTCGCCATCGCCGGAGGGGCGAGTGATATCTAGAGAGGCTGTCCGTCGTCCGCCCGTAATGCTACCGCTGTCGGATTTATTTCCAAATTTGTTGAATTTAGCGTTTAGTTTTGTGCGCCCTCCAGTCGTTCTGAAATGCACAATCGTAAGAGCTTCGGCCCGTTCCTGCACATCCCCGCGCTTCTTATTGAAAGCCTCCTCTACCTCGAGGGTTAGATCGAAGTAGCCAATATTAATACCCTGCATTCTCTCGTGCAGAGTGTAGAAAACATTTAGTTGCATGTAATAGAAGCTCTGAAATAGCGGTCGGATAAACTCTCTCTCAAGCGCAAAGAGCTTCGGAAGTTCAGCTTTGAGTAGATCATTGTAGTAATTAAATTCCTGGGTCGCCAATTCGACGTCGTTTTCTGCCTTATATAATGCCTTTTCATCTTTGAGCGTTTTATCTTTCTTGTCTTGAAGCTTTTTCAAAGATGCCCGGTGTCGGTCGTAATCCAACTGCTTATGATCGCGCTTCGAAGCCACCTTTCGAATCAATTTGATGATTTCCGTCAACTCATCGGCGGGGCGGATAACTCGGGTCTCGATCATCTCAAGCTCAGGCGCCAGCGTGGACTTAAGATCGTGTACGATGGCTTCATATTCTTCGCAGGCGCGAATACCTTCTGGATTACCTTCGATCTTCATAGAGTCTGGGTCGGACATGCGCCCAGAGATAGGTTTGTATATTTCAGCTATAGATTTTGAGAATTCGATTTGATGATCCAGCATGCCTATATTGTTATTAGTATGATCAACTTCAATTATTGCCCATATTATCAGTACCGTTTATCGCATCAAAATATCTACACTAGTTAGCAATGTTCGGGTTATATGGAAGCTATCTAACTTACTTCTTTGACTCGTCATGGAGCTTCTTTGTTTCCTGTAACACCCCCGCACACCTCAGCACCATCCACTGCATGCTCGTGAAATCATACAACATACCTTTTCGAGCTCCGCAAAACGTCTTTCCGCGTCTTGATATACAGGATCCTTCGTAATTTCTCCCTATAACCCCCCAAGTTCCTGTGAGCATAGTTTCAAACCATTATGGTGCTTATGCATGTATGTGAAAAGTTTCTTGATGCGCCATACCATATTGAACTTCTGCTTAATGGATTGAGGTGCCTGCAAAATAACTCCCAGTTAGTTCTGTTTTCCCAAATAGAGCTCACGGGAGCCAGAGCGACCGAGAACGAAAACAAGGTTACGCACCCTCACGACACCTCGCTGAAATCCTTTCCAACTCATGATGTCTGTATCTATGTGGTAGTGTGGTAATAAACCTATGGGGAAGCGAGCTATTCGGTATCTTTTGAAAATTGGCAAAAGGGCGGTACACTGTGTAAAGATGAAGAGGATGAGGAGGAGTAAAGTGATGGAGTGAGTGAACACGGAGAAGCGGGTTCCCGAGCGACGTTTGTAAGAACAGTGAAGTCGCTGTTCTCGGACCCGGGGACCCCCGCCAATGACGAAAGCAGCGGCGAAGCCTTGTCCTGAACTGATCTTCCTACTGTTAGGGTCTAAGCCGCAGCAACGCACGTAAGCTATCCATCATGTGCGACAGAATTTGGAACATTCCTCTGTCAAAACCACCATCTTGAGCCTCTCTGCTTCCAAGACGTTTTTTTTTTTTCTTCTTTACGCGTACTCTAGGAATACGTACATATTGAGGCGGTGCAGCACTATTTACTCACAGTACCCCGCTCTACCTTTAGGCCAAGAAGACAAGACAGCTTACTCGGGCTTCCATCACTTGCGTCCTTCTACTAAATAAGTACCATCTAGCTTGTTTGAGAAGAGTGCCTCGGTTTTGTCTGCGCCCTGTCTTCAACTCGGCATCTCCAAGACTTTCCTATGAGGAATTCCCGAGTTACCCGGGGGACCGAGTTGCTGTGCATCCGAATTCCGTTAGAATACACAACCACTAAGAGAATTCTAGAAAGGTACCAGAAGGTTGAAATAAGAAGTGGCAAAGCCGGGAACCAAACTCTCCTCAGTCAAGCACTTTAACCGTACCATGGAGTACCTTATTCGGACATCATTAGGTGGACTAGCCGGGTGAGAAATGAGATTGTTGGTAAGAAATGCGGTCCAGGGTTTCCAAGCCATTGATTGCTCTTGCCTTGCGGATCAACTGGTATTGAACAAGCCAAGAGCTATATTGACTAGGGGCGGAAATCGAGATCGGTACAGAGGATAGAGCAGTGTAGGCCGGAGCACTGAACCCTCATTCATACCGAGGAAGCCTCCCAGAGCAACTAGCTCAGAAAGTAGCTACAGATCACGGCCTGCTCAAAGGACGCATCCACTGATGTCGTTGCATAAGTGGAAGGTTTACAAGACGCCCTTCCTAATGAGCGCACATTCTTTGGTCTGCTCACAGAGAATTACTCTATTCGGGAATATCATTTTTTTTTCTCAATCACATGGTTGAAAATGCCCTTGCATGTACTAGTTCGCATCAAAGCCCGTCTTTTGTGGAGCTTCTAGTACCACGATGTCCTACACCATAGGAGTATAGAAAACGATGCCGCCCCCTGTACCAGCGCACACATTTTACCAATACTAGTAGGAACACATAACGTCTAAAAAGGGGCCTCTGACTTAGTAGAAATCCAGGCTTCATTATATATTATTCATCCGCTCATCTTTGTGCTTCAGGAAACGAGTGATTTCTAATGACTAAAGGACGTTTCTTTGGGAGACAGAACCCAGCTCCGATGAAAACCATGAGAAACAAGTGGCTCACAGGTTCAGCCGCCAAGTAGGATAATACGTTCAATGGATTTTTCAATCCGCCCTGGACCTTTGAAATCTATAGACACTTTGCAAAAAGCGTTCGTGATATGATCAACAGGAGACTTATCAATTACATCAATGGAATGGCCGATCGTATAGTATAAAAAGCGGTTCTATCCTGCAAAAAGATACTCGTGACCATGTTGTTTGGTCACCAACATATATCACTGCTCTAGCCCCCAGGAGTCGACAGACATGATTGCCAAGGATATAATCAAAGCTTCACTGGCTTTGGTAATTATAAGAAGGAAAAAACAAAAAGGGAAAACATCGCCTTAAGTTACTACTAAAACTAAGGGAACTTAGTAGCCGGAGACTAAACGGCTAGCAAAAAAAGAAGTATATCCTCTCTAAAGCATGGAGTATTTGGAAAATGATTGGAGGAGATTATAAAGCTGTGCTATATACCCCACTCCCACTGCAGGCCCCAACCCCTTGTCTTGCTTTCCTTTTTCAGTACATATTTTCAAGGCATGAGATTATATCGATCACTTTCCCTTATGCTGTGCGTAAAAAATGGGCGAGTGATCTTTTATGATCCACTTTGTTCTGGGTTTTCATGGACATTTCTTTGTTCGTATTGTGGGTTGGACCCTTTGCGGGTTCTAACACAGCAGCATTTGTGACGACGTTTATAACGGGCCACTCCATCTAGGAAAAACGCGTGGACTATGCGTAGCAATGAGCAATTTCGAGGAAATAATTATGGGTTAAAGCTTTCCGGGCTTGAAGCGCAATATCCAGAGAAGCTTCTAGCTAGGCATATGGTACCACGATAACCCCCAAAGTTGCTTATATGGGGGCCATTATATCTTTATATGTTTTACAAAAAAAAAAAAAAAAAAAAAAAATACGAGATGAACTGTACTCGCGCGTTAATTAAGTCCTGAGAATTTTGTGAGGTCGTTGCTACCAAGAATTCTCGGAACTTGATTAACGCATGAGTACAGACTTCTGAAAACAGCTCATCTTGAATTCCACGCCCTTCTCTCCAGGAAAAATAAAAATAAAAAAATACGTCATATCATATATTTCTATCGATATTCAGGAACGTTTAAACCCAATACATAACCTCAGGTGAAAGCTCTTGCTCTTGCTCCAATTAAACTCATAAACCAGATACAGAGGCAAATCCCTGCCGAATCTGTGAAGGCACAGCACCCTGAGGTTACTTTGCAACCAACAAGGGTGATGATCAACAATAGGTAACACCGAAAAGCAGCAACACCTAACGCCGATAGTAAAACATCTCCGAAAGACTAGCGCCGATCATGGGAAATGGCTCGGTGGTTTGTAGTGATGGTATGTCATGATATGATTCTACATGCAATGTATCCATGGAAAATATCTCTAAAGTAGGGAAATCAAGGTATTGATATGGGACTGGAAGGAAAATAAATACCGACTATATCGCACTTGTATTAGAGTGCTCGGATAGTTCAGTATCAGACATCTTCAGCAAGCTTCAATATCAAGCCTTTTCTACAAACCTTAATACCAAACTCATCTACCTCTTCCAACACAAAAGCATCTTCAAACACAAATAAACATGTCCGCCCCAAAAGTCTGGCTCGTCACTGGTACCTCTTCTGGCCTCGGCTTTGACCTTGCCAAACACATCCTCTCCAAAGGTGACCGCGTGATCGCCGCTGGCCGCAACCCTTCCCGCCTCACCGCCCTCAAAGAAGCCGGTGCTGCAACCCTCAAGATCGACCAGAACGAACCATTAGACGCCATCAAGAAGTCTGTCGAGGAGGCGATTGCCGTCTATGGCCATATCGATATCTTTGTTCTGAACGCGGCCTGGGTTGCCTGTGGGACGATTGAGGAGCGCACGTAGGTTTCTTATATTTATTGTTTTATGGGCTGTAATATTAAAGCTAATATATGGTGAGGTATATAGACCTGAGGAAACACTGGCGCAGTATCATACCAATGTGTTTGGTGTGCTTAACCTTTGGAGGGCAATTCTGCCACACATGAGGGCTCGCAAGGCCGGGATTATCGCGACAGTGGGGAGTATGGGGGCTTCGAAGTTTGACCCTCTTATTGGAATCTATCATTCGTCTAAGGCTGCAATTAGGAGTAAGTACTCTCTTGTCCTGATTTAGTTTTACCTTCCATACTAACCTTCGCCCCCGTAGACCTCTCCCTCACACTTGATAACGAGATCTCGCCCTTCGGCATCAAAACCTGCCTCATCGAGCCCGGCTACTTCCGCACCAACCTCCTCACCGGCGGCGAGTCCATCATACTCCCCAGCACAACTATCGAGAAGTACCGTGAGATCAACGAGTCTGTCAAGGGGTTCTTAGCACAGCGAGACGGCAAGCAGCTGGGCGACCCGAAACGGGGAGCGACTGTCATGTATGACGTGCTCACGAGCACTGGCATTGCGGCGGGCAGGGAGATGCCGAAGACACTGGCGCTGGGTAGCGATACGGTCGAGCTGGTGACGAGGGAGAACAATGAATTTAATAAGAGGTTGGCAGAGTGGGCGAGTGTTAGTGCAAGCACGGATTTTCCTCCGAGTGAGAGGTTTTATTAGTGCAGTTGCTTGTGTTAGATAAGGATTTATTGTGAGTGTAGTTTTAGTTGGAAAACGAATTGAATAGGCTGTTGGATTAAATGATTGTTTATTTAGTAAGTGAATCAAATTAAGCTGTGTGCGAGGAAACTCTTGACCCGGCTCTTGAATAATAAACCTTCTACGGTGGTTATGGTTGGGGACACCTTGAGCCGGAGTGTCAAAGTTGCCGAACTTCGAGGCCTAATGCCAACCACCACAACACATTAAAATTAAAATAGCTCTGTAGAGTAATAGAGAAGGAGATAAATAACATTGTAACAGAGCCCAATTAATTTATCTGTTGTGGTTGTTGAGCTATTGAATTTTTAAAAGTTGGGTTTTTGGTGAGAGGCTGACCGAATGTCGCACTTCCACACCAATAATTACCCGATTGGGAACAGATCACTGGTGGCTGGCCAATACCTTGGCATAAATCTGCTGTCTTGGCATTTTGGAGCGATTTCGTGCTAAGTAATTACTAGATTAGGAAGATGATCTTCACTGGGGACCAATGTCGCACCCTTCCGTCTCTAGGTATAATCGGTCTCGCTACCTTATTCAACAGTGCTATGGACCTGGTTTTCTTATATTATGGGCCATACCAATTGAAATACTTTGCGAACTTGAATTTTAAGTAGATGCCCTCACCTCACCGTACCAATAATCCCGTAAGACAAGCTACCCTCAGGAAGTATTTGTCGTCTGGAGGGTCTGTAGCCAGACTATACACGCCTCGATGTTAACGCCCCGGATCCTGGCAAGAGGAGAATTTGCTGTTGGTTGGAGTAAGAGTTTTGAGCTTCCTAGGTATATTAGTTCAGTACTTCTCTCGTAGTTGATAATTCCAATGATTGGGGCGTTGATTTCCCGCGAAATAGCTGAGCTTTCAGTACACCCGCAGGAAAGAAGTGAGGAAACAGCGGGTGCAACCCGTCCGAACCCCAATGCAAAATTGGGGATAAAAATGAAAAGAAGTAATATAACTAAACAATAAAATACAGAATAGATACTAGACCGTGTGCACCTGTGCCGAGAATGTACCTGTGCCGAGCATCTTATCTGATCTCTAGGGATCCACTCCAAATGGTGGCTAAAATGCTGCCTTTATTATAAGGTGCTCGGCACAGGTACATGCTCGGCACAGGTGCACACGGTCTATGGCCTCTAAACTATATTCACCACCCCCTATGATCTCCCTAGTCCTTTACTACTGCTGCAATTCTCTTTGGCATGCTATCAATGATTTTTATATACATTTCCCCCAATCCGGCCTTTCCTACTCTTCCCTAGCTTGGGCTTCAATAACTTTTATGTTTTCATTCGGAGTAGCCTCTATCCACTTTCCAGACTTGTCAAAAGGCATGGCCACGGAATACTTGTGGGGTTGTATTGCGGGTGTGGGGATGTCAAGTTGGAGGCACCCGTTGTCACGCTACTCGCTGTTTCCTCACTTTTTTCCTGCGGGTGACATAGATGACTGATTGTAAAGAAGCCAGCTTGGCGAGCACAACAGGTCTACTAGCGGTGCCGGAAACATTATTGATCATGTGATCGGTTGCCTTCACAAATCCAAAGCTTCACACCAATACGAGGGTCACATGATCAATAATGGTTCCGGCATCGCTAGTAGGCCGTATGTCTTGGCATTCATCGAGTGACTTCTCATGAGCGCCCACCTCACGATCATTACGTTCTCTCACACATGCACACAACAGACATACACATCTGCTATAAGCTTAAAGCCAACTACGATAAGCTGCATGCACCTGCCAAACGCCCAAACCAACGTCCAAAGGCCCCGGCTCCCTTCCTGTTGCTACCTAGGCTAGTTGCCAAGCCGCTAGATATCACCCAGCCAAGAGATTTACCCTACCAACTTGAAGACAGGGTTAATATTAAGAAAACAACCTCTCGTAGACCATCAAGGTGTCCAAGATATACCATCGCCAAGAGAAAGAGGAGAAAAATACCTCCCACAAGGTGTCTACTTTTCTACAAGTAACATCTTCTCTCAAGGTACCTACCCGTCTAAACGTGAATAATAGCCGGGTGCGAACAGTGCAGGTAATACTCGCTATAGGATCTTCGGAAATCTTGACCCTATGGGGACTACTTCTGGCACCGTCGAAAACTAACTCATGTCACTCTCCATCTGTTCAATTGGCCCCTCGTTTCTTCGTAGCAATAATCTTGCTTGCTGCGCCGTATGTACCGACGGTCTGAGCAAAAAACTACTACTAATGTTACCCCCAGCGGTCTACACACTCGCTTTTTTGCATATGTCGTGGTACCTGGAGGACATATGTCGGTATGATGTCAATAATATTAGCTGCCCACCTGCCGTCTTGTGCCTGAGTATCCCCCTCCCTCCCCTTCTTAACGGCTGCACGCTTGGCTTGCGAACCAATCAAGGAGGACAAGGTTGACCAACTCACCCCACCCTCTGCTGTCCCCCACTAAAGATCTCTGGATCTTTCGATTATACCTGGTTACCACATACGAGTAAGATCAGATCAGGGACAGCCAATATCATTTTAAGTCTACGGGGGAGCCCAGCGCAGTAGTTACAGTAAACTATCCGGGTCGTGAATACGAGCTAGTTTGGTCAGAGTTGATTTGAAGATAAAAAAGAAAAAAGAAAACTTGCATGCAGTACTGTAAATTTAGCTGGGTAACTTTGACCTAGACTGCTCTGTTCAAAAGCCTACACGCTCAACTAGGTATCCACCCAGGTACCGGGCCTATAGCTATAAAGTCTATGCCCCTCCACCCCTCCTCCTCTATCATCCGCCCTCCACCCCCTTCTTCCCACACGTAACGAACCTCACCTTTAACGACCCTCAATCACATCATTTTCTTACTTACGACTTGACGTTTTTACGATACGAATCCAAAATGTTCAACCTTAAGAATCTTGTCTCTGTGGCCGTTTTGGCGTCTGGTGCATTCGCTGCTCCTCAGTACACTGCTCATGGGCCTTCGTCGACTTCGTCAGCTTACACCCCTGTCCCCACCGTGCCTCCTGTTATTGGTGCTTGTATGTTTTCTAAAACTCCCATTGTTATTTTCAACATTAAACAAACTCTAACCTTGTGTTTTTCCAGTGGGAGTTGAGATCCACAAGTCCTGCAACGTGACTGAGCGCCGTCAGCTCGAAGCTGCTCTAAAGGACACTGAAGTTAGTCAATTACTCTCTACCCCCACATCCCCAAGATCCATCCCACTGATACCTTTCTCTTAGGAACTCGTCTCCGTCGCTCGTGATTATGTCCTCGACAACGGCTCCGACGACCCCCTTTTCAAAAAGTATTTCGGCGCCGGCTCCACTGCTGAGGTCATTGGTTGGTTCGACAAGCTCCTCTACGGGGACAAATCCGGCGTTCTCCTCCGCTGCGATGACATTGACGGCAACTGCCACCAGGCCGGATGGGCCGGACACTGGCGTGGCGAGAATGCCACCGAGGAAACCGTTATCTGCGAGATGTCTTACCGTGTCCGCCGCCCGCTGACGCAGATGTGTGCGTTGGGCTACCAGGTTGCCACCTCTCCCACCAACGTCTTCTTTGCCTCCGATCTCGTCCACAGGTTCTTCCATGTGCCAAAGATCTCGGAGTTGGTCATTGACCACTTCACACATGGTGAGTACCACGAGGCGTTGGAGTTTGCAGAGACCAATGCGACGCATGTGGTTCGTAACACCGACAACTTGCAGTGGTTTGCGCTGGATACGTATGGACTTATGGTTGGCAACCCGGGCGTTGGATGTGCAGGTGAGGCCCCGGAGCACGCCCATGAGTCGGCTTCCTCCTCTGCGGCAGCTTCTGTTTCGGTAGCTTCCCCTACTGTCTCTGCCACCCACGCCGCTACTTCCACCACTGAAGCTCCGAAGGCCTGCCACACTCACAGTGACGGCGCTGTCCACTGCGAGTAAGTGTTTTGTCCGGAGGGTTAGTTTTTGGGTTGAGGGGATGGAATATCACATAACGGGTCATAGTTTAATAAGTACTTGGTAGCGGAAGATCTCTGTTCTGTAAATAACCAAAACTTTAATTAAATGTTCTAAGTAGTGTATGCTTAACTTTTCTTTGTTGTGGCCTTGTGACTGTGACTTGTGACTTGTAACCTGATCTTATAGTGGTGAAATGATTGGTTCCTTTAGCTCCTCATCCTGCGCACCCCCCCCCCCTTACTCGCTCCGCCTCTCACTCCATTATCTTCCCTTTTCTACCCGCCCCAACTTCTACCACTCACTCCGCCTTCCACGATTGCCGCTTCTCTTACTCATAGGATCGACTCTATTCCTTCCCCCAAGTCTCGAAAGCATCACAACAGAACTTCAGTCATACACATACATAAATTAGCGGCTTGATACAGAGCATCATGCGGCCTCCCGTGCCTCTGTATCCCCCGCCCCAATTCGACACGAACTCGTCCCTCGAACCTTAATCAACACTACCCCAAGTAGACCACTGAGTCGCGTACGTACAGCAGAGCCTGGGGCTCTATATGCCGACTCTAGATATCACTTCGGCTTTAAACACCGCTCCAGGACGCATACATCTACCCACTATCCAAGGGTCGACTTACTTGTCTCTATAGCCTTGCATTCTCACCTCACAATGAGACGAACTTGGGTGGATTGCACCGAGTGATATACTGTGATCCATATCACTCAGTCGCCACCCTAACTCTAGCCCAACTCTAACTCGAACTTAGTCTCAGCTTAGGTACTATAAACTAGAAATGCACCTTTCCTTGTACGTAGTACGTGCTTCGACGTATTGCGTAGCGGTGGGTCGAGGACAAAGCCGCCGGCAATGCTCCTCGCCTCGAGACATATCGCCTCATGTTTAGTAATCAGGGTACTTACTGGAAGTACCGGTCGACGTATTTACTCCTTAGGGTAGTTGTGATCTAGTTTTGAAGGAAGGCACATACATGTATGTATGATCCCCTATATCTTGCGTATACATCTAACATCTGCCTGCGTGGTACAAAAGGACAGGGCGAAGAAGGAAAGTCCCACTAGAGATAGAGAGTCCAAGGTCAAAAAAAAACCCAACACAGCTTATACCAGAGTTCATCTAGAATATATGTCATAGAAGATATTCTACCATGCTGTATACAGCGACGGAGCAAAAGAAAGCCGCATTCCTGGATAGTTACATGATGAGCCCCCACTGCAACATACATGTTACGTACATGTAGCCTACTCCAGTATTACAAAGACAGACTAGATATATAGAACAAGAGAGAAATAAATAAATTGGATCCACATACATGTTCTAGGCCGGTAATTGACTCCAGCCTCACTTTTCTATTCTTTTCTTCTTCTTTCATATTCTCAATTTTTTATTGTGCGGCACATTCTCCATTATGCTGCCAAACATGGAGATACACGCTCTGCTATATGAATGACAAGGCTCCACTCCTTTTGTTTTGGGGTGACTACCAAAGTCTATGCATTCGAGGTCATTCCGGATGAGTAGTAACACTACAAGGAAGTTTAGAGTCTCTTATAAGTTAACTTGACGAGACTACCGCTGATCCAGACCCAGCGATGGGAGCCAGCAGTAATGAACATACTAGCAACGCCTTAATGTTTTTTTTTTTACCGTCATGCAAGTCTTTCTCGCTCATCCACTCGGCACCTCTAAGTCTACAACTAGAGAGTACAACGCGCTTACTTAATGCTGGATCCATATTGCTATCGAGCAATTGTGTCTTGGGCTCTGTATTATGAGCACTATATATGGTTTACAGATAGGTATCCTGAGGCTGCCCGCAGATGTCTTATCGAGCCGGTGTAGTCTCTCTGGCGCTGATGTCAAGGACAAGGCGTCCACTGGGTCTGGCGAGTATGATCTCCTAAACCGCCCCAGGTCATGGTCAAGTGGCCCCGTCCGCGTTGCAGGCCACCCTAAGTACAATATATCGAGAGAAATCCACATTCGATACCTGTGGTATATTTGTGATTGAGTCAACGAGTCCTCTCCAGCCCTAGATATTCGAACGCTGAGTCATAGCCCCCACCACCCGCAGCGACCCCACAAACATATTGCTTGACGACTGAGCGAAATATACGTGAATAGTTCCATGACTACTGAATGTCTCGAATGATAATCCACTGGGCCGTTCAAGACGAGGCGGACCGCCAGAGCACCATCTCATGGAAACATTCTCGCCTCATTCTTGATTGGAGCAGGACTTTTGACCTCAGCGCAAGCCATAAATCACAACATAGACGCCTAATGTGAGCTGGTAAAATACGAAATCGACAAAACCGAGCCCGGTTGCAGATAATTCTATATGTCCCTCCTCCCAGATAGGATTAGTAAAGCACTACTCTCCCAAAGAAATCCAACTAATACTATCATTACCCCTATTACTAAGCATCGAGGGGTCATGGTACAAGGATCACTGTTTACCGAGCGATCGAGCGATGAATCCTAAGTCTTGTGTGAGGACCTCAAGGCAAGGCTGCGGGGAATTTCGCCCTGTTGACCACACACCATTAATCGAGAGGACACAACCTTCTAGTTTCCCCTCAATATCCAAATATAAACATAATCCAAGCCTACATTTATGTAATGCCATAGCCCAAACGAGGCATTAAATCATGTGGTGTATCGTATATAACCTGTTCGGGGTTCGGCGGCCTCCAATAGCCGCCCTGTCCGACCCTAGTTAACCTTTCCCCCCTCCAGTTTTTCAATTCTCTAGGCTGTAGGGCACGCCTAAAGGTGTCTATGGCAGCATATGAATGATGAAATAATTTTCAATACTGGGTTAGGGTTCCGATATAAGTCCTAAACCTGATGTAAAGTCATCACTAATGTTCATTGAAACCAGAAAAAATATTTTTAAGCCGTGTGCTCGAATATGTATACTATATTTTAAAGATGTGAGATTAATGTTCGAAGTCACAGAAAACCACGTGCTTGGGGATGACGGAAAGACCCACAGCATTTTTCTACGTCATGTATTATCACTCGCCAAAGAAATAAATCCTTGTGACGTAGTATATCCCGAATAAAGATTAGCTTAAGGACTATAGCTCAAGAAATAAATGGGGACGAGAAATATGATCTTAATTCTTCGAAACCAAGGCATGCGCGATCGGATTCCGGTTCCAAGATCTCCTCGTGCCGAGCCGAGTACTGCATCACACCCGTCTCCGATGCAGCCATATCGATCCATCAAGAGAGCTGTATCCATGAATCTGTGAATCTTATTTATCTCTGATTTCCCCCAAAAAAGAACAAGTAATGATATAATTAGATATTCCACTGACATCAATATAGAGATGGTCCGCGAACTGGTCCGCCTTCACATGTTTGAATGGCCCGAAAACATGTGCTCTACACAAAGCACCATGGAGATCTCGTCTGCTAATGGCAATATGTAGTGCGAGTGCGACCTGAGATCCGGGACAATACCGGCAGAATACCACCAATATCGGCCTTGGCAATGCTAGAAACTGTGGTGTACTAATTTCTCTGATGGTTGAAGGGGTGATGATCATCGTGAGATCGGGAATCAACACATCTAGCTCCCAGGTACTTGAGATGCGGTGTCTGCTAAATTTTGGTTATTTTTCACTCTCGAGCTGAAAGTGACATCCTCCTCCTTGGTTTCTTTCTACGTAACTACCTTCGTCGAGTAGACCGATAGTGTCCCCGATGCGAGAGAAATCTATTAGGTCGGCGATGTTATCAAATGTCTCACCAAGTTTCATTGACGTTGTTATGATATCAAACCCCAATTTCCAGTTATGGAAGAAACCGGCCCACACAAAGTACACAAACATCAAATCTCACTCTCGCTGACTCAGAGCGGTTAACTTGCTTTCATGTTAACCGCCAGCTAACTATGATAGCTAACCTGTCGTAAAGAATTCTGTTAACTGACTCATCCCAGAACAGCATCAAGCACGATTATCTAACAACCACAAGCGAATAATCACGCGGTAAAAACGAAACAAATGTGGGGTACGCATTACGAACCAACAGAGAGAAAAAACTGTAGCTTCCCCCATCCTAAAATGATTTTCGCAAGGAAATAATTTTTCTCTCTTTTCCGCTTTGGGCCGAGGCGGGTATATCATCCGACCCCGATGCTCATTCGGTATGGAGGTCGGGTTATGCAGCAACTCAACCATATCCACCCAGATCCATCGATATCGATGCTATCGGCGCTAATTGGGCATAATAAAACTGATGGGTTTGAATTTAACGAAACATCCAACATATGTGTTGTCCGATACCGGCCGTCAGATACCTGCCTGCCTACCTGCCGGTCGGTTGGTACTGCTATGGTGCCCTGACTGTAAATGTTGCAGTTGCAATTGTCTGCAAAGTATCACCATCGTCAATTGACGTCCCCCTCCCCCCCCTTTTTTTTCGCAGCAAAGCTGGTGATGATTGAAATATGTAACTGCAGAATGACGTTCCCATAGACTTCTGGCCCTGATGCTGGACATGATGAATATAAAAATATAAATATAACGGCTTCAGGTCCCGGACGGCCGGTACACGACGAAATTCCAAGGGGCGTAGTCAAGAAGGAAAAAAACACTTCACACCTTATCACAAAATCGATCGGTGGAGAGATTAAGTACTAGAATGCCTCAATAAGAAAAAAAATTACCTAAACCATGGCGAGATCTGTGGCCAGACCTGTGGCTTGAGCCGTGGTTTCGAGTTTTGGACGGAATTTTGTGGGGATGGATGGATGGATGGATGGATGGATGGAGTGGATGGATGGAGTGGATGGATGGAGTGGATGGAATGGACATGAGCATGAGCATGAGCAAGCAGCTCTCGTGTAGATAAAGTCGCTCAGTGAGCTTAACCAAATTTTTTAACTGCCGCCCAAAAAAAGTAGGTGGATTTGGAATGCGGTGAGTAGAAGAGGCAGAGCACGTGTGTTTAGTGCGGTGGATTGGTTAGTGCCACGTTTTAGACATCACTCCACATTCTTGATCGATTGTAAGTACATGTGGGCATGAATGTAGAGTAAAGTACATAGGCACAGCATGTGGAGCATGTGTAGTAGTTAGTGGTAATAACTGTCAGCCTTGCAAGAGATTGACTGTAGTAAGGTATCAATTACGAACACAAGTACATTAATGTCGGGTCTAATGCGACTACCTCCCCCTCTGGTTCGCCTTCGCACATTACTCCGACATCTTCCATGTCCGCCGTAAACCCCGGCCCTGACAGTAACCGAATGTGCTACGCCCAGTTATTAATGCTTGGTGACGAGCTGGTAAACTCGTTAATATATCGCCCAGTTCTCACTGATCAGATCTCTCTACTAATTACAGCGCATACGAGTGATACCCCATGATGGGTGATTGCAGAGCGCATATTCTTATACCCGGGTAGATACCTCCGCATTGGCCCGGTAGGGGTGTCAGATCGGTTGACATACTTATAATCTAAACCAGTTATGATGGAAATAATCTTAGAGTAGCCGGTATATAACAGAAGGTAAGGGTGCGCCAGTTTTTGTTTCGCTGAGCTGGCGATGTGAAAGACGCAGTGACCCGCGTTGGCGTTGCAGATGCGGCTCGATCAACAGATCGGTGACGTCGGTTATTTACCAGTGCGTGCGCATGGAATCTTAGATCGCGGGAATTCTAGGGGACGCCATTTTGAGAAAGTTCTCTGATAGGGCGCGGAACGAAGGAGGGAAGACCCTGAGTCCAGAGTCAGTATAAGCTTTTAGACGTGCGGTTTTGAAGGTGGCCGCCGATAAATTACAGCTGATCGTGGGTAAATATGAGAACGGGGCGTTTTTGTTCTTTCATTTGTCATGCGCCCGCTGGAGAGAACAGGCATCTTCATCGTTTTGATAGTCGGGTCTATTGAGTCATGAAACGATATGCATGGAAGATCACAAATCCTCGAATGGCAAGCTCTTGTCGTTCACTTGACTATGTTTCAAACCATAGATGACTTCTGACTGGTGTCTTACATAGCGGCATGGTGTAAAAAGGGATGCAAGTCTGCGTAAGCCAAGACTTATCTATGCACATCGCGCTTACCGCTGAAAGCGCATGTGTGGCTAGCACTGCTCTCTTCGTGGTGGTATCGTGAACGTGATTGGCTGCAACAGACGTCAAGAGATGGTAAGGGCACTAGGTGTGATGGCTGCTTCTACCACTCCACGGTGCACGACTTTGTTCTTTTTTGGTCTCTTGGTCCTTGGTCCCTCCACCCTTGGAAGGTGCAAAGGGTTTGTTTCCTGTTTTTTGTTTGTTTTTCTCTCTGCCTGCCTGCCCTGCCTGTCTGTCGGGTATTTTTCTCCTGGGACTCACCAGGGCGGGCTGGTCCACGCGAAACAAATACACCCACGGGACTGCCTGGCTCATACGTTAGTTAGGTAGGAGGTATGGTATCTGGATATATATCCAATGGATTTGTAGCCTGTGGGTAAGATACTTGAGAACCAGCAGAAGATGGGGCATCCCACCAGGTATATAACTTGGAAGAGACAGAACGGATATCTATCGGTGGATAAAAAGCTTGGCCCGAATAAAGCGATAGGGTAGGTTGAGTGTGACAGGGGGTCTCGTGCAGTCCCGACTTGGCGCAAGAACGTGCCGGCCAGGATTGTGGAGGACTGGGGGGGGACCCTTTGCGAGGCGCCAACACTCCTCACATTGCGCAATTGAATTACCCCTTAAAGTAAAAGACGGTCGCTTTGGGCCAGAGCCAAATATTCACTGGTAAAGATGCAAATATGCGAATGCAGGATATATATGCACACCGGGGAGTTGAATTATCTACTGGAAGGTACATCTGTTTCCTAGCAGCTCTGGAAATCGAAAAGTCCGTGGGTATCTTGCGTTTCCACGATTCGTTATTTCGCTTCTGATGCCAGTGCTTTACCTACCTGCTGCTTTGTCGAAGGCCTTCCTTTATCTTTTGCTGGCGACAGGTCAGTACTCTATCTTCTGGGGTTCGTAGAGTAGTGTCCGGTGTTTGGTATTGGCTCGAAAGAGGGGCAAAGCTGAGGCCGGCATGTTTCTTTCCTTTTTTTCTTCTTCTTTCTTTTCTTTTCGCCTCCTTTTCCTTTCTTTTGCCTGGCACTTCTTCATTTCCTGGCATGCACTTACCATAGATTGGTTGGAGGTCATGCATGCCGTGTAGAGTATTTGTGAGCATGTAGTGAAGGTATGTATGTGGACCTCTGGGGTAAAGTTGGGCGTTTAGGTAGGTCTCTGTACTCCAGTAGACTCTTTTTTTTCTTTCTTTTTTTTTTCTCGCTCCCCTTCTGACCCTTCTCCTTGCTAGGTTTCCGCGTGAGGACTCAGAAGATTTTGGAGTGGGTTCTTGTGATCGAGAGGACCCTACTGTCCTAGGCTAGGGTAGTAAAAACAACAGGGAGGAAAGGACACCAGTCTATCATCTTTCTCGCCCGCACAGGCATGAAGGCTACCAAAGTAAGAGAAGGCAGCGAGTTCGTGTGTATCGCATACTAGAGGGGCATTTTTGTACCCCCAATAGTATCACAGACCCCCAGCTTATGTACCATACTCACTCCTACATAAAACACCCACTCATGCACGAATGTCGCACGTACTCTGACCAGGCTTCTACCACTCCCCCTTTCAGCGCTATCGGAAAACCCACTGGTAGAGGTATCAACCTCCCCCATAATATCCTCTTATTCCCCTCGTGCACCCTTCTCTCCCCTTCTACCTACCCTTCATCGTCGCCCCTCCACTCCGACGTCCTGGAGCAGAGAAGGTGATCCATTTCCGTCCCCCTCTCACCCTCCCACCCCCCCCCCCCCCCCCCCCGGCCGCACACCCTCCCGATATACCTCCGCGTCTCCTACCTATCTACCTGCTCATCCTCCCCCGACTCCCACGGACCGCCATACCCCGCTCCCTCTCTACATATCCCGAAGAGATAGGTATATTTATCTCATCTCAAACTTCCGGCATAGACGCCAGGGTTCCCAGAGTAGTGATCGAGATTTTGACCTCGATCTCTGTGTTACGTTTTTGTCCAGAGACACATTAAGGTACACCTAGTTTGAACGAGGCGACGTGCAAGTGTCTAGTCGCGCTTGGTAACGACTTTCACGAAACAACGACGATTAATTCTTCCCGAATCCGAAACCTCTTTCACTCTCCTCTCTCCCTCTCTCTTTGCATCTTGCATCTCGTCGATTGTTTTTAATTCTATTCCATTCCTTTCGGAGAACCGACTCTGGACCTGTGAATATTTTTTCTCGTGCTTTAATTTCTTATATCCGCTGGTTATAATCGGATCAGCTCTTGTAGTGTAAGTACATAAATGTAGTATATTTTGCAGCCTTCTTCGGACGCTTCCTTTTCTCTTCCACTCGCACTCACACACTTCCTCTTCTTCCATGACACCCTCCGTATTCCCCCACACACCCTACTACGTCGCCGCTTGCTGCTACTACTGCTATTTGCTGCCACATCGTCTCGGCTTCCCTACCTATGGAGACTAACATTTTTAATCTCCATCTCAAAGTTCCCCACGTAATAGGCTACCTACTCGTCCGTCTGCCGAACATTATCCAACATTTATTCTACTTGTCCCTCACCTCCGTTCATCAATCCTAGTCAAGTGATTGATCCCTCCCTGCTAGCTCCAGAGCTACAGCGACCCATAACAGTACTTGATAAAGCTCTTCGTTCGCCTCCTTCTGATTCAGGGACACCCTACCCACAAAGGAATCCGTCCACGAACCCGCATGTATTCGAACTGATGGACTCTGAAGACGGCCAACAGTTCATCAAGCATCTCGCCCACTTTGTGCGGACTCACGAGAAAGCTCTAGCAAATGCTTTACAATTACAGAGGCGGAATCCCCGCCGAAGGGACTCAGCACCTGCCATAACTGGTACAGGAAGCCACCCATCGTCACCACTTAATTCCACCTCATCATCATCCGGCTCAGCTCTAGCGGCAGCCTTTTCTCTACCATCACTGTCGTTCTCGCCGCAGTACATCAAGCCCCAGAAACTGTCGCTCACACCCCATCACCTCTACTACCTCTTGACACGATTCGAAGAACTCAACATTCCAGTTGGATCTATGGGTGTGCGTCTCGAGAATATCCACGCAGAGACTTCACCAGCAAACTATGTCTCGTTTCTCAGAGATTCGTCTGCTCAGTCCAAACGAAGAAACATATCTTCAGATAGCTTGTCAATTCACTCAGTGTCCAGCGTCAAGAGTGTCATGACTGGGATGAACTCCCTGTGGTCCTCTTTTGGACTCGGTACATCAGCAGAGTTAAAGAGTGCGAGAGCAAAGGCAGCGCTTGAAGCAGATTTGAAGTATCTATATTCAGCTTTTACTAAAATCCCATGCCTTAGGCTAGCTCCTGATAGGAAGTCACGATTGATCGAGGGCTTCGAGGAGTTTCCTTTCGACACCGCAGTTCCCTTGTTGGCTTTCAAAAACGTCAGTGCATTGGAGATTTGCGATATCGATATCCGCCAGTTCTTTGGATGGGATCAATTGGCTGAGAGAGTACGGAGCTTGACGGTCAAAAGAGGTGGCATTGAGGACCCCGCAGAGCTCATCATTGCTATTGTTCTGGATGATATGGATAAACGACGATCAAGGTCTGCAAAGTCACAATCCTCGCCAATCATGCCGTATCCTGTATCGGTTGTCCCAACGGAAGCCCAGTCTTCATCGGCACTTCCTTCGACACCTCCTTCGCCTACAACTTATCATCCGGTGCTGATTGGCGGAAGCGCGCCCACAGGCCATTATCATGCGATGTCCAGAGATCCTTCGAACACTTCACGAGACAGCTCGAAAACACGGCCACGGAGTTACTCCCCGTCTCGGCCGGCCAGCTCTAGGAACAGTTCAGCGGCGGGTACTCACCACCGCTCACATCGGATGCGAAGATCGGAATCTGGAAGTAGTCATTCCTCTTCGACATCTACCGTTCTTCCTGGGTCACCTCGTGGTACTAGTCCGCCTACCGTTGTTCCTGGGTCACCTCGTGGTACTAGCCCGCCTAAAGTTGTTCCTGGGTCACCTCGTGGTACTAGCCCGGCAAAGGAGGATCCTATGGCGAAGAAATGGAGGTTCTTGAGGCATTTGTCATTGGCGGATAACAGCTTGACATCCATCTCCTCTTTCGCATTAATTCCATTGGCAAATTCGTTATCGTCACTTGACCTTTCCTCCAATCTTTTCACATCCATTCCAGAGACTTTATCCACGCTTTCAAACTTGCGAGCTTTAAATCTATCTAACAATATGATCGACTCACTTCACTCGTTGACTCGCAACCCCCTCCCCGCCATAACCGCGCTAAATCTTCGTGGCAACCGCCTAGCGTCGATTGCGGGCATAGAGCGGCTGCTATCATTGGAACGTCTGGATTTACGGGAAAATAAGCTTGCAGACCCCACTGAGTTGGCTCGGTTAACGGGCGTACCGAACATGGCAGAGATTTGGGTTGCGGCAAACCCTTTTACGAAGACTCACCCCTCGTACCGATTGATGATATTCAACCTTTTCAGGAGCACACCGGGTTATACGGATGATATTACGCTAGACTCTCAAGGGCCTGGGATGGTCGAAAAGCGGAGTTTGGTCGAGAGAGCGGCAGAGCTACCCAGCGTGCCGGTGGTGAGGATGCCTCAACCACAAAGCGTAGTCGTCAACACAGTTGCAGCGATCGATCCCAAGAAGAAGGAAAAGCAAGAAAGTGAAAAGTCGATCAAGATGGTTACCAGCACTAGTGATGTGGCCAGGGCAAAGAAGAAGCCTGGAAGAAGGAGAGTGGTTGAGCTTGGTCGCGAGGACAGTAGCTTATCAATTAGCGAGCATAGATTAACAAAGTCACCTCAACCACCTTCCGTGCACTCATCGATCAGCTCAAAGGTATCAACAGCACCTAAAGATATTCCACACCATCATGATGAATCATCCTCCGGGGCTGAATCATCCCCTCAACAGCATGCATCTTCATCCCCTAGAGAGAATATTGACTGGGAGATGAGGGGAGATGAATACCGGCGTAAAGTCGAGGCTTTGAAGATGGATGTTGGGAGTGGTTGGTTGAGTGTATTGAGCGAGGAGGGTATGTCATTGGCCACGTCGAGAAAGTCGACGCCCGGGGCAACGAATACCAGCCCTGTAGCTCAGTGGAAGAGACCTGGTTAATTTTTCTTCGGCCGTTTCGGGGGATCGAGTAAACTGCATAATATTGTCACTGGTTGAACGCCTAACGAGGATGATGAATGCATGACCTATTCTTATCAAATTTGGCTACGGAGAAAGTTGATTTTTCGCCTTTTTTTCATTAGTTTGCCGTTGTATCATATCTAAATTTTCCTGTTAGTTTTTACTCGTCGGTTTGGGAGTTCGGCTGGACTTTTTTCTTTACTTTTTTCTTTTCTTCGAAAGTTCACTGGGGGGGGGGGGGGGTTTCAGTAGGTGTTCGTTTCTATTGCTTAATTTTCAGCTTTTTTGTTATTCGCGCTTTTTCATTTTCACTTTACTTTTGCATCTTGCAGAGGACTTTTTTCTCCCCTCTATATTCAATCATCCAGCTGCATCTATTATTTATATCTGACATGCATGCATTTCATATTTCTGTTTTTCCGGTTACTTTCTGGGGAAAGTTAGGGTTTAAGAAAGAGAAAGAAAAAGGGAGAGAAAAAACAGTACTCTATTCGTTGTTTTTGGTATGAGAGAATGAGATTCCGAAAATTATGCATGTAGTATTGGTAATTCCTGGCTGTTTGGAACTGGTGTGTGGGAGGAATGATTGATTATCAATTTAGTTTGGCTGTTTGGCTGTTTGGCTGCGTTGCGTTTGTTTGCCCTTAGTTTTTTATATTTTTGCTTCGCTTCCTTGCAGCCTTGTTTTTTTAAAGATAGTTCTGGGTTCATTTTCGTTTTTACAGTTACGGTAGAGTAATTTACAAGGGAAAGGCGGTGCAAAGTCTAGGGATATTTTATTCCACATCCTAAAAATAAAGTAAAAAACCAAAATCATTCCAGAGGAAAGAAGAAAGTGGTGTCGGCGCCAGCTTGTAAGTCAAGTACTGTATAGGTACTTCCCCGCTCTCTCGTGAGTAAAGTACTTGCGTGGCAGCTCCCTACCACTTTCGACGAGCTTATTCAAAGGTAGTTTTGATCTGCAGGCGATATTCTACCAGAATTGGCTACGGGAGTGCTGTAGTTAGTTAGCCACGGCTTCTTTGCCCCATTCTGTGTGATGATTTACTGAGGGTCCTCCTCTCCCTTTGGTTTCTTGGTTCTTGTTCTTCCTCTCGTCCTGTATGCGGATCACGGTGCGTACTCGACAGTCTCGGAGCTCATTGCTGGAGTAGTGATGGCTTCGGCGTTGCGTTTCTCACACCACCGTGGGCAGGGCCGATTAGGATTGGTTGGAACCACGTGGTTGTGGTTGGCCAGCCTGCCTGTCCTCTGTCTGCCCTGCCTAACTTACCCGAGAAACCCTCCTCCGCACCTGGGTCCTTATCGTTCTTTCCCGGGGAGGTTGCAACGGGTGATCGCTTATGACTGAGCTGATGCTGATGATGCTGATGAGGAGTTCAACTGGTTGCTGCTGCTGCTGTGGATAGGCAGGCCCTGTTCTAGCATCTGCTGCAGGGTGCAGACCCTATGTTGCCTACATATCTACATCTAGATACCCTACCCACTTTGCTGCTGCTGCTTCATCGCTGGCAGCGCCGCGCAATAGCACATTTTGAGACAACCGCATTCTCGTTCTGGATCAAGAGAGAGAGAGAGGAGGGGGGGGGGGGAAGAAGAGTTAGAAAGGAAAGAAAAAACGGTTCTAAATATCAGTACTTACGCGTACGGTAGTGAGAAAAAAACGCCTTCCCCTGCCTCTGTTCTGTTGAGCGTGCCTTTTCTGGTTCTGGGGTGATTAGTAGAAAGTAGAGGGAGGTACTTTGGGTCAAGAAAATTAGTCAGTCAGCTGACCCTTGCTCACAACTTGTGCAACTGTAGGTCTGTCGTTGCATCATCATAATCATAATCAACCCCAAAAGTGATTTGCAACCTGCAGTATGGAAACGGCGCGAAGGGCTGTAGGATGTGGAATCCGACTCCACAACGTTCGTTACGGCCGTACGGGTATGTAACACCAACCCACGTCTACTACTTCATACATACGTACATGTAGCTAGATATAGAGGAATTGGAATCTAGAGAGAGAAGGGTATGTACATGTTAAACACATCCAGGGCCGGTTTCTGACGTAGAGCACGTACGTAAGTTTTCCCTCTCAGGTGCAGACACACCAAAACCCCCAAAAGTTATAACCACTGATCTTATATGTCCCCTCGAAACCCTGGTAAGGGTAAAGAAAAAAAGGTGGGGGTGACCCCTCACTCAATCCTTTGAATCTCACCAGACGATGGTCCGAGCTTCACCTCTGTCTAAACCGGTTCGGTCCCGCCAAGAGAGGCAGTACCACTACCACCTAATATTAGTACCAAATAGCCATATGAGAAGATCAGGCTAAAAAATACTCCTAGACGGGATATGATATTCTTGAGGTAGGGAGGAGCGGTAATTATCCCCATTTGAATTTTCTTATATCGTAATTCACTCCCATAGACTGACTTTGGGTGGGGTCACGATCAGTCGGAACTTAAATACGAACTCCAGGGCCACCTTCCGCCCACTTCCCCACGGCCGCACTGACCCTATTGTATGTCTAAGAAACCACAGATTCGGACGGAAGATAGGAAGGGCTTGATGTTTGACGTTGTTTGCAATTTGCCTTTTCCGAGCATTCGGTACATACAATGTGCCACAGTGCCTGCCCTGCACTTCCCTACGTAGGGTGGACACAACTTCAAGCAAGGATATATCGCTCTCGGGAGTTTCGAGTGTGTGTCTCTTGCGGTGAGAAACGTTGGCTGGTTGGGATCGACTGTCATGGTCGGGGCGCATGGTGAGGTAGATTATGTACGGTACGGTATCTGAGCCGTTTGGCTTCTCGAAAACGAACACCCCCGGCGGAAATGCCCGGTTACCCTCCCACGGCATACCCAAAGTCCCCACGCAGGTCACCACCATGCACCCCGGCTTTTTCTTTTCGGGAAAAAAAAACAACACCAAAATTCTGAAGGAGCCCGCAAAAGCAGCTCGTCCCCAAACACGACTTCCCGTCCAGAGCGATTTCTTTGATCTGGCCATTGAGAGCTCGAACCTTCGAGCACCTTTTCTGATTTTGTTTTTTTCCCTAGGAGAAATTCGCCGAAGAGTTCGTTCTAGACGTCGTCATGATAGTTATGAGGCTAAGGAATTGCGTGGGTTATCGGGTACTGCTGTAATGTCACTGGAGGATCAGACAGCCAAGAAGCCACACACACATGGGGAGCCAACGTGGATATATATAGAGGGGTACATTTTCCACATGCCAATCTTTTTGTCCTAGAAACACCTCAATTGCCAAGTGCACGTGCTAAAGCCCCTGCCTTGAACTAGCTGTTACGTGGCGCCGCGGGGTCTGTGGACAAGTCACAATAAATCACTCGGAATATTGATTCCTGCAAAATTTGATTGATTGGTCGATTGGATCCCTGTGGGGTGAAGGGAGTAGAGGAGACGGGAAATGGATTGACTTAAGAGACTTGGTGGCTTAATAACTATTAAAGCGGCATTCTCCATAGGACACTATTTGGTAATCAGAGGCGTTTGGGGTCTTTGAGAGGAACATGTAACTGCTTTACACCATAACTTTGGCCCGCGAATCTTCAACGTCGTGGAGGAAGCGTTACACGACACATTTTATATTTAGGCCGCTCGTCGGACCTATCATTATTCCACTGGAATATTAAAAGTCCGCCAATTGCAAGTACTAGTCAGCCATATAACGAACATATAAATCAATGGCATATCGTGATCAGCGCGTTGGACTTCAATTAACAATTCAAGAATTGCAGTGATTTTTCACTCAAATCCCGATTCTAAAAAAAGAAATTAAAGAGGAAGAGGCGCTCCTAGAATGAGTTGAAAATTTTCTACACCTAGGTCTGTCGTCGTTACACCACCGGCTGCGAAGTCTGTACTTTCAGGCAGTACCTCTGACTAGAGTTAGAGGCAATTTGACCTTTCAGGTGACATACAGTCGTTCACCGATATAACGAATGCCAAAAAAAGCCACAAATTTGCTATAACGAATGGGTTTCGGTGATCCGAATCTAAATTTTACATAGAAACTTGCCTGCTATACCGAATAATCTGCTGTATCGAACGGAAAACTTTGGAATATGCACGTTCGTTATATCGGCGGACGACTGTATACCTATGTAAATATAACGCCTAAACAAATGACAAGCCGTCCCTGTACTCTTCCCCCCCGAAGTCTAAACCCGACGTGATGGAGCTGTATTTGTATAAAAACCATGACCTCGCTAGTTTCCTCTCCTTAGACTATTAACACCAATATACCGGAAAGTGGCTGTATCTACAAAGGATGAGCTCGATATATTGAGTCATAATATATCACTCGCAGAGTTTCGTTGATACTACAATGATATAAATCCCTGAAGAGCCTCCACGGCTACACCCATGTTTAAGCCCTAAATATAAATGGAATTATACCGCGGGGAACACGGATAGAAATTGTGATAATAAAGATGACTTCCCAACAGTGAGATTGCACACATAGGCGCATAAGATCATTTCCCCTAGGCCTCTCTGTTAGTTTGGAGCTGTTTAGACGGGCTATAAGGGCACCATACTCACTATAAAAGCCAAATTGAGTGTCCCATTTGCTTCGAAGTTCAATTTTCTAGCTGCTGCTCCGGTCTCTATTTTTGACCGGGCCGGATACGATCAGATAGACATATTAGACTAATTCCTTTTTACCCCGTTAACTTTATACTCAAATATTTTTCAATGCTTACTTCGGCTAGTATTTAAATTCAGATTAGTATTTTTCCGCCCCTAAATAGTTCGGTTTACTCGGCTCCTTATCCAGCAGCACGATACTGCTATTTCCATAGTGGCTAGGACAAACGGTCTCGCTGACCAGCTCTAAAAGATGGGGCAAGTCGTTTTCGGGCTGATAGGGAATTTCGAGGTTATGGGACAATGCCGGGTCTTGAAAAGAATGTTGCTACCGGTAGGATATCATAGGTCACAATGTTGAGAAGAGACATAGTTCTAAATTATGAAGACCCCAAAGATGATGATCAAGAGTAGGGTGGGCACTAAGCATGACCAGATAGCTCATGAATGCGAAATAAAGTTCTATAACGGCACACCTCATTTTTTTGCCGGCATCTTGTAGTGGTGCTGACCGCCCGAATAATAAGGGGCATCCACTTGGCTGACCTGGTACTGTCCTTATTTATAAAACACAACGGGCATCGCTAATAGCTGTTAAGAGGGTCCTAGAACAAGATTTCCGTTAACTCCTAAGAGCGAGGTAGTATGATCTACGCCTTGTGTATACTTCAAGCAGCCCGAATGGAGACTTAAGCTTTTAAGGCTTGAGACATTGACTCACACTGAAAGCTCGAGCCGGCTTGTTTTGTGGATCGATCTAACTAACATAATACGGAGATCACCTCCAATTTGGTTTGTTAACCAAACAGTTTAGTCTCCGGGTCCTTGATCAGTTATTGATACGTGTAAGTTCAGCTCTATCGCATGTCCTCTCGTTCGAACGCTTTTTGTTCTAAACCAAATTTCGGCCAAGATAACTGATTTGTGTACACGGAGCAATAAGATACAGCCACCAACCAACAGTGTACCTAGGACATGTCTAAGACAGCTATAATAATAACAATTTGGGTGCAAACGCAAAGAACTCTTTCGGGACTCCTCCGTTCAACCCTTTTTTTCTCTCGAGTGCTTCTGAACTACCCAAGCAATAAGATAATGCTATTCGCCTAATGTATGCAATGAACTTCTATAAGAAAAGCGACAACACCAGAAAAACGGTATTCGGGATAGCAAACGCCGACAACCAAAGCCACCTATCCGACCCGAAGAGATAACTCAACCGAAAACCCATAGAGAAAAAAAATCTTCCTCCGAACGGCCTGTCCTATCGAAAATATTAACCTTGGGTGCACTCCAAATACTTCAACTCAGCTGAAAAGGCATACCTCAAATAGAGACACCGAGATACGACGCAATTTGTTTACGACGATCCATAACTGTAACATTCGGAAGTAGGGCTGGAAGCCCAAGCGCAACTGCAAGCTGCTGGCATTCGAGCACTAAAGCTGTTAGTCTTGGATTACGCTCGCATAGATGTAGGATAAGATTACCTGTGAATGTTAGTAAGTTGTCCCGAGTGATCGCTTGAGCTTGCACTCCAACTGGGTAGCGGAGATGTGCTATGTTTCCACAAGATGCGTTGTATAGACGTAATGGAAGTAATGTTTGACTGTATTTCTGATAAGTCCACCAATACCAATAGTAATGTGTGTGTGAGATGGTACAAACTCTCTGGATATTTGATCAAGACTGAGGCGGAACTCCCGTCTCATTTCGTCCAAACCCCGTTCCATTCCGTCCAAAGTCCTTTGTAACTGAGTAAACTGCTCATCGTGTCGACGGAACTGTCCTCGGACTTCCTGGAAATTTTGGACTTGATCTAGCGTTTGAACCGTCGGATGGTTGGAGATTAGAGGAATCTGAGCTCCAAGATCGGTAAACGCTCTTGCAATGATGGCAGGATCTGCTTGGGCCATTTAGAATGGATCTTTGTGTGTTCTCGTATGTGTGTTCTCGTTGTTCGAGCAAGTTTGCTTCTCCTTCGACGTTATTGTAACAGACCGATAGATGCTCGGCCTAGGTCTACCTATCCCTTAAGCTGTCGAGAAAATGCTGACCTCAGAAAGCAAATTCGGTGTGGCTTTACTAACAGATCCCGTTATCTCTCTTATCAAATAATAGATCTCTCATACAAATTGTTATGGGGGGTCAGCATCGACAGCTTAAGGGATACCGTAAAAACTCGATAGGTGAGCCCGGGCTTAAACCAAAAATATAGGGTGAATAACAGTACTGGAGAAACGTAAAGCAACCAATCAGAGAACTCGGGTTCGATAGATGAGCCCGGGCTCACCTATCGAGTTTTTACGGTACGCCGTGCGTTGCCAAGTCTAAGCACTAACCCCGTTGTGTGGTGTTGGACGTCCCGGTGGGCAGAGCCTCATGGTCAGCGGCACCTGTCCATAAGTTTCCTAGTGAGGGGAAGGCTACTTTGTCATTTTTCGCTGATGGACAGTTATATCTTTTGAGATTAAAACCCGTCAACCACAAACAATTTTGGAGAATGGCTTTTATGCTACCCCTGAAGATAGTCTCATATGGAGACTACCGCAATCAATAAACAGCGAGTTTCGAATGGTTACTCAATTATTAGAGGCTTTAGCCGGTTGCAACTTTCATACAAAAATGCGCCAAGATGCACCCACATATGATAAATTTGTATGAAATTTGCAACCGACTAAAAGCCTCGAATTAGAGAGTTTAAGCCACCAGATATTTCTGGCAAGAACAAATAAGATCAGCGTAAAAGATTACCAATCCTGTGTTAGTTTTGCTCTTTTGACCCTAGACCGCTGATCCTTTTTGTCCGACGATCTCTTTTGTCTGCCAAAAAGTCGGATGGCTTAAACTCTCTACTTGCCAGATTTTTTTCTGTGTCCAGCTGTTTCTTCCTCATCCGGAAATATGGGAGTGCTACGAAGCAACGGCCCTAAAACTTCGTGAATTTGATAGATATTTGGTGAGATAAAGTCGTTGCGACTCTTCCGTATCAGGAAGAATAGGTTCGCTGGACACAGAAAAAAATCTGGCAAGTATTAATCATCGTTTAAGCTGCGTTCAGGCACAGTTAGGCAAAGTGTGTGTAACGTCCCCCGGGGGGTTTTTTGTCCTTTTGAAGCAATGATCTTCGTTCTTTTCCGGCTGTCTACGGCAAGTAGCATTTGATGAAAACATTTTTGCTTATTGAGATATACTTCTGTTTTCGAGCCTAGGGCAATGGTATGAGAGTTATGTCTTGGGTTTAATTACAGATGTGACCTCTTCCCACGTTTAATATTATACATTAGTACTGAATATCGAGTGATATTTCATGATTATGACATAAAATTGCTTACTTTGGACGTGCTATAGTATATTACCCGGTTGACTGAAACAGGAAAAACTACCTGGTAATACCAGGCTGTTGTTTGTTTGATGCGTAAGATTTTAATTATGTTCAGTGGTTTCCCGTTAAAAGGATTATCTCGAGTTACGTGTACAGAAGGGGTGTTGCTCTAATAAGGGTCGATTTCTTTTTTCTTTTTGTTTAATTCATCTAATAAGGGTCGAGTTCTAGTGGAGAATCCAGTAAGTTCGAATGAACACTAAGAAGTGAATCGCGCCGGGGGTGATCGTAATATGTTATACCCTTTTTGGGACATATTTCGAAAACCGATTCCGATGGGAAAAAAAAGCCAATGATACCAGGAACTCTAAAGCCAAGACCGAGTCAAATGATAGTCCACTTAAAGATACTCACCTTTCTCTGTTTGTGTAGAGAGGCCTTTGTTGTTTAATCCAGTGCCTTTGAGCTGTTGTTAAAAACATCGGGATATACTCAACTAGTTATTAGTGTAGGTCAAATCTGGGCCCAGGAGAGTACTATTTCGGTTGGTTTCGGGTTGTTAGGAAGTACTAAGGCTAGGGTTGATATGAATGCCAAATTTCATCATGTAGATTGCTTCATGCGTTCTAGATTCCCGAACACACCAAGTGGCCTGGTGGAAAATCACCTATTGGCTCTAGATCTATTGCAGATCTTTAACACTATATTATCTTCTTCCAGCTGAACTAGCCAGTAAAAAAAGTCTGAGGCCGTAATACGGGAAACGTGTATTTATGCCCTATAGAAATCACTTAAAAAGACATATAGAAATTTATTAGAATAAAGCCACCCACCAAATAATGTTTTAATAAATATCCCTGATAAGACCTAGAAATACGCTAAGAAATAGCTTATAGCAACCATATTGCCCCTAGCATGTACGATTTCCTTCCATCTGAAGACAAAGGACACAGGTTATCAAGCTTGGGAGCGGTTCTGTTATGATTCTAAGAATATGAAACCAGTAATAGATATATGCAAAGATCAAGATAAAAGGCCTAGGATTCGTGATTAGGATTTTGGGCTCAAGGAGGTGGTGAGTAATTTTAATTATGATTAATACTATAATTCGTTACGTAGAATGTTTCCTGCAGTTAAATGATTTCGATATTTCTTATATTTTTGATATTACATAAAGTATTGATATATCTGAAAATCGATAGACTCAAAAAGACCCAGAAAGTTGATAAATGCGAACTTGATTAGTATTTCGACATTCGATTAAGGATGGCCGTTGAAATTGACATTGAATGTCATGTGATCGTACCAAGACAATTAGATCTTCGTGAGCTGGGCGATCACTGTTCGGAGTCACCAATTGGAAGGGTTTTAGAAGGGCTCTAAGCACTAGACTGCATATATGTAAGTACCTAGAGTACATGTATCCCTTGGACGGATGAAAGTTGTCAAATTCGCGACCACACTCTTTCAGCTATCACTAGCCTAATATAGCAATTGTTGGAAATTCTTGATTGGTTCTGTTGTTGTTTCTAACCGTAAAAAGCAAGATAATTCCCTTACTAAGTGGTGCACGGTCCAGGTCGCGAATTTGACAACTTTCATCCGTCCAAGGGATAGTACTTTGCACACATGTACTCTACCTAGTATTGCTCTACTACACAACCGGCATTACATACACACAAAAAATAGCCAAGACAACCTTTTTGTATGGCATGCAATAGCAGTGGTGTTCACAAACGCTATGAATAGACGAGTACATACAGCACAAGTGTCAGGAGCTTGGCATCATCGTGAAAATAGCCACAGCCATGAATGACGCGTTACCTATTCGAACTCCCAATGCTTGACCCTGGTGCCTTCACCACTTTGAAAATTTCATCCAGCCGAGCTTGACTTGGTGCGAAGAAATCACTAGAACGATCCCTGGTGTACTGTATGTACCTATGTATGCGCATACATACATGTATGCAAACCAACCTCCCTTGCTGCGCGTGCATATCTGGGGTAACTGTGTGTGGAGCAATCAAAAAGAAAAAACAGTTCTTCCTCATGAATCAAAACATAAGAAGTCACTCGTTCATGAATCACTCGTGTTCATACTGGTCTGCTTGATTTCCACTTCAAGTTAACCCTTAGCATTACAGACGTTTAGAATTGTACGGAATAGACGGAAAAAGTGGCATGCAAAGAGCTAAAAAAAAAAAGAGCAAGGAAAAAAAAAAAAAACTGTAGGCCCAAACCCAAGCCTAAGGTTATATGGAAGAACATAGTCCAAGACTATTCGTTATTCCCTTCCTGCAACAATGATCCTCTTTTCCACCACCCGCTAATATAATGTTTGAAGGAAAAAGAGAGAAAAAAAGAATAAAGTCATCGGCACTTCCCACACAGCTGTCCCACTCCTGCACAGACTAGCCCAGCCCTTCCACACCAATGGAATCATATTCTTCCCGAATACCAAGAAAGCAAGATAAGAGTTAAGATTAGAAAGAAAAAAAAGAAAACACCAGCTCGACGTCCCCCTCGAAAACCAGAAATCAAGCAAACGCGCCAGATAGAATCAGAGCGGGACATAAATGATAGATAGCTTTGAGTGATATCTTTCCTCGCAAAAACAACAACACCGCCGTCCCGAGGAGGTACGAGAAAAAAGAAGTTATACTGAAAGTAGTGACAGAAAAAAGTAATATAGACTAAAAAGAATTAACGTAAAAGGATATGAAACGAATAACGACCTTTTTTTACTCCTTATTCACCAGTAATTGACCACGAACACCCCCCATTCCAATTTCCTTGCTGTTCTGTTGCCGAAAAGTCGCGAAATCCATAAAAATAAAACGAGGAGTAAAAGGGAATGGTCGGTAAGGTCATAGACAGAAAGTAATGATGCTCCTTATGTGATACATTATAGTCTCCATGCCGATGTATTTATTCTCAGGCCTATGCCGGTCCCATCGATGGCCAGAATTGAAAGTGTTTGATGATAAGAGAGAAAGAAAAAAAACAGGGTATTCGAGAAATGTTTGATGGTAGTGGGAGATAATTTTGTTGAGCGTTGCGAGATTCGTTTCGGTAAGTTGGAAAGGTTCCTGCCCCATGGACTAGCAGATGACGCAGCAGTTAGGTCCGCTTTGCTGAGGCGCGTATGGGTCTTCACGTTTGTCGACCTAGTAATGAGAAAAGAATAGAGTAAGTAAAGGCATCTAAGACTGAATCACGTGGGTCTAAAAGTGGTCAAAAGTATGGAATACGATGTGACAAAGGCGTGTTGGTTTGAATGGAAATACGATAGAAGGATGCAAGAGCGGGAAAGCAGTGAAGTAAATATAAACTTACCGATCCCCAAGTCGATGGTACCATAAAGTCTTTAGTAGTTTTTGTGTAGTTGATCATCCTGAAACGAGAATGTCAGCATGGTAAGCGTTGGTAAAAAAGTTGTGAACTTGTGATGATAACATGTAATCATATTGATAACTTCAAGACATCATCGAGAAGTAAACTTGAAGATATCATAAACAAGTGAATAGGAAAATGGAAGACATACGATTGACAAGCCTCTGACACCTTCACTCGTGGTCTATCCAGATCCTCCCTCAGCCTTGCATTTAACTCTGTTAATCGTCTCAACTTCAACTCCGCCATCGTTTGTTTCTTCTCTTTTCCAGCAACCCCAGAATTATTATTATTATGAAGAGGCATCTCGTCTCTTGAGAACTGTGCCGAACGTTGTGAATGAAGGATTTAGTTCTAGCTGTCAGAGTTCGGAAGATAGCGGTGAGTGTTTAGGGCCACAGGATGATTCGTTAGGGGTACCGACACTAGAAGAGAGTACAAGGTAAAAGAAAAGAAGGGGGTAACGCGAAATATTATTGAGCAGTGTGCAGTTTTCTTGAAGGAGAGGCTGAAGGTCGGATTTAGTAATGACTGGTAAGGAAACGTTCGAGAAGAGATCTTCTACCGTTTGTTTGAAAGGGGGCTCTTGGTTGTGATTATGGGGGTTGGAGTGGACAGTGGACAGGTGATGAGTGGCAGCAGCAGCAGCGGCGGCAGCAGCAACAGCGGAAGGCGAGCGAGCAGTCAGTCAGCTGGGGGGGGGGGGGGGGTGGGGGAGGCGAGAAGGCAGACTGGTTGTGTCAGTTGTGTTAGTGGGAAAAAGGAGAACAATGTATCGCTACCGCGACAGGATTGTACGGTGATGGCTTAGTGCGATGAAGGGTGGAGGGTGGGCAAAGTGCCTGAGAAGAGGAAGGCCTCGGTACTGCGGTAGAGTACTGTGGTACTGCGGTACTCTCGGAACGGGCGAAGAGGGGTTGAATGCTTCTAGGGTACTTCTAGTACTTACTTTACCTTGTCGACGACTCGGTCTATCCCACAGTAATATACAGACTGAATACACTTGGGAAACAACAAAACAAGATCTACTGAACCTTTTCACCTACTTACTTTACTGCTCGTTAAACGGTCCTCCAACGTGTATGTATGTGGGTAATTATCACTGCAGACGGGCGAGCAAGAGCGGGATGGGCAGGAGGAAAACCCGAACGGTTGGCTCAGGGGGTGTGAGGGATGAAGGCGATTTGCTGAGCAAGACCTACTAGGTACTTAGTAGATACTTTAGATAGGCACGGACAACGATTCTTGACGAGCAGCACAGAAGGGGAAGACTCTGAAATTTCGGGTCTGGTGCTGGGGCAACGGTAGGGAGAGACTCTGGAGAGAACTGGGGAGAGTGGTTTCCACCAGTACTAAAACGGGCCAGCATACCCCAAGCTGGGAATAGCGTACTAGTATTAGGCAGCGCAATGGGGATAGGCCTGTCGCAACACCGTGCAGGCTGAAGAAGAAGGAGGACTGCATTTCTGCGACTACCAAGGGAGTAGGCAGAACGCCTGGAAATGGAAGAGCATCCACCTCTTTGAATATTCAACATCCCCGCAACGTAGTGGCCTGAACTGCGAAGGATTCCCGAAAGAAAAAAAAGGGCCCGAAAAAAGAAGGAGCAACAGTTCCACACCAAATTCCGAGACCTCCGGGCTTTTATTCGTTTATATAAAACAAATAAGCGTCGCAGCTAAGTACATGTAGGTGCAATTATGCTTCAGCTGGTCTTCTTGAATATCAGAGTACCTTTTGTTCCTCCTCGGGGGCATGCCAAAGCTTGCATCATACCTACATGTAGGTACATGTACTTTATATATACCAAAATCAGATCTGGGGGTGTTCGGACGGTAGGTACAGTGTCTACATACAAGTATGTAGTAATTTGAGAGACAATGGCGTGGATTGAGGCGAGGTGATTCATCATCCATCTTCTAGATAGGTTGACATCAACGAGGATTGTTAGGCGAGCTTTGAAACGAGAAGTTCGTGCTCTCATAATTCAAAACAGATGCCTACATAATATACAAAAATATATCATGGTAGAAAGTCTTATGCATATTTAGAAGCAAAAGATAACCCTTCCAACTCTTCTATCTCTCCCATCGTAGTTACGGTACATAAGCTTTTGAATGCTTAGAGCAGTCACAGAACGCACGAAGAATGATGATATTACCTAAGGCAGCAAATTTGCGTAAAAGGTTGCTTTGGCAAAAGGTCAAAAATTTACCCTTTTTGGCGTTTCGCTAAGGAAAAAATTACACTAGTCTCATCATCAATCTTCAACCACACAGAACTTTCGCTACCTCAACTGCTACAGTTATCATCGCCATCAACCACCGACCACCAAAAATCGATCTCAGCTCTGGAAAATTTGGTTAATTCATAAATTTCCATTCTGCTGTGGTTAGTCTACCATCATGGCCCCCCCTCCTCACGCAAAGCCTGAGAATGTTCTCAAGGTTCGTTATCCCTCCACCATACCCCACCTACCCCACCCCCCATAATATTAACATTGCTAATCCATCCCATCACAGCGTGCGCAAGAGCTTGTCGCTGTAAACAAGAATTCAGGTGCTCTCGAGCTCCTTCACGAACATGTCACCTCCAAGCGGTCCCGTAACTCTCCAATCGCATCATTGGAACCTGTTATGATCCTCTTCGTAGAGCTTTGTGTGAGCCTAAGGAAAGGAAAGACGGCAAAGGATGGATTATATCAATACAAGAATATTGCTCAGAACACGAGCGTACAGACTATCGAGGTTTGCAACCCTCTTCGAATGCTAAACTACTTCCGTTGACACATGCCAGTTGGTTCTTCGTAGGTTCATCGAACTCGCCGAGGCAAAGGTTACTGAAGCCCAGGAACGGGCTGAGCAAATTACGGTTGATGCGATTGACGACCTTGAGGCCTCTGAGACCCCTGAATCTATTATGCTGTCTACAGTTTCCGGAGAACAATCCAGGGACCGCACTGACAGAGCCGTTGTCACTCCTTGGCTAAAATTCTTGTGGGAGACATATCGCACCGTTCTCGATATCCTCCGCAACAATGCCCGTCTCGAGATTATGTATCAGAGCACCGCCTTGCAAGCGTTTCAATTTTGCTTGAAATACACTCGTAAAACCGAGTTCAGAAGACTTTGCGAACTTTTGAGGAACCACGTTCAAAATGCAGCCAAGTATTCAACTCAAATGCATGCCATCAACTTGAATGACCCTGATACACTCCAGCGCCATCTTGACACTCGCTTCCAGCAACTTAACGTGGCCGTTGAGCTTGAATTATGGCAGGAAGCTTTCCGATCTGTAGAGGATATTCACACCCTTCTCAATCTTAGCAAGAGGCCTGCAAAGAACGTCATGATGGCGAATTACTACGAGAAGTTGACCCGTATCTTCTTGGTATCGGACAATTACCTATTTCACGCTGCAGCCTGGAGCAGATATTACAGTCTTCTCCGAACTAGCGCGGCTCAGGTTGCCGCTGGTCAGTCTACAAAGAAGGATTCTCCTGCGACCACCGAAGCTGATCTTAGCCGTGCCGCTTCTCTGTATCTTCTGGCTGCCCTCTCTATTCCCGTCATCAGCCAGGCTCGCTCCAAGGGCGCTCTAGTTGATGTTGACGAGGCCAAGAGAAACAAGAATACTCGTTTGACTAACCTCCTTGGCATGGCCAGGGCTCCTACTCGTGCTGGACTGTTTAAAGACGCCATCGGCAAGGGAGCACTTAAGCGTGCAAGACCGGAAATCCGTGATCTTTACAGCATCCTTGAGGTCGACTTCCACCCTCTTAGCATTTGCAAGAAGATCTCTCCGATCCTCACGCAGATTGCAGCGGAGCCCGATATGAAGCCGTACGTTTTGCCGCTTCAGCAAGTAATTCTTACCAGATTGTTCCAGCAGCTTTCTCAGGTTTACGACACTGTTCAGCTGAGCTTCGTCATCAGTTTGGCCTCTTTCCCTGCGCCTTTTGAAGTTACACCTTCTGTCATCGAAAAATTCATCATGAATGGCTGTAAAAAGGGTGATTTGTCAATTCGCATCGATCACGCTGCGGGTGTTCTGACATTCGAGTCCGACATCTTTTCTTCTACAAAGCCCCTCCATACCGGCTCTCCAACCGGATCTGCTGAGAAGGAGACAATGTCCGTCCAGAAACTCCAGAGCACTCCCTCGGAGATTGTTCGCACACAGCTTTCTCGACTTGCAAAAGCTCTTTATCTTACTGTCTCTCACGTTGATCCCGAGTTTCAGCAAGCTCGTCTTGAGGCTAAAGAAGCAGCCTACGCTAGAGCTCAAGCCGGTGCCCAGAAGGAACACGAGGAAGCTCTTGCCAGGAGAACTATCATTGAGAAGAAGAAGGAAGCTGCTGAAAGCGCCCTACTCAAGAAGGAGAAGGAGGAGGCACAGCAGCGTATGATCCGCGCTGAGGAGGCACGTGCCGCCGAAGCTGCTCGTGTCGCGGAGCAGCAGAAGAAACGTGAACTAGAGAGGCTCAGGCAGGAGCAGGAAAAGATTCGCAAGGAGGAGTTGAAAAAACAATTAGATGAATTGTCCCTCGATACCAAGATTGACGTTGAGAATCTTGAGGACCTTGACAGCAACCAACTGAGAGCCATGAAACTCGCACAGCTTGAGAAGGAAAAGAGGGAAATGGCCGATAAACTGAGAATCACTGGGAAGAGGATCGACCATCTTGAGCGTGCTTATCGCCGGGAAGAAGTCAAAATTTTGCCCCAAGATCTTGAAAGGCAGAGAGCTGAGGATTTGGCTGCCTATGAAGAGAAAAAGAGAATTACTCTCGAGAACTCTAAGAAACAGCACGAAGATGCTGTTGCATTGAAGAAGCGCCTGGGCAGGCTTGTAGTTCCTTACGAGAGGTTCAGGGACGAAATTAAACAACAGAGACACCAAGAGTTTGAACAGAGAAGGAGGACAGCCGAGAAACAACTCAGGGCCGAGATGGAGAAGAGGAGACAGGACGTCCGCGCTGAGAGAGAGAGAAAGAGGATTGCAGAGGAAGCTGCGGAAAGAAGAAGAATAGAGGAGGAGGAGAGAGAACGCCAGGAAGAGGAGGAGAGACGGAAGAAGGAGGAGGAGCTTAGGGCTAAAATGGCGGAGGAGAAGATCAAGCGTGAAGAGGAGAGGAAGTATGTCTTCTTTCTCTTATATATCTATTCATTTATGCTCATACTAACTCAACTGTTTTAGGAAACTTGATGAAATTGCCGCAAAACAACGTCAACGTGAGCAAGAAGCCGAAGAACGCAGAGCTCGCGAGAAGCTCGAACGTGATAGCTTTAAGCGTCCTTCTGCGCCCGAAACCACTACACCAGAATCTGGAGGCGGTGGTCGTTGGGTCGCACCCGTACGTGGAGGAGGTTGGCGTGACCGTGTCGCTGCGAAGGGAGGTGATGTGGACTCCACCCCACCACCCCCTCCGGTCAATGGTTCCGGTGCCGCCCCCCCTTTAAGCGCTCCTACCGAGCGTAGAAGGCTGAACATTGCACCACGTACCGCGCCTATCGCCAGGGAAGAGGTACCTCCGCCTCAAGCCGCCCCCGCCCGGGAGGTCGAGAGGCCCGCTGCTGATGGGCCTTCCGCGGATGCCAGACCTGGTGTTTATAGACCTGGGGCTATCAGTGGTCGCAAATTGCAGGCAGAAAGACCGGAATCTCCAGCCGCCGTTGCTGATGGTGAAAAGCCTGCCCCCAAGAGTAAATACATCCCTCCTAGTCAAAGGAAGGAAGCTTCAAGTGGAGGTGGCGGTTGGGGAAGAAGGGGTTAAACCTTTTTTCGCATTTCCTTTTGTTTTAGTTTAGTCGATTTTCTATTGTGAAAAATCATAGAAAACCAAACAAACAGGGATGGGACATAGGGAAACCAAAAAAAAAAAAACCGAAAAAAAAACCAAAAAAACTAAAAGCAAGTTTTCGAATCGCGAGTTGGGTTTTGGTTTGGATGGTGGGTAGTTTTCTTTCTTCGTTTTACGGAATTACTCCCTGGTCACGGTCATCGTGTTTGCGTATTGGGCGGAAAGTTGGGTTTTTACGTTAAATTAGTACCTACATTTCCCCTTTCAAACATCATTTGTCTTATTATGAGATTCGCCCACACTCACTGCCTGTGGAGATGAGACCATGTGATGTGATATGTTTCATTTGGTTAGCTTTTCGTGTTCGTAGTGTAATTAAGCCGATAAAGACGGTGGCAATTCTTATTATTCGTTGTTGGTAGTGCTAAATCTATATATGATATGAAAAATGATATTTATGCTAAGTATCATAATTCTTACGTATCCGACCTTTGGGTTTGTTATTTTCATCATTGGAATCTTCGCAACTTCTTGTAGATAGCCCGGCCGGTATACCAATCGGTGAATCTGTTGATTCTCGTGAGGAAGTGGGGAGCTGGAAACAAAGTCTCCCATATAATATATACATGCATAGTACAGCCAGAACTCCCGTAACCTAAGAAATAATAGGATAGGATTTAATCTACTATCAGGAGAGTTTGATGGTGTCTAGTGTCAACCATGCTTCGCATTATCATTGTTTGGAGACGTCTTTCGAGCTTCTTCGATCATAGCATCGATCCCCTTCGACTTAAGTGCTTTCTACGGATATTTAGTAATTATTTGAAGAGGCGAGCGTAAGGTTTGAAGCTCACATTAAGACATATTTGATATTCCTTGAACAAATCCTTACACTCGTCCGTCTGAGACTCCCCTCTCAAGTACTCTAGAAGTTTGCCTGAGTCAGTTCCCTGGATATTGCGCCACAAGCTTTCTGCCAAAGAGGGTCCAGTACTTTCCGAATACCACTTTATGAAACAGGTATCATAACGTTCCTTTTTCTCCGAGCATTCCTGTATCGGGAGAACCTTGTTAGAGGCTACGTGAAAAAAATCGTTGAATTGGTGACGCATGGTTTTCTTTTCTTTCCTTTTCTTTTCCTTTTTGACTACTTCGTCTTTTAGTTTGTACTTACTGGATCTATAGAGGCAGACATTGCCTTTGCTTTTTTATAAGAAACGGTTAAAAGGATTTGGTGGTACGACTATGTGGTGATTTTCGTTCTGGATTGAGGATGGAGTGATGTCCTGTTACGGAAAAACGTTTTTCCGTGAAGGTAGCAGGGGTTTGACAACTGCAAAGTCCATTGTCGTCCCACTTTCATGGTCTATGTAAGAATGATATGACCATGTTATGATATCGTCGAGTAGACTCAGACCCCACTGAATATTTTGTTTCCGGAAGAACTACGTGTATACACTACATGTACTCTGTACTCCTTACTTTATATTCTTGCATCTCATCTTTTAACGACCACCTATTAAGTCCCATGGAAAATACATGCAGTACTTGGTAAGGAACCTATATGAATTTTATAAAGCGAGTGATTTGGACCAGGCCGATCATGTTCAATTACAATCTTCGCAGGCCACATTACTCCCGTCTTTTGGGGCACATGCGGGGTTAGTTTGCTGGGCCTGTCCTGCCTGCTCTCCCTGTGTTTCGTTTGTTTCCCTTACTACAGACGATAGCACTATTTCTGTACTTGGCTTTTTCTTTCCATCAACATGCCCGAGATCCCTACTGGGGTCTATCACATCACGCACTCGCTTTTTGAGTTCCTAAAAAGCTATGAGTAAGCGACAAAGCCTTATTTATATTGCTAATAGCCTCGATTTTGGCACGAACCTTTGTTTCGGGGAATCCGCCATCAATTTTTCTATCCCAAAGGACAGTTTTTACAGTCGCCGACCCATCTTCGGATATTGAAGCTGGGTTTTGGTGATGTATCTCGACTATGAACACACCACCTGTTGCCGGAAGCAGTGAGACCTCACCTAAAGAGGTTGAGAATGTAGAAAGAAGCTCTTGAGCGAACTATCATCCGTAAGAGTTGGGCCAAGAGTATTTCCGGAAAAGCCCACTCACATAAGCAGCACCTAAAGAAACCTATAAGCGACCATCAAGGACACAAGGGAAATCCAATTACCTGTACGTACGCAGAAGCCATTTGCACTGTGTACAAAATTGTATTGTCACACGTGGATATTTAATGCTTTCCATCTTCAGTTGGGGTTTGCGGATAGTTGGTGGTCTCGAGGGGGCTCCACGGTTGTTACTTGTTGAGGGGAACCCAGTTTAGCGTGACGCCATTTATACATGTAGGAGAGTACATACAGTCGCACCTCGCTATCTCGTAATTCGATATCTCTTGCTGTCTCGTACGAATTTGCGAGACAGGTACTGCCCTTCTCCACCAAAAACTATTTGCTGTCTCGTATATTTGCTATCTCGTAGGGGTTTGGCTCCCAGAATACGCTAACGACATAACGAGGTGCGACTGTACATGTTAGGTGTCATCATAGATCACTCGAATTGTACCTACGTATCATGTGTTGGACTTAAGTACCCCAACAGAGCTGTACTTAAGCTCCAACGTCTTGCCTTCTCATCATCCCTCCACCTTACCCCACCAACCTGCTAGATTTCGAACCCCACCACCAACAACTATCAAATACTCTCAACCAAATTCCTCTGTTCAATCTTAATTCTTCGAATAGGCCTCGGTCTCAAAGAATTGTGCCGGAGACAAATATACTCTTTCTGGGGATTACGTACTGTACCCCATCGTCTATTATTTACCACATGATCCTAACTAAGCCCTACGATTCAAAGTAGATGAAAATGGAGAATGCTCTCTTTAAACCCAGAATGCTAAATCCAAGAAGTTTTATTCCAACGAGTTCCAAAGATCCTTTAACTGGAACCCTAGTAATTCGAAAAGACTATCTTACTCTACCAAAGAACAGCAAGTGCGGGATCCCTGGCATCTTCCAAATTCCGGTTGATGAAAGGGGCTTATGTAGTCTATCCTACGATTTAGTTACTAAAGGTGTATCATTTGCTGGACATGACATTGTCCGCTGTATCGTTACTCCAGCATCCGATATAACTGTTATCCCCTGTGATCTCAGCGCTTTTATTACAGAAGAGAGTGGATTTCAAATTGAGAAGACCAATTTTTTTCTTCAGTCGTCCGAAGACAACAAATTCACTAGAATGACTGGCGAATCCACTAGGGTAAATCTTGGCCTAGTGCTCCGGAGTGCCAGAGATTTGACTCAAAGATTTCAAATCGATGGCGTAGTTTTATTAAACCCTGGACTTTCGATCCAGCTTCCGCCTGAGGGTATACCTGTATGTCAACTTGGAATGGACTTCATCACTAAGTATCCATATCTTTTTTATGTGCCTAGGCCCGATCCTTCTGGGACGATAGACTTTATGATTGCAAAGGATCCATTTGCCTCTAGGCCCTACAGCGTTAACGAACAATTTTACAAGACAGTCATCGTTCATGTCGATGGATACTATGACAAAGATATAGGAAAGATTGGATATGGGGTCTTTTTTAAATCCGGTTCTGTTTTCAACATGCTATCAGGTGTAAGCATGTACGATAAATCTGGAAAAAAATATACGTCAAAGCTCAGGGAACGCGGAATATTGATGGCCATAATCAAGACGCTTCATGTTGTTAGCGCCTTTCCTATTGGTCGCGACTTTAGAGGTGTTGTTATCAAAAGTACCGACCCTTCTATCGCCAGGTTGATGGCTGTGACACAGGTTACAATGAAGAATATTTTCACAAATTCAAGGAGAATTAATGATGACGATTTTGATCCTATGGAAGGAGGTTACTACTACCCTAACGCCAATAGGGATTTGATGCTTTATTTCTGTCGTACATTCCTTCGAAAAGAACTTGGGTTCAAGATTGTTTTCGAGGACTCAAAGGTCTGCGGCGAAGCACAGGCAGCGAATATGCTAGCCATTACTGCATCTCAGATGGAGGAGTTTTCTGTGACGAAGAGACTTGATAACCCGATCAACAATAGTGTTTGGTCATCTACGCAGGCTCGATCTAGAGAGATGAATAAAGCAACTTGTTCTGGCATAACTTCCTTATCAGATAACGTCAGTTTAGAGGGAAACCCTCTGTATATCAGTCTTGGGCTCGATGGGTACTTCAGCATTGAACAGAGTAAAGTCCACGCAATAATGAAAGCCGCAGATTTAGCGGGTATGGATTCCCAAGAAAAGGTAGAGAAGCCCACAGATCTGTCTTTAGACAAAAAACACATCTCTATTTCAAAGCCGGCAGCGGATACAAAAATCAAACTTGAAGAAAAAATAGATATCGCCACCAACGCAAAGCCGGCCGTTGTCGATGAAGGATATCATAGGTATGGGAAAGGAAAGATGAAAGAGGAATTAACATTCGCAAAATCAAAATTGGAATATAGTCATGAGATACAAACGGATGACCCAGTGCTGAAGAAAATGGAAATGAGGATTCTGGATGAGGCGGGTGCCAGAATTTCGGAAGCCAAGAATGAAGGAAAGAACAAGTATCTCAGTGCCGAAAAGCAGATGGTGATTCAAATGCAACATATTGCTGAGGAAGGCCTAGTGAAACAGCAATTAGTTAACAAGCAAATCGACGACGAGCTTGCTGCGACTAAGGCAGGTTTCAACAAGAAACGCGAACTCATCGTGAACGAAACTAGAGCAAAAATCGATACGATCAACGCAGAAGTAGCCCGGTGCCTGGAGTTGGTTGGCCTAAAGGTCCTCGAGGATGCTGGCAAAAATCGATCCATGTCCAAGGGAAAAATGAAGGAAGGGACAGAGTGGTCTAGAAATAATGCATCGAAAAGATTTCGGCCACTCAGGGTCAATTATAATACAGAGTCTGAGTAGTATTGTCGAATCGCCAGGCGCGCCTATCAATAATCACTTATTGAGGGAGTTTACAGGTGGATTTTTTTTTAAGGTTAGCTATGCTATTAGGGGTCATTGTAATCGTTGTATTGTGCGCATGCAGGTAAGTTTACTAATTGGTACTTTTTTTTTATTTCCTCTGTAGAGGGAGTAATTGATCGATATCACTGTAACTGGGAGCTTTACTTGCCATAGACTCATATAGCAATAATACCAAAAGAAATTCTACAAAATACTTTGACCATTGACGATGACATGCCAAATAGTTCAAGGTTATTGTAGGTATATACAATAGAAATACCGACGTACATACTGCATACATGCATGGTTAGCCATACGTGGGGGGGGGGGGGGGGTCTAACAAGTAATATTGCATGCCCAGTACCTAGATCAACTAAACATGTATGTATGTAGATTGAATCTTTGATATGGACTCTGGGGTATCAGCCGGTTGGACAAGTACTCTGCTATGTATGCATGTATCTAATACCTTGTAACTCAGAGACCTCAGTTCAATACATGTTTGTTCCAATCGGAATGGAAAATAAACGCAACCCTGACCATGGTACCATACTGTGTATTGCTTGCATGGAAGCGAGGTCTGACACCCTGGTCTAATAAGCATTCAGTTAGTATTCCGGCCGCCCCCATAGAAACATAATACCGGGAGAACGTCTCGATAGCCGACGCCTAAATATGGATTTCTGAATTGCGGATCCCGTGAGAGAAAAAAAAAGAAAGAAATCATACTCCACTGACAAGTTACACCATGTGTGTTTGAGAATCTGAACACCTATCTCATGATGTCAATGGCTCAATATCCAACCAGGCAACATCGTGGCAAGGAAGGCGGTAAAAATAGTTCCCAGGTACTTGTCGTTGACGGCTACCTACCTACATGCCGCATCTGCCCATGAGGCGCACGCGAAGCTTTCCCGCTGCGGACCCCCATTGTACAAGATTAAAACGTGGGCAGTGGAAAATGCTAGTAGAGTACATAGGCGCGCCGGGACCATCATTGTCTGTGCCTGGAGGCGTTTATTACCGTGCAAACATGCCCCCCCCTCGTGGCGGTTATATAAGGCTGGGGTCGCTTCAAAAGCCCAAGGGGTATAAGTTCACGTTATATATATACCACGGCATTGGACGGCATAGACAAAACTGTGGTTGAGGTGAGTGACCGTGCTGATAGCTTGGCTATGAAAAATGGTATGCTTTGAAGCCTCACCCGGAATATAGCATTTTAAACTTCACCGTAAGTTAGGGGATCAAGGGAGCGTATAAGAAATTATGGTTTGGCAGCCGTGCTGCTACTGCGTGCTTCGGACTGTAAAGAGCCTAATACATGTATCGGAGTAGGTGTCTGGGGTTGTTATTCTCTCCCTACATACATGTAGCTACGTAGTACGAGTGACTGAAACTCTAGTTAAGTTGACTTAGGAATTAGACTGATATTTACTGATTCCCCCACTTTCTCCCCATTACATAGCTTGGGTACTCGTTCTTAATGTGTTTCTTTTATCGCTGTTGCTGATCTATGATAGCGAAAATATATCAATCCACGTCACCGATCTGGTACAAATATATTACCCCACGTTATTGAGCCATGTGGGAGAGGGGGGAAAAGGTGGGGCGGATTGATCAGCCGGTGTCTCTAATAGCATACAAAACCTATATCTATATACCAAGAAGATATAATGCTCAGGAGAGGTATGAGTACATGCACTTCTACATCTCTCCGTGTGTTTCACGGTCAGTCTCTATTTGGGAGGCTGGCCACGAAGACAGCCCGCTCATTAGTAAACATAATCCTTACTTGAGTCTCGTCTGGCTGTCAAGTCACTCGTGTTTGTGATCCATCTCCCTCTATTTTGATAAATCCATATTTTTTTAAGTAGTTAGAATTGCTGAATATCACCGCATCGCCCTGGACCTAACAACATGTCGCAGCTTTTACGGAAACAGACGAAGGGATAAATACTGTACCGTAAGAATTGAACCAATTATATGGTGATTGTCTGTGCTGAGAGATAAATACATCCTAGATGCAGAGGTAGTTGATACATGCGCTTTCCAAATTCCGGTTGCTCCGCTCTTCGGCCCGCCGGGTAGAATATATTAATTAATGAAGCAAAAGTAAATATGGGAAATGGTGTCCGTCGATTGTGATCAATTGTACCTTTAGGATGAAAAGTAACCAAAAGTAAAGGCCCTTTTCCTTATCGCGAGAGGATGTGTAAATGGCTGGTGGTTAGCGTTTTCTTGGGAGAACCAAAGTTTGAGTCTGACCCAAAGCTGTCACCACTGCATGATGCGCAAAATCACAACAATAATATGGGGATTGTTTCGAGTGTCGCTTTGTCGGTGCAGCAAAGCGTCAACAGAAGAAGAAAAAAGCCTCCAGCGGTTCGGTTCGTGCAGTTATCACTCACCAGTGGTATCATAGATATTTTTGTTTGCGTTGTTGAAACCCAAGAGCCCTTTACGAATGCAGCGATCATGCAGCTGGATCGGCAAGGTGGACCCTTTTAAATCGTTAAGGCGGCCTTGCGGACGCTGTGCGCATTCGCCACGTTTTCCGAGACAGCAAGCCCCTGACCCTGCCACATAGCACAGAAACCCAGGGAGGTAGGGCAGGTATGTGACAAAAGAATATAATTCCCTTGCCTTTCCTGCCTGGATCCCCGTACCTTCTGACGTTGACAGTTCCCGTTGAATCTGAAGAGCTCCGTCGTGCTGCACCCTTTTCCATTCCACTCTTACCTACATCCTGATTCTCAATTCCGGTGCTGGTGTTCCTCTTCCCCGTGCAACAACAACCCACTTCCCTGTGAAACGACAATAAAGAAAGTCACAAGAGAATAATAGCCTCTGCGGTCGTTTCACCTTGTTGCTTGCTCAGCCCATTTATCTTCCGTATCTCGGTAAGGCTCGTTCCGTCACTTGAATCAACAACCCCTTATTAAAACTCCTTGGTCCCACCTACCAACTCTCGACTCTCAATCCCTTCTTCATCAACAGTACACAGCTCGGTTTTTTCTTTCAAAACTTGCTCGGCCACCACCTATCTTCACACAAACCCACCTCACTTTACTATATGCCTACTTCGCTTGAATCTTCCACGCCAATGATTGTGAGTTCCCCGCTTTATATTCCGTCTGGTTTAAAATTTCCCTTGCGGTAATCTTTCTTTTCCGCAATGAACTCTTTTTTCTAATGCAGTTCTTCATTTAGTCCAAGAGAGATACCCGTCGGTTTTCGACCTACACAAACGTTTCCTCGGACCCATCTATCGCTGGTTCTGAAAAGGCGGCTTTTTTCGAAATCGAATCTGGCTTACGCAGAATGGAGGACAGACGCTTGATGAGCCAGCGATTTGTGCCCACCGAACAGAAAAGTGAAATGATCTCAAAGTTGGCCCTGGGTGCTAAGTTGGAGAGGGCTTTGAGGTGGAGGATGGACAAGCAAGACGCCGTTGCCAGACCACGATCAAAGAGTGGTTAAATCCACTGGGCGGGATTTGGGGGGAGGGGGGATTTGACAATGGGTTTACTTCTGGGCCAAAATATCTATTAGAAAGAGGCATGGAGAATTATTTTGGCGACACAGACCGGACCGACGAACGCACCACACAATTCCATGGGTATTTTTCCATTCATCTGGAGCATTGCGGTGGACCATAGCTGTTGTTGGCGGATTATGTGTGAAAAGGTCACTTTTCGTGGTGCGGGTACATTTTGAGGATATTCATGGTTGGTTAGCGAAACTTGCAAGGTTTCTCTTGCGATTTTTTTTTCTTTCTCCCGCGCTTGTTTGGGATCTTACTTGGTTCTTTCTTTTTCTTTAATGGTCTGCTTCTTTGGCATATTCTCGGAGGATTCATATAGCGGCGGTAGTGTTGTGTTGTTGGTGAGTGGGTGGTGTGGATGTGTGGTTCATGTTGCATGATTATGTGGTTTCCACTGATCTTGTGCTGTACTCTTTAGTCTGCATATGGATTCGATTTGCGGGATCCTTTCTTGATCTGCGAAAATGTGGGGTAAAGGGGAGGTTGCAGATTATTTCGGCTGCATAGAAAAGGGCATACTTCACAACGTTTCGCTCATGTGTTGGTTACGAGTTCCTTTGTTTGCATTTTTACATTTGATATTTTTTTGTTCGTTTTTATGTTCTACGATATGCGCTGCCATTTGGTTGTAAATGTTTTCTTTCTTGCAAGTTAAAGGTTGTCTTTTTCATGTTACATGTATGTTTCATTTTCTTGGCTTGGAGCTGGTCGTAGTGAGAAACGTCTTTCACAAATGACATCGAAGAGAAAACGCCTTGGCATCTGTTTCGCGAATGTTATTGTCATCATCAAGGATTCGCTACACTAAGCGAAAAATCGTTGGATGTGGGATTTTGTGACTTGTGGTTGCTGAAAGTTGGTTTGCAAACACGTAAAGAAGCGGATATACTTGTAAATTCTAATACGAGAAATTCCAGTTTTATATCGTGATTTTGGATACTGTGCTGATTTTATTTTTCTTCTAATAGTTTTTTTTGTATATAGCTTTAAAGTAGTTTGTGCGGGAAAGGACCGGCTACACTAGCAAGCCCCACTCAAAGGGAGGCCTTTTTTTTTTCCCAGTCCTCTTCACAACAACATCGCCCACTCTCTTTCCCTTTCTCCACATCCTCTCGGGACGTTTCATCATCAAAACAATCAACCTGATTTCTCCCAATCTCCATCAACTTCTGTTGATTATCGAATCATCTCTCCAGCCTAACTGAATCTTATTCAGCTTTTGGTGCCCTCTTCCTTTTCCCTTGCGTCGTTTCTTAGATACGCCCACTAGGCATTGACTTGGATTTTCTCACATAAATCCAAACCATCTGGCATAGGTATAATTAATTTTATTTGCTTTCGAATACCTGTCACTTTGCCCCTCAGAGTCTGACGTCGTATTCCCTCCTAACACATCCCTGTAGCGGGGCATTTTCTATATACTTTGACACGGCCTCCATACTCGTTATTTTTTATTTTTTATTTTTTATTTTTTGCTTACCTCCACTACCTCTGATTTAGGCAAACAACTGTCTGCACAAAACTTGAATATGGCGTCTCCTCAGCCCCCCGTTGCGAACACAAATGGTAGCTACCTTCAGCAGGCGGATCCCCAGTCTTTTCAGGCAAACCCAACTGCTGGTACGGCACCCAACTACCAGACACAAAGCGGTGCTCCTCAACAGGCGTCTACCACCGAGTCTGTTCCTAAGGATGAAGTTGGTTGGTATTTCGTAGAGCAGTATTATACCACCTTGAACAAGACACCGGAGCGCCTCCATGTGAGTTCCCGTTCCTCAATTGCTAGTAGAAATAAACTTTACTGACTGTAGGCAATCTATAGCTGTTTTACAACAAGAAATCTTCGTTCGTTTGGGGTACAGAAGGAGAGCTACTCCAGCTTGCTACCGGTCGCCCGGTAATAACACCTAACCTTTCGGTTCTTAAATGATGATCAGAAACACTGACATGATATCATTGTAGGCCATCCAAGAAAAAATCCAGTCCTATGAATTTAAGGACTGTAAGGTCCGTGTCTCCAACGTCGACTCCCAGGCCTCTGCGGACAATGGAATCGTCATTCAAGTTCTTGGTGAAATGAGCAACAATGGCTTGCCAAACCGCAAGTTCTCCCAAACCTTTTTCCTTGCGGAGCAACCTAACGGTTATTACGTCTTGAACGACATCTTCCGTTACTTGAAGGATGATGAGGACATGGAGGAGGGAGAGGATTACGAGGAGGGAGAAGTAGAAGATATCCTAGAAGACCCTGCTGTAGAAGCTGTGGTCAACGAGGCTGTTGAAATTGCTGTTGAGGAATTGGTCGAGGCCATAGAGGATCTGTCTACAAAGGAGACGGTGAAAACTGAGATTGAGATTGAGGACGACAAGATCAAGGTTGAAGAGACCGTTACTGTTGAGCCGGCCCTGCCTGTTGCGGAATCTCAAGATGTCCCGCCTTCAGTTAACGGTAACGTTGAATCTGTTAATGGAGACGCTCCTGCGACTGAACCAGAGGCAAACCCAGAGCCTGAGGCAGAGCCAGAACCAGAACCAGAACCAGAGCCGCAGGTTGAGGAGCCCGCCCCAGCAGCGCCTGTTGTCGAAGCTGTGCCCACCCTAGTCGAGGAGAAGAAAGCAGCCCCCCCAGCTGTGAAGGAGCCTGAACGTGTCCCTACCCCCGTAGCGGTTCCAAAGACAGTACCGGTAACCCCGGCAGCCCCAACACCAGCACCAGCACCGGCACCGGCACCGGCACCCAAAAAAACATGGGCTGATCTTGTTGCTGCTAATGCCAGACCCGCGGTCCCTGTTGCACCAGTTACTCCTGCTCCGAGTGTTCAAACCCAAGCAACATCTACTCCTTCTGCCCCTCTGCCGCTGCTAGTACCGCTGCCGCCACTGCCACTGCCGCCACTTCACCAAGTGCTCCCGCAGCACCTACCGGTGGTTCCCAATGGCAGACCGCTGACAGCAGCAAACGTCGAGCAGCCTCGAGTGCCAACTCTGCCAACCCAACAGCGGCACAAATCAGGAACGTCCCCGAGAGTATTACCCAACAGGCATTGAGAGATGCCCTATCAAAATTCGGATTGAAGAGGTGTGAACTCAATCGACCAAAGGTATTTCTTACAGAGCCTGTATACTTTTCAGGAAGCTAACACGTTCTTAGGGATTTGCTACTATTGATTTTGAGGCCCACTCTGGATTCGCTGCCGCTATAGCAAACCCACTCAAAATTGGCGATGTCACTCTTAACATCGAGGAACGTCGCCGTGCCCCCACTGGGGCTACTGGAGGTCGCGGTGCTGCTTCCGGTAGGGATTATCGATCCAATAGTCAGGGTGGACGCGGAGGATTCACTCCTCGCGAAGGAGGCTACAAAAACGAAGGTCGTGGCGGAGCTCCCGGAGGAGGAAGAGGAGGCTCCAGGGGAGGGTCATACCAAGCAAGAGGTGGTATTAGGGCCGGCGGCGCGCCCACTGGCTCTAACTGAAAATCCTCTACTCGACATTGCGATTTACAGTGGTGAGTTTTCATGTGTTGACTCGGTGTTCAAAAATCTTATAGTGCTTAGAAATTTTGAGCCATACTGGATTCAATAGTGGTCTTGTGTGTTTGACCGTAAAATAGGAAGAAAGGCTACCCTAATATCCTCATCTCTCTTTTCAATCTACTCGGTCTTTTTCCTCTCGAGTAGTTGAAACAATTCTCGTTTGTCCTCATTGCGTGGTAATGTCGCTTTTTTCTTCTTTTTCTTTTTTCTCTTGTTCGCTTCCGCTGTTTATTCTTATCTCCTGGTTTTGGTTTTGGAAATATTGTGTTTCATGTTTCATTTCATTTGCTAGGCTCTTTCAGTCGTCATATTTTGCTATTGAATCAAGCACTGTGGGCGGAATCGTGGAGTTTGGTGGGAGGTACTTACTGGTGGGATGTATTCTTGACTCATTGACAGGCACGTGAAGTGGGGAAGTGTCTTTGTTTTTTCTTTTCTTTTTTTCCCTTCTCTTTCCAAAAAGCTTCGGCGGCTGTTGATCATTTTTCGGTTTGATTGTTCGGGAGGGGGTTTTTTTTCGTCACCTCAGTTCCACTATACCGTGATTCGCTATACCATTATTCTGGGCTGCCGGTGTTTTTTTCTTTGCCGGTTCTTTCAGAAAAAGACCTCATGGTTCGGGCTAGGTCCCCATCCCACCTTATTTCCTTTCCCCTCTGGACGATGCATTGATCGGTGATATTTCGAACTTTCTTTTTCTTTCCTTATTGTCTTGTTTGGGGATACTTGTCGGAAAAGTAAGGAACAAAAAAGGTTGATGGGAGTAGAGTAGGAAAATGGAAAATGGAAAATGGCGTATTTATTGTTGGATTCATGTAATCTCAAAAAACTGGGTAGCTTTACTTGTCTTTAGTAATATCCAAAGCTTAGATTTGCACCATGATTTGAAATTATCTAGGTTTTCGTCAATAATTTACTCTCCATACATTCCAATTTTCTGGAAGCCTTGACCTTTGCTAAGGCCCGCAGATGAAAATGATCCAAGTATTTAGGCCCACCAACGGCTACATATACTGCTTCATACGATCTGACTCGGGACTACCTACTCATAAAGTCCGACTTGAACCAACGTCCTTTCCCCGTAAATACATGTACAAGCCTCCAATAAGTCAGGTGTAGATCGTGATAAAAACTTTAATTTGTATGTTCTAGATATATAGAACGCAGATAAGGTCTATGTGATTTTTTAGCGTCTGACCCTAAACTTTCGTGATATCCTTTATAATTAATGACCACAAATCCTCACTGCTTGTAGTCAATTTATGCCTGTTTATCTAGCGTTGTTTTATTTGTTGATTATCTTGCTATATATACGTGATGGGAGGGTCAAAGATCAGTCACAACACGTCCTATTTATGTCTTACTCCACTACACAGAAGAAACGTTGGGTATTCTAGAGGTGATGTACCTACATACCTACACGATCATGCATGGTTAATCTAAATGTGGGGAAATAAAGGCTTGAACTGGTTCTTCACTGCGTCGGTAGTGTTGTCTCTACTAGTATTTGCTCCCCGAGATGCAGGCGGCTGCAGGTTGACACATCGCCCCCGGTCGTGTGCCCTGTAACCCCTCTCAGGTCACAACACTACGCCGCACCTGCCGTCAGTTGGGACATGCACTGGTACTCGATACCTAGATCGCAGCTGCTCCTCATCCACCTCCCTCCACCTCTCCACCTACGTACTCATACGTTGCTCATCTCCTCCCAGTCCTGCTCCACTTGTTTCCCTGTTACGTCTGTTCCTCCCCCTGCAGACGCACTCAAGAGTCAAAATCCGTGAACCCTTAGAAAGCAGGGTAGAGAGAGTATTTAGGTTCATCACTTTGCCCCGACTAGGACCATCTCGAAGTGAATAGGGTTGGTTTCGCGTCTCTTTGCGTCTCCCGTACCTAGGAACGCCGAACTCGTCGGTGTTTAGTTCCACGAGCTGCTAGCTCTCTCTATCAGTTATCGGATAAACCCCGCTATCGCAACACCTCACAAATATCTCCCCCTCCTCATTCACCCGAAAGCCCTCATCTACCCCGTATCTTAGATCAGCTAGTTTCTTAGAAGAAAAGAATAACAATAATCTGCTCTCTACCACATATTGTCGCATGAGGCCAACTTCATCAGAAGCCCTTAACCAGGGCGTTGTAGGGGCAGGCGGAAGATCAAGGAAATCATCGAGCGCTGAACCGACAATGACTTCTGGCTTTGCCAGCTCTAGCTCAACTACTGGAGAAGATCAGCAGCAGCAGCAACAGCAGCATCATTCGCCGATGCACACGGGTAGCACTTCCATGACCTACTTTCTCGCAGATGAAGCTACTGTAAACGCCTCGGTGGTGGGTTCTGCCAGCGCAAGTGGCACTTTTGGAGTTAGAAGCCTGAATGGTGCTTTGGAGGATGCCGAATCTACTCGTCAGAGGAAGGGGTCTTTTGTATCTACGGTGTCGACTGAGTTTTCCCAGCAGTCGAGAGGTGACAGTGAAGACGAGGAAGATGACGACGACGATGACGAAGAAAGAGATGACGACAGGGCTCTTGACGACCGTTCGGTGGCATCTTTCCAATCATCGATACATCCAAGCTCAGGTTCCACGGGACGTACGCCACCAGAGTTCTTGTCGCAGCCTTTAACTCCTATTCTAGGACCAACGCCAGATCCACAAGGTACACCATTACGAAGCCCATCTGGGAATTCTTATAGGTCTGAAGAGGACGTGATGAGTGAGCCGATGGAAAAGAAAGATCCTGGAAAGAGCCCCGAGAGTTTGCTTTCGCCCGATGCATCTATAGCTCCGCAACTCATCATGCCAGAGATCACGATTCCAAGCAGACGACCCTTTACGCTACGAGGGAAGAATATAGGGAGGTTGAAGGTTTTGATCGCTGGAGATTCCGGTAGGATATTTATTTCATATACCTATGTATCTTTCGTTTTTTACTGTAGCTCGTGGTCTTGCTTACACCTCTTCAGGTATTGGCAAAACATCCTTGATCAAGTCTATTGTGCAGGCTTCAGAGGACATTGTTCATGTCGACCCGATATCCACCGGCGGCTCACAATCGATGTCTCGCAGTAACTCGTCATCCTATTTCTCTGCAAACAACCGCTCCGGTAATGATAGTACAAAAACCATATCGGAAATCTATGCAAGCACCAGGCCATATCCGCATTGGTGGTCAGAGCTGGATGATAGCAAAGTTTTAAGGAGAAGAAAATCCAAACATGTAACAGAAGAACAAATATTGGAGCGGAATTTATGCTTTGTAGATACGCCCGGCTATGGATCCGGTACATCGGTAGGCTTTTTTCTTTCTTTTCTTTTGATATCTTTATTCAATATCCCCCATGAATGTCCTTGAGTATGGCCCGGCAAAGTATTCAAGAAGCTAATGCAAGAGTAACTGCAGTTCCTCGAGTGTATTGAGCCTGTCGTTGGATACGTTGAGGCTCAGATGGAACGTACACGCTCCATTGTAAATAGTGGAGATGGAGAGTTACTTTCCATCCTTTCAGGCAACGGAACGTCACAGGTTGATATAGTGTTTTATGTTATCCTCCACAGTCAGTACCCCCAGTGAATACGTTTGGATGAGGCAGTGCTTATATCACGACGTGTAGGACTCAAACCAGTTGATATCGAATTCATTCGACGCCTCTCACCCTTCACTAATGTTCTACCAGTCATAGCCAAGGCAGATACGTTGACTAGCCAACAAATTAATCATCTCAAGCTATCAATCTTAAACGAACTAGTTGAAGCGGGTGTTCGCCCTTTCCTATTCGGAAAGACATATGGAGATGTTGCACATGGTCTTCTAAACTCGACGCCTTGTGCACCATTCGCGATATCATCAGCACTTTCTAGTGATGCTGAAAATATGGATGCAAGCCTGCTCATGTCACCAGATTATATCGTGCCTCTTGTTGAATCGGAAATTGACGATCTTGTAAGACACGTATTCGATCCGGACAATATCTCTTGGTTGAAACATGCGTCCGCAAAAAAGTACCTTCAGTGGATAGCAAATCCTCCGGCGTCCTCTTCCTCTGCGTTATCATATTCGTCTCGTATAGGTTCCCCGAGGCCCAGTCGGAGGGCATCGCTCTCTACTTCAACGTTTTTATCCGCTTCTAACACAAGCTTGGTGCACATATCGCCTACGGCTAGTCCTCTAGCAGCAAACAACTTCGCTCTTGCTAGAGTTGCAGACCATACCCAACGCGAAGAGCGCTTGGCGCAAGTTCGGCTTACACGTTGGGCACACGAGTTGCAGCGTAGCGTTAAAGCGGAACGGGACCGCTATGAGAGATTAGCCAGGGGTGAACGGGCTATTTGGCTCACTGAGAGGTTAGGCGAGTGTATAGCGGATGGCCAATTGGTGCCCGTTTCAACGGCGACCATGGCATTTGCAAAGTCGTCTGGGCCCTCGCAAGATGTGAGTGGGGTAAATTCCAGGGACCCACTTGGTATTTTGGCGTTGAACGAGATGATCCGGCGCAAGGCAATGGTTCTATTGAGGATTGCAGGGTATGGAGGGGTTGTAGGGTTCGTTGGTGTGTGGGTATTGAGGCATTGGGGAGGACTTCCAGAGTGGCTTTATGCCTCTGCTCAACAGAAATAATTGTGGGGCGGCTTAATGCGCCACATGATTGAACATTTACGTGGAATTTATCATTATTTCTTGTTTCTTTCGTTTTCTCTTCATTTACTTTGGGTAACAAGATGGATTGTGGAGTTCGTCCTTTCTCTTTGGTTTGGGTTGGATTGGTGGTTTTCTTTTGTCTCTTTGCTTCTCAACTACCTACTTAACTCCCCCTTGTTTATCACCCTCGATGGTTTTCTCCCCCTGCTATAGCCGCCACCATGTTTGCTCCCTTCTCTCACCATGACATTTTGTTTCGCGAGTGGCGAATGTGTCCCTGCAGTTTTTCTTGCTGATTAAGAGCTATGTTGACGGGTTATATACAGCATGCACGCAGCACCGGGGGAAGGTTTGTAAAAATTACGATTTATAATGATTCACTCGAGAGATTAATGAATAAAAGAACCGAACGATACTTTGCTCAGGAAAATGGGATTACACTTCCCAGATGCTCGCTTCCCATCCATGCCTTCTCTCCTTTTGTGGACCATTTTTCTTTTCTATTTCTTCATAGTTCCAAAAGTTTCGGATGGTTCATGTCATATAGTTTCTTACTTCTGTAACTTGCTCTCTGCTTCTGTACCTGTATGTACGCGAAGATCTGGACATAGAATCTTTAGGCATAGATGGCGATTGGCGTTACGGGGGGTTGCTTCTGTTAAATACAGAATTTCAATTCATTGTTCAAAGATACTCTCTGCCAAGTGACATCATTTATGAAAAAAGGAATCCTATATGACGCAGAGTGAGTGATATACTGTGACCAGCCCTCCGCTAGCTTCCTCCCCCTCTATTGGTGCTTTCACAATGTAGCTATCGTTACACTAACGGAAGATTTTTCAAAGCTAACGGGCCCGGGGTTGGGACCCTGGGTTAATACATGTAATTTGCTATTAGACACCACGGACTTGATGGAAAAAAAGGAAATCGCCGATAAAAAAAAAAAGGGATATCAGGGCCAAGAAATTTCGGATGCTTTTTGTGATGCAAGCAGAAATGAACTGGGGTGCGTATGTAGAAGCTGATATGGAAAGAGACCACTAATTATACCCCTGAGCTGACTGTTCATCCGAAGTTTTCTTTTCCTGTCGATCCTTTTTTTCCATGGGCTGGCAGGATCCTAGGAAAGTTTCACCTTGGGCCAGGCCCCGTACTCCCTACCTATGGGATGCTGGCAGGAGGAGACTGAGGCGCTTGGCCGCCCGCCGGCCGCAGGATAACCTCCGTATGTATAGTTTATTCCGACTTCACCCTTGGCCCGTAAAATGTTCTCAACTGGCTGGGAGTATGACGATCATTGGCTTTATCTATCTCCCCCTCCCGAGTGTAACTAGGAGGCTTGACTGGAATTGGAACTGATCATATAACTGCAAAAATCATATGTGCAGCGCCGGTGGTATGTGCAGGGTAAGATTTTCCTCGGCGTCTCAGGTACGAGCCTTACACAATTTCCCGGATGCAATTAATGAATTAAACAAAAAAAAAAAAAAAAAAAAAATTTCCCGGTGCCTGGCGGTAGGCCGAGTGATTTTTCATGCAGCTAGAGAAACCGTTTGTGATCAAGCAAGCTTAAAATGCGATGCCTAACCTACCAAGCCATGATTAGTACCCTTGATGTCTAGAAGATATAATTAGCCAAGCTTCTCAAATGTTTCGAAAAGAGATGAAGTGGATGAAGTTTATTCAGAAAGAAAGTGAGAAACGACCCAGTGAAATGTAGGTGCTGAGATAGCTACATCAGGGGTTGAAGCCTGGAAAGAAGAAAATAAAATAAAAAAATATAAAAAAAATTGCTTTCTTTAGGAAGTTTTGTCTTTGTATCACCCAGTACCATTGTGCAGGAAGCCGCAATTGACATCTCCAACTAATTCTTTTTATGATACTCCACCACGGTACCAGGCGGGCAGACGCGTTAAGCGGGTTTTTCCGACATTTCGGGATCCGATGAATCGATTATAACCCCACGATCTTTCCCTGCCATGGCCAGTTGCACCTTGTCGACGACATAATCGGTAGCGGGCTGCAGGGGCACGCAGTTATTGTCTGGGTCATTGCTGGCCTCTGATTGGCCAGTTCTTCTACCATTTGAATGTGGCATAACCCTTTTTACGGGTTAAGCTTCTGAACAGCTCTTTGCATTACTGGCTGTGGCACTCTGTTATTGTTGTACCCCCCCGCTATGATGTAACTGAAACATGGGAGTATCTGAGAGGTTATAAAAAGTAGGGTTATAATTAATTGCTAGCAACGTTCGAGAGTGTTCAAGTAGCCACGAACGAACTCGAGAACATATGCGTGGGGGGTTAAAGTGTAGCCGGGCAACTACCAACTGAGTATGCTATCAATTTGGCTACTGGAAGCGGGACAGGGAACATTGTTATTGAGTCCGTTCAGTCAGAATCATGATAATGTTCAAGGCCACTTACATTGTATACATACATGCGTGTACTCTAGCTATGTAAGCTTATTTCCTTGCGCTCCGTTGTCCCGGGTATTCCGCTGCTATAAATTTACTTTTTTCCTGTTTTACTTCTTCAAGGTCCAGAATTTTAGGTTTGGGGGAGATTCTGGTTGGGACGATTGTCGAAACACCTCCCATGCTGGGTGTTTTTTTTTTCCCCTTCCCTGGAGAGGGTGGAAGGGAAGGGGCATATAGACTAGCCGTTTGCTCCTTAGATTGTTAGGGTTCCGATCTCGCTTCTATGCAGGATCTCTATTGCAAATAGAGCCTTCCTTGCAGATTTGGTAGGTTGTACAAAATATTTTGTTCTCACCCATTTTTTCGACCTCATGGAGCTGGTCCAGCTGGGGCGTTTTTTTGTCACTTGTGAGATGATGATTTCCGGCTAAAGCTCGAAGGAACTTGTCCACCGTTTATCTGCAGGGTACTCTACACTATGAATTATCCCCCCGTGACATTCATAGGATAGGATCTTGTAGGGCGCGGTACGGTACACGGCAGTAGAGCTCAGTCAATGATTCAAGAGTCGACGCCGGCGGAGGCGGAGTAACATTTTTTTTTCTTGCTCTACGCAAAGAAGGCACACGACTGGTGCTCCCCACGGTTCAATCTCTTTTTACGATGCTTATCGTAGTTTTACCACTGTTTTATCCACACGAGCCACACAGCTGGTAAAGAAAAGGCTTCGGCAGGTATGCGCCATCAGATATTGCGTTATTCCAATGCTTGCCTGCCTTTTTCCTGCCGGCCGGAAACTTTTTGCAACCATCCACGCAATGTTGCAACACCATCCAAGCGGCAACTTCCTATCAAAACCAGAAACGACAACTCCAAGATGTGTCGCGGAAGAAATAAAGAGGGGGGCGAGCTTTGATCGTCGTCGTCGCTTCAGAATGTAGAGACTTGCAGTCTAAACTCCAATAGGTAGTTAGCTGGGTTGGGTCAAGTCCAAGTCCCCAGCCTTCCTGGTGATGCGGTCAACAGTGGAGACTGAACTGTTCAGAATCAGAAGGGCTTTATTAAGAACGAGGCGTCATATGGAATAGCTTGTTCACGCGGTGAATTACCAAGGAAGAACTACCTGTAATTCGGTTTAACATCAGGTAAGTTGTTGCCTTGGGGTGAATTATCCAAGGCGATTCTCGGGGAGCCAGGATAGTACCTTGTCGTAGGTAACTCCCCGAAGAAGGGGAGCATAAGAACTACTATCTTCTCACACTAGAAGCTGTGCGTTGTTGTACGAAGCGTGTTTAGAGTATGTACTCTTCTAGGCTGGTAAAGTTCTACAGCAGTGGGTAGGTGCTCATTGACTAAAAAGGCCGGCTGCTGTTCGAAACCAAGCTGGAAGAAATGTGATAACTTTTTTTTTTTTTTTGCCTTTTTCCCTTCCTTTCTTTTGTTTCCATACCACTTTTTTTCATATCATCTGAAGTCCAGGAGGATTCACTCAGCTGCTGTGCAAGCCACACTATCTATTGAAACTAAGACTGCCGAGAAACCCCACAAGTTGAAGCGAAAGTGAGGGATGGAGATAGAGCATTGAGCGGATGGAGGTCTGTCTATATGGTGGGTATGAATTGACGGATGGTGTGGCGGGTTAACTCGCGGCAAAGTTGAAGGCTACAAAAACACCCCAAAACTACACCCCCGATCGCCTGCGTAAGCCTTGTGATTGGTCAGGTCCCCTGATATTTGATTTAGGTAGTCTCCCCTCCCCCCACCCCTCCTGGTTTGTCGTCCCGGTCTCCCACTCTCCAGGCTCCTCAGCTTGAACTCCCACTTCCTCACACAGGTTGACAGGTAGAAGAACCACCTTGGTCCTCCCATCTGATGCATCGACGCGATCGCGGCCGTCGCTTGTAGTTGCTGTCAACACTGATATTCCTTTTTTCCCTCTCTCTTTCTCTGGGAATATCTACTGGATCCAAGACTTTGAACAGATTGAACTTTTTTTTTTTTTTCAAAAAAAAAAAAAAAAAAAGAACATTGCATTTCCTAAAAAAAAAAAGTGAGCACAGCTTTGCTTTTTTTTACTCTTACGCCTGCGGCCCACACGCGGGCTCTGCCTCCAAATACATACTCAAATCCACCTTGTCCGCCTCCAACTGTTACGCCCGTCCTCCTGCTCGCTATCGTTATCGTTGACTTCCAGTCGTTACCACGGCTTCTCGCAACATTATCACCTTTAGGACCAACAAACTTCGATTAAATTTGAATAACATTTAATCCACATTAATACCCACTTGGCTCAATATGAGTTCCGAAGTTACTTCTCCATGGGCTCTCCATGATCCTACAGCCGTTCCAGGGGAGGATTTTTCAAATTTTTTCAACTTCAATGAGATACAGTTAGACATGCCTCCATCGGCATTTGATCCGACAGGCCGAGATGATGTTGATTGTGATGGAGATGAAGATGAAGACTCACACAGCCAACACACTGCCATGGATACTGATTTCCACGACGCGGGAGATTTTAATGGAAAGGATCATCAACTCGAGGATATGCTGGGGATGCAATTTCACGATATAAATCCAATGGGTCAATCACGACCACAGCAGCAGCAACAACAGCAGCATCATCAGATGCATCATCATAATATGATACCACCTACACCTTCTAGTATCGACCTTCAAACAGGGCTTCCTCATTCGTATACCCACAGTATGGAGGCCGATATATTGATGGATAGATTCAATAATATGCGGGACGAACAGGTGAATTTTCAATACAAAACTATCCACAATTCTCGGCGGTCACTAATATAGCTTTCTCTACCGCAAAAGATGCTATTTACACCACTCGTTTCGCCTGCAGTTACTCCTCTAGACACAAATTTCATCCACAACATGCCTTCATTTACGATGCCGGAGTATTTTAGCCCTCTAACTTCTCCTGCTCTCGATGCTCACCCCCACCGCAGCCACATGCCAAATCCTCACATCGTCCAGTCACATCACTCTCAGTCAACCTCCCCCATCGACCCGAAGGATTCACCCAATATTAACAGAAAAGTCAATGCTGGGCGCCGAAAGTCAACCACATCCCGGAATCCATCGCGCGTGGTGCGTGAATCACCAAGCATGAAGCCACAGAGGAAGAAGGCACCGCCACCATTAGCTGCAACCTTAGAGCTGGCTGGCGCGCTTATGCATCCCCAGACACCGTTGCACCAGGCTACAAATATTAACGGAACTGGAAACAATTTCCCCCAGTTCTCAAGCCGTGACACCTCTTCGAACGAATCGGTATCTCCCGAGCCGCTGCCCGATGTGCTCATGCCTCCACCCCCCCGCGCTCTAAGCTCCCCAACGATCCTCCCGTCAAATGAGGGGAACGGCAGGGCTGCGGGGGCACCGGCAACCCCGGCTTCGTTGATGAAGCTGCAAAAAAAGCCCAGCTTGTCGACGGAGGGTATCCCGCCTATATCCATGGACTCAACCGAGTTTTTGAATCGGAATGTTGCGTGGGCTAGGAAGGAGTCTGTCGATAACAGTTCTGGGGCTTCGTCAAATAGCGATGGACAGCCCACCCCTGTTCTTGGCGCTGTTAATGGCTCTTCAAATATGAATAAAATTTCAGAGCAATTACAAAGTCCGATGTTGAGTGCTCAGACACCGGGTAGTTCATCGAGTCGGAAAAGCGTGTCTAAGCCTACTGGTCGTGGTGGGAAGCGCGGGAGCGTTTGCTCGAGTCCTGCACTACAGCCGAAAATTTCACCAAGTATAAAGCCTTTGTTACCTCAAGGTACGATTCCTTTGTCCAGACAAGGTAAAGCGACGGACTTCGCGGCCAAACTCAAGATGAGTGAGGGACTATGATTGTTAAGATTAAGTTTTTAAGAGTTGCCTTTATGGTCACTTTGAATTTTACGAATACTCATAGTCCCTTAAATTTTCGAGTTTAACCGCGAATTCTGTTACTTTCCGGCTTTTTTGTGAACCCCCCGGAGAATGATGAGTTAACATTTTTGGCATTGTAGGAATGAATCCTGAAGCTTCTGCTCTTCTGTTAAAGTCAAATTACCAGAACATCGTCGAGGGCAACCACAAGCAACTCGGACTATCATACCCTGCAGAGCTTTCGACAAATTTGACGTCAAAACGGACGAGTCACAAGATTGCGGAGCAGGGAAGGCGAAATAGGATTAACAATGCCTTGGCAGAGATCGCCGCTTTATTGCCATATAATAGCGGGAATGGGTCCGATAATAGCAACAGTGCGACTGCCAGTACTGCTGCTGCGGCACAAGCCAGCAAAGCGAGCACTGTGGAGAGCGCAATCGAATACATCAAGGAGTTGCAGAAGGAACTGTCGGAAACAAAAAAGAGACTGGCAGAGACAGAGAAACAGCTTTCTAAGACGAGCATTTGATGGGCTGGATGATGAAAAATAAGGGGAAGACCTGACACCGGAGGAGAAAAGTTTTGAGTCGATCTGACATAATATTGAAAATGGGTGGCTATCTTTTTTTTCTTTTCTTCTATTTTCTATTTCCATCTAGGGTGGGGGCAGTTCTGTTTTATGGAGCATGTTTTTTTGTTTTTTATTTTATTTTCTCGTTTATTTTCCTTGTACGTAACGTGGAAGAGGTTCTCCTATGTTTCCTTTCGATTTTCCACGTTTTCGTTTTAGTTGGTTTTGTTCCTCTTCCTTTTTTCTTTCCCCTTTCATGGATATAATTTGGCGAGGATTATGACGACTTTCCGGATTTCTAGCGGAAAAAGCAGGGCAGGTGGAACATAGGTATTCACTCACAGTTCATGTACAAAAGACTTTATGCAAAACAAGAAAAGGATGTTCAATCACCTAACCTTCAATAGTGGGGTTATGACATTGAATAAGAGTAGATTATATCAGCGCCTAGAAGGCCTGCCCCTAGATACGCCATACTACTTTTCCATAGGACTACATGTATCCCTAAATATATAATGTATTCATCTTGACTCATGGATACATTGTGGGGGCAGAACACCAAAGATGACTCGGTGGAGGATGGAAATGATTGATATTACTAAAAATCACCAGTGCGGCAATAGATGCCGAAAAGGTCATTTCCCATGCACAATAATCAAGATGTCAAGCCGCAGAACTAAGCTTTCTCTCCCCCCCAAAAGTGTGGCGCCGTAAATCCCAAGCATCGTCAAGTGATCGTATGTGCGCAGAGGACGTAATCGATCCCTCATATATAAGCTGCAATTTACTCTATGTACTGCATACTACGTTTATATTATGCTCCGTGCTTCCAAGCTGGCTGTAACCGCCAAGAAAATCCCCGCGGAGCCTCACAACGTCGGGGCCAACCCTCCACTTCAAAGTGCACACCTATCACAGAACTGCCGAAGCCTTGACACGCAAGTATCAACGTCAACGTCAACTCCGAAGAACGCCCCCCCCCCCCCCCCAAACGCTAAGGACACATCACAACCCATTGTGCCCAACCCCACCAACTCCCCTCCCCCAACCGCTTAGACAGCTAGCTATATCACCGGTAGAGCATAAACATCCCGCGTTCCATAATTCCCCTCGCATCGTCGCCCCTTAATCCAAGCAAACAGCAACAGCACTGGCAGTAGCAGCCCTCACATCACATCCATAGAAGACCCAGATATGGCCAGCTTCTTCAACTCGCCTCCGCCGCAGCAGCAGCAGCCACAATATGGCAATCCAAACAACCTTCAATTCTACCAAAGCTCCTACGCCGATGTAGGACGAGCTCCTGGCCAAGCATCACCACCGCAGCAGCAACCGACCGGTTATGGATTCGGTGGGATGGGCGCCATGGGTCAGATGGGGTCCATGGGGTCCATGGTGAGTGGCGGGTACGGGGGCAGCAGTGGAGGCGGGGCATCGAGAGAGGGAGGCTTAGCACCTGGCTGGTTGGCCGCGTTTGGTACCGGAGGCTACGAGGACGAGCCTCCGCTACTGGAAGAGCTAGGTGTCAATTTTGGACACATCAAGATGAAAGTGTGTAGTAACAATATACCCTCCCCCCCCCCCCCCCTTAATTCCCCTCGGGTTTACTCCGGACAGATGGAGTGGTTGAGATTTTCGGGCTAATGGAATATTTTTTCTTTGCGACAGACCTTGGCTGTGTTGAACCCTATGTCAAATGTCGATCAGCATATGATGGACGACAGTGATGTCGCTGGGCCAATTCTGTTTTGTCTGCTCTTTGGAGCTTTCCTGTTGCTTGTGAGTGATGCCTTGGTATTATGGGAGCGATCGTTCCGCGTGCTTGCTTGCTGACTTTGTTCTGCTGCTCCGATTCAGTCCGGCAAGGTGCATTTCGGCTATATTTACGGTGTCGCTCTGCTTGGCTCCATCTCACTACACCTTATTCTTAACCTTATGTCACCGCCATCACACTCGCTAAACTACATCCGGTCTGCCTCCGTGTTGGGATATTGTCTACTGCCACTCGTATTCACCTCATTCATTGGGGTACTGTACCCGATGAACGGGCCGATTGGATATTTCCACACCGCACTCACAATCTCGTGGTGTACGTACTCGGCGAGTAACGTGTTTGTAAGCGTGTTGAGGGTCAAGGACATGAGGCTACTCGTGGCATACCCTCTGGGGCTTTTCTATAGCGTGTTTGGCATCATGGCCATTTTTGGAGGCAAGGCAGTGGCTATCGGTGATGGCTTATAAGCCATGAGCATATGTTTTTTTCTCCCTTGGAAACGGGCAGTGATGTAGTTAGGAATGTGGGTGGTGGGGTGTGTGTGTGGTAAGGCGTTGGGTACATGAAAGTTATCATGCACAGAAAAAATAACATTGTTTGTATTTTTTGTAGACATATATCCCCTTTGCATTTACGTTATCGAGCATCCTTTTTTTTCTTCTCATACTAGTTCTAATTGAAATGATGTATTTCTGTGGTATGTACATGTAAGCATTATTATGGTTTCTTTTTATTTTGCCAATCAGATTGTTGTCCGAGTGACTTTGTATGACACAAGTCATGGATAAGCACTCTGGCATGTCGATAAGTGCATATTTGGGTGGCGAGCCGCCGCAGTCACCGGGCATCACCCGTCTGAGACAGAGATTCTTTCCGTCCAGCAATTGACTGGTCGATTGATTGATGGATAATTCACTCGTGCATACATATACATACTCGCAACCAGCAACAAGAACCCGAATATGCAGCTGCAAGTCTTTGGTGTATTTTTGACTTCTACTCCAATGGAAATTGCAGATTAGGACGTGCATTTTCGGGTTCTTGTTGCTGGTCGCGAGTACATTCCGCTCAACAAGTTTCATGGAGGCGCGCAGGCTGAGTTGTGTAGATGCGAACAAGCAAGGCGTAGATATAATATGCTTTCCAATCCAATCCAATCACGCAACTCTAAGGGTAAGTAAGTACGTAGCCGGTATGTACAGCTCAACAGAGTATTTTTTTTTTTAACGAATAGAAAGAAAAAAAAAAAAAAGAGATAAACAAAAGAAAAAATAAATGAGCGTGCTCTCTCTCTCTCTCTCTTTCTATCTATATGTATGTATGTAATGTAGTGTAGTGTAGTCAATACTGATCAAAAAAAAAAAAAAAAAAAAACGTGCTATGTATAAGAATGATAATAATAAAAAAAAATTCCTCCTCCTGTACAATGTGGGAATTCGAAAGCAAATAAAGGAAAAGAATATGGAAAGGGAAAAGAGAGGGGGGGGGGGGGTGTATGGGTGGGGCCTGCACGCATAATAGACAATATCTGGCGCTAAAAAAGTTTATCAATCAATAAAAAATAAAAAAAATAAAAATAAAAATAAAAAATGAAGTAAAAGATAAAAAAAAAACTCCCGCTCCGCTCCGCGCCGCCCGCCCCGTACGTTTTGTGTCGTCATCCCGTCAATGATTTTTGTTTTTTGATACTCCCGCCAGCCAGCCAACAAACCACATCGCCGATGCAAAAAAAATGTGAAAAAAATGTGAAAAAGAAAAAAAAAACGCCAAAGATAATGCAAAAACACGTAAAAAAAAAGCGAAGAGAAAAGACGAACCTGCGTTGCACTACACCACAATCGCAGGCCTCAAATCCTCCTCCTCCTCCTCCTCCTCCCCGTCCTCCTCCCCATCCTCCCCATCACCATCCTCCTCCTCAGCCGCCTCAGCACCCCTCCTCATCTTCCCCCCGACCACAGCCCCCTTCCCCCCCGCGCCCGCCGCCAACACAGCCACAACAAGCGCCTCATACGCCGGCGGCAGCACCCCCATCACCCCCATCTGGTCCTCCCCATCCGTGCCAACCCCCCCCACGCCCGCCTCAACAGGCTCCAGCAGCTTCTTCTCGTACACCAGTCTGTACCGCTTCCCGTCCTGGATCACATAGTCGCTCTGCCGCGGCGCGTCGCCGACCAGGACGGCCATGCACCGCCGCGCATACCGCATGTTTGCCTCGGCCGTCACGGCCTGCGCGGGCGCCCACTTGCCGGTTGATGCGGAGGCGTCGAGGTCGGTCTGGGGGAGGCGGGTCTGGGCGCGCGGACGGGAGCGTGGGGGTGGGAGGGGCGGCGGGGAGGGTGTTTCGTTGCGTTCGGGGGCGGCGGGGGTGGTGGTGGTGGTGGTGGTGTCGGTGTTGGTGTTGGGGGTAGTGGTGGTGGTGGCGTCTTGGTCCCGCCGGCGACGGCGGCGACGGCGAGGCAGGGTTTGGTATCGGGGGAGAGAGCGCTCCTCGAGTGAGGGGGAGAGGTCGACGGCCGCGCTGAGGGCTTCAAGCCATTCGAGGAAGACCTCGAGCGTGCGGCAGCTTAGCAGGAACTGCTCGGTTTGGGCGCGGATGCGGATTACAAAGTGGCGTCTGTTGCGGGTGGTTAGCTCAATGATCGTTTGCACATGTTTTTTTCACAACCACCACCACCACCACACACAATCTTCTCTCACAACCATCCATCCATATACAGGGGAAGAAATACTCACTTTCGATAATCCGCCGCAATCCCAACCTCCGCCAGCTGCAGCGTATATGAGCGCACCATCTCACCGGGCACATGCCCCACGGGCCGGCCCTCCCTTCCCCTGGCCTTCTTGACCGCCGACGCAAAGAACGGGACGCGGCGGGGCCGGTGCAGCGTCAGCAGCGTGCCGTAGAGCACCGCGTACGTCTTGCCCCAGCGGCGCTTGGGCGCGCGCTCGAACGGCGAGCTCATCTCGGGCTTGTGCTCGAAGAGGGCCTCCTTGTGGAGCGTGCAGGTGTAGGCGGGCAGCTGCTCGTTTCCCTCCTCTTCGCGCGGCGTGATGCGGAAGCGGGAGGGGGGCAGCTGGACGGTTTCGTCGTAGGTGGGCGGTGTGGCGGTCGTGGGGTGGGAGGCGGCGAGGGGGAGGGCGGCGGTGGGGTCGTCGGTGCTGCTGCGGTTGGAGTAGCCGGCGGTGGAGTAGTAGGAGGCGATGGAGCGGCGGAGCGGGCTGGCGGCGGGGAGGAAGCCGGCGATGCGCAGACCGGACTCGGCGTCGGTGGTGGAGTGGCCGGCGGGTGTGTGCGAGGCCAGAGCTAGGCTGCGGAGGGTCGGCGTGGGCGACATGGCGCAGGTGGGCCGGGTGTGGGGCGGGCCGTGGGGGCCAGGGTGCGTTGAGTAGCGGTGGATATCCTCGCTCTCCGGTAGTGAACGAAATAAATAGTAGTCAAGAAGAAGAAGAAGAGCTGTGATAAAGCGTTAACAATGTGCACTTTCCTCTCCTCTTCTTCCCTTCTCCGGCGGTGGTGGATCCTCGAAAATAGCAATCCTTCCTTATAACTAAGCTCCCCTCCCAAAAAGATACCACCAGGGTGTTCTGTGTTTCGAAAACGGGCACGCACACGTCTGAAGAGAATGGAAAAACAGCAACAACAAAAACTTTGAAATCCAGCAGTGCACACCCCCGTTCCAAACGCTCCTTCTTATTCACCTTGACTTCACTCCCCCCTGCCCCCTATTCAAATTTTTTTTCTCTTTCGCTTTGCCTGCTTGGTTTTTGCTTTTTTGGGGCGTGCGTGTGGTTCGGCACTCGTCTCGTTCTGTTCTCGGAGAGTGAAACCAGGTGCAGCGAATGGGGAGGATGACGTGGGAGATTTCAACCACAGGAAAGAAGAAGAAAAAAAGTCTTGGTTCTCGGGGGTTTGGTTGAGTGAGCGAGCGAGCGAGTGTGAGTGTGTGAGTGTGTGGGCGAAACAAGCAGATCAGATCCAACGGTTCCCTCAGTTTACACTTATAATTTTTTGGATGGGAGGGCACTGAAAAGCAGGCACTGGGAAGTAAGCAAGCAACGTACTCTATGTGCAAAAAAAGAAGCAGAACACAGAGAGAGACAAAAGAAAAGGAAGAACGCCTCATTTTTTTTGGCACTTTCACTTTCAGCCAGATGTGTGTGGGTGGGTGGCCACCACCATGGACGATGGTGGAGGCTCAGTTTCCTTCCCTTCCTTCCTGTCCTGTCCTGGGTTTTTCTTCTTCTTCTTTACGTGCTCTACTGTGCAGCCAGTGCAGCCTGCCTGCGCGCCGCTGCAGAGCTTCCCCTTCCCGTGGCTGATCATGTCTTGCACACCTCCCACCCCTTCCAGCCCGGCATCGCTGATCCGACGGCGTGGTGAGTGGGGGGGAGGAGGGATTACCTACAACTCGTCGAGCGAGTGATTGGGGCTGCACGGTGACAGCTGGTGCCAGCAAAGAACATCTTAAACAGTTGCCCTGTCTTGGTATTTTACTTTGAGTAAAGCTTGCTTGCTTGGGGGGGGCCAATGATAGCTTTCCTCGCCCAGGGAGAGAGGGAGAGGGAGGCGATGATTCAGCTTCCTTCTGTTCGGGCTGGGTGCTAACCATTCTGCTTTGTCCTGTCTGTGGACCTGTCTTCTGTCCGAGTTCAATTGCAAGAGGAGACGTTTAGTTTACCCAGTAGTAGGTACATGTAGTTGCACCCCGGACCCCCCAGCCCAGCCCAGCCCCGCATCCAACCCCGGTTCCCTGAGCCATCGATATCTATCCTCATCGGGAAACACGTCTCTGTGGGAAAGGCAAGGGCAAGGGAGGGAACCCCGGAGTCCGGGATTTGTGCCTGATGGAGGAGGAGTAGGTATTTGCCGATAGCGTAGATAGATAGGTAGATAGGTAGATAGCCTATTTAGATACAGTAGGTGGGTAGGTGTACCCCCCCCTCAACAAGAACCAGATGGGGTGCATCTGAAAAAGTGGAAGGAAGTGGTTGGGGGGGGGGGGGGCGGATCAGCGTGTTTCCGTCTGGGGTTTGGGTTGGTCGGTAGCTGGGTTGGTGTCCGGGGTGTGCGGATTGGCTTATGAGATCAGAGAGGGTTCGAAATGTCATTGACGCTCAATGATTTCTGGGGCGGTTCTTGGTTTGCTTTGGCGAGTTGGGGCTTTCGGGCCTTGGAACTTGTAGACTGACCACTCGGACCAAGTCCCCAATTAGACTCTACCTCTATATGCTGTTCTAGATATGCGAGGTCTGGGGCTACTCTACTCTAGCTTTGGATCTTCGCTTTTGCGGCCTTGGGAGTGATGGGTATATGCACATATTTTCTCTCTACTCTAGGTTCTAGGTATGTATGCATGTATGTATGCGTATGCGTATGCGTAGACGGACATATCAACGATCTTCAAGTCTTTCTTTGTTCCTTGGAAGATGGAGAGGAGGATGAATGCGTGTTCTATCTCTAGTTACGAATAGGCTTTTGGGCCTTGGAAATAGGCTTTGAGTGTTATTTCAAATAGAGTATACGTAGCGAGATCTAGAGCTTTGGATCTTCGGTCTGAGACTTGATATGTCATTACAAATGGGGAATCTAGAGCATTGCAGCTTCACCTTGGACAGATGAGAGCGCGTGCCATTATTGCTAGCTGCGGGCATGATATCCTTTTTAAGCTTGAAAAACACCAATGAGTATCTAGTCTAGATCTCCCCCATCAAACCTCCCCGCCCACACTAACACCAACCCTCTCCAGCCACTCCCCACCCACCAACCCCTCCTCCACCGCCTCCACCACAACCGCCCACACCGCCTCCCCCCCTCCTTCAACCCCCGCAGCACCTCCTCCACGCCCTCCCCCCCACTCTCAACAACCACCATCCTCTCCTTCACCCCCGCCTCCCCCTCCACCGCACCACCCAGCCTCCGTGCACCCCGATAATACACCCCCGCATTTCTCACCAACACCCCCTACTCCCCACCGCAACCTCCACCCCCAACCGCGCCCTCAACAGCTCCACGTCCCCACGCGCAACATGGATCTCGCCCCTCCCCGGCTCCGCCGCCGCCGCACTACCCAGCGCCGCCGCGGCAGCAGAGTAGTGCCGCCACGCCACACCCTCGTCGGGCACGCTGCCGGCGAGCTGGATGTGTGCGTCCGCGCGGTCACACAGCGCCTGCACGCCCTCCACGCCGGCGAAGGCCGCGGCGATGCCCGCTTCGTAGTCGGCGAGGGCGCCGCCGGCACGGTATGTGGCCTCTACGGCGGCGGCGAGGAGGTTGGCGCGCGCCAGGGCGGCTTCGGGCTCGCGGGAGGCAGCGAGGGCGAGGGGTGGGAGGGTGGCGGTGAGGAGGGTGTGCGCGGTGGTGAGGGTTGTGGGGAGGGGTGGGGTGTGCGGGAGGTGCGTGAGGGGGAGGAGGGTGGCGAGGGTACTGAGGAGGGCGAGGGTCGTGTCGAGGAGGGTGCTGGGGGTGGTGGGGGGTTGGATTATGGCCCATTGCTCGGTGGCGGTGGTTTGGGAGGAGGGGGCGGTGGGGGCGGTGGGGGCGGGGGTGGGGTCGTCGGTCATGTCCATGGCGGTGTCGCCGTCGCCCGTCTGTGTCTGTGTCTGTGTCTGTGTCTGTGTCTGTGTCTGTGTCTGTGTCTGCTGCAGAGCGGCATACTGCGCTTCCTGCAGTGCCAGACAGCGCTGCAGCGTCTCGACCGCCTCGACGAGCAGCTGCGCGGCCTCGGTTTTGGCCTCGATGGGCGCAGTGCGGTACTCGATCAGCACCTCCGCAAAGCTGCACAGCACCTGGCCCGTATTACTGTTCCTCCCCGTTAGTCCGAATTCTGCCTCCATGCTTCTATGTATTTGGGGAGGACGCTTACAAGAGCGCATCTTCATTCGCCGGGTCCAGCGCCAGGCAGCGCCGGTGGCTGTCGACCGCGGTCTTGAGCAGGAGGCGCGAGGCGCGGTGCGTGCTGCCTGTGAGCTCGGGGTGCTGGGCGAGCTGGTATTGCAGGCGGGCGCTGGATGTAGTGGTTAGGGTTAGTTAACTACTATAGTATAATGTGGCCCCACAGAGGGGAAGGAGAAGGAGGGGGTGGGGGGGTTACAGGTTGTAGGCGGCGTCAAAAGAGGTGGGGTTTAGCTGCAGCGCGGTGGTGTAGCTGCCTATCGCTCTTTGGTAGAACCGGCCGGCCTGTCCTGCGTTAGTATGCAGTCTTTTTTTGCTTTCTTGGGAGGTAGGGAGAGGGGATGGATGGATACCTTCAACTTATCACCGGGCCGCCAGCGATCACCGGATTCTTCGTGCTCGATGCCGACTGTAGTTGGCCGTATATCAGCTATTGTCTCTCTCTCCCCCTCCCTCCCTTTTCTCTGTAGGAAAGATGCTCACCATCCAGGAACTCATCCGCGGTCTCAGGGACCTACTGCACCCCGCGCGTGTGAGCACTCTAGCACTGACTAACCAACTACAGGAGAGGGAGAGGCGTGCCTTCTTGTTTTTGCGCTTGTTGTTTTGCGGCTTGGGCGGGAAGCGGTGCTTGGGCATTTCTTTTGTGTGTATCTGTATCTGTGGGTGTATCTGTGTATGAAGATGTGTGGAGGTGGGGGTGGGATTGGGATTGGTGGTGGAATTAGATATCAGTATCTAGCAGATTGAGAGGGAGAGTGTGATAGTGTGATGGAGATATCTAGATGGCACAATCGACCATTGATTGCCTGGGCGAGTCGAGTGAGTCGAGTGAGAGTGTTGGTCACTCCGCGGAGAAGTCTGAGCAGAAAAGAAGAAGAAAAAAACTGTTGACGTTAATTCAGGATCGATCGCGCGGGGGGGGGGGCGGGGCACACGACATGCGGCTCTGCGGGCGGTAGTGGCGTCTGTCTGCAGTGGTGCGGTGCGGTGCGGTGCGGCTGGTGAGCGATTGCAGATTTGGGCGCGAGGAGGACTTTTAACTTTGCATGGTTTGGCGGTGGGGCCAAATAACCGGAGATGCAATCATTGGACCTGCGCTCTGTCTCGGTCTGTGAGAGGTTGGCTGGGATGGATCATGTCCGAGTGTCGGATAGCTATCGGCACAGCGCCCGGTCCTCGGGTGCTGGAAATGTTCCACTGCAATTGCAATTGCAATTGACGCATTGATCATTCTGGGTCGAGCCCATGGTCACATATTGAAAAAAGGCATCTATATTCAAGTTCTACCGCTTCACACCGGTAATGAGCCCTTTGTTGGAATCGGTTTCATTTCGTGGTACTGCCGCGTTGGTGGTTGGTTCGCCACCACCAACTACATGTACTGCTTCTACTGCTACAAGAACAAAAAGCGATCTATGCGCATGTACCTATACCAGACTTGTGACCCCCAGAGTTTTAGGAAAATAACCTCCCAAGAAAAAGGAAAAAAGAAAAAAGAAAAAAGAATACTGAATTAAAAGACAAGAAAGAAAAAACTTCCAAAAGAGAGAAAAAGGGAAAAGGTAAAGAAATACAGAAAGCCTACACCCATTACCCCCAACCCCAAGCTTAAGCCCGTGGCCTCTCCGCCTCTCCGCCTCTCCGCCTCTCCGCCTCTCCGCCGCCGCCGCCGCCTCCACTCCTACAGACCATCTCCTCCTCCTCCTCCTTCTTACAAACACTAACCCCCATCCAGCAGCCCCCCTCCCTCCTTCACCAGCATCGCCTTCCCCTCATTCACAGCCTGCACCGCGCCCTCCAGCCCCGCCAGGTTTCGCCCTAGCACGCCTAGTAGCTCCTCAATCTCCCGTCTCTGCGCCTCGATGCCCGCAATCAGGCCCGCGTTCTGCGCCTGCACGTCCGCGATACGCGCATTGACCTTCTCCTGTGCGGCGGCGAGGACGGGCGCGAGCTGCGCGCCCATGATCACGTCGGGCGGTAGTGTAGATGGTCTGCCCCCTCCCCACCCCATATCATTGGTGTGATGTCAGTAGGCTATCCCCCGCGCGCCGTAGGTAGGTAGGTAGAGAGAAGTGGGTAGAGGGGAACCACATACGGAATCGGCACCTCCCCCGCCGGCGCCGCAGCCCGCCGCTCTTCAGCCTCCCGGATCAGCACGTCCAGCTGGTTCAGGCTCTCAATGACATTGCGCTCCTTTAGTATCTTTTCCCACTCGACCTATTCCCGTCCACTCACTCATTAGCCACCCTTCCCCTCTCACCTCCCTCTCTCTCCCTCTCCCTTTCTCCCTCTCTCCACAGACAGGGAAGACAAACCGTGGACCGCCCCTCAAAATACGCACACATCTCCTCCCACGCGCGCCGCAGGTGCTCGGGCGCATTCTGTGCCGGCGTCGGGAAGCACTTTGCAAAGTTGCTGTAGGAGCACGTCTTGATGGAGTGCTCGAGCGAGGTTTTGAACAGCGCGCGCAGCCGGGTTGCGCGTGGGCCGTCGGGCTCTACCGCGGCGGAGGTGGTGGAGGTGGTGGAGGTGGAGATCGGGGTGGGTTCTGGGGGCGCGGGTGCGGGTGCGGGTGCGGGTGGGGGTGGGTTGGCCGACATTTGGAGGTGTGCGTGGGTGGGTAGTGGGGAGGGCGCGGTGGGTGGGTGGACGCGTTGAGTGCTGTGTGTGTTGGTGGTGGTGTGGTGGGGGAGGAAGGGTTGATTACGGATGTGTGGGGTCGGAGGTGCATGGTCGCATGGCCCAATGGCAAGGCGCTTGACTACGAAACCTTCTCGTGAGGTGGGGAATCAAGAGATTCCAGGTTCGACCCCTGGTGCGATCAGGAATAGAGATATTTACCTTCATAGGCTGGTGTTTCGGCATCTAGTCGGTTGGTAACCTTTTTTGGGGGTTTGTATTTTAGTTGTGAAAAATAATATTGTTGTTGATAAGGCACCAATTGGATATTCTTCTACGAGCAACCATTCACCCAAAAGGAACTTCTACATCTGGAATTATTGACGCCGCGTGAGGTAATTGAATTTTTCACTTGAAATCGTTTCTTTTTTGCGATAGGCAGCCCCAATTTATGAGATTGTGCTTTAAGCTTTCGGCATTTGATTCTCTAAAAGATAACAGGCCATTGATAGCGCTGCAGGGGTAATCTTACTTGCAGGACATTTCATTGGGTAAAGAAAAAGTGCATTGTGTTATAACACCGATGATATAATTGGGCGGGCGTTGCTGGTGGCACAGGATATCACTCGGCCTCGAATGACGGGACATGACCGGCCGGGTTTTTGCTATTTTAGTATATATTCACACAGTGCATACAGCAACAGAAACATAGATAAAAATGGCTACCATAGTCTTTCACTGCGGTACACTACTGTTCGTTAAAATACGGGCATATTCTCACAATGCCATTTCTGATACTGTAAGTGTGTGTGCCATGCGCCATCTATACCAATTTACTTTACTGTCTTGTTGGAAAAGAAAGAAAAAAAAAGCTATTTGGTATTCATTTATTTTATCCACAATCGCAATTAACCCCTACTTGAGCAGGAACTTTGCATGGTAGTTGACATGGTCCTCCGCAAACGACGAGATGAAAAAGTAACTGTGGTCATAGTCCTGCACACACACACACACACAAAAAAGAGCTTAGCAACTTTTCCCTCAATCCATGATAGTAGTAAGGAAAGGAAAAACTCATGCTTACCTTCTGGTACCTCACACTGACGCCCTTCTCCACGCCCTTCTCCCTCGCCGCAGCCTCAAAGTTCTCCGGCAGCAGCTGGCCGTTCTTGTAAAAGTTGTCGCCCGTGCCAACGTCAATCAGCGTTTCAAAGGGGCCCTCCCACTTCTTGAGAAGCTCTGTGGCATCGTGGTCGGCCCACTTGCCCTTGTTGCTGGCGCCAAAGTAGCCCGTGAAGGCCTTCTGTCCCCACGGGCAATTAATCGGGTTGGTGATTGGGGCCAGCGCGGAAACGGACCGGTACTTCCCTGGGTTCTTCAAGAACTATTCCCTACTTTCAGCCACACACACTCGAGCACTCGGGGGAAGCAAGCAGCAGTCCTTACCAAAGTCAAAGCACCATGCCCGCCCATCGAGTGTCCCGTGATGCTGACCCGCCCCGCATCCAGCACCTCAAAGCTCTCAAACAGCGCCTTCGGCAGCTCCTCGGTGATGTACGTGTACATGTTGTAGTTGTTCTTCCAGTCGCCCTCGGTGGCGTCCACGTAGAAGCCGGCGCCGGAGCCAAAGTCCCAGCTCTCGTCCTCGCCCTGGATGTTTGCGCCCCGCGGCGAGGTGTCCGGGTAGACGACGGCGATGCCGTGCTTGGAGGCGTAGCACTGGAAGAAGCCCTTTTCGGCGCAGTTGTCGCCCGTGCACGTCAGGCCTGAGAGGTAGATCAGGACGGGCACCTTTGTGTTGGAGCCGGAGGTGGCGGCGGGTGGGAGGTAGAGGTTTAGGGCCATTTTGGTCTTGGTGGAGGTGCCTTGGATTTGGTAGTTGTTTTAGTAATTCGTCGACTCCATTGTTAGGGTGAATCTGGCTTTGGGGAGGGGAATTTACTGTCATGCTCCAGCTTGAGGAGTTTTCCGCCAAAGTTGGCAATGGTCGCTTTTGTCTCGAAGCCCATTTTGAATGTGTGAATTGGGCGCTGTTGGTGCTGCTGGAGGGTTGTTATGGGGTTCTGGATTCGTACTTGGGACGCAAGCAGAGCGAGTCTTTTGAGGGCCTGAATTTTGAAATTATTATGGAGGGTATCTTGTAGGAAATATGAGGTGGGATGGCAGATATCGATAATAAAAAAAAAGAGTTGATATCAAGGAGCGGGGATGACGTTATGTATCACGTCCTGCCAAGGATGCTCAGTACTATCTCCGAGAGGTTTAGGGGAAACATCGGGATTAGGGCGGGGAGAAAGCAGAGCACCCTTGCAACCAACTCTTTTTGTACGGCCATGCGCGTGAGGTGGAATGTGGGGAAGCTGGAGGACGATCTTCTGCTGCTCTGTCCGTCTTTTTGGAATTACTCATATTTATCATGGTTTAATAATTTCGAGTTGTTTCTCTTCTCTTCTCCGGGTGATATTCTGTGAGGAAACACAGATTAAATGTATGTGCTACTTATTGCGACATGCCTTACGAAATTCGCATTATTTAACCAATATCCAAAATGGTTTGAGAAGTCATTGAATCCAAATGAGCTAGCCCTCCTTAACGGATCCTTATACAATTACATGGTCGAGGAGAATTGGTATCATCCACTTATAAGCTCGATGCCCTCAGCTATATCCATAATCCCGAGAAGACAGTGCTTTCCGGGGTTTTGAATCTGCTTTCTTTTGAGCTTCATCTTTGAAAGCCTCTGGCTCTGGGCTGGTATTATTTTCTGAGGAAGGGGTTTCAGATAGGCCCTGCTTCTTGCGAGCCTTTGCCTGCCAGACCGCATCTTCTTCCTCGATTTCCCTCAGTACTATAACGGTGTTAGTAGTGCGAATATGCGAACTTTTTTCTACCAAGATCAAAATTCAGGTCGCATACCGTCTTCCCAGCTCTTTTCATCTTTCTCGTTCCCTACACCGAGCATTCCCTCCACGTCCACATCTTCTCCCCGTTGAAGTCGTTCTATAACCTCTTTGAGGACTGCAATCTTCACATTTGCCCGTCGCATGCGCTCATCGTGATTGAGCCTCAGCGCAATTATTTGGATCGCCTGTGACCCAATCAATAGGAAAATAGCCTGCGCCAGACGGGATATCAGCCTCGGAGCCACCCAGGTGCTGTTCTGCCACAGAATTGCGGCAGGCAGGAGAGCTTGACGAACAATGTAAAACGTTGCCGGGTTCCATGGCTTCTTCCCCTGCGGCCCCTTTGCCTTGGAGGCGGATTTGGAAGACTGCCAGTAGATCCTAGGGTCAAGAAATCGAGGAAGATATCTAGTGGATGCGCTCGCTGGCGCTGGATGCTTCAATTGGTGCATGGAAATCGTTGAGAAACCCGAAACGCCGTTGAGCGCACGGGGCCGTTGAGCCGCCGCATTTGCAAGACGTGTGAACGGCCGTAATCGTAGAGCTGCCATAGGTTTATCTTCGCGGTGACGATGAGGGAGGGGTACGGGTTGACAGAGTGGGATGTGGATTTTCCACCAAGAGCCGCCTGGTTGTCGTGGTAACGAACGGCAAGTTGCGTCTCACCCCGGTGCACTGCATGTTTATGCATGTTTGCCTCTCTCCATAGCTTCCTCCTCCGTCGCAAGTACCTCCCAGCGACGTGTTCTTCAACCACCAATAACCTCCCCAACCCTTCTACTCAATCAACAGATGTTATTAGGAGGATTTGACATGATGGTACGACTCTTCTCCACCTTTAATGCGTGAATTTTTTAATGCTAACAACATTCCAGGCAAGCACACGCACATCGAAACCATCCCCTCTCGGATATGCTTTGGAACCTTCAGGTTTCAATGGCACAAATGGATCTTCTTCCGCAAGGGCCATGAAGCGATCGGCCTCTGGGGCGTTCACTCAGCTGTCGAGCACCCAGATCCAAGAGCTCAAGGAGAGTTTCCAAATGCTAGATAAGGATGGTGACGGTGTTATTGGAAATGACGATTTGGCGGCTATGTTGAGTAGTTTAGGTAAGTGACTCCTTTTACTTTATTTTTGCACAGCCATTCCTATCTATTCTATCTAAGCCTTGTGTTAACTCTTTAATCTACAGGCCAAGAGCCCACCTCTTCTACTCTCTCCGCGCACCTTTCTTCCGTCCCAACTCCTTTTAACCTTGCATCCTACCTGACACATCTCTCTCAACATTTATCACTCTTGACCCCCGGCCCTGACCTACTCAGCGCATTCGAAGCTTTCGATGACAACGACGATGGAACCATCGATGTTGCCGAGCTTAAGGAGGCTCTCACGGGCATGGGAGAGAGAATGAGTGACGAGGATGTGGATCGGGCGTTAAAGGGCTTTACTAAGCGGAGAGCGCTCGCTAGAGGGGCGGCTAACCACAGCAGCAACTATGGGGGCGAGGTCTTCAAGTACAGAGACTTCGTAGACGTCCTGTCTGGGAAAGAGGAAGAAAAGGAGTAACGATGTTTATAGCTGGATCAATGGCTTTCATTCGGTACTCTTTCTGGGTGGGCTTTACGGTTTCTGGTGGATGCATTATGCGGGATATCGATATCCAGGAGTTTGCTTGTTTGGTTTGTTGGAGATTTTCCTTATATTCTTTCCTTAATTATCGGTGCCGGTCGCAACTATCATCCTGTAATCCTTCATTTGTATACTAGAGTTGGTCTAAACATTCATTGAAGTAATTACCACACTGAGCGAGTTTAGAGTCTTATAATCAACTATCCTCGGTTGCAACCATGGTCGCATGGCCCAATGGCAAGGCGCTTGACTACGAATCAAGAGATTCCAGGTTCGACCCCTGGTGCGATCAAAATGGCTGGTTGTTTTTTTGGAAGGTGAAACTTTTTTACCCTCACCAAAGAAACATGTTTCAATCGCTCAGTCAGGGATTGTTTCGGTGTTCATTTCACGCAATCACTGCTGGAAAGATACAGTATTATTTTAAAACCTACCTTCCAATGAAAACCCTCTATGAGCGCAATTGACACTTGATATTTTGGTCTGAGGAATTCAGGCGCCCGAGGCAACTTGTAGTCATATCACAGGGGACCAGACTAGTGAAGACATGAAAGATGTCCAGCCGGAGCAACGCATAGAGTTTCTCTTTTAGATATCTAGCTTGTACCTGAAATCTCCGTTCCTCCCGCCAAACGATACATGGCCCCTTGGGGATCGTGGTTCATGGCCCATCACTGGGGCGAGTGATACTTTGTGATGAGAAATTATCGTTGAGAACGTCAAATTGCGCATGCACCTAGTCATTCATTCATTGGTTGCTCAGTCTTCCTTCCTACCGAGAAGGTATCCAATTGTATCCCACAAAAGGATAGGCTGATCGTTCCGAGTCGCTGGTTGGTAATACGATGCAGGAATGTAGGAAAGGAAAGAAGAAACGGACCGTTGAGTGAGCTAGAAGGAGATGACAGCTGGAGCAGTTAATCTAGCCCAACTAGATCAAAGACCCGAGATGATCTAGAATCATCCTGTGCATTGACCTGATGTAAACGTAGACTTTCGTCCACATGCTAAACGGTCCCCCCCACGCTACTTGTCGTTCACATGCAAAGGCTAGGGTACCGTTTACTCTCTGCTCCAACGCTCAGATGTTAAGCCTGTATCTCTTGGCCCCCGTTACCCCTCGTTTTTTTGCTGTCTTTCGTTTCGTATTTTGATTTTTTATGTTTAATTGACACCGTGCATAAGTGCCATCCCTAAAAAATCTTCCTATTGGCTATTGGAACATGGCCGTAATATCCCACAAAAAAGGCAACGAGGGAATGGTGGGTTTTAGCCAATCAAATTACCAGATACCAGCCTGAGCGCCACTGTCATGACTGTGTTTAGTGTTGTCCCGAGAGTTGCCGTAATAAGGATGTCGAACCAAACAATAATTTGTTCCAAACAAAAACATTATGAGAACTACAACCAACAAATAACCAGACCGATGATGCTTGACCCAAGTAAAAAAAACCAACAAAAGAAATGATTTGTGCTGATCACACCAGGGGTCGAACCTGGAATCTCTTGATTCGTAGTCAAGCGCCTTGCCATTGGGCCATGTAACCATGTTTATTTTATCAAGCTAAACATTTTTCGACAATTATGAATTTGACACTCTTCAAGCCGAGGATCTCGGTAACAAATCCACGCAAATAACAAAACCAAAGTACGTCTCTTCGTAAGTATTGAGACTTATTCTAATATCGCTTGGAAGGATACGTAATAGTGATTTCTGGCTGCTGGTGAGTTTGTAAGATGTTTGAATCATGGACAATCACTCAGTACAACGACAAAAGCAACTGGTTTAGCGCTTTAATCATTGCACCCTGGAAAGGGGCGTATAAATTCGAACAAATGCATTGAGCTGAGAGACCAAATGTTACGGGCTGATGAGCGATAAATATAAATGAAGAGATAAACAGTAGAAAAAAGAAAGAAAAAAGATAGCCCCCAAATTCTTCGCCACGCACTCCAAGCATAAAACACTCCAAACATAAAACTCGACTTAGAACGTAAAACAAAAAAACAAAAAACTGATCCCAGGACTGGTATAAAAGAAAAAATAACAAGAAGATTCTCCGTGCCATTAAATCCCAAATCATCATCATCATATTAAATCAAGCCAAAGGCCAAGTTCAAACGAGCTCATCCTTCTCCTCATAAACTACCGTCCACTGCCTATCAACGGGGCCAGTGCTCAGCTCACTCCAACGATCACAGTCCTCAATCTCGGACCTTGTTACATTCCCATACTCGGAATCGCTCATGTCCTCCTCAGACTGTTTGGAAATGTTGATAATCGACTCGTCCATGAGCTTACAATCTAGTCCGGACCCCTCACCGCCCGTATTCGTAGTCGCATTGCTCCCATTAGTGCCCAAAGTCGTCGCAACCCTCGTCGGTGGTGGAGGTGGTGGGGGCATAAAGTACCCCTCGACCTGCGAGCCCATCGAGGTTGCCAACCCCGCATTCGTAGTCCTTCTCGTTGGAGGCGGCGGCCCGGGGAAGTAGTCTTCCGGAGCGCCATCATCAATTGAGAATGCTCTTCTCCCAAATCCGCCAGGGGGGATGCCAACACCGCCGCCATTATCTTCATCAGCTAATAATTTTGTAGGAGGACTCGGCTGTTCGAGCGGGCATCCTCGGTCCGTAACATGGCGTAAGGTGATGAGCGCCCAGTCGGTATCAAAGCTGTGGTTCCACTCCTCCTGAGTGCGTTGGCCTTGCCAGCCCTTAGCTTCCCATTTAGCTTCGAGTCTTGTGAAGAGCTCTGGACTACGGCGCTCAATACGCTGGGCATTCTCGATTGAGTACCAGCCTGCAAACTCCCAGATGGCTTTTTGAGTTCCGCCAGGGGTGCTCGGAAGAGTGGGGTCCCATTGAACTTGGCGGAAGAGCGGAATGGGAACAGCTTGTAGGGTCTTGAGAGATGTGCCGAAGACGAGGTGCAGGTTGGATTTTATGAAGATCTCTGGTGGGAATGAGGGTTGCTGGGTGTCAGATATGAGAATGCGAGATATACGTTGCGGGTCGTCGATGCTGCCAGTCAGGGTATCCTCGTTGGGGTTGCCAAAGTGCTGTTCGAGCTGGTCGCGTGTGTAAGTGTTGTTAGTACGGGATGAACGGGCACGCCACTTCGGGGCGTGTGTAGAGGTTGGAGATAGGGGAGGAGAAGCTGCAGCCATTGTTGAAATGTTTTGTGAGAGTAAGAGTGGATGTTTGGTATGTAGGAGACAGGGAGGTGTCAAGTGTCAAGTGTCGAGTTGGCGAGTTTTGATGCTTCCGGAGTTCCTTTACAGTGTCCTGGAGTGGATACTGTTGGCGATAAGATGATAAGATAAGATCTAAAGCTCGTCATAAATCTGGCGTGAGGGGAAGGAAGGAGGGGCCCTGAGTGGAAGGGATTGACCAATGATCGTGTTGGGAAACAAAGGGTGGGGGGCCAATGATTATCCCGAGAGTATCCCTGGCCCTACCAAATAAACACCCGTTCGAACGTTCGCTGTTACTCTTAACCCGATAGGTAACAACCGCAACAGATCGATCGTCCTGCGATTGCGGGGCGGAACAGGAACGTCAACAGATATGATATACCGATAAAGCACTGATGTAAAGATCCACACGAACCGGCTCTTTGCTGTTACTGTTGCTGTTCTTGCGGGATATTCGCCATGGCTCATATAAACTCATGAAGAGTAATATTCCGGTCCTACCACAACGAATTTTCGATGTGCTGCGTGTACGCGAAGCAACTTTATCGCTCACAAAAATACTGATGATTTCATGGCCCTTGGGGCCGAAGGTTGGTAGCGAATCTTCAAACTCCAATCCATGATTCAGCCTAACCAAAAAGCGGTAGGATCTTTAAACCAAGATCCAAAGATTTCGAGAAAATCATTGTACTCTATGTCAGACCTTCGTCACACTTCTTCCTGTAAAAACCTGGGTTTCGGAGGATCTACTGGCTCCCATTACCACCCTTGTCATCATTGTGACTATAAAAACAGCAAAAGACCTCAGATTCCCAAGTCATCGCGTCAACAGTCTGATCATGGCTGTTGCCGAATCTGAGCTTTATACACTATACGCCGGAGGTCCGAGATGCCTGTCTTCAAGATGTCTCTGTCACTGGCGACGAATCCTGTCCCCAGCATTTCTTCTAATTCGGGCTAACTTCAGTTTTTGTGGTTGGGAGAGGGAACCTCTGGGCTCAAGAGAACTGAAGAGTTAGGGCCCATTACTAATAAGTAGTATCTACACGCCAACAAGGAGAAAATTTGCACCTCACTCCACAAGTAAAGGGACGAGGGACGTTGGAAGTTGGAGCCAACTCGGTAGCTGCCGAAATTAAACCTCGATGTCGATGACGTTGCTAAGGTCAACACCAACAACTACTCTCAACAAACAAAGTAGCTTCTTACTAAAAACCCTGTCCGAAAATCATTTCCCGGAGGAAACCCTCAAGATGGTATTTGCCGAAACAACTTTGTAACTCTATCACAACATCAACTCAATTAGCCCCGCTGCATTCAAACCCGGGGGGGGGGGGGGAGACGACCCTTTTTAACCCCCCTGCGAGTATTTCGTGAAGATGCAAGTGATAAGTGCCTTGCATATGGCTGTCAGATTCCTTAGGAGTCAACACGTGTTTGAAGCCTTGATTTCCCGGCAGTAATAATATATTTCGTCCCTCCCTACAGAAAAAAAAAATACTCGCTCTTTCACGAAATATTCTTCATTATACCCACCCCAGCCATTATGAACTTATATTACACGACAAAAATATGTGTTCCCCACCCTCGTTGATGGGTGGGGGGGAGGGGAAATTTCACAAAGGAGAAATGTGAGAGTGATGACCCATGATTCTCCACTCATAGCTCCGCTGAAATGCCGTGAACGAAAAAAGGCAAATAGTTAAAACAAAAATCGACAAACGACAAATAAAGTAAAACGCCAGACCCCCCCCCTCCCAATTGAAATCCCTATGAAATCAACTACTGCACAATACACCCTGTGCAATTGATACTCCCTTTGAGCGGCGGTTTCTGCCCATTCGCCCGCAACTTCCCAGACCTATCTACAACCCAATCCGTATCCACATCCTCAACCACATTCCGTCCAGAAGCCTCCTCAGTCCATAACCTCACGACAACGACTCTCTCTTCCATCACCACAACCAGGCGCTTCGCATTTCCGGTGATACCGACAATCTCCCCACCCTTGCCAATTGCAATCTCCCTTAAGTTCCGAGTGATCGACAGCCCTAATGCAAGATCTTGCTTTTCCGACGGGATCGCATTGATAGTACCCACGTGCATCTGGATCTGCCTCAGAGGTAGAATTTTGATGTATCCGGGGCGATGGTTGAACGCAATATAACCTCCTTCCTTGCCCCCTGGTATGACTGCGTACCCGCAGTGTTTCAACGGTCTATCTGCAGCTGTAGCCTCATCTGAGGTGGGTTTTTCCGAATCGGGATCAGGATTGTTCTCGTGACCAGAATTGTTATCGTGTTGACGATATAGTGCCATCTTATTGGTAAATGGGGCTATAGAGATAATTCTGATCAATCTGGTTTTCACTTCTGTCACGATGTAGAAGGAGTCATAAAGGTGGATTGCAGACTCGACTGCCATCTGACCCCCTGTATTGAATGAGTGTGCATGCCAGCGGTGAGTTTGTCTATTTGCTGAGGAATCACTGATTTCTATCCCTGTTTCTTTATGCGTCGTCGTTCTTCTGGTGTTAAGTCTAGCCTTGTAGTAGCGCCAAAGTAGATCTGGGGAATGTGTAGCATTAAGAATGTTCTCGCCATCTTTAAGAGAGGATTCTTGACGACGTTTGAGCTGCACAGGGTCTTCATTGCTCCAAAGTGCACCGATATACCCCGAGTGTTGGAAGTCATGATCATAGTCCCCCCATGTTGATACAGAGACCTGCCGGCCACGCATAGCAAATGCTAATGGAAAGGAGGCACCAATGCTCGAGCCGCTTGTGACAAGGAGCCATGGGTTCTGTTTAGGAGCGGAGCTAGGATATGAAAGCGTTTCTTTCTCCTTCTCCTTCCCTTTACGTGAAGGATCTGCTACTATGTCTTCCTCTTGGTCTTCGATATGGCCACGGAAGAAACCGCCCCGTTTTTGGGTCAGTGCATACGAGGGATGTAACAGATATATCGAGGATGCCAATACTGACACTAGCGGCGTTGCATCAGTACCCGGCGTGATCGCGATGGCAGTTGGGTGCCGGATCTGTGGGATTTTGATGGAGTAGACATGCACAACCATGAAGGACGGGGTGTTCCGAGCCAGCAGCGAATACATGCTAACACCGTCTTCGTCCAGGACTGCCAAATAAGCTTCTGATATCGCCAGCGCTATCGGCTGCTTTTTCACCGAAACTTTACACAGCAGCACCATTGGCCTTTTGGTAAGCTCGAAAATGTGTATATGCTTGTTCTTTATGGAAATGGCTAGCAATGACCCGCAAGCAGCAAAGCGCCGCAGCTTCATTGGAACGGTGCATTTATCGTTCACTGCACAGCATCCAGCGGTGTATGACTTGATGCTGTAGATCTCCTTCGCGCATAATGTACCGGATAGTTCCTGCTTCGCGTACCGGACGAGGAGTTTGCGGACTGCAGGTATAGGAAGGCGGTGTGGGACCTGCTGAAACCCAAAACGCTCACGCAGCACTGAGAGATGCGGGCGGAGCAGTGCATTCGAGAGGGGGCCAGATTGGAATATCAGTTTACGCCATTCCGTAGATACCAGCGACGCGGTAAATAGGGATGATGTGGGCAATCGAGAGAGGATGTTGCAGAGAACATTTTGTGGAAGAGGCCGCGAGCTACTGTCCTGTTGTGGGATAGACATATCTGCGGGGTGGAAACCCAAGGGATTGATTGGGGGGGTTGGTAAGGAGAATGAGGAACAGGAGGAAAGGTCACGGGTATTGGTGATGACGTTAATCTGGTATAATTGATGGTGGATAGATGCATCTAGGTATTATATGCTTTGACGGACTGTCAGCAAGAAGCTGGATACACAGGAGAATGGCAAGACCCTGGTGAGGGGGAAAGGGTACTAACTGGATGAAAATCAATTCACACGTTCCCCAAAGGCTTCTTGCATGTAATCAGTATTCTATCTATAATGCTGTAAGGATGAGGGATTGAAATTCGCGAAAGAATACGAAATGTGTATTTCCGTGCAGAATAACAGTATGGACCCTGAAGCGGGAGGGGAGGCCTCGAGTAATACGGGGCAAATACTCCCAGTTATCAAAACAATCGGGTGTTCCTCAAAAAGGAACGTTGGCGACATGACCAAACTGGGAATCGAACACGGCGTTGAGTTATTGGCTAGGAGATCAGCAATAGCATGAGACAGCTACAGGAAATAGCTTGAAACAGTAATTGACTGGGAAGGGCAGTTGAATCTATCTGAGATCATTGTGCAGCAGCAGTAGCAGCATAGCTACATGTAGAACCAGGGTGGGGGTGGAGTAGAACGTGAAGAGAGAAGGGGGGGGCGAGTCTGGGGGATATCATTCGGTAAGTTCCACGATGTTGTTAAAAGAGCTAATTCAACTCATACATGGTCGGCAATGGCGCCGTATCCTTCCCAAGTGTTCTCTCCCCTAATCCCGTTCGTCAATGGTACATACAAAAAACATTCCACGAAACAAAGTGCGCGAGTGCAGGCGTGATTTTAAAAAGAGATCAAAAATAGCACCCGAAGAACTGGTGAGCGCGGTTCGATATTGGGGGGGTGGGAAGAAACCGGGATTCAAGTTACAGGTTAGGTAATCCAGGAACACCCAACCAAAACGGAACAACAGGCAACCGTCAGATAAAGTATTGTGGGTTTCCACAAGTAAGCGTACATTCACGTTGCAACCAAAATTTGTATGGGAATGCAACTTCAAAAGCGTATTTCTCCACAACCACAAGGAGATGGAGCAAAGGAATCTTAGATATGGATTCTCCGGTAGTGATAGTATCTACAGCTAAAATGTCAGTTCGAGAGGGCGAATTTGAAATTTTGATGTTGTTAGGTGGTTTGTATGGTTACCACCTCAATGTTCGCTTACTTGTGGAAACCCGCAATACCATGTTAATGGAGCTACACCTCAGAAGCGAGAAACTCGATCGGCCAGATGCGAGGGAGAAAGACGACTGGATGGGAAAAAGAAGAATAAAAAGAAGAAGTTTCTAAAGAGAAGCCTTTGTCAGGAACCAAAGGGGGCAAGTGCAATGGAGATCTCGTCATGTCACTTGAGCTCTCGACCAGTGAAGACGCAACATTAAGCTTCTTTTGCTCGGCCCACAAGCCTTGAGGATCTAGAGACAATTATGCACGGTGTTTTCGATCCCAAAGCTCTTTCTCTCTCTACATCTCTCCACAATCTCCGGAGTCTCGAAAACCTAGGTCTTAAAAGCCTGAAGTTCCAGTGTCTTTGCTATGATTTGACTCCAAGTGGCTAGTGACAGTCCAGTGAGTACAACCGTTGCCGTAATTACTTACGCTGATCTACGCTGATCAATTCCTTTAACAGAAGGAGGGACCGTTTCTCATGACTTTGAAAACTCTGCAAGACTACAAACAAGACAAAGAACTGGAGAGGAGAACCTGGAGAGGGGGAGACTTGGTAGAGAAGAAATGTCGGGACATTCTACTGCCAATTGCTTGCCCATGTGTAAGTAAAGTAGGTAAGGGGGGAAAAAAAGGTACGGACCATAAACCATGGACCATGGAGGGGCAGGCAGCACACCGCACAGATCTTCTGGAAGTGATGATCGGAGCGAGGGTTAGGGACCAGACCACCACCCCTCCCCATCGCAGCTGTCGGAATCAGGCACAGAGGCAGTACCTGAACTAATCCCGAACGGGAGCTGCCCTGAACTATCTGGGGAATCGCCGCGTGTCTACCATTGGCCAGTCTCTCCAAGCGGTTAAGGCTGCACGCGCATTGGCACTTGACTCGTGCAGAAAGGGTACAGTACACACACATAAGGACGTGCAAATAATTAATTAGATAGCTGTTTATGTATCTGTTTGCTTATTCACTACATACTTTCACAGGCTACACTTCCCCCCTCCCAAACCCTCCCAAACCCTCCCAAACCATAACCCCCATCCAGGACCTCGATGGACTCATTGGGAGATGTGCCGACCTGAGCCAGATGCATCACGCATGTAGTGGAGATGAAGTTGAGAGAGCAATTCCCGATATGGGGCAGGGAAGAATAATTTCACTTTCCTATGTGGAGCCACCCGTAGGCATCAAACGGCCGGTCTTTTGATGGCCCCCAAATCGTAAAGAGTAGGTAGACTCCTGGTAAGGGTGCATGCTGTGTTTGACTCGCTTGACGGGTCTTGCGCAACAAATGCAAGCCAGCCAGCCCTACTAGACTGGGTAGCGCTGTGGCACCTCGAGCTAGTAGGGGGGTTGTAGTGGATCGAGGTCTAGGAATCCGCGGGGGAGAACGCCCTCATAATGTGGCCCTCATCCTCTCTCTTTTGACATTGACGGTCCCCAAGAGTCGCGAGATCAAGATAGTGAGATCTATTTTGCTCCTCTTCCACTTTGTCGCTTACCCCCGACACCGACACTCCTTCCCTGTCTACCTGCCTGTCTTTGTGCTTAAGTGTGCAACCACAGCTTTTAGACGTTCACTCATTTTTACCGTTTTACCAGCAGCAACTAGGGAATTATTACCGCGCTTTGTCGAACGGTCGTCACTCATTTTCAGCCTTTTCGGTCATCCCCCTCACCCCCACACACTCATTCACTCATATATTTCCACCTGTCACTCCCAGCCTGGAGAAAACAAGAGAAAGTTACAAGCCTCCTTCTCGGATCAGAAAAAGAGACCAGGGCATTCTACAAACCCCGTCTTTCGTAGAAATCCCATACTATCCTACTTTTACTACTTGGCAGCAAGTGTAAGTTTCAGGAAGGATCTGCTTTCTTTATCCTGCTACAGCTCTTCCCAATCACCACAGTTCACTTGCAACGCTTCGAAACCAAACTACAGGACTAGCACTTTTGTTATCCTGCTTCATTTTTAGAAATAACCTAGCCCTTAGTGACATGCAGTTGATATTATATATCGACCCACGACTATTACTATAATGCTAGCCATACGTCCTCGCCAGCCATCTTCCTCATTCATGCGAATCAACGAATCCGACGTTACCGGTGCTACTACCACAACACCAGAGCGCCAGGCCAAAGGTGGTAGCAAGAGATGGAGTATGAAGCTACGGTTAAAAGAGCGCGGAGAAGAAGTGGAGGAAGGCACGGAAGCAGAGGTGGAGGGAGCGAGGAGGAGGAAGAGAAGGCACTCGGAGGTTAAGGGCAGCAAAAATTACTTTTCGTTTTTTAGCAATTTCCGTCAATCCTATAACGCCAAATTTACTATTCTATCACTCGTTCTCATGGTCCTACTTATGACTGGCTCTGCCGTTGCTGCTCCCACCGACAGTGAAGCTACTACTACAGCAACCGCTACCACTACTGAAAGTGCAACTTCCACGAGCTCTGAGGAAGCGGCAGCTACAACTACAGTTGTGACAACGGTGGGCACGATAGAGACCCCAACGCTCTTCGACACAGTCAGCATCGCCTCCAACTCCACCACCACCACCTGCCCGATCTTCTTCTCAAGGTTTCTCAGCGACCCGCAATTCCAGAAATGTCTTCCTCTATCAGGCCTCCTCCTGGTATGTGCACCCATAAACCTCCCCTCCATTCCTGCGAGAGACAGCAAGCTTATAATGGGGCCACTATAACAGAGCTCGCAATCTTATTTTGAAATCACCAAAGAGGGCGGCTTCGCAACCACTCAGGTCGTGGACCAGACCTGCAACGTAGATGTCCCCACCTGTCAGCTCGTTATGGAGAAGCTAGGGTGGCAGATTGGGCTTGAGGAGAACTGCGGCGCAGACTTGCAGCTAGGGAACCCGGTCGTACAGCAGGCACGTGCTGCTTTTATCTCATACAAGGCGGTGTATCTGGCGGGGTGCTTGAAGTCGGACTCGGGGTCTTACTGTTAGTACATATTTTTTGCTGTTCTTCATGTGATCGCACTCGATTCACTTTTTTTGCTAACTCTTGGATTATATGTAGGCTATGTGGATGCCCTAATGAACGTCACCAGTCCAAGTGACTCGTACGTCTACTATCTCCCGCTGGGACAGAACTTCCCGGGAGGTGCGAGACCTACGTAAGCTGCCCAGAGACTTTTGGTTTTGCGGGTTATTCTAACTCTCCTAGTAGCTGCTCTGACTGCTTGTCCAACACCCTGAGGATATACTCGGCCTTTGCTGGGAACTCGAGCCAGCCGCTGTATGATACATACACCTCGGCGACCCAGCAGATCAATATGGGTATGTTTCTCTCTCACTATCCCTCCCCCCTATCAATCATATATACTAACAGATATGCTTAGGTTGTGGACCTGACTTCTCCAACACAACTGTCCAGTTCCAGATGTCGAACTCGGGCCGTAGCACGTTCTCCCCGGCGCCGCTCATGCTCCTGTCAACGCTCCTGGTGGTGATCGGTCTGATAGTCTAGTGAAAAATGTCATTTTTGTTAGTCCTCCGGTCTCACGGCTTGATAATATACTTCGAAACGAGTTCATTAGATATTTCGGTTTTCATTGTATTCTTCTATACATAAGGGCGGTCGCCATCTTTTTTTTTGGACATTACTTCCTCTAATTTTATTATATTCTTTTTAATATTCCCTGCTCCTCTTTCCTTCTGTCTTTCCCGTTCCACTAGGAGGCGACCCCTCCATTACCACCCCCCTACAATTTATTTTTACCATTTTTTCTTAGGGGTGGGTTTGTGATGCCTCTCTTTTGTTCTATTTCCCCTTCTTTTTTTCACGAGAGCGTTCATTTTTGGGTTTCTTCCTTTATTTCTTTCTTTTCCAGTTAGTCTTTTATTTCTGCACTTTCTTTCTTTCTTTTTCCCTTTCCAATTGGGTTAACCGGGTTTTTGGGTTTTGGTGGCTGGTGGGGGGGGGGGGTCAGGGTCTGCTGAATCCTGTTTTAGAGAGCTAGTTAAGGGAGGGGGTGTTTCTCCTGTGTATGTGGGTGTTTCGTTTTATTATACTTTTTCGGGTGCGATGTAACATATTATTAGGGTGTAAAGGGGGTGTGGTTTGTGTTTTTTGGCGGAGTGCAGAGGAAGAGGAGGATCGAGAGGATCGAGAGGAGGGGAAGTGGATGGAGAGAGGAAGGAGCATGAGGCTGGCTGAAGGGAGATTAAACGAACTGTAGAGCAAACGTGCCGGCGGATAGTAGGTACTCTATGTGCCTACATTTGAAATACCTACATGTAGGCAGCTGCGTAGATAGATAGACAGATAGATAGACGCACATAGCTAGCGCGGCGCCGCCCGTTTTCAAGCGGCGACCCTATCAATCTCTATAGATTGGGGTGCGCGCGCGTCTTCTGTCTTGCTGTAATCTTCTACAATCTACCATACAATCTACAATCTACGTATAATACTCTCTACTCTATCCTCTGCTTGATCTGGCTAGGATTGGGGGCGCGGGAAATCCTGTCATTTCCTCGCTGTGCACGAGCTGAAGGAATTTATTAGCGAACGGCTAGCCAGCTAGGTAGGTGGCTCGCTCGCTCGCTCGCGTATATCTGGAACCAGATACACCCCTGGGGAGCGTACCCCCCCCCCCCCCCCTGGTTCACGGAGAGAAGGGAGGCGACATAGTCTACCAGGTTCTCTGCTCTAGTGCGAGTGGTCTGGACTGGATCCTGGATGGGCCTGGAGGGGATTCACGGTTTCGTGTTGAGTAAACTTGTGCAACTCATGTAAGGGCCCAGGAGGAGGGGGTGATTCCGTGGTTTTGGGGAGCTGGTGGCGCTATAAATACTGGTTTTCTACTGTTTATCGGTTTCGTTTTGTTTTTGTTGTGAGGATGATGCTTGATGCTGTGCTAGCTTTGGGTTGCAATTGGATCGGACTGGATACAGTACCAGTGTATGGTTCTAGGCTCTAGCTAGTGAGTGGGCTAGCTGCATTGGAAACAATTGTAGCACCGGTCGCCAGTGGAGCAGAGCAGTTAGTTAGCTGGGGGATAGCTTCGTTATCTGATAAGATTGTTGGTTTGGGTGGTGGGCCTATTGATCAACGTCTAGCCAAAGACCGATGCAGTTGGAATGGAGGAAGGAAGGGATCTACGAGAGGCAGAGAGACATGTCAGAACGATGATCTAATAGCTATCCATCTGCAGTACTGTATCTACCCAGAGCATGTAGCAACAACGAACGTCATATCGTGAGAAACCTCAACACCAAAGCTAGCTAGCTACTCTACAGGTCAAGACGTACAGAATTCACTAAACTCCACGCGCGCGCGATGCTGCGACGGTACCTGCGTCGCATGTCCACCTCCACTGGCTCGTACCGCTCCCACGCCGAGCGCACGGCCACGCAGCCACGGGATAATGCACGACATCCCGCTCTTTCTTTTCTTCTTCACTACTTCAAGTACTGATCGAGCATCGGATGAGATGTACAGACGTTGCACACAGCCCGAATAACACACATCGCCCGCTCCACGTCCACGCTGCGTCTATTCACACTAACACTCACCACCCCGCACTTCACCGTTAGTCCCCGTCCCAACCCCCAACCCCCCCTCATTTTCCGTCGCACCGATCATTGACTCACCTCACAGTTCAAACCCGGCCAATGGCTCGACGTCCACGTCCCCACGCCCGCCGCCCCTTCCCCAGGTGGCTTTACAATTATCTCGCCACCCTCTCTCCTCCCCCGCCTACAACTCGCCATCCAAGCCGCGCCCCACAACCCGCCCGCCGCCTGGCTATGGCAGCACGAGCCCCTCATCGAGGGTAAGGTGGTGAAAGTTAGGGCCGGCGGCAACTTTACGTTTCCGCCCCCGGAGGAGAGCGGCGTTGCTGGGGGTATCGGGCATGTGGTATTTGTGGCGGCGGGGGTGGGCGTAAAGTATGTCCTTTCCCCTCCCCCGAATCCCCTTCCTGTATTGTGTGGGGTGTATATTATGTGGTAAAGGAAATTGACGGAACAGTCCGCTACTATCGATGCTGCGCTATATACAGGAGAGCGAAAAGGACCTCGAGGTCTCGTTCCTGTGGAGCACGAAAACGCCCGTGCCCGAGGCATACATGAGCGTTTTATCGGCGCTTGATGAGCCGAGCTTTAAGCTCTTTATCACCGGCTCCAAAGATGAGGCGGCCACAGTGACGGATGAAGCTGTGCCCGCGGCGGCGGAGGAGGAGGAGGAGGCGGTCAAGTGGCCGCATGAGACGCGCAGAATGACGGTAGAAGATGTAAAGGCGGTGGTGGAGCTTGGCCCTGCGGAGGAGACGGTGGTGTATGTGTGTGGGCCACCGCCATTTACAGAGACGTTTGTGGAGGGGGTAGTGGCGCGGACGGGGCTGGGAAGGGAGAGGGTGTTTATGGAGAGGTGGTGGTGAGGCTGGTGAGGTATTATGAGGGATATTTAATTTCGATTATTTTTTTTCCGTTCTTTTCGTTTTTTTTTTTTTTTTGGTTTTTCGTTTGGAATGGATCATAAGATGTCACTCGGTAGCTAGTATTGGGCGCACTAACGGAACAATAACCTCGGCCCTCGCGCACACACCCAGCGGAAATTATACAAAAACAAGCATGCAGATAAGATTAAAGGCAGATCGAGAAAGCCCCGCCCTCCCAGAAAATAGAAAGAAAAAAGAAAAAAAAAAGAAAAAAACTACGCCGCAATTTCCTACGCAATGTGCAGTGTCACGTAATGTGCTCGCGTGGGTAGGGTAGGGTAGGGGTAGTATGTATGTGTAGTTGTTTATCGATACGTATACGATAATACTTACTGCAACGTGAGATTACACCCCCCCCCCCCTCATGCACACAAAATAGCATAGCCGTTTAACTATTCTGCTGCGCAGGGTAGAGCTCAATGTGAACATGCATACGTATCTCCAAGTAGGTTTATACCGTACCGTACCGTGTGAAATTAGAGGACTGTATTCAATGCTGCTGCTAAGTTAGTAGGACGGTACTTCTTCTTTGTTGCACATGTTGCCTTGCTATATTGTAACTGTCCTATGTATGGTGTGAGTGCCACGAGTGCTGCTTCCCTGGACGCGTCATTCCGTGGCAGCGATAGCGAGCAGAGAGATATTGGTCGTACACGCTCATGTAGCCGGAGAGAATGGGTCTTGCCGAGTTCCGGTTTTTGCATGGGGGAAACGGGGAGGTTGGTTAGAGACAGGGAAGGGAGAGAGGTTTGGGAGAACTGATGTGATATCCCGTTATAGTGAGGAGCGCGAGCTGGAACTGGGTGTGGTGATTGGCGGTCATGGGTTGTCACTCGACGTGGCATTCACCACCCCACTCTACAACCCATAACCCATAACTCATAACTTCCCTCCCTCGGCGCTAGTGCATTCCACCGGTACTTGCCGGTGTTGTAAGACCGTTGTTGGGCGTTCTTGTCAGACATATCTCCAAACCTTAAATTTTTAAGACGGTATCTTCCCCCCGCATGCCAGCTTGCCCCCCTCATCAAAACGAGGTTGCAAGTGTCATACCAGCTAGCAAAAGCTAGCAGCGATCACCAGTATCTGTGTATGATCGACGACAGCGTAGTTAGTTCCGTGACGCTGCATTATCACATGGAGATGCGGCCATTGTAGTATTTCCTTAACGGGCGTTGGCAATATTATCACACTGATATGGAATAATCCGGGGTAATATTTGATCCTCGCCTTCAATTGGCTGAACTAGCTCTCGACACTACGATAATTATATGTAACTGTCGGGATTTGTGCTGGAGCTTGCGGGCCTGACACATCTAGACGAGCGTTTTCGCAATTGCATAGGTTGATCGAAATCAATGATCTCCTCTCAAACATCACCCGATCCAATAGCGGTACTTCCATGAAATATGTAAAAGCACACAAAAAAAACGCCCTTCCATTCCCTTTGCAATTGAGATAAAAGACACAAGAAAAAGAAAGAAAAAACCTCTTAGCCTTTCCGATCCCGTGAAACAAGACAAATGGAGAAAACGAAAATGATGCCGACGCCAGTACCACCGGGAATAGAGAAGAAAAAAAGCGAAAGAAAGAAAAGACAATGCATTTGTGACGTCCTTTCCCTCGACATATTCATGCTCTCAGTCATCAATATACGAAACAAAATAATAAATTAAGAAACGAGGTGCGATAAACTCCGGGATAGTAGTCCCTGTTGCCATGGGATTACCTTACGGGTTGTGGACAACTTTACCCCCCTCCACAATGATTTGCTCATCAATCCTCTTTTCCGTATCCCCATACTCAACCCTCTTCCATGTCGTGATTCTATCTGCTGGTGAATCAATCTCAAACAGTCTAACCCTGCGGTGGTATCCACCCCATCCGCCATAACCTCCAAAGCCACTACCCCCCGCATAACACATCCACAAGTTGAGCTGTTCGCCCTTCTTGTCCAGCATGCAATATTCGTTTGCGTGGTCGTGCCCAGCGCTAACAACGCTAACACCAGCATTGACGAGCACATCTTTAAATCCGCTGTTGAATCCCGGAGCTGTGGGAGGCTCGCGGTATTCACCGACATAGGGCGCTCCAGCGGTACGGTATTCGGGCAGTGGAATGTGGATGAAAGCCATATCGAGATGTACAAAAGAGTAGCCGTTAGAGTGATCCTTGATAGATGCATGTGTCTTCTTGAACCACTCAATTTGGGTGTCCTTGACCCAGTCATAACCCCTATGGTTCTTCTCGTCGGGGCTGTAGGAGTGGGTATCGAGGAAATATATGGTGAGAGCAGAGTGGTCGCCCCTAGTAGTCAAAATGTCAGTACCTAATCACATAGCAGTTTTTCCAACTATATAAGTGGTAATGGGTGGTTATACTTCTGCGTTTTAACCTCGACGTAGTAGTTACCGACTCCACCTTCTCTACCCTCACGCCCTTGCCTATCCTTCACAATCCCTCCCAATTCCGGGCCCACCTCACTAAGTGAGTATGGTAGTGTTGAGGTAAGTTTCATAATCTGTTCCCTATTGAGATTGCCCTCGTCGTCATGATTCCCCAAGATAGTAGCATAGGGTATTTTCCGTTTCACGAATGGCTCAGCAAACTTGAAAATTGCGGATTGAGCATCGGGAGCTGTATCGCCATTGACCTGATCACCTGACAATACGGCAAAGTCTGGCTTCTCTTCATCCAAGATTCTAGTAATAAAGTCAAGAGTTCGGGGGTCAGCTTCGCAGCCTGCTGCAGTTGAAGGAGGCTCTGCGTCACGACATGCACCGACACCAGTAGAAAGATGGAGATCTATTTTTTGAAAAAGGAATTAGAAATCCCAAGCGTGTACCCGATAATTTTCGGACAGGAACAGCATAGCGACAGAAGAGTGGCTCACCTGAAATCTGAATGATCTTGAATTTATGGTCCTTCAGCCTTAAAACCGGTTTCTTAAACTCTAGAGGTGGTCCTTTCCTTATTGTGATTCTAGCGTTTTCACCTGAAGTTAAGCTCCCTTCCCGCATCACCCACCCAGGTCTAACTTCCACCGCATCGGCTCCAAACAGCACATCCACCGCCGTGACTGCATCGTCAACAATTTTCGTCTGGCGTCTAATCCAAATGCCTCCAGGCCTTGATTCCCATTTAATTCCATCTTCCGCAGGGGGTTCCAATCTTCCAACCCTGATATCGACAACCAGTTTTTCCCCTGCAGCTTTGTCGAGCTCCTCCTCCTTCTTACGCTTGATGTGGATGAAGCCCTGGCTGATCCAAGTTTCTCCCAAATAAACGTCCTTGTTTATCCGGGTCCATCCCTCCTTCGTATCCATTATACATTCCGAGAAGAAATTGGTACATGAGAGGAAGGTGATGTCTGTAACTACGGTGCCCGCGTGGTGTTCAGGAAGAAAGTGATGGAGTCGAGGGGGTAGTACACGATAACGGAGGTCTAGGAAGAACACAGCTGCTGCGAGAACAATTGACAGGCATACCACCTGTATTATGGTGCGAACTATTCGACGGGCCATGGTAAACTGCTGCAATCGATGGCCAAGAGAGTGGAATAGCGTTCAAAGGGGGGTTGAGGTCGATGGAGAGGTAGTGGTGTTGCATGCGGGAATGGCCTGTGATCATGATCCTTGCTGCCGAGCCACACGAGCTTTTGTGTCCTTAGCTACAGATATATTACTGGTTGCACATGCACCTTCAAGCCTAAACTTATAGTATTGGAGTTTATCAATGTCTAGAACTACATGTAGATAAGAACATGTGAGGGCCTAGATCAAACTTAGATATAATATTTACTTATACTATGAGTATAATTACCAGCTCAGTGACTGTTCCACAAGGAATCAGGAGATTTTGATATTGATGTGTTACTAGTAGTGGAGTGGCATCTTGCTGGGAGGGGTATCACGTTCTGTTATGGGTAATTTTTCTGTTTTATCGAAGCTCGCAATTTTAATTACTTCTTAAACTCAAATCAGTAGAACTCTTTGTTCTTTGACATCTAGGTATTCACTAATCCTTGGCGCCTGGTCCAACGGGGCAATAAGCTCAAGCTCACTACTCGGGGCAGGCAAAAAGTACCGGACAATGCAAGTTTTGTCTCTGGGCTTTTTTTGCAGTAGTTCACGCCTAGCACGCGCGCCCATTGGTGAACCAAAAACCTGCATTGTCCGGTACTTTTTACCTGCCCCGAGTACTTGTCTACAGTATGTAAGCATTTTTAATTTATGTCTGTGTGCTTAGCTCTGAAGCATTTCAGACAAAGCTCTCACTCGGTACCGCGGTATACATTCCATGCATTGTCTCAAATCGCGAATAATCGTTATCGATTTGGTTTGAGACATAGATAACTGCCTTCACTGCGGGCCGAGCCATAATTTCCCATGGCTGGCTTAAGTTTCCAAGTACGAAAATACCCGATAATTATGCAACGAAGATTCCCAACCACGTGTGATCGTAGAATATGGACACGAGGTCATAGAACATGGATATCCGCATACATGGCATAAAAGAGAAACGTGTATATGTATATATATGTGGTATAGCAAACTTCGGTTGATCCAATTAGTCGGCCTCAAGCCTACCTCACAAGTATCTACAGGGATTGGGGTTGAGAGAGGGAGGCAGTACCATGACCTAATTAAGTCATCTCTTGCCTACCTAAAACCCTCATCTCCAGCCCCTCAACTCTCTTACTTATATCCCTTATATTTTCCAACGCGTCTTCCTTGGCCTCCTTCTGCAATCTCAAAGTTTCGTCAAACTGTACTTTCATAAAATCCGGTATATGTGCCTTTCCAGGTAGTTGAGTCTTGTCAGCAGGCTGGTAGTTGTATACAACAATGTCTTCGTGGCATCTTGCGGCGGGACGTTGATGCTTCTCGGATATTACTGATTGCTCGATGGTTAAATGCCGAGGATAACGATATTAATGGCGAGTGACTCACTAATGACATCAAGGGTAAACGAAGTCGTTGAGACATCCCCGAGCTTGTGATAGACTGTGACTTTGTCCGGCCACTCCACTGGCTAATGAGTTTAAAGTAGACATCAGCTTTCTGAAATTCGCCCATGTAAGTACTAAAGAGTATCACGCACAAACTTATAGTCCACCCTGATGCTCTTCAGAATTAGACCCAAACCCTTCGGGGTCCACAATTGTGACCAAGGCTTCAGGTTTTGTGGATCATGATGCTTTGCAATATTCCAAGCCCAGTTAATCCGTGAGGCTTCAGCCCAGCGAGCATAGGTAACGTTGTTCACATGTGCTGGAGTAATAGGAAAGGCTCTAAGTTAGTTTTGGAAAACTCTTTTGTTGATTATTGAGGTAAAGTATAAGATACCCTAGGAAGGATAGATCAGCCATCTGTATGTTTGTTATATTCTGGTCGAGCGGTGGTATTACCATTGAGTCCTGATTCATATAATATGGACATTAGCCTCTAAGCTTCCTTCAAAAGGGTTCCAGAAGATTCGCAGTACCATATCGCCCCAAACGACGTTGTGTCTGTAAAGCCCTCTCCTTGTTTCTCCCGTCAAAAACCCTTCACTAGCAGCGACATAGTCCCTCCAGTTCTTTGTCAGATCCTTCAGGATATCGCTTGCTTCCCTCGTTTCTTCGGCAGTTGTCCCATGTAGAAAAAGCTTACCAAGTCGTCTCTTGGTGTCGGAGAGCCAGCGCCCATGGTTTTCTGAAGGTGCTCGAGAGGCGGTTGCAAGAGTACGAATACTAATCTGTGTTTTCACCGCCGCCGACAGACGGTGGGAGAGGAGCCCTGGCCAAAGCATCTTTGAACGGTATGGCACATAAAAGAATGTTCATCCCTGGGTAGATAACTGTTTGGCTCCGTGAACCCGGGATCCCACCATGCCTCGGTAGACCACGCTTACCCCACAATATGTACGCCGAACAACGTCATGGCGCTTCATATCACATTCACACCATAGCCGCAGGTCCTGAACACTCGTTCACGAACAAACCACTGCAACTATGACCTCTACAAACGCCCTACGCTATGAAGTGAGGCAGATATATAAAAACCTCGTATGTCCGTCGTTTAAAGCCGATTCTCAGAAGAATCCTACTTGATCTGACGCAAAGAAACATTCCCAGCTCTATCTTGGCCGGGAATACCCTCTGGGCTACGATTACTTCCGACCACGCTGCCATAACGCCTTTATGAGTAATGCTGGTTTAACAGACCCAGAGAAAATTAAGGAAGGGATCAAAAGAGCTGAATACGTCAAAAAAGGTTTGTTTTGAGCGACCGATTGGCTAGCTTTGAGGTAAACATTGCGACGTTAACACGAATGCGACGCCTAGAGATCGAAGCTCTGTATGAATTTTAGGCTGAATTCCTCTTGTGAAACCCGGAAACTGACTGCTACATTCGTGCCTACAGGTACTATGTGAAGAAATATAGAGCGATGAACCAGGCATACGGCGCTGCTACTCAATAGGAGTTCTCAACCTCACCATGCTGATAGGCCACGTTTCTCTGAGAATATCTGGATGTAATACCGGACAGCAGGTACCTACATCAAGTTTTCGTATTATTGGGTTTCGGAGTTATAGCTAGAAATCTTCATAAAATAATGAATTTGGGAATGCTCGCCGTGTGGTGCACGCAGTCGACTTAAGAAATCAATATATGAACCTTTTAAGCTCAGCCTTTCCACCCATACCTAGAATACAGCTTGTCTAAAATTCACATTTGGGCCTTTCGGTTATACATGTAGTTACACTTCATCCCGCGAACATAAATTGTCCTTATACAGTATCTGCATGTATTCGAAAAATTGTAGATCTGAGGAGTTTATTTCAAGGTCTAGCCAGGGCTATTTATTATATTGAAGTCGAAATAAACTTTAAAATTTAGGTTTACGATCCCGGGAGAATCGACGACGCATCGCACCTAGAAACAAATGCAATTGCATGTTTCACAAACCCAGAAAACCGGAGTCGGCCCCTTATTGAGCGCATGTATGTAGACGGAGTACTCTACCTCTAGCGTACCTATCTGCCTACATTATCCGTATGTCTACTCACCTACTACTTAATTACCTATGTAGGCCGGAAGTGTACTTTGTCGGGAAATCAACAAATCAGTCACTCACATATTGTTATGCACCCAAAGATCGACAGATCGTGCGGTGCCGCGCACTACAGGTGGTTTTAACTGAAAACACAGCTTGAAAGATAGGCTTTTATTGGGTTTTCTTTATGCGCAGGTGCTAGCAATTATTTATGTGCCCCCCCTCATTCTATGTGTCCAGGATCTTGTGCTTTGAGTCAAATATTACATATAATGGACTGGCCAGTATGCACAACGTCCTGTAAGCAGAGTATAAAATGAGATGGAGAAGTTGTAAAGCTTGGTGGATGAGCCTTGTGTAGAAGAATACTTGTGTGTTGCGGGGCATCTTCTGGACCGGCAAGGGTTTTGTAGCTGAGACACTGAAGAGACGCTTAGAGCCCCCCAAAGGACAACAACAAGCCTATTGTCTAATCAACACCTACATGCTCTCTTTTCACCACGAAGATTCACTACCTACCAACGCCCCACTGACTGCTACAACACCTTCTGCATCTCGAGAATCCTGAGCTTGTCTTATTACCGAGTTATTTCGATATCCTCGTGACGGTTTCCCATTGCTTTCCGGTATTTTGTCATTGTCCCCTCCCTTCCCATCATATACTCATCACCCCTCCACAACACCCCCTGTGGCACATAGCATTCACCACTGTCGCCCTAGACCTTTGTCAATATGAGTTGTTTTATCTTCCCATGATACCAATACTACCTTTCTAGCATCTTAAATATTCATACCAGCTTGTCAGAGATCTTTTTTCTGATTTTACCTCCATTAGTTGACAACGAAGAGTCAAGCCCTTGAACAAGTCACCCCTCCATAGATCTCTACCAAGTTCCATCTACCTATAATTACTACGGCGACCTTCACCAAAATAAACCTGAAAGATTTCAAATTCCTCTTTAGGCTTGCTCATAAATAAACTCCACGTCTATTGATATCTCTTAGCCAGGACTCTCAATACGTTAGTCAGGTTCTAGCGAAAGGTCGCTCCGGGAGTGTAGGAGGTACCACCTCTAAATGTCCCTACGACGGTTACGATTACAAACAAAACCACAGACCCTGAACGTGAACGGGAGATCTACCAGGCATCTCGATCGCCTAAGACAAACAGAACCGTACCTGCGCGATTGCTAGCTCTGACCGCTTACGCTGTCGACCGCTACCCGAATGGCAGATGGTTATACTCAATACCAGCAGCAAGGGCCTTACACCTATACACAACAACGACTTCGACGAGGAACGCCCCCTCAAACGCCCTCCCCTACACGATCCCCCGCCCCTCAGTCTCCAGGGGGCTATATTTACCACTCTAGCCAGCAAACCCATCCCCACGCAGCCCACACAATGCTAAACACACAGACCCAGCGCAATTACATGCCACAACAACAGAACATGGCCAAATTCTTCCCAATGGGCCATAACCAACAGGTGGACCACTCAGTAAACCATGTACAGAACAATGCGGGTAACAACTCCATGGCAGGGGGACACTCGCATTCATACTCTTCCGGGGGGATGGGAAACCAAGCATACTCTTCTCCCCAACATGTTTCGAATGGTACACAAAACAACCTTCAAAATACTTCCCAACATTGGCAGGAACAGCAAAATCTCGTTTCAGTTTCTCGCGCATCTAGTGCTCCCCATCACCACGCCCGCCAAGTTGCTCTCTTGAATAAGGTTTCAAGTGCTCAAGTGACCGGTGGTGTGAATCCAAGTTCCTACCAACCTGTAAACGGACAGCATCGAAAAGACGGGCCCCCTGCGGATATCTTAGAAAATAGAAAAGGTGAAAATGGTGAAATTGAACGGCAAGATTGGAAGGCATTAGATTTAGGTGGACAGGGTTTACGCGCACTCTCAAATGCGCTCTTTCAGTACACCTTTTTGGACAAGCTTTATATCAACCATAATAAGCTTACTGAACTACCATCTGCGATTGGGCGCTTAAAACTATTGCAGCTTTTGGATGCTTCAGGAAACCAGTTGACCGAGCTGCCACCTGAGCTTGGCATGCTTACCAACTTGAAAAGCTTGTTCGTTTTCGACAATCAACTCACTAACTTGCCTTATGAGCTTGGATCATTATATCAGCTGGATGTGCTAGGTATCGAGGGGAATCCGATGTCAGAGGCGATCAAGCAAACGATGATCAAAGACGGAACCCGAGCAGTAATTATAAATCTTAGAGAATCAATGCCAAGTATGAAAAATATCTTTGGAGTAATCTCTAAGCCTCTTGAAGTTGATCCCTCTTACTAATTATTTCTAGTTTCTATGCCTCCCGCCGAGCGAGATTGGATTGTACTTGACGATACTGGCAAAAACGACGCAAAAGCACAAGCAGACAAGTTCCAGGTTCTGTGTTACAATATTCTCTGTGAGAAATATGCGACTCCACAAATGTACGGCTACGCACCGTCATGGGTGGTAGCTTGGGATTACCGCAAGGGAATGATTAAAGATCAACTGTTAGACTCAAAGGCAGATATAATCTGTCTGCAAGAGGTTGACTGGGAAAATTACTCCGAGTACTTTATGCCTGAGTTGGCCATAGCGGAATACAAGGGCGTTTTCTACCCCAAGAGTCGAGCAAAGACCATGAACGAGCATGAGAAGAAGTCAGTAGACGGATGTGCGACGTTCTTTAAGAGCACCAAGTCAGTACTACCCAGAGCTCGTAAAGATATATGCGTGAGCAATTGCTGATAATTTTTTGCTGTGGTAGATTTATGCTACTAGACAAACAGGTCATTGACTTTAGCTCCTCAGCAATTCAGCGCGAAGACATGAAGAAAACTGCCGACATTTACAATCGTGTAATGCCTAAGGACAATATTGCCGTGATTTCATTCCTTGAAAATAAGCAAACTGGCTCTCGGATGATAGTTGCGAACGTGCACATATTCTGGGACCCCCAGTTTCGCGACGTCAAGCTCGTCCAAGTTGCAATGCTTATGGAAGAGCTCAGTAAATACGCCGACAAATGGGCCAAAATGCCGCGCTCCTCCAACAAAACAGGGATCAACAAAAGTGAATTGGCCGACGATGTACCGGCGCCCACTTATGCAACTGGCGCTGCGATACCATTGATAATCTGTGGTGATTTCAATTCGATTGCTGACTCTGGGGTTTACGAGCTGTTGTCCCGGGGTTCTGTGGCGAGCGACCACGATGACTTGAAGGATAGAGTTTATGGAAACTTTACGCGGGACGGAATGAGCCATCCGTTCTCGTTGAAGAGCAGTTACTCAAACATTGGAGAGTTGAAGTTTACGAATTATACGCCAGGCTTTACAGGGGTTATTGATTACATCTGGTATACAATGAACAATCTAAATGTGTCCGGGTTGATGGGGGATGTAGATATAGAGTATTTGGCGAGGGTACCAGGGTTCCCGAATGTTCACTTTCCTAGCGAGTAAGTATATTCCTCTAGTTGGATTTGATATAATGACCCGCGGACTGCTAACAGGACTATCAAAATTTAGTCATATTCTTTTGCAAGCCGAATTTACAGTAAAGCCCCCAAGAAAAGAAATAGTTAAACCACCACCGCCAGATTTCGGACAACAATCATCATCACGAAAGCCATGAGCACGTTTAGAATAAGGGAGGAACGACAATTCCATGTGTAACGGAAAGTGGGTAAACTTACGTGGAAAAAACGGCGATTAAACAAAAAAAAAGGAGTTGGTTTTCCATGAGGGTGTAACTGAAGTCACTTTGGGGGGCGTCGTTTTTATGTATTCTCTTCTGTTCTGTTTCTCGTTTCTCGTTTCTTTTTCTGTATGGTTTTTCGCGATTCTTTCTTTCTCGGCAGTAAACAACGCACTACCTATTTTTTCGTTTATTCATTTTTATCCACAATCCGCGCGCACCCACCATCATCTCATTTCTGTTGCTTTATTTTCTGCCTTTCAGTTTACTACCACAAATTCTGGCAAACTTCCCGCGTCTGCGTAGCATTGGCAGACGTAGAAAGAGAGGAAATCGACCGCTTTTATTGCATTGTTGGACTTGCAGTTTCATTTGTTATCGGTTCGTCTATATTTGGGAAACGGCTAAGGGGGGGGTCACATTTTTCTGTATCTTTTTTCACTTATTATCGGATTTCCATTCTCAGTTCCTGTTTCTGTATCTGTGAGGCTTCAGACTCCTTTTCTTCGTTCTTAGTACCCGCCGTTATCCCACGGAATTTAGGACCTCGAATTTCATTGAGATTCCCTTTTAACTTCTTTGTGGATTCTTTTTGTATTGAATTTTATTCTCTTCCTTCCTTGTTTTAGTAGGGATACATTTTTGATCGTTGTATGAGTATGGCGGTGTCTGGTTCTTGTTGCGCGTGTAGAAACACTTTGATGCAGAATCCCAGGACAGGTTAGTTCTTGGAAATGTCTGTCCTTTCAACGGGTACCAGGTGGGTATTTACTTGCCCCAGTATTGACTACTTAACGCTAGGATTTTGTTAGCTTTGAAACTCCACGTCCAAAAGCCTCCAATACGATTAAATGTAGACTTCTATGGGTGCTTGGCTAGGTAAAAAAAAAAACATCATGCCTTGAACCCCAATGGAAATTAGGTGTAAATATTTCTGCCGTGCTTTGTGCCTGGTGTAGGGGCCCTTTGGCGGGGAGTTGTCGACACCTGGATACCGAGTTGAAGGGTTCAGTTGGTAATGCGGAGGAGAATCCTGTGGAATGCTCTTCTGATCATAGGGGTAGAGACCGCCCTGCGGTCATGGTATATTCCCAAATGTGCTATGTAGCTGCGTAGTGCTAGTGCGTACGTAGTGCTGCGATGGTAAAGTGCCTAAACAGTGGTCTAACGGCTACTGTGTGGTCTACGAGGCCGAGATGCTATGTCTAAAGAGCTTGCATCGCCCGAAACTAAGCGTATTCACGACGGGGCTTCCCTAGGAGTAAACTACCTATCTTCTAATCAACCTCAAGAGCGACTATTGGTATTCAGCCCATCCATATACCCAGAAAAGGTTCTAGCACTGCCAACCGTCAGTACTTATTTGGTTATGACTAGGAGGGTTAGTTCGCTTCAGATGTAGAGCGTATTCTGTGGCCCAAGCCTCCGGTCAGGCATACAAGAACGCTACGTATATGTCCCCCTCTCTGTGGATACACGCGACGTACGGATGAGCCTGTATTTTCCAAGAAGGCTCCGCAAGAGTCCCCACAATCGGTTCTTTTTATTCTTCATCCGCTTTTTCTTTCCTTATAATAACTGTATCTTGTGGAAAAGCCCTAAATCACAATTATTCTCGGTGTACGTGGCTAACTGACTGCACATATATGCGTCCGCGTATTAATTAAATCTAAATGTAGTCGCCGTCGGTCTTCACCTCACTCCCCATCACCGTCTGTTGACAATAGTACTACTGAGCCCAGAATCTTGCTAATATTATCATTACCCCTTTGATTGATAGACCCAGGGGTGCAGATAGTCATAACGCTTTGTTCAAAGTTCAACTTTTCGCTGAAAACGCAAATGTCTACTCATCAGTCTTGCGACATTTGACTGTCCCATCAGGACTATGAGAATAGGAGGCAATACCTACCTTACCGTCGACACGCATACAATTTTGAGCCTTATTCAATCGGCTTATCCAGAACGTAGGCTCACAATAGTCTTATCAGTACAAAAATCCTTTTTTTAAGCCTTATTTCATCCTTAAAACATGCTTAAACAATACTTATTTGAATCTTATTGGATTCATAAGGCTATTATGAGCCTACGTTCTAGATAAACCTACCCAATAAAGCTCAAATTATATACCTATCGACGGTAAGGTACCCATATAGTAGATCAGTAAACAAAATCGATACTATATGAGTATAGAGATACTATTACATAGCGTTACAATATACGTATAACTAACGCCTCACCTTGCAGGTCATAATGATGAAGCGCAGTACACTCTTCCGCACTGCATATAGAAAATTCTTTCTTTCGGCTGAGGTTTTCGTGCAGCCTCCTGTCGGCTGTGAAGCCCTGCATGTAGAGTTATATGTGGAAAGAATCACATACGAGGTTCAAGACATAGGATGAATCTAACTCGTAGAGAATCACCCGTATCATTATGTTCAAATACGGCAGTGCAGCAGCAGATATTCGGGTGAGGTTATGGCGCTACTATATGCAAGAAAGTTCGCCTTGTGTATCATGACACGCTTCTGACAAAGCCTTATAGGTCGTGTCGTCTCTTGTATCATCAGGAACGCGTTCATTTTTAAGATAAGATATGTGCGAAGAACAGAATTCCCAGATAAGCTTCAGATAGTTCCACTAAATCGATATAATATAACTTTTAGTTTCTAATTATTATTAATTTATAAAAATTTAAAAAAGATTGAACCTAGTTAAGATCTCCTATGTTTCAAACTTGCTGGATACCCTTGTGAGGCCTTAAAATCTCAAGATAGCTGCGCCCACCCAATAGGTCTCATGGGATCAGTTCCCAGAGCACGGACCTAGCGACTTGACTTCATGCCCTGAGTGGCCCCATGGACCGTGATACGTAATATACATAGTATTTATTTTCAGTTTTAAACGGCTTTCGGCTATGCCATCGCTTTTGTAATGTGATGGTCCCATGTAGTTCGCGTAGCTGTGCAATCCCGAAAACGATACATGAATCGAATAGTAATAAGATCCGTAAACCCGGGGATCTCTTATTTGAAGGTAGCTAACCTGGTCGTAACTATCCGTTGAATGATGAGTTATTTTAGCTTATTAGATGATTCGAATCTGGATTATGTGATTGATAACGGAGATAAGTTTATACCTGGCAGTCTTCAGTGAATAATCCTTATCTGGCTATTGTTGAAGCCCAATATGGAGGCACGGTGGTTAAGCTGAACGAACCCCAAATTTGAGATAAATAGCTTAACTTAACATCAGAGTCCGGGGTGAGAGTGCCTAGAGCACCCGTTACCAACTGGATTCGACTAGTCCTAGTGGAGATTTTAATAGTTATCGAGTGATCATGTATGATTGCATTTGCCGTGGTGAAGCTGCTGGGTAATAATTTCGGGTGTTGTCGCATTGACGGGAATTGCCGCCTAACCTAGCGCGATAGAAGCGCCACTGACGATCAAAAGAAAGAAGAAACTTTCCCGGCACAAAACGTTCCAGAATCTTTGACCAAAGCTTTTTTTCTCACACACACCAATGTTGGGCACGCGTTCTTATTCGTGTTCGCGGTGTTTTGCGGCGGGTGGGGACTGTCAAGCGTGTGTAAGGCAGGGCCATTCCTTCATGGGTCCCGGCATTGGAGTGATCCGAAGGTGGAGATAGTGGTGTGATAGAACGTCCGCCAAGAGCCACCAAGGGCCCTGAAGCCCTGAAATGCCTTCAGGGGTCTGGTCTGAAATCGTTTTTTTGTTTTGCTCTTTCTGGCGGGTGATTTTCTGTGTTGGGGACATTCAGTGTTGGGAATTATGCACAGTTTCGGTGTATGGGTCGAGTTGGCGGGAAAGCTTCATCCGGTCATGTTAGATTTTCCCCTTTTGCCATTTTACCCTGTGACACCAGACAATAGTGAATACGTACATGTAGATACAGTGGCTGGTTTTGTTCCCCCCATCTGTGCACTGTTCATCTTATCAATCTCAATCTAAATGTCTTTTTTTTCCCTCACACCCCTGCAAGTGTAGAGTGATTGGTCAATTGGCTAGCTGCTATCCAGTTCTCCCTCCTTTTCTCGTTTCTATTAAAGATCTGGTGCTGCCGCGTTGGGTGCTTGATTCTCCTCTACCTACATATTCGTTCGTTGCAACTTCAACAGTTACTACACAATTACCTGTAGTCTGTTGCTACCTGCTCGACACCCCAACAACACTCCTTGGTTGGTTGGTCACTTCATCCGAAGAGACGACAATACACACTCTTTAGTTTGGCCGGATCAATACAATTGCCATGGATATCGTCTTGAGTGTTTTTGATAACCTGTTTTTTGACAGGTTCTATGCCACACTTCTTCCACTAGCTTCCGGCATTTCATTGGATACATTGAAGAATAATGCCACAAATCTCGCTGGCGCTGCTGCCATCGCTGCCACCAGGCTCAACGCCCCGATAGTGAACGATATCGTATCTGAATACCTTGGGATCGAACCCACGAAATACGCGTTACTTTCACAATGGCAACGGGGTGATTGGGAAAGACAGGCACTGTCTTTGGGGTTGATTACATGGTATTTACACCCCTTATCAACAGAAACATCAACGACCTAACATATCGCTAATCAAATATACAGGATTTTTGGGCTTCTCATCTACTTCGTATTTGCGACAGTGTCATATGTGTTTATTTTCGATAAGGACACATTCAAGCACCCAAAATTCCTCAAGAACCAGATACGCCAGGAAATCAACCAAACAATGTGGTCCCTCCCCATCATGGCCATCTTCACCGCGCCATTTTTCACCTTTGAGGTTAGGGGTTATTCATACCTTTACCAGAACGTTGAGGATTATGGGAAGGTCTACATGTGGCTTCAATTCCCGTTGTTTTTGATGTTTACCGATTTCTGGATCTACCTCATCCATCGCGGTCTCCATCACCCCCGCATTTACAAGACTCTCCACAAGCCGCATCACAAATGGATTATGCCTACCCCATACGCTAGTCATGCTTTCCACCCTCTTGATGGATTTCTCCAGAGTGTTCCATACCACATTTTCCCATTCATCTTCCCACTTCAGAAGTTCGCATACATCGGACTTTTCATGTTCATCAATGTTTGGACTATCATGATCCGTATGTTATCTTTAACTCTCTAGACTTTCCATGAATATAACTCGCTAATCGTAGAATAGACGATGGAGAATATGTTGCCAATTCCCCGATCATTAACGGAGCTGCCTGCCACACCATGCACCATCTGTATTTCAACTACAACTACGGCCAGTATACCACTCTTTGGGACCGCCTTCTTGGCTCCTACAGGAAGCCAAACATGGAGCTCTTCTACAAGGAAACAAAGATGGCGACTAAGGAGTGGCAGAAACAGGTTGCTGAGATGGAGAAAGTTGTCAAGGACGTTGAGGGAGATGACAGCTTCAGGGAATACGCCTCGATTGAGACAAAGAAAGCTAAATAGATTAGTTTCCAAAGACAATGATTGAGATTTCTTTGGTCAAAGGGGTGAATAATTAGAGCGTGGTTGATGCGATGGGAGTGAAAAAATAATTCAACAGGTTGAACTACGGCGCTCTCCGTCGTAGTACATATCAATAGGGCAGGGAAGGGTCGCGGTTGGTTAGGAGCATTATTTTATTTAGGCCATGTTTTTTGTCATTCACGGCGTTTTGCTTATGTTTGACTTATCACGCTTTTAATGTTGTTGAATCTTGCGGCAGGGGCGGATTGTGAGGACTGGGGATATCGATTTGGTTTGATGGTGGCGTTATTGATACCATAGACCTTATTACTCCTTTCTTCTGTTTATGTTTTCGATATATTTCCTTTTCTTGTATACAGTAATTAGGGTTTTTGATGTCGGTGGGTGGAAGGAATATTACAAAATAATCAAAAAAGAAGAACTGGTGCTGCGTTGGATGATTGATCGTGTGGAATTGTGGGCTCATACCTCATGCTGAATCGAAAGATTACCCCAAACCTCCCCGCCTACCCGTGCACACTGTGCACTGAGGGTAGATTCAATGCAGGTACAGTCCATTAAACACCTGTCATATCGCACGAGCAAGCAATCCAATTAAAGAGATAATCTAAAAAGAAAGATTAGAAGACTAATAGCATAGCACATCAACTCATTTCCCCTCGCTTGCCCCTCCCACTCCTTCCATGCTCTCAATGCTCCTCAGTAGAACGCTCGCGTTTCTCCATAGCTCTGCTTCCATCTCTCGTCCTACTACATCGTTCCTACTGTTGAATGCGCCCACGTCAATACCTCCACCCTGTTTTCCACTCTCATCTGTTCCGTCGGTTGGAGCTGGGATATCTGCTTGCTCTAGCAAGAGGATCTGCCGACGGAGGCGCACAACAATAGAGGAAAGAAGGGAGTGGTAGCGGGCGCTGTGGGTTGTGAAATTCGGGAGGGATGGAGGGATAGTTGTGAGTGTGCGTAGGGACTGTGAGGCGGCTAATAGAAGCTGTGATATGTCCTGGTAAAGGTATTAGCTAGCTGTGAGACGCGGGGAGGCCTAAGGGCATCGGGCGTGGTACATGGTCTATAGCGTTCAGCTCTTTGATATGGATGCTGGCTGGCGAGGCTGTCGTAGCAGCTGAAGGCGCATCGGTAAGTATTATATCTTGGGATGACATTTTTACTTTCTTTCCCTTGGTGTTTATTTCGTATCGGAGATCGTGATTGAGGTTTGTCACGGTTATCAAGCCACACACAACAAGCTGTCGCAATGCAACAGAGCCGCAACAAACTTTAGTTAGCGTTCGGCAGATAGACTACAGTAACGCCCCCTAACCTGTCATAGCTCCCAGACAGGGATTCATCACCCCTGCCTTATGTGCAGCAGCCAGCTCGTTCTTGCGCTCGTTTGCTTCGGGGCGGCGGGTTAATTAGATCATTGGTTGTCTGATTCGATTAATTAAATGTTCAGTGATCAACATCAGCGGTTGGCAGAGAATTCGAAGGCGCAACCAATAAAGAGGCAGTTGCATATTCCACTATCACGGGACCAACGTATGTAGGTACTTACATTATACATACATGTAGCTTAGTATGAATAATAACTCAAGCTGTAGTACCTACAATACGTCCGTCCAAGCTTTGATACGCGTACGTCCAAAGCGCCAGCATTTGTAGGAAAGTATACGTACTGAATCCAAACATAGACCATGAACGAACAACTAAACCTACAAATGAATGGACGAGTATACAAGTACTGCAGCTAAAAAAAAATACGAACCTCTAATATTTCAAACCAACCCCCGTAGTTTGTATCTCCACTAGCTCGTTAGCCCAGTAGTATCGAGACCATTGACCTTAATTAACTGTGGTTTTATGACCACGTGACTTCATTGAGCGCTCGCTGCCGGGTAACCATTCTCAGCGGCGCTATTGAAACGCTGCGGGCGCGTCAGATCAAAACCAAATCAATCACTCGGAACGCGTTCAACGACCATTTCCACCGCTAAAGTCACTCCTTCATCTTGTCGCAAAAACCACATACGTGTCTACAATACATTAGAAAAATAGCTTGGAATTTAAGAAAGTGAAACCAAGGGGTTGAAATCATCATGGGGTATGTGATTTGAGTTTTGATTTATTAGAGCCCTGTTAGAAGGAGACAATTTGCTGACGAAGTGCTTCGGGGATTGCTAGGAAGCTCATGAGGTTGGAGTTGTTCAGTTCGTTTATCTCCCCCGTGGACGAAATTATTTGATTTTTTTTTGTTGCGGGGCAGCGCAAATTAACTGTAGAGTAAATTAGACTTCAAATCTTACAAGGGCCATCAGAGTATTCACCTCGGAGACTCGTACTTTACATCTATCATTGGCCCTAATGGCTCAGGAAAATCCAACTGGTTGCACCCACTTCCTTTCTACACCCTCCGTTTAGGCAGTGAGAGCGGGTCGCTAATGTGGGGTTTTGTGGGGGGGATTAGCATGGACGCGATCTCGTTCGTCCTCGGAATCAAGTCATCCCATCTCCGTTCTGCCCATCTCAAGGATCTAATTTACCGCGGTCGCGTCCTCCGCACCTCAACAATAGGCGCCAAGAATGGGAATGGTGTAGAGGGTCAGGAAGAGGATGATGATGAGGGAACACAGGGAACACAGGATCCGAAAACTGCCTGGGTGATGGCTGTCTATGAGGACATTAATGGCGACGAGCAACAGTGGAAGCGGTCAATCACTAGTCAGGGCGCTAGTGAATACAGGATCAACGGAAAGCAGGTCACCGCGGCGCAATACAATATGGCATTAGAGGAGGAAAATATTCTCATCAAGGCGAGGAACTTTTTGGTTTTTCAGGTGAGTGGGGCTTTTTATAAGTGATACTTCAGACTGATTGCGGGGGAATACTTATCTGTGGCATAATCAGGGTGATGTCGAAGCAATTGCCAGTCAGTCGCCCAAGGACCTCACACGGTTAATCGAGCAGATAAGCGGCTCGCTTGAGTATAAAGCTGAGTATGAAAAGCTCAAAATTGAGCAAGAAAAGGCAGCTGAAACGTCCAACTTCAATCTAAACCGAAGACGTGGGATAAATGCCGAGATTAAGCAGTATCAAGAACAAAAGAAAGAGGCAGAGAACTACCAAGCCAAACAAGATGAGAAACATGAGGCCATTGTGACGCACATTCTCTGGAAATTGTTCCATTTTCAGCAAACTATGGAAGCCAATAAGCAAGAGATTGAGAAACATCAAGAGGAACTGAAAGAGTTCAGGCGATCTCACGAGAAGTACGCCCTCAGGTTGGATGAAGCCAAGGCTCAACAGGCACAAGCTGCAAGAAGCGTCAGCAAGCAGGAGAGAGCTATCAAGAGAAAAGAGAAGGAGATTGAAGAAAAACAATCTTCACTTGTACCAATCGATGAAAAGATTAGTATTGCCGGAAAAAACCTGAAAAAGTACGAAGCCAGGATAAGGGATATCAGGAGGGACGAAGATAGTCAGTCTGCGACAGTCGATAGCTTAAAAAAGGAACTAGGCATTGTGCAAAAGGCACAAAACAAATTTGAGGACGAGCAAAAGAAACTGGCCGAAGAGACAGGGATGGTATTATCTGAAGCAGATTTGGCAGAGTATAATAAGCTTCGCGAACGTGTCAATACCAAGATCGCTGGGGAACAGATCAAAATCGACAATTTTAATCGTCAACAAAAGACCGATGTTGAAACGGTCAATAGCTTGAAAAGCAAGGTTGAATCGGCTCAATGGCAATTAGGAAAGTTGGAGGGGGAAGTTACTGATTTGGAAGAGCGAAAAAGTCAGTCAGCGGCTGTTGTGGAGCAAATTGTACAGGATATCGATGGGAAAAAGAAAGAATACAACGCCATGACATCTCAACGTCTCCGAAATGCACAAAAGCACACAGAACTCGATGAGAAGCTGCAAGACTGCCTCACCAAGCTTCTCGAAGCCGACGATGGTAGACGGCAATCGGAGAGAGAGGTACGCATGAAGGAAACGATTTCAGCCCTTAAGCGGATTTTCCCTGGCGTCAAGGGGCGGGTATCTGAACTCTGTAAGCCGAAAATGAAAAAGTACCAGGAAGCTGTCAGCACAGTTCTTGGAAGACATTTTGATGCGGTGGTGGTTGACAATGAAAAGACCGCAAAAGACTGTATTGAGTACCTTCGTGATCAGAGGGCGGGACAGGCCACATTCCTCCCGCTTGACACAATTCAGGTTAAGCCATTGAACTCGAATCTGAAGGGTATGCACCGAGGCATGAGAATGGCAATTGATACAATCGAGTTTGAGAGTGCAGTAGAGAGGGCGATGCAATACGCCTGTGGAAATGCTGTAGTCTGCGATGATCTAGAGGTCGCAAAGTATATATGCTATGATAAAGGATTAGAGGTCAAAGCAGTCACATTGGATGGCACAGTCATTCACAAGGGTGGTTTGATGACCGGTGGACGCGGTGGAGGACCCGGTGGGCGTCGATGGGAAGATCAGGAGGTTGAGAATCTGCGACGACTAAAAGACAACTTGGTCGCGCAGATCAATGCACTCCCGAAAAACCGTCGTGGTGCCCAGGAGGAAACGCTTCAGGGTGAATTGACGGGGCTTGAGCAGCGCCTGGCTTATAGCCGAGAAGAGCTGAATCATATTGAGAGGAACCTCAATAGTAAGAAGCAGGAGGTGGCACACACTCGGCGACAGCTTAAAGAGCTCCAACCAAAGCTTGATGAAGCGACCAAATCTCTTGACGAACTTCGCGCAAGAGTTGGGGAGCTCGAATCAGTGGTCTCAGAAGCCGAGGATGAGATCTTCGCAGATTTCTGCAGGAGACTCAACTACGAGGATATCCGATCGTACGAGAAGCGCCAAGGCTCACTACAGCAAGAGGCGGCCCAAAAGAGACTAGAGTTCAGAACCCAGATCTCAAAGCTGGAAAATCAGCTCACTTTCGAGGCACAGAGGCTTCGACAGACGACGGAACGCATATCCAATCTAGAGAAGAATTCGCAGAGAGATCAAGAGCTCGTCTCCGAGCTGGAAAATGAAAAGACCCAGATCGAGGAACAAATGGACGTACTTTCTGCAGAGATGGAGGTGTTAAAGGGTGAGTTGGAAGGAAGGAAAGTGGCGCTAGAAGGCAAGGCCGAGAGGGTAAATGAGCTAAGGAGAGAGGTTGGGAAGAGATCAAAAGATCTGGATGAGACAACAAAGACTATTGCTGCATTGGTTAGTTTATATTTTTTCTTTCTTAATGATATCGTTACTGACCAATGATTAAGGAAGGAGAGATCGAACGGAATGCCGCTGGAAGATATGCAGTACTCAGGAGATGCAAATTGGAGGAAATCGAGATCCCCCTGGCAGAGGGATCCGTTTCTCTCGACGACTTGCCAATTGATGATACCCTTCAACAGAACGATCCTGACGCAATGGATGTGGACGAAGACGAAGATCCAAGCGCCAGTGCAGTTCAAAAAGTCGAGGTGCAAGATTATGGAATAGACGTTGACTTTGAGGATTTGGATGATGACCTGAAGGAAGTAAGCTTCACACACGAGTTATCACTCGATTTTTATCGCTAGTCTTCTGTGATCACGTGCTAACGAAGTAAATAGAATGGAGAAGAGCAAGTTGAGGAACAGTTACTGGAGAAGATCAAAACTCTTGGCGGTGAGTTAGATCGGATGGCACCGAACATGAAGGCTATTGAGAGATTAGAAGGCGTAGAAAATAGGCTTCATGATACAGAGAAAGATTTCGAGAATTCAAGAAAAGAGGCAAAGAAAGCTAAAGACAGATTCCAGACCGTGAAAGACAAAAGGTATCTTCATACCTTCTCTTCCGATTCCCGGATATATTGGGTGCTAACTCGGAAATAAAGGTACGAGCTTTTTAACAAGGCCTTCACACACATCTCAGAACAGATTGGTGGTGTTTATAAAGACCTTACCAAGAGCAGCACCTTTCCTTTGGGTGGAACTGCGTATCTTGATATGGAAGATAGCGACGAACCATACCTGGATGGTATTAAATACCACGCCATGCCCCTATGAAACGATTCCGCGACATGGAACATCTCTCTGGAGGAGAAAAGACAATGGCTGCATTGGCCCTGTTGTTCGCTGTCCACTCTTACCAACCCAGCCCTTTCTTTGTTCTTGATGAGGTCGATGCAGCATTGGACAATGCAAATGTCCAAAAGATTTCCAACTATATCAGAAGCCACGCTGGTCCGGGATTTCAGTTTATTGTTATTAGTTTGAAAACTGGTTTGTTCCAGCAAAGCGAGGCACTTGTCGGCATTTTTAGGGATCAAGTCGAGTGTAGTTCTAAGAGTCTTACGTAAGTTCTCTCTTAGAATTGTTCTTATGTAGAGCTTGTGGCTAACTGTAACTGTAGACTTGATTTGCGCAAATATGTGGATGCTTAATTAACAAAGGTAACGATGTATAGAGTTATGGGAATGATGATAACGGTTTAGCAGGGAAGGGAGGGGTATTTCGTGTAATTTTCTTTTTTAGTTTTTACTATGTCTTTGTTCTAGTACTAAAGGCGCCGTGTACTATAGCTCTGGGTGCCTCGATGCCCAGATTCCTAGCTTAACTTCTGATTTTCTATTATTGACTTTTTGGGGGCGGTTTTGTATCGGTGGAAACATTGAATTTCAGGTTGAGTCATTTACGGAGATAAAATTAATCCTAGATTTCCGTTTGATTCAAACTTAAGAGATCTACTACATGTAGCTTAGTAGTATGCAGTTAGATATGGTGCCAAGCCTTTATTACTATTCTAGGGCAGTGCTTTGAGTGACAAGCTTTTGCTCGTTTACCTCCATAACCAGAACATGCAAGTGACGGAGACAGGGATAATTTCCATGAGAGAACTCCGTACTATGTATGGCTCGAGAAGCTATGGGGGGTAGGTGTGTAAACTTCGGCGTTTTTTTAAAGAATCGGCCAATCAAACTTATAGAAATTGGCCATAATGGTACTAGCGCCTAGACTAACCCTGGCATTTTCTCAGATTCCCATACAAACGAAATTCCTCTGAAGTTGACACACCCGCCCTCTAGGCCTTCTCGCGCCATACTAGTCATACAAATTACCCTTGTACTGTGAAAGTGCATTTCCATAGTTCATCGAGATTAGCACTTTTGCTACTCAGAAGTGTAAGTCATGACACAAATACTGTGCCAAGACTTCCGAAAAACCTCACGGTCTGACTCGGAACTAGGGTTAGGGATAATACTAAATCTCTATTAAGGTGGTAATTTCATAAATGATCGGATGAGCTCCTCTGTCTCCATTTGGAGCGATATAGATCTACAGATATACGCGTTGTCCACGTGGAGGGACCTGTAAGAGAGATCTCTACTGTGAAGCGTTCTTAGAAATTCTCCAAAACATTCATGTGCTGAGAAGGGGTTTTTGTTTTCAAAAAAAGATTCACACCCGGCCACCCACCAAAACTAAAACAAAACAAATCAAATCAAAGACAAAACTCGAGATACAAAAAAAGGAAACCCAGGCAGGGATGCAAGTAGATAGCTGTACATATCCGTGTCCTGTATATGCACCAATAATCTGATATAAAAAGGGAAACAAAAAAAATTCTCAAATGAATGCTTAACTCCAAACAACAACGATTAGAGGACTAAAAGAACCACTAGACTAACTAATATCTTACTCTGGTCTTCCCCAAATATTTCTTTCCTCGTTCAAGCTCCCGTAGCTGGTTTCACGCTCGGTTGTTCCGCTCCGCCCATGTGCATCTTCCCAAACTCCTGAGTCGCCGTTCATGTGCACTCCGCCATTTCTACCTTCATCTTCTGTCTCGGTTTCATCGTCCCCTACTTCAAATTGACCATCGACACTAGCGTGTCTCTCTGGAGTTATTCTGCCTCGTTCGGATTCTTCGCCCTTCGCGATCCCAGCCATGCTCGTATCTGCTGAAGGATCAAAGCCTTGTCGTGTTTCTTCACCGTAATGCTCATCAGGATACGTCCTAACGAATCTCTTCGTCTCAGCCTCGTTCCATCCAGGGCCACCCTCTTTGCGTGCGCGGACACGTTCAATTTCTTCTGCTTCAGTGTCTTCAACGACAAGGTCGACAAGGTCACTGCGGGATGAGACAGCTGATGAAGATGAGGACTTGTTGCGGTGCAAGAGTGGCTTTTTATCCTCCTCGTTCTCCTTAGCTTTGCCCTTGCCTTTGATAGCGGACTTGGTCTTTTTAGTCAGCTTGGGGCGGAGGAGGGCTTGGTTAGTCGCAGTTGTGGGCATTGTCGGCCCGTTATGACTGCAACGGTGGTTTTTCCAGGGCTCATGCGCGGTGATAACAGGATACTAAAACGTCCATTAGTGATAATTTCGATAATTCTTGCAAAAACATAAAATAAACCCACATTATAATCTCCATATTCCAATGCCCTCGCGTGGCTGTAAAGTTTCTCATCATCCTCATCAATTTCAACCTCTTCCATTGCCCCATAATCAGCGCCTCTCCACCTATTCGGCCCCCGTTCTGCTTCTCCAGGACTCATTGGACTTTCTCTCCCACTTGGACCAGGACTATTTAACAGCCCAGTCCTGGAAGTTGGTTTGGGGATCCAGTATTTGCCCTTGCCCCCTCTTTCGTATCTCAACCCGTCCATCATTCTTGCGACTCTGGCACCAGATTCTGGGTGCGCAATGACATTATCACTAGGGTCGAATAATCGATATTCGTAGCCTTTGCCAGCAAATGTCTGCTTTGTGTCTTCGATAAGATCACGAATACCGAAGGCATCGCGGAATGCATAATAAACAGGTAGTCTGGCGGCTGAAATAGAGCGGTCTGCATAATCCTTCCATGAAAAAGCATACCAATGTGCTATGGCAAATCCAGGAAGCTCAAAGCAAATAAGGACATCTTGGATTGCACGTGCGATATTGTCCGGGGTATAATAACCAACATCATGGATCACACCCAGCCAAACTAAGATAGAGAGAAAGAACCCTTGCCAATACGAAGCAAAGATGATGAGTTTAACACAGAGAAACTGATTACTTCGTATGTTAAAAAAAGGCACTCATACCAAAAAGGATATGACTAACCTTAGGAACCGGCCTGAAAGGCTGAAGATCATGCGTCATGCACACCCAAAACATGCCCAAGGAGTAAAGACTTAAAGTGACGGATATGTTATATATGATCCCACTCCAGAAATATCCGCTTTTCAACCCTACATAACCTTCTTGATAAGTTCCGGTGGCCTTCATTATAATGGCAGCTATAGCCAGTACCGGCTTCATCCATGCATATTGTAAAATCCCCCTCTTGATAGCTAAAAATGTATGCGGGTCACTAATATCAACCTTAGGTAGTATATAGTTCATAGGCCACACATGATCTTTCGGCGCCCGGCCGTGCATCATGATTATGAGTGAGCGCTCGCCACCGAGAAAGTTGATAAGGAGCTGGAAAAAGGTATAAATTGTGAAGGCCTCGTAAACATCGCGAATCGGATCGACAAAGAATGCAGCTGTCAGTGAAATAAGGGAAACCCATGATGATATGGCATATATTGGGACCATGAGAAGAATTCGAACGACATATCGTTGGAGGAGGGGTTTGCGGTAGTTTTTACTAGGTTTTACCGGTTAATTGAACGAGCTGGAAAAGAGCGCAAGTTAGGGTCTATATTACAGTTGAAGCCATATCGAGCTACGAAAGAAACATATCAGTATATAGTCCGTCACAGACGGTCATTAAAGCTGTCAAGTTCGGAAGAAGAGCTTACAAGCAAGCTAGCACGGTCGCTACCAGAGATGCGACACCAGCGACGATTATGGCAGCGTTGCCTGTCCACCAGGAACTCTCTGTTAGCACCTCCTGTCGAGGTATATTCTGGATCCCTATTTTGGACCCAAGGTCAAGAAACATCATACTAAGTTTGGAAGTCCCGCTACCACCAGGAGCCAACCCAGCCGTCTTACTATCCATTCTCTGATATGTTCTCTCCAAGAGCGTCCAGGGATAGCCTTACGACGGAGTTCCAGCAGACGTTAGTAAAGCAGTGAGGAGGGGGTATTTGGGAATTATGTGGAGGCGGGGAAGGGCATGATAGGGTGATCTCGTGCTCGCACCAGTGCACTTGGTGTTTATCTACTAGGGATCAATTACAAGCTGTCGCGTCCAATACTACATCCTAGTGCCTAGTTACTCTACTAATCAGCGTAGCATTGAGCACTATGGAAAGAGCCTCCAACGCCACCCTTGATCCAAAGCCATGTTCAATGCATGCAAGCAGGATTAATACATGCTCTAGCGAATGTGAGTGACATACATGCATGAACTGTTATCCTAACGACTGGTTTCTTGAGAGAGCCGGATAGCTATACTCTAACCTCATATAGAAGATATTGGGGGCTATTAGAGATGGCCTTTTGTGAAAAAGCATGTAGAGTATAGGGTAGGTACATACCTACATGGGTAGAAGGCGGATTAATACTTACCACGTATTCAACAATTTGAAGATACGAGTGTCGTTCCTTTAGAAAAACATTTGCCCGAATCTCACATGAGGTTTTAAAGAACGAGTTTGACATCAAATTACAAACAACAACAGAATAGAAGAAAGTCTACGTGTAGTGGTAATGAAGCTGGAGCTGGGGCTGGATGGATACGCTAAAATCGAGCTTCGAGCTGTATGATGTGAATACATATGGAAAAAAAAAGTTAAAAGCCACGTGATTGAATCCGTTCTGACGCACGGGCCATGTGAATCTACATTGCTGGGTTTGCGTCAGAGACAGTTTACACTATCTAATATTGTTAACCGCCCAAAAGCTACATGTTAGGATATGTCGCGCGTCCAGTTAACATGGGTTATCGACATCTGAGCCAGTGAACAGAAATACCCGAATACCAACTTTCCGCCGCAACGCGGTAACTCCTGACTTCGCGGATCCTCTAGAGCCTCACACACCAAGCTGTCCTGCAACGTCAATATCATACGGTGGTTCACCCGCAGCTTCAAATATGGCTACAGATGACCTGCCTGCCCAAGCGCTCGATCCTGACGCCAGATTCAATTGGTTTACTCCCTGGATCTGCTTGAGACTTGCTCACAACTGTAACTAACTTGATACCATAGGGTGTTTCTCGTGGAACTCTTGGTTTGCGGACTAGTGTAAGGCCCTCTTCTACCCGTAAAGCTCTAATGTATAGATCTAACTATATTACAGCGCTTTATTCTTTCTTTTTTACTTTAACCGCGTTTTCTCCAAAGCTCTTTCACTCCTTATTCGATTATGGCTACGGTGGAAAGGATTGCCAAACTACGTCGATATTCAGTCACTTCAAATTTCATTACTGGCAGGAAGAATATTCTTTGGAAGAGTCACATATCACGGTGTTAACGAGACTATAACGATAGTAAGCGGGCATATTACCTGGCGATACTGGTTACGGAGGGTCCGACACGCTTCTGTTGGCACCGCCGGTGATGGACGAGATGGCGGTATCGAGGGGGCAGGCGGAGAGACGAGAAGTGAAGCTCTTCCTTGCAGAATACTCGCAGAACTAAAGGGAGTTGAGTGGTTTATTTACAATCGGAGTCCAGCATATGATTATATTATTGATCAGATGGCGCCAAGCCAACAAAACGAAGATGCTGCCAGTGAAGGAAGGAAAGAGACCGGTTACTCTGGGCACTCTGGGGCCGATGATTCCAAGGCAGAAACGATCTCAGCAAGAATGAAGAGTTCAATAGGGTCATTAATGAGAGACCACGAAGGGTCAATGGGGGAAAACTCAAATGCCGCCACTAATGCAGAATCTGATTCGGCATATCTCAGCATGCTGCCAATTAAGATTCTTGTCAATCGTGGTGCTGTGGTTATGGGGAATAATAATACACCTAGCGTACTAGTTGCCCATTTTGAAAAAGCTGAAGCCAGTATTGATGCTACAAGGGTATGTAGCTTTTTCTTTCAATACAAAATCACATGTTCTCCTGGGCGCCCATATGTTTCATTGTTTCAACATGCTGCCCGGTATTGCCGAATTCGTTCCTAGATGTCTTCAATGGCCTACACATACCTCCTGTAAACATTTATATTCTGGGCCTTATGTTTCTATTGCCCCGAAATTCGATTAGGCCTCTCATCAACAATAATAAAACGCTAACATATACCACTGCGTAGTCAGTTGCATCGGTCGACAAATACAAACAAGTATTCAGTGTAGACTTCACCCATCCTGTGGTTCAATTTAAAACAAATATGGAATACAAGGAACCTCTCGTATCCCGCGGTGCTCGCCTTCTCTCCTCAGAAGAAGAGACGAGCCTTCACCAAAAGTCTCACCAACTACGCAACCGTCGTCAAAAGCTTAAAGATCTCCTACCAATTTTCTCGGAGTCTATTGAATCTCTAACACCCTCCGATGTTACGAATAATGATTTCCCTCTACAATCACGAGTAGCAGGTCAAGATAGGTGGGTTGGACTTAGGATGTATCTTGATGAGGGCCAAGATGAAGGTTGGAAGTTTGAGCCTGCAGAATATGCAAAAGTTTCAACAGTGTTGGATTGTCCGAAGGGGAAAATGAACTTTTTTTGGGACATTCCAGGGACTGTTGGTCGGCCACGATCATCAAGTACCCAAACCAGTGGGGCAGCTGACTCGCCTGATGAAGATATCAATGGCTCTGAGCATACGCCTCCAGAATGGGGAATTGATTTGTCGTTTGAAGGGGGAACTATTCAGTACGGACCTTGGACCGACCGGCAGCGCGTCCATCTACAAAATATGTTTGCCCCTCGAATCTACAAAACTGCTACTCCACGCAACAAGCTACAAGAGGGAGAGAGTAGAGTCGCAACTAAGTTCAAACTTTTTGTTGAACTCTCTAACTCCACTATTCTTAGAATCCCGGTCAGAGAAGAAAGCAAAGACTGGAAATTTCGTCGCCGACTTAACGATGGTGAGGTACGTCCTTTTGGATGGTTGGAAATCAAGGTTGCCGCCGAGTCTACGATCTCGTATGAAATGTCCATGGTTCCTTCGCCAACAGGCTGGAAGAACGGGTTGAAATTGGATTTAAAAAGCCCTGAGGTGCGATCATCGGTTAACCATGGCCTTCTCTGGAAGGCAACCCAACAAGCCATAGATGCCGACCTTAGCGGTCCATTGCAGTGGAATGGAAAGCATAAGTGGACTTTCGATGTCCTTAGTCGGGGAATTGAGATATTTATTCTTAGAGAGCATGTCACACTGATAACAGACTTGGTAACAGACTGGGTAACGGGACCGCCATCAGAATACTGGAGTTTTACACCGTTTTTATATGACATCATACTCAGATTTGAAGACCGATTTGAGGTGTGCATGAATGTCAATGACCAGAATATCATCAACAACCCAAGTGATATTGAGGACAATACACTCTTAGTTCTCCACGGAGATGGCGGCTTGAAAGCTAAGGTTGGTCTGGATATGACACGCTTTAGGCCAGATGAAAGCACCGTAAGCTTCGATATATGGATCGACGGTGAAGAAACCAACCTTCAGCTCGGTGCCAGACAGCCAGTATGGAATACATGGCACTCATTTTTGAGCCCAGAAACTGGAATGAAGCTAGCGACAGTCAAAGAGATTATAGTAAAGGGGTCCTATACCTATTACACCACCGCTGGATCAGGGTTAATCGACACATTATTACTGGATATCTCAGGGAGCGGGCTAAAATTAAAGCTGTTTGGGTTCCTGATACGTTACTTCCTTGTGATTAGGGAGAATTACTTCGGCGAGAACTTGCATTTTAAGACATTGGAAGAGTGGCAGAAGCAGGGAGGAAGAAGCGGAGCTACAACGATTGAAGGGAACAATAAGAAGGCCAATGATCTAGATGTCATGTTGACTGTGGAGGCGAAGAACAGCTGTGTCATCATGCCAAAACATCTTTATGGGGGAACCGGGAAGAATCTGAAGTTGAACTTTGCATCGCTGGGGATAGATATGAGATTCACTAATTATTACATGGGTGGGCCCCTCACCCCGCCCTCATTAAGTGCCCCATTAACAATTATATATGAGAATAGATCTTCAGGTCAACGTCAGTCCTATAACAGCATACATTAGTTCCACGCCAGATAATCCACAAATCTTCATTGATGGTCTCACTATATATGGTCACCGTCTTTTTGGGCTCCCGCCAACCGAGCCAACATATGTTTGTAATTGGGACCTCGATATTGGCGCTATAACCGGAGAATGCACTCCTGACTTTCTACCAACTGCTATATGCGCATTGAAAGGTTTCATTTTCAGCTTCGAAGATAAAGAAAATGCTCTTCCGGTACCCGAATCTGAGGTCCTAGTTGTCCACGACGTAACATTCGTCCGGGTCAGCTTAAAATCTCTCAAACTCTGGCTCCGCGTAGACAGTCCTTCAGCTATTCGAGTCACAAGTGGGGAGATACTCTTTGTCCTTAACGATCTTGCGGACGAGAAACATTCTGAGCGTATTTCATTATCAATGCCAGATTTGACCATGTCATGCGTTGATGTTAATTATGGAAGCGGCGACTTGGTTCAAAACACGGAGACTAGCGGCCATTTCGGCACGTCACTTAAGGTTACAGTATTTGGACGAAAGAAAAATTTCTCCAAGGATAGAGCACTACAAATGAAACATGTTCGTGAAAGTGATTTTAGGACAGGCAGAGCAAAGTTTTTAATTAGAGAAGATTTTGAGGAGGATGGAAGTAGGGCAAGCAGCATGTATAATGAAAATCTGGATGCTGAACCACCAAGTTTACCGCTGCCCGGCCTACCTAAGCCACTATATGGTAGGTTTCCGCCTATGCTCCGATAATTAAGTGCTGATTTGAAAATATGGTTAGGCGGGGATGGTTATCATGGGTTTCTAGGGTCCTCCAAAGGCTCTGTTGCGTCCGGTCACACAGGAAGCACTAGTATTAGAAGAAAGTGCTCTTTCCTCGCAGCCTCTAGTATTTCAAGTGCAGTGCCAAGTATACTGCGTGCTGCAAGCTCCCATGCACCATCATTCCATTCAGCAGTCGAGACATTGTCATCAGAAATACCTATAGCAGCCACCCTTGGAGAAAGCCTGAGAGTACCTCAGAGTCCAGCCTCGACAACGCCCGGATCACAGTCACCGCGGCGGTCTATGCGTGCCAGAAGTCGCCAAGAAAGTTCTGATGGGCAATCGTTTGCTGCTACGAAATCAAGATCAAAGGTTCTTCTATCGAGTTCCTTCGCAAAACCACTTTTTCCGCTTGGTTCAGTCGAGCCAGACTTGAAGAATGTCCCATGGCTAGCATCGGGCATTGAAAGCGGACATAGTGAAGATGCGGAAGACTCATTCACTCCCGAAAGTGTTTTTATAGATGAAAGTACCTCACAGACCAGTATTATCATTGATTTTGTATCTGGAATCAGGGGGTATTGCACAGCAGTTGGAGTGAAGGCTGTGTTACAATTGGTGGAATGCATGCAACCAAAAGTTGTCCTCTCCCAATACACCACTCATAGTTATTTAGAGCTGACGTTGTAATTAGAGCCCCGAGGATATCCTCGATTCTATTCAGATAAGTGTAGTCGATAGACTTGTGAAACTTATGACCAACAAGTCCCAGGACTCAGCGATCACGGAGGTTTATTTAAAAATACCGCAATTCAAATTCTGCTTTACAAACCCCGTGCCCAAGACTCTGACCCACAACTACTATAGTATCGACGGCGAAAGGGCAGACGAAGATACTTATAACCTAGAGCTGAGTAACCTTTTAGTTTCTGCAAGATCAAAAACGGTTTTCCCCCCTCAACGCAACAGTCAAGAAAAATTAGGAGGGAAAGAAGTGTTCTCTTGTCATATACTCCTAGGAACGCTAGAAGTTATAATGAGCCAACGACAGGCTGGATATCAAGATTCGCTTCTAAAGCCAGCCTTATGTTTATTGGTACAGGGCCTTCTATTCTGGGCTTCTACGAATGAGACATCCACCGCTTCTCTCAGAGTGGAAACAATCGCGTCATCGCTCCAAAGTAATCAGGCAATGTTCCTTTACGACGCTGCAATTCGGATGGAATCGCTCGTTGCAGATTTACAACAGGCGTTTAAGGTCCTATCGAATAATGAAAAGCAACGAGTACAGGCACTTGCCTATTCTCTAGCAGTTGCAGGAGAAGAATTTGGCATTACTGGTGATCCTTCGTCTCTCACACGACCATCATATGTACTTCGCTCAGCGCTGGACCATGTCCGTGTCAACGATTCTTGGAAGGTCATGTCTCGTATGCGACATATCTACCAATCTGTACCGGTTGCTCCTCGAGAAAATTTGCAAATCCGTTGTATCTCCAATTTGAACCAATGTCCAGCAGATGGAAGAAGACGGGTCGTTTCTGCATTTGAGAGATGGCGCAGCTGGGAATTAGCAGATCTGCATAGCAGTTATATTGTCGATGCCATATTCGGTCCTGAGGATAAAAGTGAAGGCTCCATAAGACCATCTGGTCTCATGGAAACTCAAATAGGGATAACCAGTTTGAAGATGCTCGTTGACCCTGGTCCTATGCAATGTGAATTTGTACTTGGTCATATTGCAGCAAAGACTTCTTTGGGGCACCCAGAAATCTCGAACAGTTCTATGGTATCGACAGTTGGTGGACCAAACTTGTCTGTTTCAACTATCGTGCAAGCCCATTGCGGAAGCATCCAAGTAGGCCTAACTTGGGAGATTCTAGAAATCTTCGAGGGACTTTCAAAAGCATTCGCAAAAAGACATTCGGGCTCGGAAACTTCGAAAGCAACCTCTGTCGCGTTCATTGAGTCTAGAAAAAAACAAAGCTTTCACGTACTGTTGACCACAGATACTGGATCGCTTATACTTGATTCGATTAATCTGAAAAGCATCAGCATGGCTCATAATTTTCAGGCTTCACTTTTTATTTCGAGCAAAAACTCAGACCTTCAAGAAGCTTTGCTAGGAAGCGTATTATTACGCTCTGATCTAGTAACCTCTGAGTTAAAATGTGGAAATAAGACCCTCAGTATGACAAAGCTGAGAAATCCTAGTATATATGGACATTTCGACGAGCATTGTTTGGCGGATACAAAGTTCAACATCTGGAAAGTCGCGGGGTCATGTGAAGACCTATCCTTCGATATTAGGGAGGAGGTTTTGGGTATGATGGAGGTCATCGATTTTGTGGTGAACGATGAAGTCTCACGAATCTGGCGGTTAGTGGAGGACTTGAAAGGATCTTCACTATCAGGGCCTCCTCCTCAACCAACAGCTCCCAATTCACCGGCTTTTCCATTTTTCCCCCGGCGCAATGTACATGTCCTTCATTTGACATTATCTCTGGAGAACTTTACTATTGAAGCAACCCTGCTACCTTCTTTGGCCTATGTCATGCGTGGGAATGGGGTCAGGGGCTCTACCAGACCAAAACATGCCACAGAAGAAATCATCCTAGATTTCGACGTTCTTTACCACGAGCATGAGATTAGAACAGGTTACGATAAAGCACAGACCAGGAGTATCTCGGTTTTGCAGATGCCATCGATCAATGGAAGAGTCAGACACCAAGATTCAGCGGAAGAACAATTGATAGAGGTCTTTATCTCCGTGGAAACGATTAAACTAGACGCATCCTCTATTCAAAGTTTACTTAACGCCCTTACCAAACCTGAAGTTGGGAACGTCATCGAAAGTGCGAGGGTTGAATGGATGGGCACTCAGGCGAGATTGGACGAAATCTTTGATAAGCCAGATAAACCCCCTGTACCCTCCGTCAAAACAGGAACCCCTCTTGTATACCGTGCTCATGTAGGGGTCTCTGGGTTGACGATTCAGAGTTCTGCTCCATCAGCAACTCTAAATATTGACCTAGGCTGCATTCGAGTCCATGCTTCAAACAAACCTAATGCCGACATACTCTTACTTCCTGAGGTTCATGTGGAGTTCCGAGAGATCACAGTTGAGCTAACAAAGGTTACAACTGATGGCTCACTTGAAACTTGTGGATACGTAGAGCTACATGCATCTATCTTATGCTCTTCGACAGAATCTGCTGGTGGAAAGATCGTTCGCGCATTTTACGTCACCAGCCACTCTCTCCAAATAGACCTCTTTGCAGAGACTGCTTCCACAATTGTCGATGTTGCAGGCCATCTTCAAGATAAGTTGCGGGACTTGGATCTGTCAAGAGAAGTCAAATATCTTCGAAAGCTCCGCAGCTCTAAACCGCTTGTCCCCATTGAATCAGTAGGATCTGAAAAAGGCAGAAACTCTATGCAGCTATTCACCTCGGTCATTTCAGTGGAAATGAAAGGAATCCAAATCTCTTGGATCACGGGCGCCTCAACTCAGATCATCTCACTGAACCACACGAGACAGAACCTAGTACTCTCTTTCAAGAGAATCAACTTTGCAACTGCTACAAAGAAAGCAAATGAAGCGCGTCTAACAATCGAAGAGTTCTTGGTCCAGATGGTTGACCAAGACAGCAAGGTAACCAGCCGTTCTGAGAACTCTGCAATTATGCCCGAGGTCATCTTCAACGTCGCATACTTTTTGAACGATGCGGATAGACGTCTTGCCTTCCAAGCTAAGGGAACCTCGTTGGACCTACGTCTTACTTCTTCATGTGTTGTTGGGATAAACCAGTTGGAAACTTCCATTGCTACTGCGAGCGAAAAGTTTCGCGATGCTTCAGCAACCTGGAAATCAACACCCACAGAAAGTGGCGCGGAGAGAGAAAACATGTTTGGTACAAAAAGGCTTAGATCTGTCCTTGTGGACGCCGATTTTGCTGGTGCCGTCGTCCATATTAGTAAAGCGTCAGAGTCATCAGAGTTGGAAAAATTGGCATCCCGAGCATCATCACAAGGCCGTTATGGGCAATTCGCTCACGGGGATTCAAATGGTATAACAATACTCAAATCCCCAGGTCTGGCTTTCAAGGCAGAATATGTTGCGCCGATAGACGAAGACCCGTCACTCAACGCTGAAATCAAGATCAGCGCATCAAGCAATATACTTTATCCTTCAGTTGTACCCCTGATCTTGGAGATGTCCTCAAATATCAAAGAGGTTATGCGGGAGCCCACCGAAACGAAACCAGAGGAAACCCCACACATTAGCCCGGCAGAATCCAAAGAAACTTCTCCTGGCCCAGCAGCTATCCTTGGCAAGTGCCGACTCAATATCGGCTTGAGAATTTGTAAACAAGAATTCACGTTGAGCTGTCAGCCCATCGCGCGTGTAGCCGCTTCTGCGGGCTATGATGAGATCTATGTTACTCTCAGTACTTGTGAGGAAGCTGTGGGTGGTCGATTCTATGCCTTATCGGTCATTGCTTCTGGGTTTGAAGCGTCATTGAAGCACGTTTATTCACGGGATTCTACAGGTCAGTTGCAAGTTCGGGAAGTTGTTGCGTCTTTGATGAACAGCAAACACCTGAACGGCTCCGATGGCCTCTCATGTATCATGAAGATGAGCCCCATCAAGTCGCAACTCAATATCAAGCAATTCCAGGATTTCCTGCTGTTCCGTGAGATCTGGTTACCCGAAGAGATACGTAAAGGCTCGCCGGCTCCGATTATCCGATCACCTGAGCCCTCCCCGATGTTGGTACAAAGATACCACAGAGTTGCTGCTACAAAGGCCTTTCCATGGAACACAACTGTGTCAATTTCGGAAATTGATCTTCAACTCGATCTGGGCCAGTCTCTTGGCAAGAATTCCTTGCTAATATCAAACCTCTGGATGGACTCACGAAAGAGCTCCGACTGGGAACAGACCATGTCGCTTGGGTTTGATGCCATCAAAGTGACATCTATTGGACGCCTTAGCGGTTTTATCCACCTCAAGAACATGAAGGTCAGGACATCGATTCATTGGCTATCTGGTGCTGATGAGGTCGTCCAAACTCCTCTTATCCAAGCCTCTTTGGGCTTTGAGCAACTTCAAGTCAAGGCGTCTTTTGATTACCAAGCCTTCCTATTAGCCGACATCACTAGCTTCCATTTCTTGATGTACAATCTACAGAAAGCAGGCGGGAAAGCGGGTGACCAACTAGTAGGGGTTCTCGACGGAGACATGATCCAGATCTACTGCACGACATTAAGCGCGTCTCAAGGTCTCGCACTTTACCAGGCGTTCTTGAGACTTCGGCAGGAAAAGATCGATGCTTTCAATATCTCACTAAAGGACGTAGAAAGATACCTCAACAGACGCTCTCAATCCAATTTCACAGCGTCAGATCCTGCTCCCATTCAGTTAAACCGAGAAAGCCCCCAGCCTCCAGCATTCCTGTCGCTCTACACAGACGTGGTGGTGATGTTGAAGGAAGTCAGCATTGGCATCTTCCCCAGCACTTTTTATGACACACAGGTCTTCAAGCTTGACGCACTAAACGCTTCCGCCCAATTTGGCGTTGGAATGGAGGTTGAGAAACTCCATAGTAAGCTAGAGATGACGCTTGGCGAGTTGAGAATAGCCCTGGCAACTATCAAACGACCGGAGATGGGCAGCTCCCTAGGCGATGTGAGCGTGGAGGATATCGTGTACCATGCTCGTGGTGCACGTGGCGGAACGATTCTAAAAGTTCCTCAGGTGACGGCCTTTATGCATACATGGCACAAGGCCGGCTCCAATGAGATTGAATACATCTTCAAGAGCGCCTTTAAGGGTAAAGTAGACGTAGGATGGAATTATTCCAGAGTGAGCTTCATCAAAGGGTCTGCAATCACCTCCTTAAAATCACATACAGCGATTCACTTACTAACAAAAAATTAGCATGTGGGCCAACCATGTTAAGGAAATGTCCCAGCGCCAGGGCAAGATAATCACCAACAGCCACATTTCAATCAGTACCAATTCTCCACCTCCATCCGAAGCCGCAGAAGACAATGACAGTGCAGAAGGCGGTGAGCAGCGTAAGATCACTGCGGTTGTCAATGTTCCTCAGTCAAAATACGAATACACCGCGCTCGAACCACCCATTATCGAAACTCCGCAGTTACGAGACATGGGTGAGGCCACACCGCCGTTGGAGTGGATTGGGTTGCATAGAGATCGACTTCCGAATTTGACGCATCAGGTAACTTAATAACCTTTTTATTCAATCCCCCGGGTCATATCCAAAGTGGCGTTTTACTGACAATACGCATAGATTGTAATTGTTTCGTTATTGGAGATTGCCAGAGAGGTCGAGGATGCTTATTCCAAAATCCTTGGCACTAGTTAAGGGGTGTTTTATTTTCTTATGTTGAAAAGGACCTATGGAAATGGTAGACAAGGCGTTCTATGGTTTAATAAGATCTTCTCTTTGGCTTTATTTTAATTCCCTTTATTTTTCGAGATATAATGTTGTTTAATGATTTTTATTTCTTCTCAGACAACTGGACATAAATACCCCGTTGTCTTTCGCTTTCTGTTTTTTGTGCTAATGATAGATTGTCCAATGGGGTATGCGATGTTATTTAGTGGTTACAATGCATGTGGATATAAATAGCCGCTGTTCTAAGTTCGTTTAGAAAATACGTTATTTGTAACGTACAACAGAGCAAGAGCCGACAGCATCCTTTTCTCCCTTCTTACTGAGCGAGTAAAGGCAGGGATAGGGAAGAACTCAAAACCTTGTAGTCGAGTAGGTTTGTTTTCTTTTTTTTTTATGTGCCCTCTTGTACTGCTTTGTTAGGTTTATATTATACTAAATCATCCATCATATCTAAAAAGTTCTGGATAGATTAGAATACCGCTAATGGTGATGTGGTGACGCTCAATATTTGCCTTCTCCGGCGACTACTACTAAAGCCTCCGGTACTTACTATATCATTAATATTGACATCATGAGAATACGTTCTCGGTATAAACGTGCATTTCAGCAGAATTCTTTAAATGTCTCCACTCTTCTCAAGTATTGCAATCCCATAACCCAGCCCCCTCAATATACTTGCCCCTCAATATACTTGAAAATGCGTTTCGAAATCTTCCTCGCTGGCATCATTGTCTCTGCATCGGCTCAAGTCCTCGAAACAGGGTATGACCAAAAAAGAAGTCCTGAGCGTACCTCACTCTACTAAACCCCTCTCTATAATAGACAGGATGAACCCAGCGCTGAAGTCTCTAACCTGGCAACCTCGCTGACTCCCGCTCCTCCTGCTGAAGCACAGGTGACCGGCCTCGCTGCCCCAGAAATCTACGAGGAACTACTCGGCCCAGTTGGTGGTGTTCTATCAGCAATCGCGCATAGTGTCGAGACTTCGGTCCTGGGAAAGGTGACCGATGTGCCGGCCAGTGAGCTGAACAAGCTTCCGAGTAGCATCGCCGCGAAGGAGTCTGATATTCTGGGAGGAGCGATTTCGGCGGCGGCGGAGGCGAGCGCAACGAAGAAGCAAGATGCGGACAGGAAGGAGGAAGCATTGCCGGTTAAGACGGAGGTGAGGATTAATGATAACGATGACGTGGGTGATGGGGACGATGATAAAGATCATGATGAAGATCGTGAGGACCATGATAAGGGCCATGATAAAGATGATGGTATGGATGATGATAATGATAGAAGGCAGCAGAAGCAGGTTGATGAGGGTGGGGATGATGCAGCTGGAGATGATGCAGCCGCTACTGGTGACGCAGCTGAAGACGATGCGGCTACTGCTGGTGACAACGTGGACGCTGGCGACATCGTCGATGAAGCAAACCACCGAGTTGGCGCAGAAACCGACGATAAAGTCGCGGATGATGCTGAAGCGCAGAGCGGAGGAGCCGACGAAGACAATATTACCAGCCCTGAGAGTTTGAGGAAGAGGTATAGCAAATTAAGTGAGAACGCCGCAGAGACCCTCGTGGCTTGGTCTCCAGTCATTTGTATTTTGTTGGGAACGGTGGTTTTGATTTTGTAGAGGGATCATGTTTAATCATGGGACAGTGAAAGAAGAAATTGAGTACGTAGGTTTTTGTTTTTATAGTTATATGCATTGTTGTAATTATTGAATTGAAATTTGTACAGGGGAGCACAACCAATCATTGCACCTTATCGTCGAGTGAGATATCATGATCCACTGATCGGCCCACTAGTACCCCTATTAGGCCATGATCCAGGGGCATGCATTATTTGTCTTAGATACAAAAGATCTAAGGCCGTGACCATGATGCAGATTAAAACCCAGATTCTGGAGAACTTCATGTGTAGTTCCAGCCAACCCCCTATTAGCTGTCACGCCTCTAGTACATATCCCAACAAGTTGAAATGCGTCCCCCCAAAACAGTAGCGGGGAAGCAGAATGCGGTGCTCTGACCGTATTTTCAATTCACCCCTGTTTCTACTTCGCATAGAGATAGCTTTTTAGTGCACGCTGTAACTACTTGAACTGGTAGTGTCTTTTTTAAATGAGGGAGCAAAAAATTATCTCGTGATCTCCTGATAGGTCACCTTGAATAATCCTTTGTGCCGAAAATAAAACAAATTGATTCCCAATTCCCAATTCCCCGAGTGAAAATGAAGAAGAAAAACACCAATCCCTAGAAAAGATTTAGATCAAAGATCATTGCAATCTTAAAGATCCCCCCTGTGCAAAAATCAGATGAGAACTCAAAATCAATAAACCCATAGAAACAAAGAAAGAAGAAAAGAAAAGCGCAAGGAGTAGAGTGAAAGCGAGACAAGAGAGAAAAAACAAATCGAACCCAAACCGAAGCTCCGCGACAATGTCAGAATAAAAACCCAGTATCCCAAAACACTTGTAATCTTTGTCATGCTGATAGTTTGCCCAAATTTCATATTGATACAAGCCTTTTTCCCGCCGTTTAAAAATTGTAATGATAAAAGTAGAAAGAAGAAAGAAATTCAGGCGGCGTTGAATCGCGCACCAAGTCTAATTAGTTGTCGTCACCACTGACAGAGCTTCCGACCTCGGTCCAGCTACCGACACTCTCAACATCCGATCCGAAATCGCTTAGAATATCGTCAGCGGGTTGTTCAATCTCCTCTGGGGCACTGCCAGCAAGACTGGGAGCAGAAGAGGGTGTGTGGGCAGCACTGGCCCATTCATGAATGCTCCAGTATGGTTGGGAGCTTTCAAACGGGTTAGAAACATCCTCTTGATCTTCACCAGAAGAAACTGTTCGGGACGAAGCTGCCTTTTGCTGTTCGATGGGCTCGGTAACCTCCTGGACTTCTGCGACATCGACAAAGGGATCGCTGATCACAGATAGCTCGGGAGACGGCTGGACCGCAAGTGATTGGGGCTTGGGTGGCAAAGCAGGAGGCTCAGCAGGCATTTGGGGAAGTGGCTTCTCGAGTTGAAGGGTCTCGGTTGAACCGCGGCGAGATACAGGGTCGAGGTTAGGAGTGGACATTCTAGACGATTCTGTTGCTGCGTCAAAAACTACCAGATTTTCAGGCATGGTACCGAATTGTTGACCACGATGTCTGACGTGAGCTGAGGGAGTATGATATTCATTGTGATATTGCTCCCTGCTGGAAGAAGAGGCAAAACCATAGGCCTCATCTCCCTTGGTAAACGACCTTTCTCCTCCCTCGGATCTTTTCTCGTTATAAGGTTTTTCTTTCTCGCCCTCATTTTCCCTATAGGATTCGGAAAATGGCCCGCGGCTTGTCATGGGGATGGGTTCTCTTGGGTTGATCTCTTGTGCTAAAGCATGTAGCGAATTTTTGACCTTTCGACGGGTCCGGTCGACGAACTCGTAAACATGTTCGCGATTGTCGTATACTACGATTCCAGCAACCACAATGACCGTAGCCGCAATAAAGATAATTTTGGCAGGCATTCTACTGTCTTAATTTTTTTTTTTGTTGCTGGTGGCGAGCCCGATTTCTGACACGTCCGTGAAGAATGATGTCAGAGAGAGTGGTGGTGAGTTGCAGGCAAGCAACTGGTTACTGGACAAGCCTCGACTATTCTCGGTTGGTAGCAGCAGCAGTGGCAACAGTAACAACAGTAACAGGAGGAATGGGATGAGGAGAGGAAGAGAGGAGACGAGAAGAGCGGAGGGCGAGAGTAGGAGTGAAAATAAAAGCAACGAGGAGGATATGGGAGAGGGAGGAGGAAAAGCAAGGGAGGAGGAGCCAAGAGACTTTGAGACTTTAAGTCGACGGACAAACACTCAAGGCGTAGTAGCGCATGCCCTGGAGAGCTCCGCTAACGTAAAGTACTGTTGTCGGCGGGGTAACGAAGCCCACCGGCCCAACAATGCGATCACGTCTTGATATAGGGATAGGCAAGTACCGCGGCCTGATTCCGGAACCTGATTTCTTTTATCCTGCTTCCCTTTGTTTTTTGTTTTTGCCTTATTACATGTATTTACCTCCTTACGTGTGTCGAAGTCGTAAGTAAAAGGAATTTCCCACCTGCTCATGTGCCCCAAGCTACGTGCTATGGTGTAACCCCAGGTACTTAACTATTCGTTCTTCACTGGCAGCGAACAGCTAGGCACGCTGACGTTTTGCTATCGATACGCCACCTTCTCGACAGGCGCTATCGCCAAGCTTGGCTACATGTAATCTCCGCTGTCCCCCACTGATTCAGTGATGTGGCTGTGGAGTCAACGACGACGCGTCCACGCCACTGCCTACTCAGAGAAGAAGGAGGCAACTCAGGCAAGCAATTTGATGCCTACTTGGAGAAGCCGTTAAGCGATGGGTTAGATGAGGACCACTGATTTTTTTATTCTTTTTTCTTTTTTTTCCAACGCAGTTCTATCCTTCCTTATTGGTTCGTGCCGGAATAATACTGATGTCTATGTACCCAAGTACCTTTTTCCGTCTGCTTGGATGCAGAATCATGTATGGAGTTGATATTCCCTTGTTGCACAGTACCTACTCTGGAAGCGACTGCATTTCTTCCGGAGATCGGAAAGCTCGGGTATGCATACCCCAGGTATATCGTGTGGGGGCGGTCTCGCATTCTTGGCGCATCGTGCATCACTCGGTGTCCGAGATAGTAGCACTTCTTTTATTATCCGCCTTGATTTGCGTTACCCAGGACTGCTTCTAGAATTCTGTGGTACACAGTATAGCGAAATTCTACCCATCGAATTTTTTTTACCCCGTCGAATCAGCACGACGGGTTCAAGATACTGAAGATTGCACCGTGTTCTGAAGACTATGAATCAGCGTGTGCCATCCAGAGAGAAGAGAATATGGATATTGAACTCGACGTCAAGAGAAAGTACAACATGTACCCATGATCACATGCGGTCTATGCGCGTGCACTCCAACTATTGGTCCGTATATATCGTCCTACCAACTGCGTCTCCCACACGTCACACCACAGAAAACCTTAATCGTTGTAACAAGCAAGGTACTGCGTGTACTCAAAGATTTAAAGTGGGCCCTAGAAGAACCGAATCATAAAAAAAACAGCCCGGACAACGAAATTTATAGACAGGGGAATATATGTCAAGGTAATGAGATACATATGTCGCTACTTAGCTATAGTTGACTACATGTATAAAGTAGGCATATGTGGGTGATATCGTTATTCCCACATAGCCCTTAACAGACTGAAATATGTACCCAGTAACGTTAACTTCCTTCCAACAGCTACTAATTACACTATAGCGACTAATAGTCACGATCATATATATCTTCCTGGGCTCGAAGCCGTAAATCAACAAACGAAACTCCCAAAGTGGCCGAGTGATAATCCATGAACATTGATGATAGCACCCAGATTGGATATCAAGCTTTTCCTCTTATAGAGAGTAGTTTGAGGTTACCTTTGCACTGAAGGGTCTATCTAGGCAATTTTTTCTCTAGCAACGGTACAAGTTTCCTTGATTGAACAATGCTACTGGCGCCAGATTTGATGTTTCTTTTTGCGGAAAAGGCCTAAAATGACACAGTGTTCGGTATACGTGCTCCGAAATAACACATGATGCAAAAATACTGTCACTACAAGTAAAAAAGGAGAAGAAAAAAAGAACAAAGCGTTCTATAAAACTACAAAAAGTACAAAACTACAAAAGGTACAAAACTACAAAAGGTACTGCAGCGACTTATTAAGACATTTGCGACTGCTACCCCCACCCCTGGTTTGAACCCAGGACCTTATGTGTGTGTGGTTGTATCCTGGGTACGCTCGGTGTTGACGAGCAGTCTATCCACTAGACCACCCGCCCATAGTGGATGCTGTGCCCGAAGTGATACCTGAGCTTGGCAGTGTGCCAAGATGAAGATCGAACTTGAACCCCGACCTTTCGATATTATCATTGCTCAGCCACTACATATACTAATTGATGTATTCGTTTGGATTATACCGAACTGTGTCATCTTGCATTCATGTGTTATTGTAGAGCACGTCTACCAAAAACTGTGTCATTTTAGACCTTTTCCGTTCTTTTTATCATACCAACCAGATGATCTTGTGAAGAGCTTTCTCCTGTGACCGAAGAATGCATTCTCTTTTCCTTTAAATCAAGGTCTTTCTTTAGTGAATTAAGAAACTGAATTATGAATTTAGTTGGATTCAATTAATGGCGAGAACACTAGGAGCTCTTGGCGGGATTACGAAGAAGCTCTTAAGATTCGCCCCAGGCTTAGCCCCTCGGCCTCCATTGCATATATGACTCGCTATACTAGTATATTAGTATGAGTAGTAGACAATCCAAAAGATTACTCTTTTTAGCGGGATTTTTAGCGGGAGGCACGGGGGGGATGAGTTAAGCACAAAAACACCGAGTTGACCTAATCACGAGATATCACTCGTGACAAGAGAGTTGCGGGATAATCTCGCTGTAGGTCTAGCTAAGGGACAAGTATATGACTTAGTAGTTTAATATCGTTCAAGGGTCTTTCAGCTAAGTGATTAGCTATTTAGCTGTACGTACATGTAGTCTTCAGTTAAACATCTCAAACCCCGCAAAAACTTTTAAGCTTTTCCTAGTGAAACCTCATTTCAATCTCTTCCGCTATCCCTTTGTGGGTCACAATTTTAGTGAAATCAATCTGTTGATAAGAAAGATGAAGAGATCTGTGAGCAAGAGCCACTCTCTTGGCACCAGCTTTAGGGTGGGCAGCGTATGTCCCACCCTAGTCTCGTACCCAGCCCGTTACTTGCAGCCCCTGGAAGCATGGAAGTAGACGGGTTGGGGACGAGCCTAGTCCCACCCCACTTACTATCACACATCACCTCGCCCGGGCCCCTCCACTTCCACATCTCATCAATACAAACACCAAACTACTGAACATCACCAGGCATCAAAGCCATCGTAATATCCATCATGATATGGAAGTCCCAGCCCATTTACACCATCAACTCACCATCAAAATCACCAGAACCCACATCGCCAATTCTGTAACTTACCCCACCATATTTACCGGCGCAGATTTATTATAGGTACGCCATCGTCATTGTCACCAACCGGCGGCAGCAGCCTATAATGACGGTTCTGGAGAGACTCCTTTCTATTCTGCTCAGCATATGGTTTATTTAAACCAAGTCAAACATACCTAAAGAAAAGCAAAGACTTGCTTAAATTATCTAAAATTAAAGCCCCAAATATACTCATAGAGAGGGGAGAGGGGGCAGGCGTTTCGCTTACTCCACAGAAACGTCCCGGACTCAATCAAAACTCGTGGAGCCATAATACTTGCAAAATTTAGGGTAGTTTGTCAGGGCTTTTGAGGTTAATGGGGGTAACTGCCTCGAAATAATTCTACTCTATTAAAGCCCTGCCCTTCCCTGTTTAAGTATACCCTATGGGCTCAATGGGTTCGAGATAATTTGGACAGGTTCAACGCCTACCGGGAAAGGGCCTCTGTTCTATATAAAGTCCCCTGAGCAAAAAAAGGCAATGTGTACAAGATAAGCAGGGGTTATATATCTTTGATGGGTATTTCGACTTGAACTTTTTAGGTCACCTCACAGGTGACGATGCATGGAGATGTCTGTCTACCACAGCCTGAGGCATGCAGACGGACGATTTATGGACCGGACTACTCGTAACACCAATTAAACGAGAACAAGTGTAATTCCGGCCAGTGATCATTGTAAAATGTCCCCTTGATGTATCATGGGTTTTTCTTTCTATCTAGGTACAAAACGACCTCTATCAATTTTACCATATTGTCTCACAATACAGGACTCATTCGGTATCAAGTCGTCAAAATACCCAGTTAATGTGTCACAACATTAACAGTCCTCTCTTCGAGGGTATGGAACACTAGCTCAAATCCCATCATAAAGTTCTCTCCCCCCTTTCTTGATTTACGGGTTTTACAAACAGGTGAGAAGAGTTATAAAGTATTAGGAAGTCATCTACCCGGCAACTAAGAAAAGGTGCCGGTGCCCACAACAGTCGATCCCTAATAGGCTGGACTCGAATAAAAATAGGCTTAGGTCAGAAAGGAAAAGCCCGATACCTGCAGGCCAATTCTCAACTAAGAAGTCTAACCCAATGTGGCGCCTTCTGCTCTGAAATACTCTCAAATTTCTTCAAAGAGTATGTACATGTATTCTATTGATATAAGTTCATCATATAAATTACTGCTTACGGTTTATCTGAACCCAATTTGGCTAGACTTATGGGTTGAAGAATTGGCCTGATTGCCAAAGGGATATTATAGGCAGTCTATAAGGTCTAGTGCAAATAAATCAAATAAAAATTCGGCTAAGCGTATACTCTTATTGGCCGAGTGATAATTCATGACTATATCACGCAACTAAGCTAAACTTATATTTAGAATTGAATAAAGAATACTTCAAAAGAGCGGCCATAGGCCTAGGTGTATTTTATCTACTAATTCCAATACTATAATACATATATATATATATATATATATATATAAAAACCCCACATGTACCCCGCCCCCGCCGGTACCATGAATTAAACAAAAAAAGAAAAAAAGCCCCCGCCGGTACCCCACCACATCTCCAATTATCATTAACATTCATTACCTGTGGGTCGATGCGGGCACGCACATATACACATGCATACCTTCTCACGAGTCCATATACAACCTTCCCTTCACCAATGGCTTCACTCCGTCCTTCAACGAGGACAACGCAATATGGCCAACCTCCTCATTTGGCCTTACATCAACCACCCTGACCTCCAACCCCGCTAGCAACCTCGTCCTTTCCGCCCCCTCCAGAATACACCCACCCCCAGGCAACGGAATATACGGATTATCCCTCGTCAAACTCGACACACTCCCCAGAATATCTGGCGCAACACTCATGCACTTGAGGTACGTGCCCAGATGTGCCGCTATAATCAGCACAGCCGTCGTGGCTACCAGAATCCACAGCCACATCTTATCGCAGACATACTTCTTTTCCTGAAAGACAAATTTTGTGGACGTTTCGCGTGCAATGAACGTGTGGTTGCCCGGCAGCCTCATTGCCATAGGCCCCGTGAGCGTGTGGTTGTACCTTCTCGGTTCGTCGGGCGTGAGGTAGGCCGAATCCGAACTGTCGAAGGCGAGCAACTCATCGAATGACAGTGGTGTACCGGCGATGTAGCTGGGTGCTAGGGTCCCAGTGTAGTAGGAGTTGAAGGCAAGGCCAAACCTGGTTTGGAAGGTCTCCTTCGAGAGGGAAGAGATATTGGTTAGAAGGCCGTCAGAAGCAGTGGCGAGCTCAAAATCGTGGTTAGAGATGCGCGTAACAGTGTCGGGGTCCTGGATGAAGCGCTCGGTGGCTGTTGCTAAGATCGTGTAACGCACGACGTTAGGTTGGCGGTTGGTGTCAGAGAAACCGGTAATGACCGAATCATCAGTTCCGTCGAGGGCCGTATGGGTAGCGGGACGCTGGGCAATAGTAACGTATGGGCGCAGTCTGGTGACGGAGCAGTTCTTAGGAGCACAGTTAATCTCGGCCTCTACATGGGCCTCTGTAACGTTACAAACCGAGGTCGTGAGCCACCTCCAGAGGTTGGAGATACCAGGGTAGTCTACGGAGTCCCCCTCGTTGATTCTTGATACGTAGAGGAATCTCGCAGGATCTAGGTACACTAATCCTAGCTTCCTCCTGACTGTTGGCATTCTCACAAACATAGATGATCGGTATGGCTGCACATTGAAATTAAGTGTTTTGTTGACGTTAATTCCAATTTCGGCAAACCAGGGGTCAGAGATGGTCCGATTGTCGGGCTTTGTGCAGTCCCAGTTGAAGTAGGTATACTGGATCGTGAATTTTGAGAAAGTTTGTCTGATGAGCTCTGTTCCGGCCATGGGGACCCCAATTAGAGAGACATAGGATATATTCTGGTTCTTGGGTACTTGCACCCAGCTGTCGATATCGGAAGTTGATTGGTTGAGAGATTCAAGCTTGGGTATCTATGTGCGCCAAATATATAGTTAGTATGCACTTGTACTATATCAGACTGCACCACGAGTATAAGAGGGTTAGGAGCTAACCTTAACATTTCCCCAAATATCCATACTTGACTGTTGGGACTCGGTGGGCGTCACAAGCATAGCCTGATACACGGAATCATAGACATAAATCGGAAAGTTCTGCCACTGGATTCTCGACGACTGCCAATATGTGTCCAAATACCTTATCGCACCATCCACCTCAATCCCAGAAGTACTGAGTAAGCGCAGCGAAGCCTGGCCTCCCAGAGGCGAAAGAAGCCAAATCAAAAGCATGAATAGACTCAACGGGATCGTCTTTATGGTTCGGATTATCGTGAAATGGGATTGGAGTGCTCCTCCAAGACTTTGACTGCCCATTAGTAGCTCGCTATATTGGTCGGTTAGTTCCGGTCGAGTGATAGTCGGAGGAGCGGGCAACTTACAGCATGCGAATTGTTGTTCCCCGTTCGACGAGCCATCCGGCGGCGGACTTGAAGGTTTTTCCTAGGACTGCTGCAAATATAATTGGGTATACCGTAGTTCCCTATCAATATATACAGAATTAGCCACCGCCACTATTAATATAACATTCAATCAAAATAACATACAATCTGTGCTGCCTTCGTCACCTGCTCCCCAAACTTTGAAACTGGCATTCCATCCATCTTATACGCAAAACCAGCCAGTACCAAAAACATTATCGGTGTGAGTGATATTAGCACACTGGCCACCTTTCCGAGCCAGTCGCTCGGGATCGTGCCGGGCGCCGAGGGCCATCTCTCAATTACGGGCACCGGGATCGTCGACCAGCGATGGATGTCAACTGTACAGGTACTCGGCAGAGGGAGTAGCTTGTTCCTTTGTGCTTCAAGGTCGGCCCCAAAGGAGGGGTTGAAGGAATTCATGGTTGCTTTTTTCTGTACAGTATAGTCAATGAGTCTCGAGTTACCTGGCATTGGGCGGGTAGGGCTTATATAATATGCCAGATACAGGAGACAATAGTTTCACTATCATTTTGAGGGAACAGCGATAGATACCGCGATTCCCCATAATGGTGATTCCATGTATGGTTGAACGGGGCTAGCGATCGAGTCTGTAGGCGCTGCTACTATTTTTGGAACACCACTGGCCAAATATTAAGATTTGCGGAGTTTCAGAGCCAATTGCAACATATCAGCACCTCTAACACATGCACAACTCAACATATTTGACTGCAATTGTATCTTATCCCGAAGGCAGGCTACGGAATACTCTCAAAAAAAAGAATTTGTACGTACCCCTAGCTAATCACGCAGAAACCCTAGCTAGTCTACATGTAGCTATGTACATGTAAATAGTTACACGAGCTTTTCGCAGTCGGATTCGAGAGCGCTTATTATACTGCAAGGACTCTCTTGGGTTTTGAAGAATGGAGCTACTATGCCGGCAGATATAGACGCAGTCATCCGCTAAGGTAGGTCTCCTGAGTCAACAGACAAACACTTCGCCTCTTCCATGTAGGTTGCTTTTCTTGTAAGTGGCGAGGAGGTGGAAGGATCACAAGGTGAAATGTGCAGTTAAAGAAGCTCTACGGCACCTAGCGTGCTATGCTATAAAAAACGTTGTAGCTTCGAATGTTTAAGCCTCTGTGCATACACGTGTCTATAAGGGTTCTTAGCATGAAGAGTTATGTGGCTGTTAGCTTGAGAGTGTCACAGATTGCGATCCATCAGTAGTTCTCTGATGGCTATGAACACTGTAGTAAAGGCTTCAACGAGAAGAGTCTCCATAGTATCACGACTTGGTAGACGCGGCGTCTATGGTTAGGGGAGAGGGCTCCAGAATTCAGACTTTGTTGGTAGCTCAGATTAGGGGTGGAGATATGCTTTCCTGGCTTTTGTTTCTATTTCTTTGGTTTTAGAAAGGCCAAGCACTAGATCCATAACACTATATATTTAAATATTTGAAGGCTGTCGATAAAAACACCTTGGAAGTTACAAAGGCACGGGTAAAGGTGGGGAGTGAGAATTTAAGGCCGGGCGTTGGGGATGTTGCCAGAGTTATGGGGCAGCAGTGATCGTACCTGTTCCTTACCTAATCCATGCCTTTCTCAGTTTGAAATTTGGTGACAGGTGACAGGTTATGGTTGTGATCCAGCGGGCGAGTGATCCAGCGGGCGAGTGATTTTCCATGATGTAACCAGGCAAGTCATTGAATCACGAACCCAATCCTATATATTTAAGAATTCAAAACAACCCTCTAGTAATCAAAACTCATCAACAATAGTTTTTGTATATTTAAGCCAAGTACTTTTGTTTGTATATGTGTGGTCTCTCATTCCATGACCAGGGCTTCAGAGATTTTTAGTCGAGTAGAGCGTATTTGACAACTGTCGATTCCGACAATTGACAGTTCGCCGGCTGCAATAGCGGTTTGCCGAACCGTCAATTTGATTGATGAGGGTATCGGCACAGGGTACCAGAACTTGGAGCTGGACCCTATCAAAGCGCAAAAGGCCTTATGTCTCGATCTCGTCACCACTGATAATGGTCGAGATCTAGTAAATAATTTGAGAGTTCGTGAAGTATAATGTCAATTTTGCGACTCGCAACTGTCAAAGCCGAACTGTCAATTGTCGAAATCGACAGTTGTCAAATACGCTCTAGTGCTGAGGCCGTGAACCGCTGAAAACTGCGTGAAGCCCGCGGACTAAAGCCCGCCTGAGGTCCCTCTTCGCCCAATCACAGCCCTTACCTACCTAGTGTGCGGCCCCACGGAGCTCGCCAACCCCTGTTTTCGCAGTAATTCTACCGATCACTGTAATGTTGTGGTTTCAATTCTCCTTCTCTCCCTCTTGTCGCTTCGGATAACCCCATTTGAAATTCGTTTCTTTTGGGGAGTTATCGTTATGGTTTTGCCCATAGCCTTAAAATTAAGGTTAGGGTTATCGACAGAGAAAAACTTGATAAAGTATTTTTTTAACTAATTAGGGCCCGTTTGGGAGCAGGTCCAAACGGAGTTTTGTTGGCAAATTTGTATGGCAACGGGAAAACTCCGTTTCATTTATTTCATAACTCCGTTTTGCAAGAAATATTTGTGTTTGGCATGCCAATTTTGAACCTCCGTTAGGGCTTTGAAACGGAGTTTTTGAAAAGTAGATATTACCTACTTTTCAGCTCCGTTTTCGTTGCAACGCTCAAAACCCACCAAATATATCCACCTTGACAACCAAACTACACTGCTGTTTAGGAAGCCCAAACTCGTCTAATGGAGTCGTTGCATAACGGAGTTTCATAACCACGAAACTGCCAAACGGGCCCTTAATTCTCTTCTTCCGGCCTTTCGTGATTTTGATTTTCTCCTTATCAAGAAGATATCCTTTACACAGTTTTGATAAACTCTTTCAACTAATTCTCTAGTAGCCGCGGAAACGCATCAATTTTGACGTTTCCCATTCAAAAGGTTGCGAGATACACATTATTTGATGCGATAACAGACCGACTGTGTTAAAGGCATTCCTGTCTCATTACCGACACCTTTACCAACGACTTTACATGCTTTTACCCTGGTTTCCGATGTTTCCCGTTTTCCGCCGGGGAATCATTGTTTTCTAATGAGGCCTTTTGTTTAGATCTCGTGATAGTTGAGCCCTCAAACAAAATATTTCGGTGGGGTCATCAAATGATATCTGGCATCAATGAGCTTGTAATAGTTGGGGAATACAATTAACTTTGGTGGATCTATTCTTTGGTATATACATGCAAGTAATTCTAGCTTGATCCTCCTGGTATAATAGTAGGATGCTCTGTGATGATTGGTTTCATTGGCGGTGGTCTTGATCAATCATGTGAAGCATCACCGGTGGCCAAAACTTATCCCCCCATGTGTATACACCAAAATCATGTGTGACAGAAGCGTGACCAGTAAAGGCATTGGTAAAGTCGTTGATAAAGTCGTCTGTAAAGTCGTCCAATTTCCCTTAAAACGACTTTCCCTCTGCCAAAATATTGACATTTCCCAGCGAAAATTAAAACCCAGAAACGAGTTTCCCGATTTTACTGAATATTCTAGATACACGCTCCCACGGCCCCTAGAGATTGATTCTCTCTTAAGGAGACGTGGCTTAACAAGAGCACAAAATGCAGTTAGCCCAGCTCACAGCTACAGAGCTTCAACCTCTCTCGACCCTCAGCTTCCTTCTCTTGGAAATTGCTGTCTTCCTGTCTCGTCGCCAACTTGGAGTCGAGATCAAAGCCTCCAACTCTTTCTTATATGCAGCTACGCGATCCTTGTCCACTCGTAAACGAGGCCAAACAATCATTTCCAACCCCCACATGCACAATCACACCCAAAAAAAAGGTCGTCATAGATAAGGCCCAGAAGAAATAAGAAAAATAAGAACGCATTCAGCCTCAACACCGACACCCCCGATACGGCACCAGCCCTTCGTCCACGCGCGGGGAAGCCTCGGGCCGAAGCTACCGCGGGGGCGGGCTGGTAGGACGAGTATGTAGTACATTGATTGCTGTGCTGTGACATGACATGGAAATTGGGAGTGTGCAGCAGATATAATATGGGGAACTCCAGCAACGATACTGGTGATTACTGTTGTCTACAGATCTGAAACAGCTTTTCTTCCCCCGCCACGACGCGCCGCCACACCGATAGTTAGTTGGGCGTCACGTCACGTACCCTATCGGCATCCCAGGTGGGCGGCGCCACAGATAGCTGTGTATCACCGAAAACAACCGAGGCATCACGCACAAGCCAGGACAGTGCAAAAGTCTTGGGGATAGCTCGGGAACAAGGAACAGTTCTGGTGTCTGCATCCTACTTGAACTTGGTGCTGCCTGTCAGAGTCAGTCCTGTTCTATTCTATTTCTCTTGCTCACTTACGCATTCCCTTCCTCTTATTCCTCTGTTCTGTCTTCTGTTCCCTGTGCGTGTGTTTCCTCTTGTTTGATTGTCTACCTGCCTTTCCCAGTCGCTTTCGTTCGTTTAGAAGGACCAATATAGAGCCAGAATGTCGCTCTCCAAGGAATCACTGCCCTCGTGGGGTTATGCCGTTGCAGGTGCTACTGGTGCTGTGCTCGCGAATGCCGCTGTCTACCCATTGGACATGTATGTGGTTGTATTTGTATCCCCAATTGCCTCGACAGAATCACTGACAAGCCAACCTCACAGCGTCAAGACCAAGCTCCAGGTCCAAGTCAAACGCCAGCCCACCGACGAGAAAACCGAACCCCTCAAGTTTGTTCCCCCAAGCTAACCTCTACCTACCCCCAGAGTATATAGCCCAGTTTCTAACACCGAGTCCCAAAACAGCTCCGATGAAGAAATCTATAGCTCAACGCTTGACGCAATCACAAAGATCGCTGCCAAATCCGGCGTGAAAGGCCTCTACACGGGCATGGCCGGCGCGCTGCTCGGTGTCGCTTCAACAAACTTTGCATACTTCTACTGGTACACGCTAGTCCGTACCTTCTACCTCAAGCGGAGCGGCACGGCGCACCCGTCTACCGCGATCGAGCTCTCGCTCGGCGCCGTCGCCGGCGCGCTCGCACAGCTGTTCACCATTCCCGTGGCCGTCATCACTACCCGGCAGCAGACTCGGCCCTCGTACGAGGAGCAGCTGGGACTCTTGGCAACTGGGCGGGAGGTAGTGTCGGAGGATGGGATGAGCGGGCTGTGGAGGGGACTCAAGGCGTCGTTGGTGCTTGTTGTCAATCCGGCGATCACCTATGGGTGCTACCAGAGGCTGAAGGAGGTCATGTTTAAGGGCCGGGACCGCTTGTCGCCCGGTGAGGCGTTCCTGCTCGGCGCGATGAGTAAGTCGTTGGCGACGCTGGCGACACAGCCGTTGATTGTTGCCAAGGTTGGGCTGCAGAGTAGGCCGCCGCCTGCTGCGAACAGGAAGCGCTTTAGAAGCTTTGGGGAGGTGATGAAGTTTATTATAGAAAAGGAAGGGCCGATGGGACTGTTTAAGGGAATTGGACCGCAGTTGATGAAGGGGTTGATTGTGCAGGGTTTGCTGATGATGACGAAGGAGAGGTATGTTTACTCTTTTTCCATGAGTTGGTTTTTTTTTTTTGTGTGTGTGATGCTAATTGTATGGTGGGGATAGGATGGAGTTGATGTTCATACTACTCTTCAGGTGGATCAAGAAGCTGCATGCGGAGCGGCTTGCGAAGAACGCGGGCGCTTTGGTAGTTAGAGTGGGGAAGGTATAGAGGGTGATAGAGATAGATAGTAATGATTTTTTTTCCCTTCCATTTCTTGCTTCTTGTTTTTTGGGTCGGCTGCTTCATGATTTCCCTTTTGTTGTTTTTCCACTTCTTGTCTGTTCTAAACCAGTGTACGATAGCTATAACATAGAAATACGTATAAAGCACTAGTTTCAAGAATGGCTTACTCTAACTAATCGCCGCTGTATATGAAAGCACAAAGTCGGGAAGTGTCATTGGTGGAGTCGGCGGATGAGGGTGGGGGCTAGCTGGGTTGGTGTCATGATCTTGGGTCATGGAAAATCACTCAGCTTCCGAGTGAGAAATTCTGTATCCATTAAAATCGTGTAGGCACCCAAAGTCGATTTTCCAACTTGATTGGAAACAACCCATCGTAAATCTGACTAGCAACATAATATGTATACATGCGTACTACTAATCTATTAATGTCTATATCTCATAACCTTGAGGGGACACCGTTAAAAAAAAATACAACGTAGCTAAGGAAGAGCCAGAGGACACGATATATTGGCTAGCTATATATATAAAGAAATCATATCGACCTCTATCACTCACTGAATAGTTTTAAAGATGGCGACTGCATTTTGACTGTGTGTCCTGGTAAAAAGAGGGCGATCCACTGCAGCTAGTATGTGTACATATGTACATGTAGGTACGTCTACCGACTCCGCGAGCGGCAGTGGTTGGGTTCTTAATTCTCCCCAGTGGTTTGATGCAGGTCACCGCTAGTTGTGTCTTTAAACTTCAATTCCTATTCTAGAACTCCACTAACTAAGCACTGCAGTATATACAGGAATTTACCTATACTGGGAGCATAGAAGCCGCCGTAGAGGGGGTCAACGGAGGAAGGTGTTCTAGTCCAGCCGTTTAGAACCGTTCATCGGATAGGTTCGTTCATCGAATAAGTCAGAAGTTTGGCAATTCCGTAATGATCGCTGACTCTTTCCCAAGGAGCTTTATCGGAAATTTTGTTCTACTGGCTTCATTAGCTCCTTTATCGGGGTGGGGGTGGGGGGCGAGTCATCACTACGGTTATCCGGTTGACTGGCCGGTTAGTCATAGATTACCCAGTCCATCTAAGAAATTCGTGTGTAGGCCGAACTGACGGTACGACCAGAACAGAAGAGATACCGTCTATAGCACCGAAGCTTTACAAATTAGGAACAAAATCTAGCGAGGACCTCAATATTCTCGGTGGGGCTGTTCGAGAAGGGATGAAGACCTGGCCGGACTCGTCTCGAGACAAGCTAGAAATACATCGAGTGAGAATCTATGATCCAACCCTCCGCCAACCTTACCTCCCCTCCCGGTGTTCCTGTTATATTATACAGTTGTTGAGGCGTGCTGCTTAGCGGGTTGCGAAACCTCCCGTCTTGTTAAGAATATTGAACGCAGTCCATAAGCCCACTTGCGAGGCGAGGAAAGAAAGTCACGTCAAGATCTCTTGAAGCATCATACCCGATCGGCAATATATAAATTTGTCAACCAACAACCACAAATCCATAAACAAACAGAGCTCTGTCCGGAACGGGAATCTCTACGTAATTACCTTTTCTACCCGCTGGTCAAGAGGGGTGGAGACACTAATAAGCTCCAATAATTTCTACGGGGGCCTAATAGATCCAGTATGCCCCGGGGCTACTAAATCTTGAAGTCTACCTGAGGCCAGAAATACATGTATTTATCCTAAGTAAGCATACTCTCTCTCGTGGAATATACTAGCTGCCATTACACATTTAAGTCCTGAGTATTGCTACAGTATCAGGGAACTATCGTTAAGCATTACCACCCATTAACTACATATATATGAACACGGGTCTGAGAAAACTTGACTTATGGTCGGCGAAGGGCCGGGACGCAACACAACAACCAGCGAAAAGGAAACCTAACAAACATCAATTTCTACACAACCTCCAGATATGGGAAACAAGTAGGAATAGGTAGATAGACAATATCAAGGGCAAAGATTCTAATAGTGATGTCAGAACAAAATATTTAAGAGTATTCGCTTAATCCTTTTCTAGTATCTTAAATCATTATGTTTCAAGGAACTTGATGTCGAGCCTCCTACTAGCTAAAGGAACTTCTGAGAAATATAATATACACCCTTTAAAACATTCTCTATCAGTAGGAGAAACTTTTGGGTGGATCGGTTGGCTGATCTGAGCTTGTTAGGTTTGAGCCCATAAGTCAAGTTTTCTCAGACCCGCGTTCATATATACCTCACTGTGAGTCGAACCCACATGTACAGCATCGCTTTTAATCATGAATACTCCAGCATACCTGTATTAATCAAGCACTCTCTTGGTGTAAGAGTGGTTACATTAATATGGTTCTGGTGCGTCTTGGCGCTGGCCTTGCAAATATCAATTCAAACCTGAACTGATATTTGGTCCAATAACCTAGTTCGGGCCTTAGATCCCGAATCAAAGCACCATCTTGGTTCACAGGGAGGCGAGACTTATTTTCAATGGGCCAGAAGCTTGAGCCTAAATCTCGAGCTTGCTCGCTCGCGTGAAACTATACTGCAGATGTGGGTTGTGTTGGGGTTTTATATCCTATGGCTAGAAACTTACAGTTAACATATTCTTTGGCCTCAATATATTCCATTATATCATGAGATATGCTTAAGTATGCAGCAGTGATCTGGTACCTTGCAGTCAGTGATCGGTGTGATCGGTGTGGTAGCAAACCCCAGATCTAGTTGCATCGATTGGTAACAGATCTTGACCATTTAAGGCGGCCTCAAATAGCGGCCGGGATCACCCAGAATCACTCGGCGGTCTAATTAGTAGAGCTAAATATAGCACCACACCACACACACACACACACATGCTTCCTAGCTTCACCTCCGACGACGTACGTACGTCACGAACTTGAGTCAAAAGAAAACCCCCCCGTAAAGCAACGCTACTGGCAGTGCCAAAGAAACACTGTAGCTCTAAATCAACACTCCTCTTGACGCGTTGCGACCGCCAAGAATCGCGTCCCACAATTCATACATCGCGACAAAATGCCGCGCGCGGTCAAAGGTGTGTGTGTATTCTATGATTATGATGAAGCTTGATCGCACCTTATATAATAACTAACACTCTCTCCACCGCAGGTGTTCTGGTCGAATGGTAGATCTATAACTCCGCTCTCTGCCCTTTCATCATCCTCGCATCTGACTAATAACCCATCAACAGCGACCCCTCAATCAAAGCCATTATTCTCAAGATCGATGAGGACCACCACCACGCCTTCATAGTGGAGGACCTCGACGAGGACCACCTGGTCGTGAAGGAGGCGAAGCTCGCCGAGCTGAAGGAGCGGCTGGAGAAGATCTTGGAGAAGACGCAGATGATGGAGAAGGATGATGACAGTGACCCTGACCAGCCGGGTTAATGTGGGTTGGGTTTTTGTGGTTGTGTCTGTCTGTCTGTCTGTCTGCGAGCCTTTGGGTTGTGAGGTGTAGTGAAAGAAAGTCTGGCTGGGTAATGCGTCCCCGGTTCTGGAAATGATGCACGAAGCTCTATTTGTTATGTATTAAATTGCTATTGATCTCCAAATAAGTGACGCCACTGTCACTATCAAAAAAAACAAAAAATTACAGGTGAATGTTAGAGGTTATAAACGAAAAAAGGCCACTATTGTTTTTGTTGACGGTAGATATATACCAAAAAACAAACCTATACAAGTACCCACCCACATGTACATAGTATCCAGTAGAGCCCATATCTATCACAAAAAGGAAACAATCAAAAAGCACCGTCTGGTATGTTTCCTTTTCTTTTTCAATATATATATAAACATCCACAAACAAGCAAGAAAGCAAGCCCGCAGAACAGAAGAAGAAGAAGAAGGGGAAAACAAAAGGTTGTTGAAAACTCCCAAGCTCAAGCTCAAGCTCAAGCTCAAAATAAAGTTCAAACCAAGTATCCAAGGTCACCACCCCAACCTCTCTTTCAAATCCCGGGCCCGAATCTGTTAGAGAGCTACTACATAGTACGCACGGGGGAGGAAAAGAAAAGATGGCAAAGCGAAAGAAAGTAACGGAAAAAAATACTAGTAATAAAAAAAAAAAGACAAACTCCTACAAAAAACACCCTGTAACGCCCCTAACGAAACTTTGACACAATGACCGCCATAATCAGCAACACAAGCACCGTTATGATTGCAATCGTAATCATCCGATTTGTAGCCATCCTATCCCCCACACACACCGTATTAGCCCTCCACTCTTTTTCAATCCCGCCAAAAATGTAGATAGAATCTCACCTACGCGCCATCCCCCTCAGCGTCTTGATACTCCTATCCAAGTAGCGCTCACTATCATTCAGCGTATTATGGGTATTCTCAATCTGGCTCCTCTGCGCATACAGGTCGCCCAGGATGCTCGCGCCAATGCCCTCCGTCTCGTTCGCCAGCCGCTGGCTGTCGCGCAGCCGCTGCGAGGACCGCTCCAGCCGGTCCGTCCCGCTCAGCAGCTGCTGCCGCTGGTCCACGACGGCGTCACCGCTGCCCCCGGCACCGCCGCTGCCGCCGCGGCCGCCGAAGAGGGTGGCGCGGTCGCTGTTCTGCGAGAGCTTGAGCAGCGTGGAGCGGGAGACGTCGAGGTCGTGCGTGTAGTTGCGGAGGCGGGGTTTGATCTTGTTTCGGAGCGTGGAGGGGATGTTGGAGAGCTCGAGGGTCATTTGGCCAATCTAGAATTACTAAGTTAGTTTTTCCACCTTTATATGTGAGAGTGGGTGGACATACGATCTCGTCGGCCTCGTCGACAGCACGCTCGGCGGCGCGGATGGCGGCCTTGCGGGGCTCGCCCTGTAGGTCCGGGATCTGGTCGAGCTTTTGGGAGATGTCGGCTTGGGTAAGCTTGAAGTCGGCCTCGTAGGAGGCGAGCAGCTCGGAGCCGGGGTCGGTGTCGAGGGGGTTGGACATGGTGGCTGTTGGTTGGTGGTGGTGGTGGTGGTGGTGGTTGTGGGTGAGGGAGGTGAGTGAGTTGTGGTGATGGGATGGATATATGGGCGGACTGGACGGACGGGCTGGGTTATACGTTAGCTTGGTGTTTACTACTATTTGTATGGGGATTGTGGGCGAGTGACGCAAGCTGGCTGGTTCTCTCGCTTGCCTTGTCGTTGAGGAGCGGGCAGAACGGAAAGACAGCGAAGCCGAGGACTCGCTCGCTCAGGAGAACAGAAAACAGGACGTGGGGAGCGAGGAGGGATGAGTGAGAGGGGGGGAGTACTGACTCCTACCTGGGCCTGGAGATGCTGATACACGGGGGGGTATTGGGCTGTATTGTATTCTAGCAGAGCACGAGAGAGACGAGAGACAAGCAGTGGCAGAGGAAGACGAGCAGAACAAACACACCCGTGATAGATATGAAAGACACAGACAGGCAAAAGCAAGAAAGAGACAGCCAGCCAGACCTTGCAGAGACGAAGACGCCTGTCGCTGCCCTTGGCATCGGCGCTGTGTGGCTGAGCACATGTGTGTGCATGCACTCTGCCACACATGTGAAACACGCTCCCCAAGGGCACAGCTCTGCTCTTTGCAGTGGGTATCGTGACTTCTACTCTGTCATACGCAGAATCTGTTTCTATTTCTAGGGCGGTGTAGAATACAAACAAGCATTTGCACAGATTGACGTCCATGATCATGCGTGACAGCTATGTATGCAAATGAAATGCCGTACCAGATTCTCTCCTTCCCTGAGAAGCTCCCAGTCCTGGCCCGTGCCCGCCTGTCTCTCTCTCTGTCCTCTTGCGGTTAGGCCGCCAAGCCCCGCAGCCCCACAGCTCTGCAGCAGAGCCGCACTTGACTTCTCAAATTTTTTTAACCTCGAGACAAAAAGAAGTATCATTGACCTTTCTCACGCAATTCTGCACGCAACTCCCCACAGCAGCAGAATCCACACAATGGCCGACTCCACAAAAACACCCGAGAGCTTCGCCGACCTCGGCATCGACAGATGGCTTGTCGACTCGCTCGGCGCCATGGCAATCCGCAAGCCCACGCCCATCCAGGCAGCCTGCATCCAGCCCATCCTCGAAGGTATCTCATTCCCCCCTCTCTCTCCTCCCTCACAGCTAACCACCGTTCCCCTCTGCAGGCAAAGACTGCATCGGCGGCTCCCGCACAGGCTCCGGCAAAACCATCGCCTTCGCCGCCCCCATCCTGCACCGCTGGTCCGAAGACCCCACCGGCATCTTCGCACTCATCCTCACGCCCACGCGCGAACTCGCCCTCCAGATCGCCGAACAGCTCACCGCGCTCGGCGCGCCCCAGAACCTCAAAGCCTGCCTCCTCATCGGCGGCACTGACATGCGCGCACAAGCCATCGCGCTCGCCACGCGGCCGCACATCGTCATTGCCACGCCCGGCCGCCTCGCCGACCACATCCGCAGCTCGGGCGAGGACACCATCTGCGGCCTGCGCCGCGTGCGCTTTGTCGTCCTCGACGAGGCCGACCGCATGCTCAGCGAGACGTTCGCGGGCGACCTCGAGGAGTGTCTTGGCGCTGTGCCGCCGGCGGGCGCGGGCCCGGGGCAGCGGCAGACGCTGCTCTTCACGGCGACGGTGACGGAGGAGGTGCGTGCGCTGAAGGAGATGGAGCGGCGGGAGGGGCGCAGGGAGGTGTTTGTGTGTGAGGTGGATACGGAGAGGTTGGCGGTCCCCGCGACGCTGAAGCAGAGGTATTTGTTGCTTGTGCCGTACACGCGCGAGGCGTACCTGCATACGCTGCTGAGCACGCCCGGGAACGAGGGGAAGTCGGCGATTGTGTTTACGAACCGGACGGCGACGGCGAATCTGCTGACGCATACGTTGAAGATGCTGGGGCACCGGGTGACGCCGCTGCATTCGGAGCTGCCGCAGCGCGAGAGGACGGATTCGCTGGGGAGGTTTAGGGCGGAGGCGGCGAGGATATTGGTGGCGACGGATGTGGCGTCGAGAGGGCTTGATATACCCGTTGTGGAGCTGGTGGTGAACTTTGATGTGCCGAGGGACCCCGATGATTATATCCATAGGGTGGGGCGCACGGCACGTGCAGGGAAGAAGGGAGAGGCGATCACGTTTGTGACGCAGTATGATATCAAGCTGGTGGAGGCGATTGAGCAGCGGACGGGGAAGAAGATGGAGGAGTATGTGGATGAGCCTGGGGTGTCGCTTGAGGGCCGGGTGGTAAGGGAGACGCTGCAGGAGGTGTCGGAGAAGAAAAGGATGGCGAAGATGGATATTGAGGAGGGCAGGAATGAGAATGGGAAGAGGAAGAGGAAGTTGATGGATAGTGCCAATGGCATGGGGAGGAGCAAGAAGAAGATTACTATAGAGAAATAGTGGGCTTTAATGTGTGTGTGGGGCATCTTGTATGATAATTTCTTATTGGCGTTCAAAAGTCGGTTCTTGTTTTGATATGTAGCTCTGTGCAATGATTGATCGACCATAAAAAAAATGGTGGTGGTGATGATGACATAGATGGGCTAAGCCAAGAGCATCTCAAAATCCTTTTAAGCTTAATCTTAAGCGAGAAATTGCGGGGGAATCCAAAAACCTGGTACGGTAGATGGCTTCATCCTGTCAGGACCCGCTCTGATTTAATGAGGTATGTAGTCGCCTTACAGATGGGGGCGGACGGGCGGGCGGGAGGATCACCCTTAATCGTTTTGTGGTGCCTGTCGACTTTTTCCCACCCACTCCACACAGAAGTCCATCCTGTCAGGATTCGAGCTTTTGCTTCATCCCAATATTCTTGCATGACCTTATGGGTCTGCACTCTAGTTGGCCGTTCCTTGAGTCTGGACTCTGAGCGTTCAGGTCCTGGACATGCATCAGTCCTAGGTACCTGAAGTGCTATCAGGTTGGCCCTTTCTTAATTCTAGGACTCTGGACATTCAAGTCTGGACATCAGTCCTAGGTACAAGAAGTGCTGTATCAGATTGGCCCTTTCTTAATTCTGCGACTTTAAACGTTTAGGTCCTGGACACCAGTCCCCAGATACCAGAAGTGCTGTATCAGAAAAGTGCCGCGTTGACCTTAATTCACAACCTGACCTGACGTGACTGACTGTCTGATGTATGCGTCAGAAACAATCTGTAACATCAGTTGATAAGGCTGCCATTTTCTGCTCGAATAAAAACAAGCTCGAGCTTCCCGGGGGTGATCATCTCACGAAAATGCTGCTGGCAAGATCGATAAGAGACTTTCTCGTACGTACCCCGATTTACGCTATGCATGAGCTCCTCCTACATATTCTAGATGAGCGTGTTTGATCGTCATCAGTAAGGCTAACTAGCCCCATAGGCCTTGTTTGAATAGTCGAAACAACTACCTAACTAGCCAGAGATATACTGTAGATTCACGTGGTATCACTCGCAATGTGCGAAGGGGGTGGGGTGCGGTTTGAACCCGGGAGTTTTGGAGGGGTGAATTGTCAAGTGGACGACTGAACGTGTGTTCGTCCCTGTCTCGGCCCAAATCTCAATCGTCAAGAACGATTGGACTGATCTTCAGGAACGCCTACGGGTGTACCTGTTTGTGTTGTTGAACCCTACCCTATCGTACCTTGTGTACCTGGGAGAGTCTAGACTAAGCCTTATTAGTCAGGCTAACGTGGCAGCTTTTGGGGTTTCAAGAGGTTCGGGTGCTGTTTGGTTTGGGTTTGATGGTTTGATGGTTTTTGATGGGTGGGGGGGGATGATGTTGGTATCGGCGTTATCGATAAAACAAAGCGGATTTTAGAAATGCTGTTCTTCCTGCTGGCTGTTTGCCCCCATCTTTCGATTCCCCCAGGAGATTTGAGACGGGTGGGGCGGCTTCCAAGCAATGTATTTACACATCTTGCAGCGGGTATCGCAAACAGGGGCAAAACATAGGAAACCTAAGAAAAACCCCCCTTATCCTCATCTAGTCGGAGAAATCGTAAGGCATTCTAGTACATACTCATGCCAATAGAATGTAATATCGTTCCCAGACTCGAAATGGGCGAGATTGTTTCCTTGACAACGTGGGCGTCAACCAGAAAGAAAAGGGCCCTCTACCAAAAGGGAGCAGCAGCACCTCCAGCGAGACAGACGATAGGGAATTAAGGTTTTTGATATCGGGCAGCAGATAGCAGATTGCCCCACATGATTGCCTGCCTTAAGCTCAAGTGTTTCTAGAAAAACATTAGCATTTACTTCTGCTGCACTTTCTATTGGAGTCAGCAATGCATTTGTCGTTCCGTAGGGCGCAACCCTGCCAAAGAAGGTTGGTTGTCTGCTGGCTGGCTGGCTGGCCGTGGCTAGGCAGGCGAACGCGGATGTATCGTATCCCTTTCTTTGCCACCTGCTCATCTCCCATCGCTCCTTCCCTCGCCGCCTCCCTTCTTCTCTCCCCCTTCCCTCCCTTCCTTCTTAGCATTCCTCTCTCATTCTTCCATCATCTACCTTTCTCCCTTCTGTTCTCATCCTTGGGGCAGACCATCTTTTTTCTTTCTTACTTCATCACCTCCACCGTCCTCTATACCCCATCAGACAACCCGATTTTTTTCTCGCTTTTTTTTTCTTCGCCCGCAACAACCCCCTTTGTACAACGCAAACAGAAAAAAGAAGCTCCCCATAAAACTGTTTGATGACTATGGATTACGAAAACGAAAGCCGTGGGTACGATGGTATGTTATGATTATTGCTTTCTTTTCGTTCTTTCGGGTTCTTTGCACTAGACGGACACGTACCTGTTGTTTGTTGTCGTTCAGCCTTGTTTTTTTTTCTAAACCCGCGTACAAACAACACTTTAAATATGGACGCGTAAAGCTAATTAAATAATAGAAGATAGAGAGCAGTACCAGCGCGACGAGCGCTCTGTTTCTCCTAGGGGCAGACGCGGAGATTCGGCTCCCAGGCGTGATCGCGTCAGAAGCGCGTCCCCTGGGGTAGGGGCGAACGGTACATCATCTTTTTCCTCTTAGCTTTACATTATCATTATTCATCATGCTGACTGATTTGTTACATAGCTCCGTTCCACCAGAGTCAAGACCTGATGACCGCCGTGCTCTTGACACAGCGTCAAACACGTCTGAACGCGGTGGTCACCGTGGCGGAAATGGTGGCTCACCAGTTGATGGTGCCACCAACACTGGTACCAACCTTTTCGTGACTGGAATCCATCCTCGTCTTACTGAAGATGACGTAACCCGTCTCTTTGCCAAGTATGGCGAGGTTGAGAAGTGCCAGATCATGTTGGATCCTCACACCAAGGAGTCCCGTGGATTTGGATTCGTCAAGATGGCCACTCTTGAGCAGGCCGATGGTGCTAAGGAGGGCTTGCAAGGCGAGGTCTTCGAGGGTAGAACCTTGAGCATCGAGAAGGCCAGGAGAAGCCGTCCCAGAACGCCAACTCCAGGAAAATACTTTGGACCACCCAAGAGAGGTAAGCTTTCTCCCTTTTTCTGTAAACCATTTGAACATCCAGTTGATGTTTGATAGATGATTTCCGCCGTGGACCCCCACCTCCACGTTATGATGACCGTGGCGGCGGGCGTTACCCTCCTCGTGGCGGACGCTACGATGAGTATGACCGTGGCTACTCTTCACGCTACGATGATCGTGATGGTCGTGGTGGCGACCGCTACTACCGCTCTCGTGAGCCCCGTGATGACTACCCCCCTCCCCGTGGTGTGGATCGTTATGCATCAAGCCGTGGTGATGATCGCTACACTCGTGAGGACCGTCGCGCTCCAAGGGAGCCTGGATACACCAGCTATGCTGAGCGTGAGCCTGGTTACTCCAGAACTGCCGCTGCTGAGCCTGCCGTCCCGCCTGCTGGCAGTGAGAGTGGTGGCAGAGGAGGTTATGGTGGGTATCGTGATGATCCCCGCGATGACCGCAGCTACAGGAGGTAAAAATCTATACACTGTGATTAACAGAATCTGCCCGTGAATGTGTGACAACTTCTCTTTTCGTTCGTACTCCAAAAATTAATACGACGTGTACTGCTTGCTGTCTGTGTTGATGTTTCCCCCTGATAACTTGTTATTTCTTCATTTTTACGCTGTATTTCTTAATTACTTGTTTCCTCTTGTCATTGCTTGGTATCCTGTAGTTTTTGTTCTTGGTGGCTTAAAATGTGGTGGATGTTCATGAGGGAGGGGGGGGGGGGTTTAGCTTTCGGCACAACCGCACAGCTGGATCAATTCGACTCGATCTGTGTTTTGGGAACAACGAGGCGACTATCTGCACTGCGGCCGTCTTCAAAAAAAAAAATTCAATCTATCAATCAACGCGAAGTTTCGGCGGCATCGGTCCACTCGAAGAACAAATTTTCATATCACAATCATAAACCATAAACAAAATCAAAAATCAAAACATGATACCCTTGCCGGGAATCAGGCCGACTTCTCAAATTGGAGGCTCGGCTTATACCCGCCAGGTAATCGCCATTCCCTTAATCGACCCGTCCTGTATTCGTCTTCGCCGTATCCAATTGGTCAACTTCGTGATTCAACATCTTGTTCCGCATCGTTCGCTTGAACTCGCCCACAGTAACTCAATCGTATACACGTCCGCATAAAGGATCGATTCTCTTTGTCGCCGAGTCTGGAAACTATTTTATTCTTTTGGACCCAGTATTTTAAGCGCTATATTCTGTGGCCGTCAAGGAAACATTCAATAATCCCCGGTGTTTGGTCAAAAATTAGTACAAAGGATACGGCAGATATTTCTTTTAGCAACATCTCAACGTTATTGTGGTCACAGCGAATTGCAGTCAATGGTCAACTCATTAGATAGCTCAGAATCTTCTCTCTTGTTCCAGAGTCATCATCGTCGTCGCCCATCATCAAAAAGGTACCCACTCTCGCAAAATCGAGAGCTGATGATACAACTCGCATTGAGCCACCCGTAGACAAAGAGCGACAGCACGTCGTTGCTCAATCAGTATTATCAACAAGCGATGTCTTCCTTTGTTCAAATTTCTGCACAATTTTTTCGGTCATTAGCACAGGCCGAGACAACACAATAATTCGATGGCGTTGTTCAAAAAATATAAGTACCAAAATATATCAATCAGGCCTAAAAAAAACGTACCAATACCAACGAGATTATAGCGAGGCCAAAGCGCAGGCTAAAATGGCTAAAGCATCATGATCACAAATACAAAATGATGGTCCTACACAAAAAAAATATAAAGCCAAACACTTGCGGTTTTACATTCCATGCGTCTTACCTATTATTATTAATATTAAAAATATACTTACAAGGATGAGGAAATATTATGCTACCCTTTTTTTTATGCAGGTCGGTCTCATGACTACAATCATCTGTGCAATGCGACCCCCCTCAGCTATCCTCTTGTTTCATAATCTACTTTAATATATACCCCCGACAATCGACACATGAAGACGCGCGGATACGCATTCTAGAATGGGGCCTATATACTCCTATCTTCACTGGCATAGACTAAAGGATGACTTCGGAGGGCAGTAACGACGCGTCTTTTTACTACTAACAATGTTTGGTGGGCAGTGGGAGTTTTGTTCGCGTTTTTTTTTTTTCGGTCATTTGTTTGTTTCAATTGGCGTTTGAGCCTGCATTGCTTGTATATTATTAGTTACCAATTCTAAATAAGTCTATTTAAAATTATTTTTCAAAACCTATATAGGTACTGTGTACTTTTTATCTCTGTCGCTACATACTTGACACGTCGAACGTCGATTTTCCGCGAAGAGCTCATCACAGTATATATTTCTAGATTAGTAATACATCAAGTTGTTGAGATTATCACTCGAGTGATATTTCATGATTACGAGTGATAGAACACTTCATGACGATTGGGGACCCTCCAAGCTATCCATACACCACTGTGAGCATTCCCGGTGGCTCTTCGTGATCAATCTGTTTGTATAAATCCAAATATTTGCTGTTTGTGATGTCACTTTGGAATTCAATTCAGAGAAATCTACACACAGAATGTTTGATGTATCCCCTAATAACAATCCATAACGCTGAACGTTCTTGCTTTTTTCATCTTCTTGTCTAGACCCTCTAGATCCAGCCATCTCAATATCATTGAATCTCCTGGGAGCTAGAAAACTGGATTACCTTTGCATATGAATCTATATGCACCCATATACGCCCATATGAGCCCATATACACTCATATGCACGATCACATATGATGTTATATAACCAACGTCATACCACATCCCATCAATCCACTAAACCCCCACGCACACATTACTTATAACTAGATCCAGAGTCTAGCTCCAAAAAAACCAATGTTTCAAGCCAACTATGACGTACCAAACTGGTCTGCTGTCAATGATCAGTTTCCACTCTTCCCGATCCCGCTGACGCTTGACAACAACAACAGGTCAACTGATGTTGCGGGGGGGTCGAAAAGGGTGGCTTTGAGCTTTGATGATCCCGATGAGCTTGATGATTCCGATGACGTGCCGGCTCCCCGGAGGCACAAGAGGCGGGGTGGGGTGGTGGGGTTTGGGAGTATCACCGGCAGTGGCGGGAATAGTAGGACGGTGTGTACGTATGTTGGTGAAAAGCTCTATACTGAATGTGAGTATGATGATGATGGCGAGGAGGAGGAAGAAGAAGAGGATGATGATGATGATGATGATGATGATGATGTGATTGAGACGGGGTTTGCTGCTGCCGTGAAGGACGAGCCTGTGGAGATTGAGAGTGATACTGAAGACGGTAATATGGGCGATGAAAGTTACAAGAGATGGACAGAGGGTGAAATGGGGGTGCTTCGCGATCTTCTGAAAGAGAGCAAAAATGTCCAGAAAGTCACTGCGGATTTTATTAGGATTTTAGGTACTAGGAGGACTGAGGTGGCGATATACAATAAGGTTTCCAAGGTGATCCTGAGGGAGTTGGACTGTACCTGGACAGGCGCAGACGTATTTCCTTCCTTTTCCTAGTGTTAACACGTAAGCTGGAACTAATTGATGATGGGGAGAAATCTTAGGCTGCGATTCTTGTGCAGGCGGTTGATAGCACTGATTTGAACAGGGAGACGGCCATCATGAATGATTTTTTCAGACGGGCAAACTCGGGAAAACGGTTTAGTAGACACCTTATTCGAACGAAGATCAAGGCTTTCGATATGCAGAGAAAGAGAGGGGCCGTGGAGAAAGTTTGATGAGGATGTTTATCGTCGTTTCGATAACCGTATGTACCTTCCACATACGAGGCACGTATAATTTTACCTATATGTAGTGGTATTATCTTCATCATATTGGTCATTTTGGGAATTTATAAAAATTATATGAAGAATAATAAAATTATTTCACGATAATTCTTATCAATTGATAAAGCTATGTTATATTACATGTAGTATCTCTTTTTGAGTCACATCAACTTTGCCTTTCTGACCAAGGAATAATCATATGATTAGATGATCTACCTACATAGGTTCTCTACCCTCTTTCTTCGTCGAGTGACTACAATACCAAAAAAGGCTATGGATTCGCTACATTATTCCCGTTAATGCGCTAGTAATGCGTAAGAATACAAAATTGCTACGGTATTCGTTTTGTAATGCTGGTTTAATTCCGTATTATTCACTGAATCCCATTTTTTCGTACTGTAGTTCTCTATGCATCAATCGAGCACAACATCCAGCCCATACACATAGGAAACACTTCTTGGCGCGGCCTGTCTGCGTGATATGAAACGCCCCTACTTTCTGTAATGATTATATAAGCCACCTGAGATAACCCCCTAAAACTCGCAAGTGACAATAGCTATGTGCAATACCACGTTTTGATACATTGTTTCCTGTTATTGGTCATTTTACATATCTTGTGACACATTCATTGATTATCACTCGGCATTCTTGGTGGCCACGCTATTGGGACTCCTTGCTCAACGCAATGAAGCATGTGCTCTTGTCTGCGGATACGGTATCCTTGCACACGCGCAGCTTTTCTCTGGACTATTGGCTTACCAAATTACTGACATGTGACACATAATTTTGTGTTGTGGGTGAAAAACAAAGAAGCCAACCAGTGAACTGAAACCCCAGCCCGCAAATCCAGTTTTGTCAATTTACACCAGCTAGCGCTCTAGCGGATCGTTTATCAATGTCAGATTAACAAACAAATAGTTCTACACACACTTGTAATATTGCTGAAGCTTTACGTACAGTAATGTCACAAGATGCGCACGATCCTCGATCTACCCATGGGTAACGGGATCACACAAGCCATTCCCGAATACGAGAGTTTGTTAGGTGGAAAAAGTGGTTTCGCGTAAAGCTAAAAAAAAAATGACTGTTCGTGAAGCTAGTGGACCAACATATGGAAACTTTATTTTGGACTGCGTAGTATTTTGCACCCTCCTCCTCCCCTTTTTTGATACCCATGTGGAGGGTATAGTCATTACTAGTGCATCACCAACAACTCTCCAGAGTTTGTTACGGGGTAGATTGTTGGTATTCACCAATGACTGGAATATTCTGTAGCTGAATATCCATGTTATGAAGAATGGGAGATGCTTGTAGCCCCCCTTTGTTGGGTCTGCAGAGCTGATCCGGAGATCTATAAGGATGGCAAGGCTGCACTGCAATGCACTGTACATACTACTGCTGCTTGGACCGGTAATATTAGGGTATTCAGGCGTCGATCATTTTAATCGAAACTTAAGCATACCAAAAAGATGAACGCCGAAGAAGAAAATCAAGTATCCGTCCATCCCATTGACGAATCTGGCAACTCTGCCAATGTCAAGCCCGAACCCGACAATACGGACATCAAAGAGGAGAAGGGGGATGAAAAAGGCCAAGGGCCAGCCCCTTCCCCTCCTCCTCCTAGTGCCTCTCCTGCAGGAGCCAAACAGGAGAGAAAGCCTCTGAAAACTCGTCCCGTGTCAAAAAAAGTTGAAGTCCGCAAGAAGCGTGCCGCCAGCGAAGCGTTGGATCAGACAGATGATACTTCAGCAGGGGGTCCTGGCCAGAGCGGTGGTAATGAAAAATCAACGCGGCCCAAGAAAAGAACTGTGAAGACTGAAGAAGCTGAGAGTGGTGAGCCAGGAGGTAAGTTGAATACATGTATTCCTCGTAGTTAGGTGTGCTACTCGATTAGGATCACCCATGCATTCAAACTAAATGCGTAAAATCGCGCAGATGCCGAGGACGAAGAAGCCGTTTCTTCTACTCCAGCAACGAAAAAAAGGCGCAAGGCACCCAAATCGACTACCGGGCAAAAAGGCAATTGGACGACCGAGGAAGATAATCTCATCATTCATTTGAAGAAAGAAGGAAAGGGTTGGCAAGACATCACCAATCTTGTTAATGTAGCAGGTGGTCCGGGAAACGAGAGGACCTTGACCGCTGTGCGGTTGCGCTATCAGAAGGTGCTCAAGGATCGTGATACGGAACTCACTGATGAAGAAGTACTTCCTTAACATCTTCATTATCTATGGACACTATTAATTTTGGTGGTATTCGCGCAGTTTCTTTTCCTAAAACAAGCTGAAGCCGAAGTTACCAACATGGACAAATATAGCCTTATCGTCAAGAGATACAAGGAGTTGTCTGGGAAGGATCTTACAAAATTGGGATGTCAGAAATTTCTGGCCTTGGCTAAGAAGAATGAACACGGTGTGACAAAACATGGAGAGGAATAGGGAGTTGGAGATAGTCCCCGTTATTTTTCACTGAAAAGTGTCATGTCATTACTTGCTGCAACGTTACTTAGTAGTGGAGGGTGTGTCTGGAAGTTAATTATACGGTTAGAGTAGATACTTCATGCATATGAAAGTCTGATGGAGAGTGAAAATGCATGATGCGGAAGAGTAATAATGAAGTAATGTATGCATGTCTGGTGAAGCCGTGCAAAGCTTACTCTACCCCATTAGCCCACTCCTGGGCCTTGCTCTCCATCGGTAGTTGATGCATACTGCTTCTGGCTACACCGAGTATCCCTCGCCCTTGTGAATGATGTGAATGATGTGGGATATACAGCTATCGGTAGAATTATTGCGGAAACAGGGACCGACGATCACGCCGAGAGCAGGGCGATTTTCCAACGCCACATTTCCGCAATAATTCTACAGATAGCTGTATACTTATTGTGAATCACAACACCGTTAGTGGGAAGGAAACAGTGGGGCGGATAAGGTGAACTCAGCTGCCAAATGTGCCTCCACAATACTTAATTGCGCATGGTTTCATGAGATGTGATATCATTTGATAGTCTGTAGACCCTCATCTGCCGTTTTTAAACTAGGTTTCCTAGACCCAGACATTTGGTGTCCCTCCAACGGTGGATTTGATATTAGGCAGGCGATCAGTCCAATCGTTGGCATATCGAGCAATACAGGGGTCCATGTTCCGACCCCCCTTGACCTAAGTCATGAGGACAGTGAGCCAAACGGTCTTGAAACCTGTTGCACACTTTCTCACAGTAGCGGTGACCTAGAATGCGGACTTAGTTGAGATTATATAGGAAGATACTTTTTCGATGAGTGGTACGAAGGACTCTCCTCGGAATCTGCCGTATACACACATCCGCCCCAGCATAGAATATCACTCGATGGGAACGCCAAGAGGGAGCTTCAGTACTGTGTAACCCATAAGACGCCACCACTACATACGAGTATTCCAAATACAGTTCCATTTTCGACCATGGTTATCAACCCTTACAGAATGGTGACGATCAGATATCAAGGGATATCAAGAATGCAAAGCTCAGGCGAAATCGTTCACGGAACCAATCACCCTGTTGAATTGTGTCGCTACCCCCAGCCTTTCCTGAGTCAATGGGGCCTGAGCCCGAGTCAAAAACACTATATGGAGGCCTGCTGGCAATTGTGTAGGCTCAGCCTAGTACATGATAGGCGTCAAGTTTTAAATTACCAGACATTCACGTCCTTTGAAGCCCCCACGCAATTGATCACTTTAAGATCTCGACCTATCCAAGATTGCCGCTTTTCAGGAGAACGAGGGAGACTAAAAAAAACCTTCATATGTGAGACTCGTGGATCGTGTCAAAGCACGCCCTTTAAGCAAGCCATTGGCTGCAGAGTTCTTGGGACCGGGAATACTCTGAAGGTAGACGTGGACGTGGTTGTCAATTGTCTAGGTAGTTCCATTGTGTAAGCACGAGTACACATAACACATGGACTGCAGCCTAGTTAGTATTAATCAAAATTTACATTTGAAAGGTTGTTAGATATCAGGCATTTCAGTATCAGCTCTATCCAGTAGCGCTTTTTGGAAAATCGTTGGCAAAAATTTCCAAAAATTGTTCCTAGAGCTGAAGTCGTCGTCGCCTTTCCCCCTTGTAGCCATGGTAACACAAGACACAAGGAGAACCTCAGCTCCCGCATATTCTGCTGTGAAGATATTTGCCACCACACATAACACAACTTTGAACTTCGTTCAGGGCAAAACAGGAATCCATAATGCCTTTTACCGATAATGATTTTTAATTCGCGTAAGCCTATCACAAGGTGGATTGGTGAATTTAATTTACACCCCTGTTTTTCGCGTTCTTAGCATCTACCTAACTTTCTGGAGAACTTATCACCGTGGTTACATCCGCGACAGCTTCGGGCATCAAATCATTCCAGTTTCTGCTGCCGCACTCTAGCTTGTGGCGTCTGGGGAGGAAAATGCAGGGCGCGATGGGGGGTTCTACAGCGCGCAGCCGACCAAGTAGGTCGGGGGTCTGCTGATTGGATAAGCAATTATTGACAGGCTGGCTTTAATTGGTTGTCAATTATTGCATGGCAACAAGCTACTAGAGCATGTATTCTACATGCCTCCCATGGCAGTAGTGCATCCGTAGTCACGGGAGCCAATAATATTCAAATCCAAACTTGATAATGAAATCTCTCCATTCACAGCTACATGGGATCATGACTAGGTATGTAGTTCAAAATATGATTTCGGATAAAATCAAGCACTCTGCTTTGCTGAGCGACCTATTATGTCTATCTGGACACTTTTAAAGTCGTGATTCCGTACAAAAAAAAAAAAAACAAGAACACCGGGACAAGAAGCGCCATAAGCAAAGCTAAAATTAATTATTTCCGTTGTAAATGGGCATCTAAAGGCCCAGACTTCTTTTTCCAAAACTCCACAAAGTACAGAACACCCCGATTGCCTTTCATTTCCAAATTTTATCGCGATGTCTGGTAATTAATCCCTTGGGGTGTTCTGCAGAGCTGCTTGGCTCTTTTTGAGCTGGGTCAAAAAGTTGCCGCCGGAAGCCATCGCATTGGCTGCTAGAGAGTCAGTGCAGTACAATTAACGGTGCCCAATGACAAATATCAATGCAATTTTCGTCAGATAATAAAGGGGGGGGGGGGGGTATAAAGCAAACCTCGAGTTCCCCAAGCATTCTTTGGTGTCGACCAGCCTTTGTCCTTGTCAGACTTATAAATCATAGGTTTTTGGCCTTAATACGTTAGCCACAAGTGTCAGAACAACTATGTGTTACAAAATTCAACTGAAACCTGGGAGATATCCCAAATGTTCTCAAGAGGCATCAGCCTGGGAATGAAGCCGTTGACATCCCGGCGATTCCTTGCACGTTTCATGGAAGAACCATAAGCTTGGAAGGGGGAGGGCTAGACTTACTTTGATCAACACCCGTATTCTTTGCCGCCTGCATTTCCTTCTCATAAGCTACAAACCTCAGAAATGTTATTAGCCGAATACTTCCTATAATGGCAGTTTAAGATCTGAGCAATGCATATTGGATGTTGTAAAAAAGAGAAAATAATCCCGGTCAATAAAGAAATGCGCAAAATAATTGTCCCGAGCTCCAAATACCTCCCTGCCGCAATAACGCCTTGCAGACAGCAGGAAGCCATGTAACAGGGAGAGATAGCCGCCGCCGCAATGCTACATGCAAGAGCGTAACAAAATCCCAAAAAGAGCGCTCTAGCGTGGTTTCGGTGAATATGACACAAAACTACCGCTTTCATCACAGCGTTGCACGAAAAGAGAGAGAAAAAACATATAAAGGTGCAGGGTTGTACAGAAACGTTCGTAAGCATGATCGACAATATGTGAAGGATAAGCGGATCCAAGGCATCCCAGATTTCCCAAAGGGAATAATCTAGGACTTGTGTGGGGTAGGAAGGTAAATAAAATGTGCCGAAATTCGCGATGAGTCGGGACCCAATGTAGCGAGAAAAAAAAGAAAAAAAAAGACGTAATAAATCAATCGAGAAAAAGAAAAAAGAAAAAAACAAGTTAAGGAAATATCTAGGAGGCAAGGCTCTAGGTATACTATCCAATTATGGTGATACCTTTTCGTCATCTCCGGTATGCCGAAACACGATTAAGAATAACGGTTTTGCACGTACCACGAAACAGAAAATCCTCCACTTCCTTCCCATTGAACCCTCTAACAGGCACGTGAGCATCAATGTAAGCTTGTGCTGCCTGTTGCTGTTGTTGCTGCTGATGTTGGTGCTGCTGCTGTTGCTGATTTGGGCCCTGCCAGACATTCCCGTTGCTGTTTGGGTTTCCCCCGGAATTGTTGTTCCTTCGCTGCCCACCGCCCTGCGATCGTTGCGCCGGTTGTTGGCCCCGCTGACGCCAACTATTTAGAGCCAAGGAACACATATATCAGCGTAATGTTCATGTGTAAACATTCAAGGAATCCTTTTGACACAGCAGGTGCGGTTGCAAACCCGACGAACAAGCAACGTGTCCGTGTCCCACCACGGGACGTAAGGGAAACATGATAACAAAAATAAGTCCAATAATCTCCCACTTACCGTTGTTCGTCTCCTCCAGTGTTCATGATGAAGCCTTATTGAGTGGGTAGGGGAGTATATCCTGAGGTACCTTTCGTATAGGGAAGTAAATGACAAAAGTGGGGAACGAGAGAATTGAGGGAAAAGGTTCCAAAAACAGAAAAAGATAAAGCTCACAGCACCGACGAGGTACAGAAAACTGTATGTAATTTTGATAGAGGAGGGGTGGATGAGGTGGAACAGGGAGGGGGTGTGAGGGAAGAGCTCTCGCATGTGAGTGAAGTTGAGGTCGTGAAGTCTCAACCATAACTTGCAGTTACGTTATGTAAGCGAATCAGGGTCTTGCGGCCGGGTAAACTTGGTAGAATGCCATGCTTCTGTAAGGTCTAGAACGTAGTCTTTGCTACTACCAGAGCGCCGGTACTCCCAACTCTACCCTCTTCCGGCGCATATATTAATATTAACAAGAGTCTATTCCATCCCCATACATACCCTGCCCCCATCCCCAGGTCGCCGTTTCAATACTCGGATGGCTCAATTAAATATAATAAGCGGCATATATCAATCCTAGATAAACACTCTCATCCACTCATTCTTCATTATGCGCTCGGAAACTGCCAAATACGCAGATCAAGTGCACAACACAATAAATAATACGCCCTGGTCCAGAATCTTGGTACACATTAGCACAGCTAAGATCCCTATCAAGAAGTTCTTCGGGACGTACACGGACCACCAGTCATGATAGGGAGACTGTTCCGAGGAAAGGCTTGAACTATTAGAAGGAAAATAGGAATAGGGGAAAAAGGCCGAAAATACACTATTAACTGTGGCTGTTGTCCGAGGTTGATAATGGGGTTAAAAATAGTGCAATATTTCACGGTCGCACATCATCCAGATTGGTGAGGGTGATCATCCATGATCCATGCTCGGGCCGGGCGCAGAGCCAATCCTGGAGACCACACGGCTCGAATCCGTGGATCGATTTGGCGCGATATGTTAGATGATGCTACGAGCGCAGCGCGTTCCCAGGAAAGCAAGAGGGAAAAAAGCCCCCCCCAGGACGGCGAACAGAACCATTATATAGCACAGGGGTGGTTATATGGTACCAATATGTGCAGAGCCTAGAACGGATATATGTACGTAGAGTACACATACATTGTCCGCCAGGTTACGCGCAAGTAATTTGAACCAAAGAGACCCAGAGATCTCTTATCCACGACCAGGTTTCTCGGCATCTGGGCCCCAAGATCGCACTCCTAAGAAGTAGAGTGGGTTCGATCCATGCCCCCCCCAATACCACCGGTATCAGTATCAACAACCGTCAACAACAGGAGTAATGGGAACAGCAGCCGTCGTCACCACAACCACAACCATCACCATTTTTTTTTTTTGGATTAATTATAAAATATGAAAAAATATTATCTACCTTGGCATTTTGTCTACCATAATTCCCTTGTCGTCATGATAAGCGTCATAGTGGTCAATGCTGTGCGTCAATTCGGAGACGGAGGCGGACGACGGAGACGAGAACCATCTTGAGATAATCAATGGCCCCAGGCTAACCGCTTTGGTGGGTTGTTTCCAACGTAAACTGATTCGGTGCACTTCAAGACACGGACAATTCAGACGTTCAGCTGGGTTTTGTCACTGACATCGGACCAAGCTCCAGTTCTTACGTAGACGCAAAGTGCGACGCTAAGGAACTTGACATCAAGCCTTCCTTCCGATCCGCTGTACACGTCCATCACGTTTATGGTGGGGTCAGAGCTAGAGCACTCGCCGTTCAAAAACTGTTTCTTCTGCCATCAACGACCAAGGAGATGGAGGGGTGTGGCAGGGCCTGGAGGGAGAAGAGAGGTAAGTAGGGCGAGGCAGGCAAGGTTGGTGGTGCGTTGGCTATTGCATCAGAATCGCTGGTTTCTGTTTGACAAGACTCCCGCTAATCGATGTACAATGCATCCTCATATGGATCAACAAGTTGGAAGGGAAATCAAGAGAAATGCATACCATCGGCAGAGGAATGGAATGGAAAAATAAAAGAGCAGAGGGTGATCATTTCCCATTGTCCTGTGTGTCCCCATCTTTCCAACGAACATTGTGACTCTTTTGTTTTTCCCCCTCCTCCTCTGGCCTACTGGAGCAAAAAAAAAAAGTAAGACCACCGGTGAAGGGCCAAACTCCATGTCATATCTGGACGGTTTTTATTTATTTGCTTTTTAACTAATCAATAGTATGGCCACTTGGTAACGAGAGCCGATGCGCGGAGAGAGAGACGGACTCCTGCAGCCTAGCTCCCCAATCGGCGACGATTCCAGGGCTAGGTTGGGGAACCTGGACACAAAAGGTGGGAGAGTTGAGAATGAGGGTGGGGAAGAAGATCATGATCACACTACCCGCATATATCGTACAGTGGTATGTACGCACGCCGGTGAAGAGTGTGGGATACAACGAGAAAAGAGACAGGTTTGTTGAGACACAGGTCTCTTCACATTTCTCCCTATGAGGAGCGGTTCGGTGAAAAACAACTACCTAGTCCCGAAATGCACAAGCTGCCAGCGTGTCTCGGGTTTCATCTGGCCTTGCCATCATCATATCGCAGAAGGGTGTTGAGAGATACTGTATCCATAGAACTTTAGACCCCCCCTCCCACCTCTTCGTCCTGCTCACAAAAACGATGGAAATTAATAATCTAGACACTGTTTGGGCTGTTTGGAAAGTCTCAAAAGAGATAACCAAGGAGAAAAAAAGAAAAGGGAAAACGGCAATAATCATGCCATTCTTTTGTTGCCGGCCTCTTAAAGTTCTAACTTCCCCGTGTTCCAAATCCACAAGAATAATAATTGGAAACCCCCCCATGGTAAGTATTGATAGAATTAACCTGTTACCCCCCCCCCCCCTCTTCCTTCGTATAATTTTGCTCTTTTCTAACTGGCGGCAGCAGGATAAAGCCAAATATCTCAAAATAGGAAACGAGACAAAGGGGGTGGATAAATAATTATACCCATGGGGTCTAGTAGTCACATTGAGAGCATGTTTGCTAACCAAAACTACCAAATGGTAGAATGATCGACAACAAATCTTACTGGTAACTGGCTCTTTCTAACTTCGTTGGTCGTCCGGTTCTCGATCGATGCCTTGCTAGCTCTCTAGAAGGAAAAAGAAAGTGCTTACCTGGCTTGGGCCTGGTCAGTGGAGTGCCCCATGCTTCTTTGATTTTTTTCAGAATACTCAGCTCGATCGCCAACTTATCCTGACGAAACGGGCAAGCGAAAGGAAACGTGAATGATTCAAAGTGGTCTTTTTTCTCTCCCGTGATCTGCAGTTCATTCCTAAAAAGCCATGACAAAACATAATCAGAGAATAAGGAATAATAATAGTTTAATCCCTAAACTAACTCTTTCGGCTTCAGAAACCAGAACCAAGGCAATTCCACAAGATATCTCTCCTATCCATCCAAGCCCAAAGTGTAGTTACCCCAAATGACAAAGAGATGTTGTAAACGCCGTTCCCTCCAAGTGCAAATCCTATTTTCAAAATGAAAAAAAAAAGTAAAAAATAAAGTTCACCGGTTGTGAGTGATGATAATAAGATAAAGTAGTCAAGAAAAGGAAATTACGACGGTAGTAGTATGTCGATGAAGACAAATAAAAAAAAGACCCCCCTCCCCAAGAAATGCCCATAAAAACAGAGAGAAATCCCCGCCCATGCCTACCCTAAGAATAATCCCATGAAGTAAAACTATAACCCCCAAGAAACCCAGCCATGGTACAAAAGAAATAATAAAAACAAGTACAAAAGAGATCCCGAAACGAGCTATATGACAATGGTCGGCCGTAAGGACATCCTATAAATATTCCACAGAATAAAAAAAAACCGAAATGAATAGAAAATCCCAAAGAAAAATATCCTTTATTTCCGAAGTAAAATTTCCAATCGATTATAAAAAGTAAGGTTAGAATGAAAAATGTAATGATTGTGTTTTTGTGTTTTTTTTCTTTCCTTTTGAGTGAACCAAACTCATGAACACAAGTTGGAGAGCTTCATGCGGAAATCCGAAGAGGGAACCTCGTAGTGCTGCTGGTATTGTGTGTGGTAATCCTGAGACCTCCGGCTGTCCGTGTTGGACACCCACCGGCGGGTATCGTCCTGAGTGTAGGCTGAATGCTCCTGGATGTGGAGTGATGCAGCACTCTTGAGAATAGGCATCGAGGCCCGTCGCTCCCCGTGGTAAAGATCCTTTAGCGGGGGGAGTATGATGGCGTTCTCGGCGGTAAGAGGTGTCTCAGGCAGTCTCGGCGAGGTTGAAAAGTTGGAATTGGCGTCCGAGATGAGAGATGGGGTCTGGCCGCGAGAACCATCAGAGAAAGCAGGGGAAGACAACGGCTCGTCAAGAGTCCTCCTGCTGACATCGATAGTAAGACCGGGGGGGTGGAAATGGGTATTTGGCGAATATGGGGACATTGGCTCGTGAGAGCGGCGGTCCGGGTTGTGAGACTCGGATCTCTGGCGGATGCACAAGCGTCTTCGTCTATTCATTCCACCGTTCCACCAGTTCTTGACCGCATTGTCACTTCGGCCATGAAGACGCCTAGCAATTTCGGCCCATCTCTTGCCCATGTCTCCGACGAGACGTTCAATAAGTTCACCTTCTTCGGGTGTGATGGGCTCGTGGTTGAGCGTGGGCTTAAGATTTTGGTGGTAGCGTTCCCGGCATTGCTTTGGTGACCGTGAAGTTACCATCTGGGATATTCTAACCCAGTTGTGAGGTCCATGGATTTGAACAAGGTTGAGTAATTGAGAGTCCTCGTGTGCGGACCATGGTCCACGTCTGTGCTGCATGATGGATGAAGTTATTATTGTTGTTGAAGGTAGTGAGGATATGTGTTGTTAGAGTGCTTAGGTGTTCAGGTGCCCAGGTGTGTTCAGGTGTTCAGGTGTTGGTTGATGTTGAGGGGAAAATGTGTCGAGAAAAGTGTTGGTGGTGGGGGAAGTTGGGCTTATATTCTTTTAGCGTATGCTTTAGCGGAGATTCAGGGGAAAGACTTACAACGGGGCAGCCGGGAAAGTTTATGTAACCTTAATAGGCGGGATTTTGACTTGACTTCGGAGGGGATGGCTGAGCGAGGAAGTAAAGAAGCAAACCGCCGGTAGTCTTGGCGTGTGTCCGAGCCCGAGAAAAAGGTCAAACTCTTATGGAGCTAATAGGTAGACAGCTGTTGTCCTGTGCTCCACCTCTTACCAACACAAAATTGAGTGCTTAAGTGCCGAAACTCTAACTGAACAACGGTCAGGTATTTCTCCTGTCTTGAGCAGCTGCTGCGTGATACGTAGGTCTACGACTAGTTGTGACGTGATATGCAGAGTGTGTGATGGGCAGCGACAATTATGTGTGTCTCACAGATCTTAGTTGTGACCTAGATTCAGACTGAACCGCTAGCGTTTGGTGAGGTGTTACTCGGTGGAGGTGGTAGTACGTCAAGTGAGCCTTGTTAGAAAGGAACTTGCAGAGTTAACACACAACGGTGCGCAATAAAAAACCCTGTAGGGGAAAAGTGTGGGTGGAAAAAAGGTCTCTCTGGGAGTGATAATGCTGGTTGGATACCTATGTATGTGTTCACCCAGATACAAATAGCTGAAGCAGCAAGTAGGATGATAAAACAGCGCAGAGATAAACCCAGAAACTCGGCCACCCAAACGGAGGGCGGGAGTGTCCAAGCTTATATGCAGACATCAAGTGTCAGGTTAACATAACACCTTCTACCTGGCCAGAATAAATCCAAAAATCTAGATTGGAATAATAAAGTTGTGCTGGAGGGGGTCCCGAATCACTGGGTACATACTGTGATTTGCAACAGGGGGGGGGGGGGGACTCAGCGGGAAGTGTTAATGAAGCGGCTATTATCAAGGTACCCTGTTAATTGCTTACAACAACCAACCTCCCTCCCTCTTCGTGTGCGTGCGTAAACAATGTTTTCGCTATTTTTGAGTCCAGGGAGAATCCTTCTGCCGCAATGTTTGAGTGATCTGGTCAATGCAGAGGATTTAAACATGGACATGATAGTAATGTACGGCGGCTCTAGCCCTTTGGGGGTCAATTATTATTTTTCCACTAAGTGCTAGTGTCGCCTGCAGAGCTGGATGACAGAAAACGATCAAAAAGCTTTCTTTCTGGCTCTCGCTTGACCCCGTTGAGTGACAAGTCACCCGCTGTCCGGTATGTCTCTGGCGTACCCTATGATATTTTTCCTTTTATTCCTTTTGCTTTAGACCCTTTTCTTTTGGGACTTGGAGTTGCTTTTTTTCTTCCCTCTAAATTTGCAAACCGTTTTCTTATGGCACTGGCAAGTGGTCAGAGTGTCGAGATCTCAACTGCCGATGACGGATCCGTCACCCCCGATGACCGCGAGCTAGAGTATATCTAGTCAAGCCCCCTTACCGTCAATGCGCTGCTTGTCGATTGTCCGACTCCAATCTGTTGGGTATCAACTCCTGATCTGGCCGACCAAGGCAAGGATAGTAGCCAAAACATTGTTCTGGGCTAAAAGGAAACCAGGTTGCCCTTGGAGGTTTGACGACTGACCTACAGTGCAGAGATTTCGTTGTTGCACCCCTCAAGAAAAAAAAGATTTACAGGTTAAGCCAGAGGGGAGACACCCAAGGTGGGCTGCACGACCCTCCTCTGTGCTAGGGTCGGACAGACGTCGATTGTTGTCTCTCCGTACGGTGGGTTTTTTCTTCTTCTTGGGACTCGGCCAATCATGGAAATGATATTCATAGGGGACTCCGAATCGCCGACGTCGTTGAGGTCCACCCAACACAGGTCTCAGATGTCCCTCCGCGATTTGCAACAGATACCAGTGGCGCTGTAAGGCGACGGCAGCTGGGAGGTTAGTTTCGGAAAGCGAGCAGCATGTTGCAGCACGGACAGGACGTAATTGATGGGAAACCTCCTAACGGAACGCGCGCAGGAATCGTAGAGTACGGAAATGATACAGCTCGATCTCGCCGCAGTTAACCCAAGATAGAGGACCCAGTAGCAGCCAACCCAGCAACACGGCTCAGCGTCTCGTCTAGGGTGTGTGCGAGAAGCTGGTTGGTTGGTGCGCTCCTGTAGGCAGGTAGCTGACATTATTTTTGGTGTGGGAGGCAGCAGCCTGTAAGCAGTAGAACATACATTACTTTTCTGCATTACTTCTGTATATGGGAAAGACAGACAAAAAAACTGAAAAGAGGAAACTGACGGACGGTAGCAGCAATAGAGTACACGGCCATGGTCCACGCTCACCAACAACACATTTAGGGTTGGATGACGAAAATAGAATTCCATTCCATCCATCCATCGAGAATTTTATTGAGATTGATATGTATGTATGTAATGTAGTACTCGGTTCTCGAGTGTTCACATGTAGCTTACCGTTGAAAGATTTGGTACGAGTGTTACCTTCCAGTTCATCACCCCAGGGGAAGATGGGGATCGGGATGGGAGATGGGGAAGGGGAAGGGAGGATGAAGGATGAAGGATGATGTGAGTGAGTGAGAATGTGAGTGTGGGTGAGAGTGTGTGTCTGCCCCGAGTGAGTGATTGGGTGTGTGTGGAAGGGTAAGGTGTCGACAGAAAGCACTGACTGAGGTTGCTGTCGCCTGGGTCAGAGGTCACAATAAGCGCCATGCAAGTCGAGTGGTCAAAGAAGCGAACGAGAAACTCGCTACTCTTCTCCGCAAACGGTCAAGGCTAGAGTAGATGCGAACCACGATACCCGGCCGTGGGCCACCCTCTCTGTCGGGTGCAGCCTACGTGATCCGGCCCTCCCATACCATATCCCTACTCTAAATTTTCTGATCCTCCGGGACTTGTGGTTTGGTAGGCCCGCCTCGGGTGGGGCAGTGATGGAGCAGGCAGGAGCAGCAGCAGGAAAGTGATGATGATGGGACGGTGTCTGCAGAAGACGAACTGTATGGTATGGTATGGACGGCTCCTGCTTTGGAGCAGCAGCAAGTCATGCTTGAGCCCGTATGCATCATAATCTCGGTGGTGCAACCAACCGTTGAGCCTTGGAACCTCCATCGACGAAAGGGGGAGGATCTCTACGACTCCCCGCGTGGGGTGCGCTTCCTGACCTGGTCATGCCAAGCGTTGAATGGTCGCCGTCCACTACTTTCGGAACAGCTCACTTGCAGAAAGGGCAGAGAGCCAAAAGAGCGGCGATCACGTACTTGTGTTTGATAGAGAAAATACGTCCCTAACAAAATATGTCGAGGTCTCCGCCGCACATGCCCAGGTAAAGTCCGGAAATTGTCCGTAAATCATGATGGTGGTGAGAAAGGCCGACTGTCGACAAGGGTATCGGATGGATCCACGAGAAGAGAAAAAAATTTCAAATAAAAGCAACAAAAATCAATTGGAGTCCACGTTTTTTTCTTTCTTTTCTTCTTTCCTTTTATCAGGAAGTAAATTGGATCGCGAAAATAATAATCTTGGCTACGCCTTTTGCGTTAATGTGAGACCAATTCAGCTCGAGGAGGATATGTCAATCATGTTCCAAGTTGATGGGCAACGTTCGCTGCATAGACATGTAACTGCGGTTCGCTGAGAAAGGTCGGGGAACGAGCAATGTCTCAGTTTACCAAACCACCATCCTCATTCGTGCCAGTCAACTGAAACACAATTATAACCGTGCATCAACCCAATCGCCAGAGCATCGTGACTCTCAGCACACGCAATAATCCAGCTAAAGCCACCCCCTTGTTCTGCTAGAACAAGAAGGAAGTGGTAAATATCAATCTATCCATTCAGCGGCCCTGAGCGGTGAGAACAAATCCCAATATGCCCGCCACGGTATCCTATGAGTGGCCCTGGTTCTTTTTTTAAGTTCATATCTGCCTGTATTCCCGTATCCAGGCATGGATGACTGTGAAGTGACAAGTATTGAGGAGTAATGATGTACCTCAAGTATGGTACGTAGGGGGGGATCCATGTACAATGTACGTACGTACTATCAAAACTCTGCGCACTGGGACTGACAACTGGACGACAAGGCGCAATCTGTGCCAGCAATATGATCAGTATCTAGATCTACAAATGATGGGAATCGAAGAGAGATAGAGAGGGGTCATGAAGGGTCCACTATGATCGCACAAAACTAGGGCTCGGCCGAGATGCAGTTCCAACGTTTTTTTTTTTCCTTTTCCTTTACCGATGAGGCAAAGTTTCCCCCACTCTTGATATAGAGTATGGTTACGATGATGTAGATAGGTGGTGATGATGGTTTGTAACTACCGTTTTACTGGAGTTGCGCAAAGGGACATGATGACACGACGCTCTCTCTCTCTCTGTCTACCTCCCGCTCTACATACTTTGAAGGACGCTAGACGGAGCACTATTGGATTCTGAACACACTGTGGGGGTAGTGGTCGTGGTGGTGAGAATGAACCTGGGGGGGGGGGGGTTTCGTGGAAGGGGATGGGAAGGATCGGCATTAGCTTAATTGACCATGGGGTTTTATTGGTTGGTTTGGCGAGTATAGCTCAAGGTGCACTCACACTTCTTTTGACATCCGGCGGGCCCGTTGTCTGCTAAAAATGTCACTTGAGAAATGTGTGGGTTAGGATGTCTTTAGGTCCTGGAAGCCTTCCGCCTCTAGCCCCATATGGGCGAGGAGACGAGAAGCCAAAGCCCCCTTTCCGTATTAGCTCGAGCCCACAGTTCCCTTCTCGTTTCTAGCTCTTCCTGCGATGAGCAAGAACGGTGAGTTTAGAAGCCGAAACGAGTGAGGTGAGCGAACAGGGTGAGGTACAGCGAGGGGGGGTGAGGATGATGAGTGACAGACCTTAGTGAGAGCCTCAGGGACAATCCTGCGCGGAGGAGGTTAGTTGGGTTGGTGTCGGTATCCCGCCTTTGCCATCATCTGTTACACAGGGGACGCCGACCCCGGCATAGCTTCGTCTGTTGAGAGCCTCTGATTGGCCATGTTCCAGATTTGAGGCTCTTGACATGCGGGCACAGCCCCCCATTCCACGGAGTGCGCGAGCGAACTTAAGCTGGGGAGTCGGCGACTTCAACGGTTTTTTTTATGGTCCAGGGTCCGGATGTGCTTGGAAACTTGACTGTTTCACAGATCTCCCACCCTACATAACATACATGCGGTAGGCACTCTTTAGGCACTCTGCCCAATCTTCAGCCCACAACCGCTCGAATCACATATACCATCACTCGCTCCTCTGGATAAATTAATTGGGTCAAGCTAGGTCTGGCCTGCTTGTCTGCCTTTGACTCGGGATAGGTTATGTACGATGTAGTTATGTCGGGGCTGCAGCGCAAATCATCTCTAGTTGATCATCTCCCTGTTCCCTACGTGCTAGGTACTCTACTACCACTACTACATCTGGTAGACCAAGTACCCTAGCCCAGTAGTAGCACTACGCTAATAAAATCACGGTATTTTTTCAACAGTCTGGACCCTACTCGGCCGGAAACAGTTTCTTTGGGGAAGGACAGGGCAGCCGTTCTCTCTCTCTCTGTCTCCCTCTTCTCGATCTTTGTAGAGCATGTACAATAGCACGCATTCATACCTCTGACTCTCACGTCACACAGTTACACAGAAAGAGAGCGTTCGCTTGGAATTCTTTTCTAAACCTGTCTCAGTGGGTTAGCACAGACGTCAATTGCTATTTCTCACATTTGTATTTTATTTTCTTCCTTAAGGGACGGGGCCTTTTTTCCAGCGCCAGCCAGCCCTGATGTGCAGCACATCCCATCAGTAAACCCATCCCAATTCCACTATCCCCATCCCGATCCCCGTCCCCCATAGAGTAAGTACATAGAGGAAAGTAGAAGGAGGGACCCCCCCCCCTCCCCACGTGGTAAGAGTCCCCACGTTTTTTTTCTTCTTTGGTTTTTTGGTTTGGCTTATATTTGGGCCCTGGGGCGGCAGGACCCGAGAAAGCTAGAAAGGGCGAGTGTTCGACGTCCGTCCGTACACAGGAGGCAACAAGTAACTACAAGCAAGACAGAGACAGTTACGGTACAGGCCCTGCACGCACACACAACTCAAAGGGTCGGAACGACCGTTTCGATATTGATTATATATTTTGCTTTCGGAAGGTAACCCAGCCTCTCGCTAATCGTGGTACATACATGCACCGTGAAGGACAAAACACTTCGATTCTTGGGATGGGGACGCGAACGGGAGACGTACGGGGGTGGAATTGGGATGGGGGGTGTGATGGTTGTTGCTTCTGCTGCGCCGGCGCGCCGGTGGTTGGAGAGAAATGGATCATGGATTGGGGGAATAAAAATAATAATAATAAATTCATTGAACAACGAACGAAAAGAACGGACGGACGGACTCAAATTCCTTTTCGGAGTCGCCGACTGAGATTACGGTCGAGATTATAACTAATTAAATTTTATTTTTCCTTTCTTTCTCTTAATCCCTTACGCCCACGGCAATTATTATCATCGATGTCATGGTATATATCTTTTTTTATAAAACTTTCTTTTCTTTAATATCATAGGTCTAGAGGTACCGGCGCCAATGTTTCTTCACCGGTAGGCACGGCCATATTGGCCATGCCTGCTCTTGATCGGCCATCTGCGAATTATTTCCCCAGAGTTTGGAGCAATTGAGGCGCCGCCGGGGGGTATGGGGAGGGATTGGGGTTCTTTCTATGATACTAGCTTCTATCAACATACCTTACTTATTACAGTCCCTATAGCTACTAACCTACTAACCACTCTACTAGTAACACCTATGAGGATTCATTAATCTCCTTGGGAAATTCGAAATTTGTAGCACTTTTATTTGTTATATTTGCTAAGCAAGCCCATTCCACATTTTGCCCTACATCATAACTAGCGGTTGATCATCATAGCTCCAGTCTAGCCCGGTCTGGCGGCTCTTTCCCTCCCCTCCACCCCGGGCCCCCGTCAGTCAGGGTCTCAGCTCAAAGGACTTATCACGATCTATATGTACACGGGTCCATAACAAACCAAAGGTACAGGTCGAAGGGAAGGGGCGGTATGGTAAAGTACGGTAGATAGACACATCCTCCCCGTCCGGGCCCTTCATATTGCTCTACGTACTGCTACTAAGTGAAGTATCTATGATGAATTATGATGATGATGATAATTACCCTTCAAACCAAGCCAATGATAGCACAGCTCCTCAGGGGGTGAATGATCCAAGCAAGAATGTACGAGATTCGAAATCTCCCCTGGGTCTATTAATTATACCGACTCATCCCGATCCGGAATAGTTCCCAGGCCCATAACCAAGTCTGCCAAGTATATTGCCCACTCACTGTTTCCAACTACCAAGTCTACCCAAAACCTCCCCTGGGGAAACATCGCGCTCCCCCTTCCCCGAACCCACGAAGATCCCCTATTTGGAATTAATTTCTGTCTGATATGCAACACATGCACATACGTTTACTATACCCACACTAGGAACGTCGGAGGCGGCGGAGATGGAGGGGTATGGGGGTAGTTGGCAGGACCAAGACAAGCAAGACAAGACAAGGCCGGTTTAATTCTCGCAAAAACCGCCAAACAGGAAGAGGGAAATAAATAAAAAATTCCTGTCTGGAACAAGAGGAAGGGTTTTAGAGACAAAACCTCGGATTTCGGATCATGGCCGCGCGCGTGCAGTTCGCGTGGCTGACTAGTCTCGCAGGCTAGAAGGAGAGCCCGACATCGATCGCTCCTAACGTGACGGGGGTTGGGAAAAGTGAACGAGAGAACGCGCGCAGGCCGGGGTTCAATTGCAACAACAACAGCAAGCAAAGACAGACAGGCAGACAGCTGCGGCAACAACAACTAAGTACTAAGTAGCTAAGAAAGTAGCTAGCTGAGCATGAGCTCAATTGAAGCTAAGTCCTGTAGATGTAGAGGACTGGAAAGAAAGACATAGACCCCCCACCCCACTGGTGCCCCGAATCGTCATGAGCGGTCGTCGTCTTCGTGGTGCACTGATGGGCTCTGCGGCCACGGACTGATCACCGGCGCGTTCGCGCTGAAAGGTACCACTATTTTACCAGGACTCCAGGAGTAGCGAGAGGTACCGGCGGCGGTATGTGCATATCTCTTGTAACTTACATAACACCCGTGACTTTAGCTAGCGATAGGTTA